TCCACAAAATATCGTATAATATTGAAGCAAGTAGTCCTGCTCCTACTAATTTGATATGAATTGGCTCAAATCTATCCATTAAAATTGTTAACATTAATCCATGACAGACTAACACCTATATTCATAAATGAATATGTAATATACATCTAAAAATGAAGGTTTAGCAGAACAAACAAATAAGGTGATCAAGCCATAAATAGTGAATATGATAACACCACGTTGAAGAATTTCTGGAGCTTCTGGTGTTTACTCTTGGATTTCTACTTATTTATCAGACTAGAGAATAGACCATATTTATTCTTAGGGAGAATTTATTTAATTTTATTATTAATCTATTTCATTGATATTATGATCTGCTTCTTATTAATTTTAGGATGATTGTAATTGTTAATTAAAGATATTTGATGACAATTACTTATTATTTTATTCTTTTGATTATTATTTAACTTTGAATGGTCTTTCAATTACTTCTATGTTGTTCTTATATTCTATTAAATCACTATCTAAATTAACCATTTTCTATTCAAATTTCTATAATTAGGCCTATAAGTATTGGTGCTGTTTAAATATTAGTTACATAAAATTACCTTGTTTAACACAACTTACGCTTCTAAGGTGACAGCGGATCCAAGTACTCTACCCACCGGATCTAGTAACTTTAACTCCACTTGTTTTATAGCTAAATCATCCAACTATTGAATATTCAATTAGGCTTGGCCCCATAGAGTGGGTAGGGAGTTATCTGTTCTGATGTAAAATTGAATCTAAAGAGATGAGAGAAGTGGGGGAACTGAACTATGAGATTTGTATTGATGCAAATTTACAATTCAAAATCTTGATTAAATTCAGGATTGGCTTTATCGTATTACTATAGTGGTTTAGCAATTTAATTTATAACTCCTAAAGTTAATTAGATGTGGCAAGTTGTATATTGTAACTGTTATGGAACGTTTTTTATACATTAGAGAGTTAGAAAAATGTATCTTGTATTCGAATAAACAGCTAATTATAGATTTATTACAAACATGTTTCAGCTAATTGATTTTCACAAATAGCTTTATTTTATTATATTTATTTTAATTATTATTCTGCATTCTATGTTTTTTCTTCTAATAGCTATATTGCATCTAAGATCGTTTGTCCAATATCTGCAAGTCTAAATACTACTTTCATATTCAATTGAGTTGGTTTGCATTATTGAAATAATTATTCTGCAATATCTCTATCAAATTCCTTCCTGCCCATCATATCTAATTTAGCCAATATTTCATCAGCCTTATACAAAGTTTCCTATTTTAATCCGTTTTCCTCAAATCCTCTTAATACAGTTTATAACTTAAACATATTAAAATTTATTTATATTATATTCATGTCGTTCAGGAGCTAAAGGAATTTGAAAATTAAAATTAAATCTACTTTCAAGCTCACTCAATATTAATAATTAATGAGAGAATATATAAATCAGTTTTTAATTCATTTACTTTGGCTTAAATATATATATTAGGTAATATTGAAATATCTCAAATTAATTAAACAAAATGAATAGTAATACAAAAATAACCTTGACAATTGAATAATTAACAGAATTACTAATGAATCCATAATTACCTAATATTTAAAGTAGCTTGTAATCATTGTCTGAATTTGAATTGAGAAATAACAACGTCGATTTAATGAAAATAGTATCATTTGTTGATTAGGATGAGTTCCAAGCCATCAGCACATCTACTTCAAGCAAAAATAGTCAAACTCAATAAATGATTGAGAAAATTAATGAATTAGAAGTGGAAAATAATTATCTCAAAAATTAATTGGAGTAGTAGATTGAGAAAGAAAACCATTTAAGAGAACAAATGAACCAATACTTGAAAGAATCATCGAAATTAAAATCAGAGAATGAACGTCTTAGCAAATAAATGGATGAACTAGAAGCATTAATAAATCAAAACAAAGTGATATCAAATAGACTTGATCCTGTCTCTAAATCAGTCCACTTGGATATGAAGAAAGCCTTAATTGTCAAACCATTAACAATAACACAACCGTTGCGCAAATTTTCAGGTGCTAGTGGAATAGTAGCATAGCATCCTTTTAAAAATTCCAAAGACTTAATTAGAATAAAAACTGAAAGAAGTTATTAATGAGACTGTCAAATTTTGATTATTTTCTACGTTATATTACATATTTGTATAAAATCTAAGTAGGCTGGGAGTTTTGATATAATTACTGATATCCTAAATCAAGGAGGTACACTATTTGAAAAAGAAATTAGTAGCAAAATTAATTGAACTCTTAATCGATTATGGTAATGAATAGCCTAATATATATTAATATTCATAAAATGTTATCATAAATAATTTTGGCTACTCTATTAGGAATAACTTTATGTGGTTGGACAAGGTTCCCATAAATAAAAATAGACAAGTTTAACAAAACTGAATAGGCCATCTCAATTAGCACTGAGGATTTCAAACATTTAAAATACCCCAATGCTTTTGATTTGGAATTGTATTATCAGGAAGGACTCACCGATGAAAAAGATATTTCAAAATACTAAAAAATCGAGGATACATATCTATAATAACAAGGATGCTCTTATTCTGAAAGGAAAATAAAGGTAGAAGATCAAATGTAGATTTAATTGCCAGATGAAGGCAAGTACAGTTTTACTGATATGATAGTTGTTGAAAAATCAGCATTTGTAATTAGGAATGATCATAAAGTATTTAGTGTCTAATTAGATTTTAATGGGAATGAGTTGAAGGTATGCTATAATAATTATAATTTAAGAAATTAAGTGTTTCTTCCTAACATTTAGATTTTTCAAATTAAATTGCTATTAATCTCAAAAAAAAACCTCAATTTTTGGTAGCAGGCCAATAAGTCTTTGTTGTGACGGAGAAAGGAACAATTGGCTTCAATTTTACGGAATGGTCAAATGGAAGTTTGCCAAAAATAAATTTTCATAATTTGGAAGAAGTGAACAATATTTATTATGTCCATTATGATGAAAAATTTAGGAGGATGTTTATAGTTGCTGGAATATAAGGCGTGTTGGTGTATGAAATAAAATAATAGGAGTTAAATCATCTTTATACAATAAATATAAATTTAAACATAATTAAAGTGTAAACTAAGGACGATCAATTATTTTTATTAGATGATAAAAAAGGAATCCACTTTTATACTATAACTGAAAGTGAATACAAAGATAGTGGTAATTATACAATATTATTTAGAATTCCTAATTCCTCTGGAAAATCCTATATCTTTTGTATATAATAAGAACTCTTTCTTAGTAGTGGCTTAAACTGGGCAATCTTCAGATAAGATCATTTTTGGAATAGAAATTCTGTTTCATTTTAAAAATCAAGAATTTTATTATAATAAATTTTATTTAGAAGATATGCAATTAAAAGATGTCTAAAGTTGTGGTGACTTTTAATTTTTAATTGGTTATGATGTACACAAGATCATTTAAACAAATGTATACAGAGGATTTGTAGATGAAAATTTTGATTATGATACTGATTTCATGATACCATTATTATAGAAAATTGAGGAAATAGAAGGCACAGATTACGAAAAAGCTAATTATTAATATCATCATTCGTTAGCATTGACACCTCGTCATTTATATGGATTGACTATTAAGGACAGAAATCCAGAGATAGTTTGTTCATCTCAAAAATAAATTGAGTAGTCTTATGCAATTTTAATTAATTCAACTTAATGTGAAAAGGCAGAAACAGATCCTTTCATAGTTTGTCATGAGGAACATTTTATTAATTTAGTGGTAAATGAAGTTTTGCTAGATTCATAATCGTAATGGTATGCAGAGGTGTTCCTGATTGTGGTTTTCGTAATCTTTATTTTGTTATTAATATGCGGATACAAAATGTGCACTAAATGGAGAATTATTATGAAAAATGTGGAGGCTACATTGTAAAGTAAAAAAGGTAATAAACAATATGCAGACCTGCCACTGGGATAATGAAATTTTCAATAATTTATACAGTAATACAAATATTATCTCGAATATATTACATTTATATTTTGAATCTTTAGTCTATGCATTATTCTTAATTGACAATATGAAATTATGAATACACTATTGTTTAATTAGAGTATTAACTGATATTTATAACAAATTACTTTTTCTAAATTGTATTTTATATAAATAAAGGTTCATTTATTTAGTATTATGTCTATAATTGCATTCATGTTGATGGCTTAAGACATATTGAAATGAGTGTTAATTATAATTGAATTAGTTTTACTTTAAAGGAATTTAAGAAGGGCTATGAATTATTTAAATAATATGATTTTTTATAAATGTAAAAGAGGAATACAGTTTTCATTTGCTCTTAAACTTCTCATTACTGCAAGTTTCTCTAATGACATTTATTTGATAGTCATATCCTCGGTGAATATATTTACAATATTATTGATATTGAATAAGAAATATACACCAATTTGGAAATATTTCAGAATTATTTTGCTTTTAGAATTGTGCTTTAATGATTAACCTTTTGGACCTGCTATTGTGGCATCAATCAAATACAACATTAAATACAAGATCATAATCTTGTCTTATTATTTATTGAGAGCAAGTTTATTTTTTTTTCATACCTTCAAGATTATTGATTGGATTTACTTAGGAATCCTTTTTGTTGGTTTTAACACATACTTTTACATGCATGTAATAACTATTTAAAATTTAGGATCTAAAGTAAACAGACAGTAAAATAAATTCATAATCTCAAAGGAAGCTCACTTAATTTGACATTCCTTCTCAAAACGATTCTAATGAAGTTATTGATTTCTTAAATTATATTCCTCTAGGAATATGTTAATTAGATAGCAATTACAATCTAGTGAATTCTAATCACAAAACCAAAAAATATTGTTCCAATATCAAAGAGGATACTTTATAGTAATAATTGTTTTTGATGATACAAAGGTAATGTCTTTCGATATAATATTTTAGAGCCTGGATTCAATAGTAATCGATGCCCAGTGCCCTAAGGTTTGAAAGAAGGTCTTTATTCAATTCTTCCGAAGATTATGGATCTGATTTTCAATTAAAAAGAATGCAATCTTGTAGTTAAAGTAGAAAAAAAGCAATTTCTTTTACCTCCTGTCGACAATATAACAATCCCGTGGATATTGTCTAAATCATCAATAAATACAAATCAAAAGGTATTTCTGGAAGTATCAATCTCAACTCTCTTAAGTATAGAGATTAAACTACTTTCAAAACGTATGAGATTAAGATATACGAAGTATCAAAAGGATTATTGATAATGATTAAAAACATAACAAAAAAGGAGAAATAAATTGATATGAAAGAGAGATATCATTTCCAATAAATGCTCATCAATTCCTTTTCACATGAATTACGCACTCCTTTAAATTGTTCTCTCTCTCTGTTACAAACATTAGAACAACAAATTAAGTCAGAATTGAATGATACATATTTAAAACCTGCAATTATCTCAAATAAAAAATTGTTGCACCAGATTAACGACATATTGGATTTTGCTAATTTTGAAGTTTAAACCTTCAAACTAAGACCCACCATTTTCAAATTGTCTAATCTAATATAGACGATTGAAGATTATTTTAAAGCGGAATGCGAATAAAAGAAAATCGATTTTGTCATTTAATCTTGCGAAGATGCTTTCATCAGAAGTGATTATGATAGAATATTACAAATTTTAGTTAACTTATTGAACAACTCTGTTAAATATACAAAACAAGAAGGAATCATTTAATTGAATGTCAAAAGAGTAGGATCATTGTATCAATTCGAAGTCTTTGATACAGGATGTGGTATTTCAAATGAGAAACTATTTTTAATTAATAAAATTCTGTAAAACTAAGAAGTTGATATTGCAAGAAGAGGCGAAGAAGATTATATTTAATATGTGGGTTTGGGTCTAAAAGTGTCAAGTCAGATTGCTAGATAACTTTGCGATAGAGGTGAATTGAATATAACAAGTTAATTGAATCAATTTACAAACAATAGATTCGTTGTAAAAGATTTGTAATCTTATGATGAAGCATTAATAATACCAACAGATGAATGCATTTAAGAACCATACAAAAGCAAGGTTAAAACTAAATGTAATTGTCTAAATGTACTTATTGTTGATGACATCCCCTTCAATCATTTAGCATTCATTACTGTATTGAAATACTTCAATGTAAAAAGTGACAGTGCCTATGATGGACAAATGGCCATTGAAATGGTTAAGAATAGATTCAAAAATTGCAAATGCACTTATAAATTGATTTTCATGGACATTGACATGCCTGGTATAGATGGATATTAGACAACTTAAGAAATTTAGTAATTTTTAGAATAGAATGACATGAGTTCAACTATCATTATGTGCAGTGCATTTGATAGTAAAGATAACATTGATATTGCTTATAAAAGTGGCATGAAGGATATCCTACCAAAACCAATAGAAACTAGTCGACTCAAAAAAATACTATATAAATATTATTTTTGATTATAAATCTATATATATATATATAGATTCTTTTTAAGATCGCTTTCTTATTATAGTTCGATGTTTTGCCTTCGTGTTTCTGTGCATTCCTATGTGTCGATCCATTTGATGATAAACTAAGTCGAGAAAACTGGAATGTTAATATAATTTTAATACAAATTAAAATGTCAATAATTATTATGACATTGATTATATAATCCACCATTGTGTCGATATATAATGGTGTTACGTAAACTGAGTAAAGTTACTTTTTACTATTGGATATACTCTTATTTTTGGGACAATATGGGTAAAACTTAAAGTTGATTCTATTAATTGGTAGTATATGTTTGTCGAATGAATTGCTAATTGCGGATGAGGATGTAAATTTTATATTAATGTAGATTAAATGTTATTATATGAGTATGCGATTTGTTCTTAGTGCCAATGTACTATTGGAAAAACAAAAATCTATTTACTTTTTAAGCTGCCTCTTTTATTTACTTTTCAGGTCCCTTTTATACTTATAACCATTGTCGTATTTGACTATCTTTGGATATTTAATGATTTTGATCTAATGTAAAGTTTTGAATAATGCAAAGGTCTTTCTCAAAATATAGGTGATGGAAAATCTAAGAATTACCAGACACAATAAATTTTTGAGTTTTTCAAAGCAAGTCTCCCTCTTCCTATTTGTATAATTCAAAATAATTGTATTTAATTTTGCTATTCCTAGAATTTTTATTTAAAACTGATTAGTTTATAACTGAATACCTAGAAATCACTCCTTAGATTATAAGACTGATATCTTCAGAAAAGAATAAGGATAGCATAACCAATTATATATCAAATAAGAGAGCAAATACCAATAAATCATTCACGTATGAAGCAAGAAAGAGATTGAATAATTGCAACGTCTTGTAAAATGATAGTCAAGCTGAATTCTATTGCAATGTTAAAAACTACTTTCCTGTGGATATAGAAGTTGCAGAAATAATTTGGGAAGAATAACCAGCTACAATGCTCGTTTTTTAAACTTAAGAATAGAGATAAGATAAGAATTAGATTAACGATTTAAAGTAAAAGGATTAGTATAAAGACGAGATGTTGGCAAGTGTATCACATGATTTCAAAACACCAATCAATGGGATAGTCGCTATTGTGTAATTTTTAGAATCGTAAGCATTTTATATTTAATTTAAGGATTGTAGTTGACTAAAATGAGCTTAATTACTTAAAAATATTAAAGAAATGGGCATAACTATTGTTATTTATGATTAGCGACATTTTGGACTTCTCTAGAATTCAAAACAATACTCTAAGATTAACTAACACTACTTTTTATATCTAAGTTATTGTCTAAGAGATTATTGATTTGATATCTTTATAAGCTAACCAGAAAGGAATTATAGTGGAGAAAAAAATAACCTTTGGAGATCGAATGATGTATTCAGATCCCAATAGAATTAAATAGATCTTATTAAATTTATTAAGTAATTCCCTAAAATTTACTGAGAAGGGCAAAATAAATATTTTGGTTGATTATAAATATACAGAATCAGACAGCTAGTATAAAATCATCACAATCAGTGTCTCAGATACAGGAGTAGGCATCCCAGATAATATTAAACCAAAGTTGTTTTAAATGTATGGTACTTTTGACTTCACTAATAATGGGTCAAACAAACATGGTATTGGCTTGGGATTGGTTATATGCAAAAAGCTAGTGGGATTGTTGGGTCCATCTGATAAAATTGAATTGAAAAGTTAAGTTGGAATAGGATCAACTTTTAGTTTTGATGTATATATCGATATTGATTAAAGAAATACTATTTCTAAACAATATCAAAAGGAAATGACTAATATTTATAAGTAAGATACTAAATAAAGTTTATGTGATCATCAAAATACTAATTTACTCATAACTTCCTAATTCACTATTTTCAACTAAACAATTCATTAACCAACAATTAACAATAATTTGAGTGGGATGGCAAAAAAGCTCAATAAGAAATCCATATCAACTTTATAGGAAATTAACGATAAGAAGTCTCACAAAGCATAATAATTTCGAACCTTAAATCCAAAAAAACCAAAGAAAAAATCTTTACTTTAAAGAGAAAATTCCATTAATAATGTTTCCCTAATTCTAGAGGATTCTGACTATTCTAAAACAAGAAATATAGAATACTATTTGGAGTTTCATAACGATATTACTTATGCAACATAATTATTTAAAAACCAAAGATAAATTGAAATGAATAACAGTCCTATAAATACTCCGTTTTATTAGAATGAAAGTTCTGAGTCTCCAGCTATGCATATTAGACAGCGTAAACCGTTGTAATTCACTGAATCAATTGAGGATATGATGAGAATCTTATTTCCAGAACCTTGTACAATTTTAGTCGTTGATGATTCACCAGTTAACGTATTTGCATTCAGATTAATCATGCAAAAATACGATTTCATAACTATTGAAGAAGCATACAACGGAGAATAGGCTCTTTAGAAAATTAGGATGAATATACAAAATGATAGGAAGTATTAATTTATTTTCATGGATTTAACCATGCCTATCATGAATGGATACGAAGCTACTGAGTAGATTCGAATTATGGTATCATATTTTAAGTTATTTTTATGTGATTCTAGGAGAAGGATAATTTAATAGAAAAAAGTTTCATAATTGCCCTGACAGGATATGACGATCTCAAGGAGAAAGAGAAATGTTAATAAAAAGGTTTTGATGCATTTGTTTCTAAGCCTATCAAAATTATTGACATTATCTCTGTAGTTAATGAAGTAAAAAATATAAAAGACCCTTAAATTTGATTTTATGAAAACTTATTTATATTTCTATTTTTGAAGATAACTCAAAGTAAAAGTGCAATCTTTTCTTTGATCCGATAGGACTTTTAGAATTTTATTATTAATATTTTAATATTGAAATAGTCAGTTCTAAAATTATTCATTAAATTCACATTATTATTTTTTTTTATTAATAAATTTATTGAGCAGTTAATGTCCTCTACACCACGCCAAATCAAATCACTGAATAAAGAATTATATCTGACCAGCATACCTTATAACAGCAAATTTTAGAGAACTTTTACAAATGAGGAAATGTCAAGTGTGTCGAAAAAATTAGATTTTGATCAATTTGACAATCAAGTATCAAAATCAAACTTATTGAAAATGAATTCATTACCCCTTAAAGGAATCAGCCACATAAGATGATCGAATTACTAGATAATGATTTTAATTGTATATAGTTTCCTCACACTTTATCAAATTTCACATTCATTATTATACAAAACTATAATTAAAATCATAATCAACTTTATAACTCCAAAATAAAAACTTTCTTCATTAATACTTATGTTTACCGATTTAGACACGCACTTATTCTTAAATAACTATGTGATCTTTATAGCCTGAATGATTAACTAATACTCTTGATTATCTCCTATTAAGATGTATTTTAATAAGTTTTTATAAATATAATAATTTAACAAACTATGGATCAACAATCATTAAAGCAAATATTGAGTTCAAGCAATACTTACAGTGGTACAAAGAAGTATTTGGAGGCTATTTAACAATAGCAAAAGTAAAAAAATTGATTTATAATAAGGGATATAATCTAAATGTGTTCTGCTGTTGTAATTAGCATTTTGTAAGATTAGCAAGGATCTCATCTATCTAAATTTTATAGTTTGAAAGTACAATCATGCCTTAATTTAGTTTATTAATGAATTATTAGAATTGTAAGAATATGATTGGATTGATATGACTTAGAAGAAAATCTTACCAATTTTAGAGGAATATGCAGAATTTAAAAAGGAGAGTTAAGATGATGAAAGGGGTAAGTATATATTTATTTAAAATACATCATAAAAAAAAAAATATGAATAAGTTAAAGAATTGGAATACGCTGGAAGCATATTTTTTAGGTATTTGCTTGAAAGTATTTGGGTTTGGAGTAAATGGTTTCCACTTGATACTGTGGCAGGAAAGTTAAGTTTATTTAAAATTGCTTAAGAGAGACTTTCATTATAAAAGGTTAAATTTCCTCAAATAACATATTTCAATAAAAATTAAGTAATAAATCATATGCAAATCTAAAGGGTACAAAATATATTATATTTTAGCCTCCGAAAGAGATGCTAGAAGAGTGCAGACTTCTTATCAAGGAACATTTGGAAGAAAATTCAAACTCAGACCTTTAGAGTTTTTAGAAAACTTTAAGAAAAATTTATTTTACTGACAAAAAGCATTAATTACAAAGTCTTAAGTCCTATCCATAAGTATGGAAGGAAACAGTTGATTTGATGAGGTAAGGCAAAATGGGATAAGATGTTTAGATTAAATTGAGAACTGCTCAAGTATCAATAATGTAGAAGAAATTCTTCTAAGCCACTTAGAATCTAAAAAAAAGCAAAGTAGCTTTGCAATAATAAGTTTTCAACTTTTCTACAGTTTTAAGCGAAAAGGAAAAATTATTGACGGAGATAAACAATCATATTTTAGAAAAAGATCTATTAAAAAATTAAATTTCTTAATTACAAAAATAAAACGATGAAAATTTAAAAGAGAATGAAGATCTAAGAATGTAACTTAGTCAGTTGAAACTTAAATTTGACACAACAGAAGTTTAATAGGAGGCCCCAACTTTATCTAATACATTTAATGATTAATTCTAAAGATCAAAGGATTTAGAACGACAATTACAAAAAAAGGACATCGAAATTAAGAGACTGAGTGAATAAGTTCAACACTATAAAGGTTTTATTAGTCAAATGAATGGCAATCTTGATCAATTGTAAAAATTATAAGAATAAACAGAAATGGAACGATTTTAACTGCATTAAGAAAATCTCAAATCAAATTTGAAGTAAGAAGAACTTTAAAATCAAATAGGTTTATTAAAATAATCAAATAATAGACTTAATGAGATTATAAAACAATTATAAACTTAAAACAATCAATAGTATGAAGAATACTTACAAAATTTAGAAAAGAACTCAATATATATTTAAAAATTGATCTCTGATTAATCTGAAAGTCCAAATCTGAAGTAAAAACAAACTGAATAAATTAAAGAATTGGAACATCAAATTCAAAGATAGAGACAAGAAATTGAAAATCTTAAGCAATAATTAGATGATAACTAAAAATCAGGAATGCAATACAATAATTAAACCAAATAATGTATGATTTTTAATAAAACTAGAATATTATAGCCAAAAAAATGAGCGAGGTTTAAACAGTAATTCTACAATGTATAAAAATCATAAACTTCCAGATGATATAGAATAAGAATATAATTAAGTGTAAAATAAGGCTACACATACTTACCAAAAATAATACGAAAATTAGATATTTTAGGGGTTTTAATAAAAAAAATGACAAAAGACTATTTTTGTTAACAAAAATTTAAATACGAAATATGTTGGACACTAATTTTATATTTATTATCATTGGTACTTCATTACTTACCATCACCTCCCTTCCCTTGATTCTCTTCATCTTTAGGTTTTTTATCTTCTTTGTTGTTGTTACTTTCTTACTTTTCTCCTTCAACGCTAAACAGAATTCAACTTTAAAAGTACGAGCCGGAAGACTCTGAATTGTGTGAGTCTTTTGAAGAGCCTCTTGATGAGGACTTTGATTTCTTTTTCGAACTCTTTCGCTTCTTATTCTATTTCTTTTTCTTATCTCTAGATGAACTACTAGATGAGGAATCTGAACTGGATGAACTCTTCCTTTTTTTATTTTTCTTTTTGTGTTTTTTTCTAGACTCACTAAAATTCATTATTATCTATTTCTTTACCTACTACTAGAGCTAGATGAACTAGATGATGATGATCTACGTCTGCAATTCTTAGCACTAAAAAATAGGTAAATGAATAGATATAAAATATATCGTATTCTATAATAAATTATTAAGACGATATAAAACTTACAAATGTCCTGAATGACCGCAAGAATAACATAAGCCATTGTTTTTGCTAGGCTTATTTCCACGAGCCATCTCAACCTATAAAACCGATCCTTTTACTTCTTCCTTATTCATTTTTTTAACAGCTTTCTCTGCATCTTCAGGATCTTTAAATTCCTATAATTAATTCATGATATCTACAATGAAACAATATTTTCCCTTCCATGCAAATTCTTCAATTTTCCCAAATTTCTTGAATAACTTTTTAATATCATGTTGATCCTCTTTAAGAGAATAACCTGTCACATACACTCTTTTCTTATTCTTCCTAGGTGACCGTGACCTTGATGAACTTGAAGAAGACATATAATTTAAATAAAGGATACTTTTTTTAATATAATTTTTATACTCAATAATTTTATTGTTTTCCAATGTTTCTATTATATTTACTCATTTATTCTCTAAGTGAATACTCAAGACTTGTAAAGCATCCCTAATTTAAGTTAATAGTTACAATCATAATTTTGTCATAAAATAATATTATTCTTCACAACTAAATATTTAATTAATGACACTGACTATTCTTAAGAAAAAATTAAACTTAACCTAATCGCCATAAACACACTTTAAATAACTCAAATTTATTGTGAAGAATTATAACAAAATTATTTTATAATATTTTCTTATGTATTAATTATTGATATCTAAATTGATTCAGAGAAGATGTAATTAAATTCATAATAAAATATTATTAGGAACGTTGATTATTATTTTAGCAATGTTATCACCTACTTAAGTTGAAAATACTATATAGTTGAAGAATTTATAATTAAATATTAATAATAATTTCTTATAATTCTGAGAAGAGGCATAATCTAAAATTCCAAGAGCTATCTTATTGATCTCTCAGAAACTTATTTTTCTATTAGATTTGTTGTATTTTTTAATTAGTAATATATATTTATACGCTAAATAAAATTCGAGAGTTTTTGCAATATAAATTATTATTATTTTTTTATAAAACTTATAGTAGATTATCTGCCAAGATAAAATGAAATAGTATGAATAAAATTTAAGTTATATAAAATTGATATTATAAATAATCAAATATATGTCGACAAAAAATATAAATAAATTGAAACTGAATGCTCTTATGTCACCTGCTTCTTCAAATATTAGGATCTCGAAAAATACTGCTTAATAATTGTCAAATAATGGTGTTAGTCCGAAAATGTTATCTAAAAGCCCTAACTACTCTCAATACATGCAACATTAATTATCCTAAATTTATACTCCTCCTAAGGAAAAGTTATCATCGATAATAAATATCTCATAATCAGAGAGATCCGTTTATTCTTTTAGGATTCCAACTTTAAGAATGAAGGAGAAATGCTTTATTAAAAAGTAATAATAATATAAATTGGGATAAAGTTCATTTGAAATTAGTCTCACTACTAATACATCCTCAATTTTTATATTCAAAGGATCAATTTAGGAAATGAGTCTATTCAAAGTCATTCAAATGACTAGAGCTGAACTATAAGCAAAATCCTCATCAATTTATCAAGCTCGATAAAACTTACTATTAAAGATACAACAGAATCTAAACGTTCCAAAAAGTTATACACAATTATCTTTGGGAAATTACGAAGCTATACAATTTATGGAAGAGATTCCTCTCAATTGCAATGTTTTACTTTTGAGCAAAACAGTAAATAAAGATTTTTGGAATATTATTTTAAATTATCATAATTTTTAATTTACTCCTTAAAAATTCGCAAAAATCCTTACTATCATAAGTAAAATTAATGAAATAAATGATCTACTTAAATTTATTTTAGATAAAGATGTATTTTATACTTATATGGAATTGAAAGAAGTTTTTCTGAATGAAGATTTACTTACAATGAAAAGAAATCCCCTAGCAATGAAAGATTTCTATAAGAGTTTAAATGTCTATGATTAAGAGAAATAATAATTCATTGATGAACCAATCACGTAAAAATAAATGGAGGCCGATTCCCTTAAAGTTGAACATGATAAAGAAATGAAAAAGGATTTTACACTTTTGAAACTCAATCCAAACCCTAATGATTTTCAACTCATTTTAGAAAAGGAAGGGTTGTTGAGTCCGTCCAATAAAAGACCGTCTAGTCGATGTAAACTTATTTTATGATTTAGACTTAAAACTCCCTAATTTTAGAACTCAATATGGCGAAATATTAAAGTAATAAACGATCTAATAAAAACACAAGTATTACTATTATTTATTGATAACAGGAATAAGTATACCAATATACCAGATCATATAGCAAGAAATATATTGCATATGACTCACTACAATTTCCCATAACTAATGAAGGAAACAGGTTTCGATAGATAAGAAATTTATGAAGTATTTAGTCGATATAAAGCTTTACTTAGTTATGAATGTTCTCAAATTCCAGGATTAACGAAAGAGAGTAAAAATATTTCAATTACGTTTAGTGATACCAAATGGCATCTCTAGAGAAGCTTTTAATGCTGGCTTAGAAGAATTGTCTATGGCTCCACCTGGAGTGGTAGATCAAATATTTAAATTTTTTGCAAAGTAGAATTCATTAGGCTTTGAAGGGTTTTTAAAAGCTATCAACTTAATTAGAGCAAAAGGAAATGATAATAAGATTGAACTAATATTGAAAGTAAAAAATTCAAGTTATCCAATAGTTAATTGATGAGAACGAGAATGGGCTATTGTCCTATGAGGAAATTAAAAACAGATGTAGTTTTATGATGGAAGAAATGCTGAAGGACTCAAAGGGTGAATTAAGTGTCAATAACATGATTGAATATGTGACAAGATCAATATTTGATGTAGAGATTTCACTTAAATTTAAAGGCAGTCAAGATGAATTACAATGAAGAAATTCCGATTGATAAGATTAGAAAACTGATAGAAAGTAAAACACATGAAGCTTAGGTGTTGATAATGATGTGTTGCGGAGATGTTGATTATCTAAAATGATATATAATAATAAACCATATCGAAAGATATCTCTGAATTCTAATCAACATTTATGGTTTGAACTATAATCTTGAATATTGTCATTTATAAATTAAAAATTGAATGTTTTTTAAATTTAAACTATTTAATTCATTCTAATATATTATTGTTTATATTCTATACTATTTCTCAATAGATTGGTATAAATTGATTATTTAAGCAAAATATAACTATAATAATTTGAAAAAAAGAACTCATTAAAATGAATATAAATATCACTCAAATTTAGTAATTGTAATTTATATCTATCTTGGATTTTCTATACTCTCCATTTGCAGCAACAGATATAAAACTCACAAATAATGGGTTGGGCTAAAAGTTTTAAGATTTAAGTTTTGGATGATATTGAAGTAAATAATCAAATAATACTTCCATTCTTTAACCAATCTACTTATCTTTTCTAGAAAATGTCAACCCTTTTTCATTCATATCTATGTCTATTTCTTTCCTCTACAATATCTGACTCGTATATTGAATATGCGATGGACTCTTTATTTCTACAATCAATTAATTTTATATTCAAATAATGTTTCATGAGTTCCCAATCTCATATTATCTGAAAACAACTTTGAATCGATTTCTGGCATGAATACAAAAAAGTTTGTTCCAACTTATAATTCTTTAATTCCTCTGAACTAGCATCCTAAACTCCTTGAATATTTTTAGCGTATTCAATAACAGCTGCTTATAATCCATCCTGTGTATCTTAGACCGTTGATTCCATTTTATGCAGGCTTTATTTTTTATTTATTATTCAATATTATTATATAAGGAATGGTAATCTAGAATATATTAATACATTACCAAACCAAGATTATCCTTTCCCTCCTCATTTATCATTATCTAAACAGTTTCATAATTGCAAGTGGATTCCAAATCACCCAGAGTTCCTCTTACTTCAACCAACAATATGTCTAGTTTATCAGCCGTATCGTGTTTTGGTGGTACAGTTGTTAAATGTTAAATCCATCTTTTAATTTCGTCAACAACATGAAGAATAGCCTAAACGGTCTTACCTAATTAGATTCCTTCTCTCTCCTTTTATTTCATAACTTAAATAGTGTATTGTAGTTAATATGGATCGATTTTCAAAAATAACACTTTAAAACCATTTTAATCAACAGCATTCCTATACTGCTATTTATTGTTCTGGATTGCAACACAAATAAACTAATACTTACACTTATTTAACATATTAATAAATTATGGATTAAGTTTTTAATCATTTAATAAAAAGGGCAACTCCCTAACCCATTGTTAAAGTTGGAACCCCTTGGCAATGCATTCCTATTAAAAATGATAAACAAGCAAGAGATACAACAGAGGTTCATATGGCTAATCAAGGATTTAATGAATTGGCATAATTTGATAAGTTCATGAATCTTGAAGTTGTTTGGCTTAATGAGAATTAAGTACAAGATCATCCTTATTTGATTTTAGTTAACCAGTATTAAAGGAGTTGAATAAAACTTCAGAATTAAACATCTTTATTTACAAAAGAACAAAATTAGTACTCTTGAGGGTCTATAAAATCTGAAGCATTTAGAAACATTGAGTTTGTTCAACAATGAGTTAAGAGATTTGGAAAAAAATCTTTTGATTTTAAAAGAGTTTCCAGGACTTACAACTTTGGGTTTTAAATTTTCTTATATTGTCTTAGATTTATTTAATAATCCAGTTGCAGAAGAACCTTATTATAGAAATAGAGTGATTTCAGCTCTCCCTCAATTACAGTTATTAGATCGATCAATAATAACTGTCTAGGAAAAGATTAAGGTAGAAGCCTGGTACAAGGATTTCAAAGCGGAAGTTAAAATTAAGAAGAAAGGGTAGAAGAAACAAAAGCTGCTTCCATCTTAAATCTTCTCAGCTGGGGAGAAAATACTATACAAGGAGGTGGATGAAATCAAAGCTAAGAGAGAATAAGAAAAGGCTGACGAGATTTAAAGAGAAAGAACTAGGATCAAGTTAAAGGAAAAAACCTTCGATCCTAATAAATTCCCAACGAATGAATTGAAAGAGTAATTAAGGTAGCGACTTCATGACAATCCAATGAGTTTAGTGAATGAGTGGGAAAAAGGGAAGCTCAAGAAGATTTTTAAATCATATGACAAAGGTAACAAACTTAAATTTAAATTAGAAAAGAAGGGATCAATCACATAAGATAAATTGTAGGGATTGTATGGAGATTTAATGAATGACATAGCTAATATAGGTAAAGTGCCTGCTGTGTCTTTTGAAAAGTTTAAAGAAACTATGTCAGAGGATCCATTGCCTTGGGATTCTTTTTGTTTTCAATTAAATCATGTAGATTTCTAAAGAGCTCCTGAAGATTTGCTACAAAAGAAAATTGATGAGAAATATAAAGAATTTAATAGAAGATTAAATGCAGGAAAGAAGGCTGAAGCTAAAGAATTCATGATAGAGGCAGTGAGACTGGAGGCAGCTAGAGATAAGGATGAGCACAAGTAAATTAAGATAATATATATAAAGATTGCCAGAAATTGTACCTGAGGACAATACTAAAGTAAGGAGTGATTGTTTTGATTTTTCAAGATATAAGTATAAGTAGAATTTCACTGATACTGCAAAATATCTTTTATAGTGAATTTATATCAATATCAATATATTATTAACCATTACAATTATATCGTATTTGAGATAAGCATCTTGAAAAGCTATTGCAATTGAGTAATTGATGTTCCACTTAAAATTAATTTAATAATATAAAACTATTGAATATATGTTAACTTTTAAAGTCATTTTACCAGATTAATCAGAAGGTTCATATCAAATATCTAAAACTTCAATGGTCAAAGAGTTTGTGTAAATTATAAAGGAATAAAATTCTGATAAGGATTGGCACAAATATGAATTAGAGTTATATTTATTTGATTAGATGCTCAATTAAGAGGGATCTGTTGATAAAATTATATGCAGCCCATCAACTGATTATCTAACCTTAAATGTAAGGAAGGGAGAAAGAATTAAAAGATTATAAACATTCTTTTCTGCTGCTTTGGTTAAAATATAAAAAAAAACTGAAGATGACATGAGTGGACTTTAAAGGGCTTTGAAAAAAAGTTCTACAATACAAGAGTTACCAAAATAAACAGAAAAAAAGAATATCAAAAGGTTTTTGTCATTTTTTACAAGTGCTACTCTTAAAATAGCTGAGATTTCTAGATAAAAAACTTAAAATTTTACTGAAAAAGTTTAATAAACAGAGAAAGGGAGACAAGACATTTACAGTTAAGACCCAAGTAGAATTAACTAAGAGGAAGATCCATTAAAAAATAATAATGATACTGTGTTAGGATTATTGGAAAATTTAGATAAGCCTAATAACCAAAATTTTCATCATAAACATAACGATACCTAAACAAAACCTAAATCACTAAGTCCAGAGGCTAAGAAATACTTAGAAAGGAAAAAGAAAGCAATTGAAAATTTGAATGATCCAATTTAATCTGCAAAAGCAAAACAGTTAGTTACTGATTTAAAAAGGTAAAGAAAAGAAATTGAAAACAGAAAGAATAAACAATTGCATAATGAATCTGATTAATTAGAGGAAAGCATTGAGAAATATAAGATGGAATTAGAATAATAGAAGGAATTTCTTCATTAGGAGAAGCGGATGAAAATTAAAGAAAGATTATTAGAGATGTAGAAATAGCAAGAATTATAGTAATAAAGAAATTAGGAGTAGAAACATCTTCTTAATGAATTGAAAAATAAAGAGAAGGAGAAAAAAAAACAATTAGAAGAGAGAGAGGAACTCTTGAAAAAATAGTATTATGAAGATGCCAAGGTAATTTGTTATTTGTTTATTAAAGCTGAAACTGCAACAAAGGAAAAAATTAGCCATCCCTATCAGACTGGAAGAAATAAATAAACATGAAGAGGATTACTTGAATAAGAAACAGTTATTAAAATTGGAGAAGGATTAGAAGAAATTGGAAAGGGAGATTGTAATCCAATAAGAAACCAAGTAAATTTATAAAGCTAAATAAATTTTATAAAAAGTTATGGATTTGGATTCGAAATTCAAAAACAAAGATATTGTAGATAAATAATAAAAAGCTGAAAGACTAATGAGAAAGTAAAAATACGCAGAAATAGTTAAAGAGTATCATAAACCAAATATCAAGGTTTAAACAGATATTCAGTTTAGTAGAGCAGTACACAATAGGTCTGATAATTCACTTTAAGATGAATATGTTGAGTATGTAATTAAAACTATACATAGCTTTCTGAAAGAGGGGGATGCAAAATCAAGTGCCACAAAATTGGACTCAATTCGCAATAAATTCTATAAATAGGCACAATCAGGATCAGGTATTATTAAATGTAATAGTAGAAAGGAATGTACATAAAATCTAGAACGTTTTAAATGTATAAAAAGTAAGTAAAACAAAAGTGACAGAATCATTGTAAAAGGGATTTGTACCTAGTTCTTCAGTTTATTACCAACCTAAACCAATGAAGAGTGAGTTCTAGGAAGAACAATAGAAGAAGAAGCCAATAAACTATTTAAAAGAATTGGAATAGGAACGGATGAATCACTAAGGAAAGTTAGTAAGCAGCAGTGTTCCACGATTACAACAAGATTATCGATCAATTATGGAGAGGGGAAAAAGGTATGAAAAGGAGGCTTAGCGAAAAGAGCATTAAGCTTATTATTTGAATGATGAGAGACTAAAGGAGGAGGCAGACGACTTATTTTTGAAGAGTGTATAAGAAAAAATAAGATTTTTGGAGAAGATTTGATGAAATATTTTACAATTAGTTATAAACTTGAAAATAGTGAATTATTTATAAATTTAAATTGTTGTTCTCTAATAAAGATGATATATAATAATAATCAGTTGATTTAGTTTGTTATTGAGAAAGAATCGAAGTGGCAACTGAAATGATATTATTATAATTTATGGTAATTAGCAACCTAATTGAAATCATTAAATCAATCTGTTGCAATCATATCTCAAAAAATTATTATTAATAATATATATTATTTACTACAACAAATGGACCTTCCTTCTATTCCAATTTAAAAAATTTAATCATAATTAGGAGTTGATAATTTGGTATCATAATAACATATTTTCAATCCAAATACTTAGAATCAAGAAAGTGCAAAACAACCTAAGTATTTAATGTAATTATCAAAGGCGAAACTTCAATTTAAAAGTGGGGGATATTGTGTATTTCAAGTCTTATTTGACCGACGACTTTAAGGGAGTAATATCTGGCGATGGAATTGCGAGCAATAAGTTGGAGTGTATTTAGATTTTGGGCAAAAATCAATAATTGACCGATCAATCCAAAAAAAGCTTACAATAGAAGGTTGGCAGTTTGACTTTTCAGAAAAGCTTATTTTAGGTAATTACAGGCAAAAAATATCAATATTAAAACTTTCTAGTTCAAGAACGTTCAAAATCAATTGATGACATTAGAGAATAAGCAATAAGTGAGGAAATCGATTTAGAATAATGTCAATTAGATTATGAAAGAAGATTGAAAGAACTTGAAGATAAGGCAAACGAAGAAATTATAGAAAACAAACGTTTTTATGATCTTGCTTATGGATCCAATATTGTCTACGGATAAGAAATATAACTTAAACATATCTATTCTTCATGCATTCTGTCTTTTAATTGCGCTATATTGGCCAAAGAAAATTGCTGTAGAGAATTATCTTTGGAGGAAATTGCAAATGCAAATTCAAATTTTCGAATTTTATCGATGAATCAAGTCAAAAATCCTGGAGAACCTATTTTATATGGAGACTAAATAATAATCCAAAATTCAAGTTCGAATAAATGGTACCTGAATATTTAGAAACAAACGCAAAAATATGATAAAAAGGATGGGTTAGAAGTTAACTGTTCATAAGTTGGATTTCCTATTAAGATTGCAAGTTATATTGATAATAAAACTGAATAAGATTTGAAATAATAATCTCTAAAATAGAAATCACTTATGAGCGGAGATGTAGTAAAAATTAAAAATAGATATCTGGGTGGTTATCTCTCAATTAAAAGATAACTTAGAATAACTGAAGGACTAGATAAAAAAGAAGTATTTATTAAAAATTATGATACCAATATCTCATATTCAAAAGATTAATTTTATTTTAATGTAGAATTAGTTAGAAGTGAAAAAATAGAATACATGTATTAATTATGCGTTGATTCATCAGATGATGCAGAAGACAATTTAAATAATTTATGGCAAATTTAACATGTTGATAGTTTAACATTTTCAAAAGCAAATTACGACAGTGTTTTCTTAATAAGACATGTATGTACAGGGTTATTCTTGGAAATATCTCATCATGCTGCCAATTTAACATATGATGGATTAAGACAAGAGTGTTAATTTCATTTAAGATCCAAGAAATCATCAAATGACTCAATCTTATTCAGTGAAGCCTATAAATTATAATCTGTTATGAATGTGTAGATTGACAATTATGTTACATAAGAAAATTTGGTCTTAGTTTGTTTAGATGACAGAGTGACCGTATAAAGGAAGAGTTAAAAATAAAACATAGAAAGAGTAACATTTCTACTGAAGTTAGCCACTCCTGAGTAAGCTAAAACTGCATTTAGAATTAATTCTTTATAAGAATATTTAATTCAGTTCTATATATTTTTATAGGATTGGGGAATAATTAAGACATCAACTTAAGGGTTGGAGGATATTAGAACCTATGATTATTTTGAAGCATTCAATAATTAAAAGGTATTATACGATGAAATTTTGCAACTATTTCAAACTTTGGAAAATTTGAAAATGTATTTAACCAATGAGGGTTTAGCATAGACTAATGAATAACAGTAATTTAAATAGAAGGCTTTAATGGATAATGACATTATTAATTTACTATTTGCAATACAACGATTATGCAATTTTATGATATATGGTAGTTTGATCAATAGTAATTCATAAATCATTGATAAGACACCTTAAAAGATTGCTAAAATGAAACTTGATCCTGCTCCTTCATAATCATCAAAAATGAATTGTATATAAGAAATATACGATGTGTTAAGTCTGTGTGTTTAAAGAAATTCAGATACAAGTAATTATATATTGACCTTAATGATGAATAAGGAGAGTGTCTTAGACTTCTTATTGCAACAATTGAAATACTAAAGAAAACACATCTCGAACCTGATCAAGGAAAGCGTTAGGTATACAGATATGAGTGAGTCTAAGGATAATATTAAAAAATGGGTAAATCAATTGGAGAACTTATCTGAAGAAAATATTGAAGATTAAACTCTCTACATTGAAATATTATGTTTAATCATGATAGATCCATATGAGAATCCGAATTAACTATGTTAGAGTGCTTGCAGAAGATTATTATTTGGAACAAAAAACAAATAAGAATAATAATATCCTTTTCATAAAGCTTTAATTGCCTTAGATATATAAGAAGAGAATAATAATTATTATCCTATCGTTCAATTTTTTCCAAAAAGAGACAAAGGAATGTAGATGCAATTAGCTAATGAATTCGGTTAGAATAATTAGACCTTTTGTTAACTTTATCTAAGATTTATTGATAAATAGGCTAGACTTACTTAGAGATTTTAAAGCAAGAGGCCAACCTTAATAGATGTAGTCATTGATTTTTTTACTCTTGAAACACTCAAAGAAAACTAATTAGTAAAATAGGAAGATGTGAAATTAGTGGTTCCAATATTTTAGAAATACGAAAACTATTTAATGAATGTTATGAGTTTATATTCTTCATTGTGTAAGGGAAGGAATTAAAAGAATATCAAATGTCTAATGAAAAACTGCTTTTTAAATTAAAAATTTCTATAGATATGTTTAAAACGTTAATAGAATGTTAAGTCTGAACTTAGATTCGAAAAAACCTTAATTGAGTTATTTTGCAATTTATTCTTAGATATTGATCCATTAATCAAGATTTCCTAAAATTATGATCCATTTTATGCCAATAATCAAACAAATACAATAAAATGTTATTTAAGTGACGACATTGAATAATTCAACATCTAGAATCCTTCAGGACTTTACTTTTATGAGAATAACGCATCAAAGTCTTTAAAAAGAAGTGATGAATATTAAAGTTTTCTTCACCAAAAAGAAACTAAGGCTGAACATTAATAACTTAAACTATATGCTGCCAAAATGTTATAAAGATCGTAAGTGAATGATGTTCGTTTGTATTATTTAGAAATGTTTACAAAAGAAGAATATCCTGAACATCTCTTACAAGAGGCAAGCTATGATATCTTCTAATCTAAAAAAGCAAGTCTTAATAAATAAAAATATGATTACTCACGCCTTGCTTATTTATAATTGCATTATTTTTTAGGATTGTTGACAATAGTCAAAAACAGCATCAATTTGGGATATAATCAATTGGATGAAAACTAGAGAATATTTTCAGTATTTCCTAACATATTTGTTGCTTTAATTATATAATAGATTCCTGATTTGAGAATTCATAAATTTTCAGAAAATGAACCATTCCAATAAAACTTGAATAACTTAATACAATCAGTCAATGATAACATTTGGGTAGTAACATTTCTCCCCACAGCTGAGCAATTGTCTGAGAAAAAAAAGTCTAAACATAAAGATTTTAAGCGAATGGATCTTAATTCAAGGCTATACAACTAATTTTAAAGAAATTGGATTCTCTATATGTTGATATGGACACATTAACATTGCAATGATGAAATTTTAAAAACACAAGTATATTTGGAATCCTTAGCCATTTTAAAAATATTTGAACAATTAAAATTAAATCTTTAAATCCTAGAATTTTTATTTAGTTCCTCTTAATAAAATGAATCAAATCCAAGTTCTCCAAGTCAAAGAGATCTAGATTAATTTGTATATGATGAAGTTATCAATCAAGAAGTGGAGATTAAAAAATAAAAAACTCCTGCATCCAAATCCATTTATAGTGTTTTCAAGGAACCTGATGGAAATAGCATTTGTGGATTATTATTTACTTGTTTATTAGTATCAGGAAAGAGAACTAAATTAAATGAAGAATTGTTACAAAGAATCATCCAAAGTTTCCATTAACCAAAATATTCAATCAAAGAAATCAAACAGGTGGAAATTATTGATAATCCATAAGAATTAAGATATTTTTCAATCATTAATGGAAATTCTAATAGTGTTTAATTGATAAGTCCAAAGGAAGCAATCTAATTATCAAAGAGAGCATTGAAATTCATAACAAGTTAAAAAGAAAACAATGTAATTCATAAACGAGCTGTATCTTTTGATTAATTAAAAGCATACTCATCCAAAATAATTGAATAATTTGAAATGTTTTTTAAACCCAACTCTTAAGATTTGTAGTATTTGAAGTCATTTTAAAACATATTAAGAAATGCTAGTGTGCATCTTGTATTTTTGAAATTTTTAGTAGATCCTGAAACAATAAATTGCTCAAATGACATAGTTTTGTTTTATAAAAGACTTGTTCTAATTTTGGAATACTTTATAATAGATAACTAGATTAACATTTCCATCTTAGGCGATAATGAGTATTTGTTAAAAATTCTGGATGTTATTTAAATACAGTAACCATAGGCATAAGATAAATTTTATATTCCTATTAAAGTTACAAAACTGGCAATCAAACTGATTTCTTCAATTCCAGAAAATCAGCATGATAACTTGATTAACAAAATATTTGATCGTATTTAAAAGATAGGAGAGCAATTGATGCAAAGTCAAGAATTTTACTTAAAGGCATACAGCATAAGAGATGAAGAGGAAGAGATTAAATACGTCCAAAGAAGTACTCATATAAATGCTATTGCTTATTACACTTTGATTTAGTATTTCAAGATTTTGAGGTCTCTAACAAAATCCTTTGATAAACCTGCCAAATAGGCACCTTTGAATAAACATTTGATATTATCTAAGATTTTAAAAAATAAATTCCTAAGGATAGTCTTAGATCCAATCAATTATTATAAGGCTATTCTTGTCCCAGAATTAGATTCTGGTGAAGAAGAAGTGTAAGATCCCTTGCTTTATCATAGAATGAAATTACATTCAGAATTAATAGTCTTGTTAACTGAATGTTGTCAGTTTTATAGATTAGGAATTTAAGAAATGTAAAGAATATTATTGTATGAATAATTAAAGACCATTTTATTGGCTCCGACTGGAGAGTACATTGTTAAAAGGGCTTATTTGCAATGCTTATTTGAATTATATATCAATTAAGTCAAGGAAGGGTAATATGCAAATGATACAGTTGAAAGTGATGAAGTACGAGATATATTGTCTAGAGTAATAATACCAGAATTAGATTAGAAATAAATCTGCAAATATTTGGAGGGACTATCTAAATTAGCTAATCAGGATAGAAATATGAAGGTTATTCAAAAAGATTTGAGAGACTCTATTAAGAGGTAGAAATTAACATATTTTGAGAAAAAACTGTCTTTTGATTCAGAATTTGTAAAAGAATTGGGAATATTAAGAGATGTAAGTGAATATTGGAAGTATTTGAGAAAAAATGGAATAATACATTTTCTAGTTTACACTTATGATGAGATGAAGGATAGAACTGATCTTGAAAATCCAGAGAATTCAAATTTATCTGATGAATTTGCAATCATTAAACAGAATGTTTAAAAAGTTAAAGAGATTTTTAATGTTTTAGAGAGAGATTTTAGAGTGAAGAAGGAAGATTTAGATTTGGATGATTATAGAGAATTGATAACTTCAATTGAAGAGATAATACCATAAAGAAAAATTACTAAATTTGGTTAGAACTTTAGAATAGGATTTCAATAAGATAAAACAGCTAATAAATTAGTATTTGATTAGTTTGATACTTTGAAAGATGATTAAACTGGAGAAAAAAAGTTGCAAGAACAAGAAAATGTCCAGAGAATTGAAAATCCTTTTAGGAGAAATTTCAAAGTGTATCTCATTAGATATAGATTGAATATTAATGAGTTTAATGAGTATATAGAAAGGAATTCAACTGAATAAGAAAGATCTTAGACAATACTTCTTACCTGCAACAATTATAAAAATTATATCTAATAAAGTGATATAGATGAAATCTATAGAGTGAATGTAGAGTAAATAAAGAGATAAGAATAAGTAAACAATAGAAATAAACCTCTATAAGATTGGGATTTATTCAAATAAGCCATGAGAGACTTATTTGAAATTAAAACTGTTTAGGTTGTAATAAATTAGTAAGTACAAACTTATCAAAGATAACAAGAAGGCTTAGAAAATCTTAAGGAGGAGTTTTAAATTACTTGTTGTAGATAAATTGGAAAATAATATAAGAAATTTGAAGGTTAATTAGAGGGAAATTAGGATTTACTTTCAGATGATATATAGATTGAATTGTTAATAAAGACCTTAGAAAAGCAGAACACAAACTTATTAAATGAGGATAATGTCTAAGAATTTTTGTAGAAGTGCATAGGAATATTTTTAAATAGAGAATTCTATCTAATAAAGTTATGCAAAATATTTTTGTTTCTAAAAAGACCAACATAAGATGACATAGATTCACTTACAGAAGCTAAGGATGAAAAGTCAAAAGAATTGATCAGATAAAAGTAATAGATATTCATTAAATATCAAAATGCTATAGTGGACAGCGATTTGGACATATTGGCTTTAGAGATGTTGAATGACTCTGTTGACGATGTACAAAAGATAGAGGCTTTGCAGTTGTTAATTTATTTATTGGATTATGGAAATGACTACGTATAGAAGAAGTTTTATAATATACTTAAGTAAGATCAGGTAATTAAATAAAAATTCTTTGTTTTCCTTCGAGGGTTCTTCTTGACTGATATTAATTCTAGAATTTTAGAATTGGAATTATGTGAAGGCAATAACACTGAATATAAAATACTTTGTTTGAAAGTGCTAAAACTATTGTAGGCTATGTGCGAAAATGTCAATGTTGATTTCCAGAAGTTTTTAGTTAGATAATATGATGATGACTCATATCAAGCCAATATTAACATTGTTAACGAAGTTGCAAGTTTATTAGCAGATTTATTGGAAAAGGGATAGAGCGTATTTGATAAGTTACAGGAAATCTACAGATAAGCCTTGGAGAGTTTAGTTGAATTTTCTACAGGATTTGAAGAAAACAAAAAAGAATTATGCAAAAACACGCGATTGTTTACATTACTGAATTAGATTTTATAGAAAGATGATTTGGTTTCATTTAGATAGTTGCATCAGGAAAATAGAAATATTATAAAAGAAAATTTATTGAAATCATAGAATCAGGAAGAGGATCTTATTATAGATTTAAATAAGAATTAGGCAGATGAAGAGAGAAAATATAATTCATATCAGACACTTCAATCATTTATTAAATTATTGTTATTGATTACACAAGGGAAATTCGATAGGCAATGTTTGAAATTTGTATTAGAAACTGTAAACATCACAATACTGATGAGAATTGCAAGATCAATATATCAGGAACGTATTAAACCAAAATAGAGAAATATCATTTTAGATAACATTTGTGATGAATCCAAAACTGGTTAACATCAATATTGTACAAATAACTTATGCCATTTTGGATTAAGAACGGATGAGGACAATCTACTTATTTAAACTGGATTTAATATTTTCATCATTTGCCTAAAATTATCAGAACATTTTCCAACTGACTCTTAATTAGAAATATTTAGATTTGACGAAGAAGATGAGGATTAAGAAGATTTTATCGATTTAAGTGATCCATAATAAGAGGAATAACAAAAAAAGAATACATAACATTAATAAAAAGTTGTGCCCATTTTTATCAAAAGTAAGAACTCTGGATAAGAAGAAGAAAATGCTCTACTAAGTAATAATTTAAGATAAACTCAACAAAATGAGTTTAAATTAATATATGATGATATTCAAAATGATGAAAATTATAAATTTACTAGAAAACAACCCTTCTTTAAATTTTATAGGTAATTTACAGGAAGGATTGAAATCTAAAATGAATAATCTTAACTTGAAAAGATATTCTTCTAAAAACCATTTGCTTGCAACTTTGTCACTCCTAACATTAAACAGCATTTAATTTATGAGATCAATCGAGAAACTGATGAAGATAGAATGTAAGGATTAATAGATTAAGCTGATTTTTATCATGTCTAAATGAGACATTCCTAATAAATTAACAATAGTTTTATAATGCATTTTGGAGCAGTCTATTGGAGATTATTAAAGGACTTATCTTTTATTCTATGTTTGGTAATTGTCATTCTCTTGATTTTTATGCATGACATAGTGGTCAATAGTAAAATAGGTTCTAATCAAGAAGCACCTGAATCCGAAACAAAATCTCAAGGATAGAATTTCGTAAGTTATCTTAATAATGTAATATATGTATTTATTACTTTAGATTATAACCATCATCTAATTAGTATTGAATCTAATCATAGTATTCTTTTGCGCAATAGAAAGATACCCAATATCAATTACATATAATAGAGGTGAAACTAATGCAAAAAGAGTTCAGATCTTAAAAAAAGAAGCTGGATTCTCAATAGCATGGTTAACAATGAAGTATTACACTATTATTGGATATTTTGAATCTGAATTTTAAGGATAGAAAGTTAATGAAAGTACATTAAAGAAGCTTATTCTCGTTACATTTTTTGATTTTGATAACTTTTACAATGTAAATGTATTTTATAATTTAGATTTGCATTTTCGGATTGACAGTGTATGCATTCTTTAATCCATATATTTATGCTGTGCTACTGTTAGATATCATTAAGAGATCTGAAGATCTTCAGAACATCATAAAATCAATCACATCTAATGGACGTAATTTAGCTATTTTCTCTTTTCTTGGCTTTATCGGATTATTAATTTATGCTATAATTGCATTCTCAAACTTTGATTGGATGTTTAATGACGAGGACGGTGTTTATGGTTAAACATTCATCTTAGCTGTCACATCCACCATAAATTTTGGTCTACGTAGTGGTTTGGGAGATTCAATGAAAACATATCCTGAACCTTACGAAGATCCAACTTTATATTGGGGAAGGTACTTTTTTGACTTCTCGTTTTTCATTATTTTTAATATTTTGTTTATCTAAATAATCTTTGGTATTATTTTAGATACTTTTGGTGAATTGAGAGATGAAAGATAGGCTTTGGTGAAGGAAATCGAAGGAAAATGTTTTGTTTGCAGTCTAGATAAAAATGATATTGATACCAAGTAATATAGAATTCTATACATTTAGTGGCACAAGGGGATGGCATTATCATATATATTTAGAACACAGTGTATATCATATGCTCTACTATATCATCTATATAAAGAATAAAGATCCGAATGATTGTAATGCTTTGGAGAAGTACGTGAACAAGTGTATAGAAGGGAAGGAAACTGCTTTTTTTCCATTTGGGAGAGCTCTATAAATAGAGGATTAGAATAATGAGGAAGAAGAAACTGATGAGCAAAGCGAATCCTGATATTAAAATCGTATTCATTTATATTATCCTAAAACATAAAAATATTATTTAGAACTCTACTCTATTTAGGTGCGATCTTTAGATAGCTAATTATCAAATGTAATCTTCTCGCAAAATCAGTAATTTTCAATTTTGATTTATTTCAATGTATACATCATCGGTTTGATGTTACTTTGAAATATATTCAATAAGGAGCTATTTAACATAATAAGTAAATTTGAATTAGATGAAATATTTATTTATTAAATTTTATTATCGAAAAATGAATTCGCCTAGCATTCCCAACAAAATAATTAATAATTAATTTGTTCTGAAGAAAAAATTATCGGCTGGATCATATGGAGTTGTTTTTGAAGCTGAAGATTTATTAAAAAAATAATTAGTGGCTGTTAAAATAGAGAAAAAAGAAAAGAATTCAACACTTGACCGTGAAATACATATTCTCACTAGATTGTTAGGCACACAAGGTGTTCCAAAGCTAATTTGGAGTGGAATAGATAACAATTCCAACATACTCGTTTAACAATTGCTGACAAAGGATATTGGGGCATATTTAAAAGAATATCGAAAATTTTCATTAAAAACTGTTTTAATTATAACTGATTACCTATTACAAGGGATAAGAAGAATTCATAATAAATCTGTTGTCCATAGAGATTTAAAACCAGAAAACATTATGTATCATTAAAAACAAATCTACATTGTTGACTATGGTATCAGCAAGTTATATCGAGATAATAACTTAAAACATGTGTATAAATAGTAGATTAATATTTAAATAGTCCATTTAAAGAAAGTCGATCATTTGTAGGAACCACAAGATATGCTTCAATAGCTGCTCATAAAGGTCAGGAACTAGGAAGAAAAGATGATCTTGAATCTTTGATATATATAGATATTCTATTATTAAAAGGGTATTATGAGCATATTAAGTTAGAACAAAGAATTTTACCATGGTAGAACATGCTAGGTTAAAATAACAAGGAAAGATAGAAATAAGTTGGAGAAAAGAAGATGAAAATGACTCCAGCAGAAATCTGTGTTGATCTACCCATTGAATTTTCGAAAGCCTTAGAGTAATAATAAAATTAATGTTATAGATATATAAGATCATTGAAGTATCAAAGTGACCCAGATTACGATTACTTAATTTAACTCTTTAGAAAGTTAGCTTAATCTCGAAAAATTGAATATGATGATGTGTATGACTGGACTTCATAATCGAATTAGTCTTCATCAAATAATTAAAAATAGGAAACTACAATCAAATAAATATCCTCTTTGCAATAATTCGAAAGATCTCCAATAACTATGCAAAATAAGTGGTAATTCTTTCTGCTCTATTATAGCTAATCACTAAAAGTGCCTTCAACACTTGATGTTTTATAAGATAGAAAAAGATCACTTTAGAACACATCCTATTTATAGTAAGTATAAGATGAATTAGATAAATCCATCTAAAATACTTACATGCTTAGCTAAGTTGCAAATGATTATGATTCGAAACAGGATTATGTTTCTGAAGATGATATTAATGATACGCTTTTCTTAAGATACAATTAGTTAAAATCTTAAATCTTATAAATGTATCTCTTAATTCCTTATTTAGACATCACACGAAGAAAAATTTAGAATCAAAATTAGTATGAGATGAAGTTATGATATTTTCAAATATACTTAATAAATTCTGAATATTAATGATAATTTTTTCATATAACAGATTATTAAGAGGCTTATTATATGTTATTTAATAAACCTTATAATTATTAATAAACCAACCAAAAAGTGGCAGATCTATGAATTGTAAATTTCTATTAAGAGAAATATAAATATATTACTTCTATGAGAAGAATAATAATTTCGGTTTAATATAGTTTTTTACAATACTTATGTAACCAATAATTTACATTATTTATAGAAATAATTTTATTATTGAATATAAAATATTATTTTCTTACAAGAGAATGTTCAGAAATGAGAATAATTAAAAAAGATTAAATTTCATAGTCTCAATTATATACTTTCTCATTTTCCATAATGGCTTAATATATAAATTGAAATATGTAACATTAACAATGTTGATGACTCAAAATTATATATAAAAACCAATTATTTATTTAGATTTAAACGATTATTCTTCTACTGTTATTCATAAATTGTATTCAACACTAAATTCAATCAGTTTTATTAGTTTATTATGTTCTGATTTTACTTACTAATATTTTATAAAAATTACCCTAGTACTTTAGGATAATACAAATGTTAAATAAGTTAACCCTTAGCTTCAAGTCAGAGACAATAGAATAAGAATTCAGAGAAAACCAATAATAAAAAATAAAAGAAGAGTTTAAATTATTCACTATATAATGTTTGGTATAAATAACATGCTAATGAAGTTGTACTTCCCTTTTTATGTATTGACCTACTTTTAATCATAATACTTTAATTTGGCTAGTGTTTTGATAATTTTTATAATCACTGGGGTGGTTGTATTGTTTAAATTGATAATTGACAATTTTCCAAATTGGATCAATATAATATTGCCTATTTTATAAATTTTGTTTGCTCTCATATGGAGTGCGGATAATTTATAGTCAGAATAATACATAACAAAATACTCTTGGTTTTATGGATTTTAATCTTTTTATTTTCATTATGGTACTTAATTTATATACAATAGCCATTATGTAGCAAGGATATTAAATTTTACCTTAGACTCTAAGCTTGTTAGGATTATATGTGTATTTCCTAATCTTGTTTGCTAATGATACCTTGGAATTTATAGCATTAAGTCTGACATAGATTAGCGTGATTATAGGTCTTATATTTTTAAAATATACAAATTTAAAGCTTAAGAGATCGCAATTTATTGATCATAGAGAAAGAAACAAATGGATAAAAATTATAGAATAGATAGTAGATTATCAATTGATTGTGGTTTAATTTGATAAAAGACAAGATCAAATCATAATGAAATAAATTAATGATGAAACCAAAGAGAAATTTTAGATTAAAGACAATCAAGATCTAAGAAAAATTTTAAGAGATGTTTAAATATTCTTATAACTCTAGATGTAAATTATTACTAGTGGAACTTCTCAAAGCAAACCGAGAAAAGAATCCTTAGAAAAGGCTATTCGAGATTAATTTTGCCATAACTATTAGCAACTAGTACCATCCTACGACGTTATTTCCAATATTTTGAAATAGGAATTCAGAGTTAAATTAATTCAATATATACTTTAAGAAGTTTAATGTGTTATCCTAGCTTTCGATTGTTAGTCAAGATAGGAGATAAAATCAACATTATTGAATCAAAAACTGTCCGAAAATATATTTCTTCAATACTCTTCAAACGTACTCTCTAGCATATGTAATTATCATAATAAGTTGGGTATATTACAATAAATAGTTAATTTACAATTTTATCGTATATGGGTGGATAATAAAAGGTTGATTACTTAAAAAACTCAAATAAAGCTTCCGTCTCTAATTTCATAATTGTAAAATACATTATAAAGAAAGATTAAATTAAAATAGAGTTTTGAATTTAATGATTCTTTTTCTTTAAATTTTAATGCATTATAAATGGTTCTAGTTGGATTAACATAATTTGTTGATCATAACTTTTAGGTGGCAATTAAATTGAATAATCAAATTCTTTTTAATCATCTAACATTTAAGATTGAAACTAAAAAGACATTAGTTCCAATTTAAACTTGCAGCTTAATATAAAGAATGTTAGATTTTGATGATAACAATTGGATCAAAAATAAATAAAAAATTACTGAATGTATCAAAATTTTATCAGACAAAAAACAATCAAATCAAGATGTGTTTTTGTTCCCTTTCATTATGTGCTCATATTTTTTGAATTCATCTTTTAATTAAAGTAAATTGCGATTTTCAAGAAAAAAAGATCAAAGATAAAAAGTCACTTTCGAAATAATCATATGATTGAATGATTAGTCTTATTTTCTAAAACTCTATATTTAAATAAAAAATAATAAAAGTTCAATTTATTCTAAAATAAATTATGATTCAAATAATAAAGATATGATTAAGTTTGTAATTAATAGTCTTTTTGAAATAATAATTATTTCTTTTTGTTATGCATTTTATATCCGCTAAACAATCATTCTCAAGGGAACAACAAATGAGTCTTCAATTAAGAATGAGTGTTCTTAAGTAAATAATAATAATTATTATATAAATTTTGATAAAATATGAGCTAACTAAATTTAATTGATCTATAAGATTAGATATTCGCTTTAATAGTGTTAACAATCTCCAGATATTTACTTAATTGCACTCAGATATCAACTTATAATATTAAATCATGAAAAAACATTAAATGGACAATATAATAGATATTTTTTCGAAATCACTAGAAAACCTTATCGCTCTAATTTGATTATTTAAAAAATATATGTTTAAAGAATCATTAAATGGGAATGATATTAGGTCAGAATTCAAATATTGTGTACATTTTTGGAATTTTATTATAATTTTATTTAATAAAAGTAAAAGAACGATATTAGAAATACGTATTAGTACAAATTTGAATACAATATATTGTCATTTGATTTCAGCTGTCTTAGTTTTTCTCAGAGTCAGCAATTATTCTTCCATAACTATTTGAGGAATTTGAGATCTTCTTCTATTTTTATCAACTTAAATAAATTGATCTACAACTCTAAATTAAACCCAAGCTTTTCCTTGCATCAATTCATCCAGCTACATTCAAACACATGTTATACTTCTTCATTAATTTCTTATTCAGTATATCCAGTTTTCTTGACGATTTTCCAAAAAGTCAACCACTCTTAAATCGTGATATCCCCAGAATTATCGAAATCGACGGCTTTGAATAGAGCATCTGTATTGATTTTAGCAAAGTTAGACTACCTAAAGAAAGGGATAAAGAGAATAAATACCAAAACTATTGAGTTGTTTTCTTGTCAATAACTCCTTTATTCTCTTTATCAATTTTTTAGAATATTTGAACAGCTTTTAGTCTTAGAGATGCTGATAAATCAGTTCCATGATGCATAGATGAACAAAGTCCCATATAATTTTTAATTTATATAATAAGTAATATTTTATATATTGAAAGCTATAAATTGATGATTATTCAAATTGAACTAACTTTTCATGAATTTTATTCAACTTAATTTTTTGAATCATTGAATGATATTTGATTTTCAAAAAAATAACTTTTGAAATCATTATCAATATTTATATAAAATATACATTATTAAATATCCACTCCTAAAATTCAATAAATTTATTAGAATATAATTGCATTAAAGATATATTTATATCTAGTATATATTAATCTTACTAAAATATGATGATATTAATGAGAATCAATTTAAAGTGTATATAACTTAAATAGGTTTTATAACACAATAATCATTATTTGAATATTTAAGAATTCGCATATGTAAATTTCTCAAATGTATCTGCTTTTAATGTATCAATAGGAGTGTCTGTTATCTCCTCCTCTGTAAATACAGGATCTATATTTTATAAATCCAGCTCATCTTTAAGTTTAGGAATAAATTATGGTTTGACCTTTTTGTGATATACGTCTTCCCAAGATAACGAATTGAAGAAAGGGTGGGCTTTGATCTATTAAATAGTAATTCTTTTGGTGGGTTCATTTATCAATAATTCAGCAAGCAAATTAGAGGCTTCTTGAGAGAACCATGGTTTCATATCAATTTATTTTTCAAGTCTATTTCTAAACATCATGCCCTTGTCATTAGAGTAGAATGGAGGAGCTCCAGCAATCATTTCATACATGAGTGCACCAAGACTCCACCAATCTGCTGATTAATCATGTCCTTAGCCTAACAAAATCTCAGGTGCTAAATATTCAGGAGTGCCACAGAATGTATAAGTTCTTTCTCCTTCTTTTAAATTGGTTCTCGACAAACCAAAATCCGTCAATTTCAGATGACCATCAGCTCCTATCAAAATATTTTCTGGCTTCAAATCTCTATAAATGATTCCTTTTTAATGAAGATAATCGAGTGCCAAGATTAATTCTGCAGCATATAATTTCATTCTTTCTTCTGGAAACTTTTTGGATTTTCTAAGATGGTAGAATAGTTCACCTATAATGAAATATGGGAATTACCTCCAGCAAGAAAATCTGTAACTAAATATAGTTTTTCAGGAGTTTAGAATGCAAAATGCAATTGGACTATGAAAGGATGTTAAGCAACTTCCAGAATTTATCGTTCATTCATTGTGTGCACTTATTGTCCTTTTTATTATATGACATCCTTTCTGAGTATTTTCATAGCATAATATCGTTTAGTCATTTTATGTTAAACCAACATGACTTTGCCAAACGATCCTCTGCCTACAACCTTTTTAGATAAATCATTAATAAACCTTTGTAAATATAAAATCTTCTAAGCATACCATGTTCAATTGATCATTGAGTTTGATTTGTCTTGCATCTAGGGGAAGTCTGTTGCTGCAATCAGTTTTTGAATCTTCAACTAAAGTGCCATCTTCCTTTTGAGGACAAATGCCCATAATAGAAAATATATTCAAATAAATAAATGGGAATAATGTTAAAATATAGCATATAATTATCTTTACATACAGGCACCATTCTTCCTATAATGCATATCTTCCCTATGCTAATGATTTAGTATGACTTTGTTTCTTAATCCGAATTTTTGGGTTCTATTTGTATTCCTTAATTGTTCGCGTAATTTGGCATTAATGTCTTCAGGAATATATGGATACCTAAGACGATTGCTCACTTAGACCTCATAAGGCAATTTATAAATTGTGTTATCTGTTAAATCATAATTCCTCCTCTCCTTGGAATATGATGACAAAGAAGAACTCACAACTCTGAATCCATCTGCTCTTTTACCATTTTAAGATTTGACTAATTTTTAATGCTTAGGAGTATTAATTTGGTGTTAGAATTCGTCATTCTTCTACAACAGGATTTCTACTTGTTCTGTAACTGTATAGACAACTTGTTTTTTAACTTATACTCCTCTTATTGAGTTTGGATTGCTGCTTAGCAACTCATTTCTACTCAGAACAGGTAAATTCATGTAGTTTAATAGTTATGGACAGAGTGTTTTAATATCTACATTGTTCTTTTTCATTTGATCTCTCAATGATTCGCAGCTAAACTATTTTATGGGGGATTCATCAGACTCCAAAATGCCTAACAATCCTCTCTCATGGAAATAATACTGTTCCTCACTTTAACCTAAGTAGTAATAATTTAAAGCAAATTTTTCATAGATTTGCAATTCATATTCCTTACTCAACCAAGCGTATTACAAGGCTTTTTTCAATAAGATTAAAGCCTCACTATTCAATTTTACTTCAGTTGCACAATTAGCCAACCCAATCAAGGCTTTGGCTTTTTCAGCATGATTCTTTGTGAGTGTATTAAATATTCTCTCAAATTATAAAAGTTCATTACGTATTAATTATAATAGTAACAAGCATTATTATAATCTTTTATTTTAAGAAGGATGTCTGCTGTCATACAAACAATGGCTCCCAATTATTACAAGTTTCCACTGTCCACGATGTAACTCAATTAGATTTTGAATTCTAATTATATATCAGATGATGTTACAATTCATATAAAGTTCTGATTGTCTCCACGTCAATTATTCTATTATTGGTTTTGTAAACAATAAAATAATATTAACATTCTGATGCAGGTTTGAAGTTATTTGGATACTTTTGCGTTATTCTTTTTATTTCTCTGAAACTTCCCTTTAAATTGGATTTGTTTGACTAATATCTAATTATTTGTATTGTATCGAACGAGATCTCAATTTATTTTATGTGAAACTGAAGCTCGTGCATTTAGTTGTTAGAAAAGAATCTCCATTCATAATAATTTATTACACAAAATAATGGAATTTTATAATTATTGATTCTTTCTTCTTTGAAAATTAATTAACTATAATCTGATTGAAACTACAAATCATAAATAATCATCGAATTGTTACATTAAATTCTTTCGAATTCTAATAATTATCAAGTAACCACTATGTTAAATAAATAAAAATGAGCCAATTCTACAATGTTCTGAAATTAATAGTGTGATACAATAAATATAATACACTAATAGTTTGAAATAACACTTATAAGAACGTTAAAAAATTATTAAATATGAATTAATATGATCGAATTAGACCTATTGTATTTTAAAAGGCTTCAGAAGTTAACTATATTAGATCTAATTCGTCGGCTGTTCGATCATCTCCACTCAGATAAAAATTGGATCAATCTTTCGATTTGTAAGCAGATTCAACCAAAAATCAAACTAACACAACATTGAAAGACATCAGTAATTATAAAAAGCTGTATGTGAGTGAATCATGTTAAAATAACAGTAAAGAAAACCAGCTCTCTGGCAAAAATTTCTCCTTCCGATTGGAAGAAACCTCTTTTTTGAAATAACGAATTAAACAACTTGAAACTCTTAATACAAACCACATCTCTGAAAATAAAAAGTTGGCCCATGTTTTAGACTAATAAATACAATAACATTAATAACTTTAAGAATAATATTAATAGAAAAATTAAATAATAAGAAAAATAGAAGATGTATAAAAAGCAAACAAATACTAATTAACAAGTAACACAGAGCTCAAACAACTAAATGAACAATTAGTTATGTCCAAGTAGGTTATTAGTAATTTAGAGGAGAAAATGCAACTTATTCTACAGGATAATCAAAAATTGAGTTAAGAAAATGACAGATTTCAGTTCCAGGATCAACAGTTAAAAATCTAATTAGATAAGTATAAGAGCAGGTGCTCAATTTTAGAGACCAAATTGAAATAAACACAGTAATATAAAATAATATTGTAGAGATGAATCATAATGTTTAGAATTACAGCGAAAAATTAAAAAATAGAATGAAGATATTGAGTTATTGTAAAGGGAGAACAATGCTATGAAAGAATAATTGAATTAAAATAATAATATTATTTAACTTCAAGAGAAAGACAAATAACCATCTCAAAATGTGTAATATTGATTATTAGATTATAGAGACAAATATAGGGAAACGATTTAAGAATTAGATTGCGAAAATAAATATTTATTAAAAGTAATAGAGATCGATTAGTAGAAGATGAAGAACCTAGAAGAGAAGCTGAATTTATTGACAAAGGAAAATCAGAGATTGACAGATATAGTAAAGAATCGTCACAAATAATGACATCTAATTCTTACTTTTATTGTTATTTTTTATTTAAAATTGCTTAAAATTGATATACGATTGTAAAATCAATATCTGTAAACTGAACCATAGCCAAATGTTGGAGCTGCATAGCTGTAGGTTGGAGCATAACCATAACCATAACCATAGGTTGGTGCAACAACGCTTGTTCTAACAGGAGCTACTGGAGCAACATAGCTGTAAGAAAGAGGTGATGCATAGGAAACTGGAGCAGGAGGGGCTCTTCTGACCTATTAAATTATTGAATAAATCAAATACTTCTCTTTCATATTCTAAATAATCCACTCTTGGGACATTCTTCTCAACAGGAACATAATCGATTTATTTCTCATAAGACACTTATGGGACATATTCCTTTTGATATTCAACAGGGTAGTAATCTGTAACCCACTTCTATCTTGGTACCTAATGTTTTTTGCAATCTTCATACCTAAACAGTTCTGACTTCCTCTTCCAATTCAACAACTGGCTTTTGATATGGGACATATTCAACTCTGGATTCTCCTCTGATTGGTGAATATTGAGGTGCTGCATAGGAAACTGGTGCGGCGTATGAGATTGGAGCAGCATAGGAAACTGGAGCGGCATAAGACACTGGAGCAGCATATCCAACTAAAGGTTATTTGAATCATTTCTAACCTGGCAATGGTCTTGCTATTGAAGTTGCTAAGGGAGAAGCATAGGAGACACCTAATGGAGCATATGAGTACATCTTGTTATAATTATTAAAGTAAATAAAATTTATTGTTGTTTAATTTATATGCCAAAATAATACTACGAATATTTAATTATGTTTTATATAAAAAGTGTCGAAACAATAGTAATTATAATAACAATTATAAGAAAAGAGAATTAAATTTTGTTTTAATTAATAATTTTATTGAAGTTGGTTTCCTCAATTTTACGATATTTATTAGGTAGCTTTTCGAATTATATAATATAGAACTTGCGTGACTTATTATAACAAAAAATGTTATTTAAAAATCATTATATTTATAATAATCAATTTTACAATAATGTCTGAATATTTTAGAAAGTATATTAAAAAGGAACATTATCCAAATCATTAGTAATTATAAAGATATATGCTTTTAGTTCAAATTTAAAATTTAAAACTTCATTTAGAAACTGCATTTTAGAGGTAAGCATAACAAATAATGAAAGGCTTTAAAAAGAAGGTAATGGAAAGAAGTAGAAGGAGATGATTGGGATATAATGTGGGCTGAAAAAGAATGGATTCATGAGGTTATGGATCACACTCATTTGCAGCCTAATCAAAAAATTAATCATTTTAGAAATCATTACGAAGTATTTTTGACAACCCTATAAATAGTTAACGAGAAAAGATTTGATGATCAAGAACTTAAAAAGATATAAGAAAAATTTAGAAAGGGAAGGGAAAGCTGAGGAAGCTAATAAGTAATCTAGTTAATTTACATCTTCAGTTATAATTTCTTTCCTTAAACCTTTCATCTTCCTAGCGAGTATCCAATATTTTGCGAAGAGTTCAAACGACAATCCTAGAATGGTGAATCCAAAACTCCCTGGATTATGAAACCTGTATTTAAAAAATTAAAATTAGATTGGTAAATCTTAGGGCAAAGGAATATTTATTTTCAATAAAATACAATCCATATCTCAGTGGAAAAACACACTTCGTTTTAATTAAGAAGCATAATAAGCTGAGGCTTATATAGTTTAAAAATATATAGCAGATCCTCTCTTGATAGGAGGTAAAAAATTCGATATGAGAATATATTTACTATGTACATCTTACTAGCCTTTAACATTATATCTATATAGAACTGGCTTCGCTAGATTTACTCATCATCGTTATGATAATGAGGACATCTCCAACACATGTAAAGATCAAATCATTATTCATAGATGTTCATTTGACTAATGTAGCCATCTAAAAAACATCTGACAATTATGATGAGAAACTAGGAGGTAAGTGGAACTTACAAACTCTTAAATTATTTTTAATGACTAAATTTGGATAGGAGAAAGTTGCTGAAACGTTTTATAATATTTAGATGTTAATGATTAGGTCATTACAAGCTGTATAAAAAATTATAATTAATGATAAACATTGTTTTGAACTGTATGGATTTGATATTTTACTTGATGCCACACTAAAGCCTTGGCTTTTGGAGGTCAATGCAAGGTATGTAGATAATTTATAGAATATAGTCCATCAATGACATCTAATACTCCTATTGATTTTGAATTGAAATGTGGACTTTTAGATGATGTTTTTACTATTATTGACTTGGAAAAGGTATTGACTGGAAATGAAGAACAAATTGGAGGCTTTGATTTAGTCTGTAGAGGAACCCCTATTAAATTACCAATTAATAGCACTTTTACCACATATTTAGGTTCCTTTAATAACAGATAGTAATAATTAAAGAAAATCGCCAAATCTACAGCCATTAGATTAGCATAAATATATTAGGAAACTCAAACAAAAGCCATTGATAATGGTTAGAAAAGTTAAAAGGAAAAAGATGATAAAGAAAAACAGTAGAGAAGTACATCAAAAGGGCCTTAAACCATACAAGTAAATTGAAATAATTACATTAGAATGGAATTAATAATAAATTAGGAATGCAACCTAAATAAAATTCGATGATAAAAAGAAATGGCACTAATTTGCCTGCCCTTGGTGCTGTCTAGAATAAGAACACTGTCAAAAGATAACCGTTATAGAATGCCGTTTAACTTTAACCGACTTAGGTATAACCTCTGAATTCTAACAAGAAGTAATCAACATTCATAATTAATAGAATAAATCAGAGTGAGGAATAAATACTGACGGTGAACTAAAAACTTCAATAACTTACATAAGACAAATAGTTGTCCACTTTCTAACCTTATAAATAATAATCATAATACAACGATGTTATGGGAATGAGCAATAGGAACATATAAAGAGATGAAGAATGATATATTCAAAATTGCTAATTATTTAGTAATAATAAATAATTTTCTTGATTATTTCAATTTGTTTTCTGTCTAATATAAACCCTCATAGAAATAATTTATTAACATTTATACTTCATTAGCCATATTAATTTTTAGTATCTTATTTTATTTCATACAAGTAATTTAGTTATTAAATTGAAAATATTTAATATTTTATTTAAAATGTTTCCGAAATTATAGAATCCAATTTACGATATTTTTAATTTGTTTTATTTAATCTTTTTACCAATTAGAGATTTCGGAAATGATTATTTGGATTTAACCAAAAAAAATAAATATCAAAAAGATCATATGTTTCTAGACCTTAAAGGACGAAATATATAGAGACTAGCACAGCCACCTTTTAGACAGCAAATAACTGATAAAAATTAACAAAAAGTTGACACTTCAATATTAAAATTAAAACACGAAAGATTTTATCATAGTTCTGTGCCATCTTTACCACCTCTATACATAATTAGACCAATTAGAAAGGAAACAAAGGATCGAGATTATATTAAAGCATAATTTATAAAAAATTAGTTTGAAAATTATGAAAAGCTATTTTAAACTGAACCAAACTAGCTAAAATTAAATTCTGATTTCTATTTCGTAAGTGAAAAATGAATCAATATCTTTTACACAAATCATCTAATTCTCTGCTTTTTTATTCTAAAAGTAATCTTAAACTTCTATTTTCCTTCTCTACTTATTCTAATAGTGTTTCATAGTATCTCTTTATATGCAAAGTTTCTTTTTTTTTTTAATCTTCATACATATAATCATCTTAGTCTTTTTGTTTCTAAAATAATAAAAGTGTCGATTTCAAGCTCTCATTCTCAATTATTAAATGCTAATTCGTAGATGAAAGCTATAAGAATATTTTAATTATTATACATCATTTATTTTAAGTGTCATTGATTGCTTAAATTATAATAATTGTTCAATTTCACTAAGATTTGACTCTTAACTTCGTTTGTATTAAGCTAGAGCTTCTTCCATTTGTTTTAATTACTATTGAATAGATATTTAATAATTTATTTATGAATCTTTGAATTCTTTATTTTTAAGTTCTACTAGCAATTTATTATGATTATTCAATTCAACTATTTGTTCATTCTTTAAATTTAATTCATTAATCAATAATTAATTTTCTTCTGTCCTATAAGTTACAATCTAAATGGAATGAATTATAAATATACCTATTCCATATCAGCCAATTTTTTTGTTAATTGAAACTTCTCTTATTAATTATCACTTGAATCATTTTTATAGAGTATCTGTAAATCTTCTAACTTCGCTTAATATTATCTATGTAACTCCTCTTCCTTTAACTTAGATCTTCTCTAAATATTCAAATTTCAGATACATTAATCGATTCAATTTCTCTTTTAAATTTGAGAATTTGATTATCCTTATCGATTATCTCCTATTCTAATTTCTAAATTATGAATTCTTTATCTTTGATCTCGTGATCATCAAAAAATTTGTTAGAGAATCCTTTATCAGGAATATCAACATTTAATAATCTCTCTTTTAATCTACTATTCTCAATCGATAATTATTAGTTTTCCATTATTTTTTTCTCCAATGGTTATTCCTCATATCATCAGACTCTTCCATCAATTGTTATAATTCCTAATTTATCACACTTCTTTTACTTTAAATCCACTTTCTAATTTCAAAGCTCTATCCTTCCATTTTTATACCTCACTTTCATAAGTAATGGCACTTGCTATTGTGATTATTGTAATGCATTCAATTAAAACAAAATTTAAAAAGCTGTTAAAAATATTATTTAATAATGTATTCTATGACCCATTAAATAAAAAATATAGGAAACCCTAAGGCTACTCATAACATGAGGAACAATATTTGAGAGTAATTAATGGTAATCAACATGTTGATAATTACACAATATTAGATGATAAAATTATTAGAATGATATATTGATAGCTAATATGATAACTAATAGAATATCTCTAAATAGAATGGCTAATGGAAACTATTTAATAAATTATAATTGAATATGATCTTGAATTAATGATAGAGAATTAACGTATCATGAACTATAAACTTATCTTCAATTATATAATATGTTGAATGCACTGACTCCATCAGAAAACTGTCTAAACATGTCATATTGAAAGAATCTTCTAATTGTAACTCTAACATCATCTGATTATAAAATTTTTTCAATCAAAAAACTAAGCAACTTCGGTAATTCGTTATCTTGAGGATCATCAATAAAAGGAGCTATTGGTATACCATTGTATGGCTAACCCCTAAATCACTTATATTAATAGATACATATAAAAAATTGGGCTGTTGTCAATTATTACTATCTTGGAATAGTTGTTTGATAGAATTCCTAAATGCTTTATTTACATTTTGCTTTATAGAGATACGCAATTGTTTCTGTAAAAATGACCCTTAAAGAAAGTATTTTCTGGATCAATGAGATTAATTATCTAAAAATTAATAAATAATATTTTACTGTCTTTGCATATTTTTAATTTGCTGAAGTATACACAAATAAATCAGCAAGTTAGCTTAACTCCTTTAGTACATGACAACAATAGGGTCTAACAAACAATCCAAATTCATTATTTTAAAAATCATAAACTTTATCTTTTTGTACTTCCTCTGAATGAACAAGAGTTTCATCGAGATCAAAGACAATTTTTATCTATTTTTACGATTTCCCATAGTATAATAGAGAAACCTCAGGGATTATTTCTTGATAAGTCATTATCATGTGTATTTAATTGAGAGCATCCCTACTCATTTTTTTTAAGGAAGTATTATCTTTAAGACCACTTTTTAGAATTTCTTTTATTTTATCAAAAAAATAATTTCCTTGATAAACTTTCTTTATATACACTTAATTATTCAGGTTAACCTTTCTTGTAAATTAACCTGATCTACTTGCCGCGATGACTTTTTATTTTGACTTTTCATCATTCTGATATGAAGTATCATTGTTGGAATCGCTTTTTATAGACTCCAATTTTATTCTTGAGATAGATTGATTGGTGATTTTCACCTATTTCGATATTGTAATATTTGATTGAGTTCGATTTCTGTTTAATTGTTAGGCAAGTTTACTCAACTAGGGCTAAAACAGTTATGATTGTTAAATACATCTCTTTGTAATAATTTCCATTGTTCTGAATTAATTGTACTTCTTTAAAATATCAAAGTTTTTGTATTCATATATTTTGGCTATGAAATTCTCAATATATTATTAAATAAATAAAAACAGTTTTTTGTTATCTCAAATATATAGAAACATTATGATCCAATATATCAGAAAATATTTTTTTAGGAAATAAAATATAAAGAAAATTTTTAAAGTATCTTCTGCCTGAAAGATGTAATAGTATTTAACGTTTGGTAAAAATAATAATAATATTGAGATTGGTTATTATTGATATGATTGAATTTGATAAAGTAATAAAATATTTTTTATTACAGATGTAATAAATTAATCAAGATGTTTGCAAAAATATTAGGAAAATTTATTTCTCAAATATATTGAATTTTATTTTGTTTAAGTTTACAGTGGCATATTGCTTATAGGGCAATAGTAAATCAACTAATTTTATTCTAAAAAACCACATATGAGAATAACAAATTCTAATCATAAATTAATTTAATTGACTCATTCATTATAATATTATAATTTATTTATAGAATCAAAACTCATAAGGACGGCTATCTTATATTAATTGCAAAATCCATTTGAGTTGTCAGATTCAGTCCTTGTTAAGATAAATGCAAACAAAATAAGATTCGTATTTATTAAGTATAGAAAAAGATACTATTTTTTTTCTAAAATAGTGTTTCCAAAATCTGAACCAAAGGCTTAAGTGAAAAAAGTAAGATAATGATAAATAAAGAAATAATTGAAAAAATATTATAAAAAATAATTTGAGTTAAGGTGGTTTGAATCTTAAAGATTTCAATATTCATGAGATAATACAATACCAACATACAAATATGTATATAAATTAATGAAATGTTCCCTAATATATTTAGTTTCTGAGAATATTAATGAGCTGAATAATATATTACATATTATGTTTGAATATATCTATGATTTATAGATATATTGAATAACATCAAATTAATAAATATTAACTTCAATATATCTATGCTTAAATGCAAATTCACAAATATTTATATATTTATACAAAATTAATATAGATATCATAAGTTATTAAATTAAAGTAAATGTTATTGATTTAAGAATGCATAATATATGAATTGATTTGGAAATAATAAAATTATTTTCGGTATTATAGAGTGCTTGCTAAGATAGAATCTTCATTTCTTTATTTTAATGATTAAATATCTATAGAAATATTATTATTAGTATTATAATTAAAATGAGAAGAGTTTAATCAGCTGCACCAAATTTAGGTAAAATATATGACTATGTTCTCAGAATTCTCCATGGAGGATATGTTCAGAATAGCTACAAAATAAACGTCTACTTTTGGAATCGAAGGATATGAAGTTACTAAAAAATATGCCGACCCACTCAAACAAATGGAAGATAGAAAGTTTTCAGCTTAAAAGAAAGGTAATTAGTGTATATTCATAGACCAGGTCAAAAGAATTTAGGCTATGTAACTAAAAGAGGACATTATTTGGAAGATCAAAAGAAAATTTATGAAAAATTGCCAGCTCCAAATAAATACGATATTGTTAAGCCTTGGGTGACTGAAGCATAATCTGCTCGTCCAAGGACAGCACCCCCAAAAAGGTAGTTTTAACGATTTATTAACTTAGAACAACATTTATAGATTAAATATTTAAGGGAAGCAAAATTAAGAGGGGTTCCAGGATCTGGAAAGTATAACGTAGAAAAACCATTGGATGAAGTATTGAAATAAGTTGAAGAATAAAAAAAGAAAAAAATTGAGTATTCTATTATATAATCATTCTTAGAGCTGGTGAAAGACCCACCTACTTAAATGAGATACAACACTTAGCAGTTATCAACCCAGGCCCTGGAAACTATAATCCCAGAGTAATATTTTACTTATATACAAGCCGATATCTAAAAAATTGAAGAAAAATGAAACGAAGCCTGCTGATTTTATAGCTAAACATGGTGAATAAGCAAAAAAAAGAGGAAAATCAGCAATGCCTGATGTAGGTTCATATAATCCAGAACCAGTTTCATTTACAACATTTAATAAACTATAAGGAAATTCTAAAAAAAAGGAAAGAGTTGATAAGCATGTAATTCTGAAAATTGATTTAGACTTTTGGAACTGATGTGAGGTTCAAAGATCCTAAAAAGAGCAAATCAAAATAAGGTTTGCTACCTGGGCCTGGTCAATATCCTATGATTGTGTAATGGCAAGGGAAAGAATAAGACAAATCAAAAGCCAAGATAAAGAATTATATGTAATCCACAACCAAGGGAATATAAAGATCAATATATTATTGAGATGATGATATTTTTATAAATTTTGATTACGATATCTATTGATCTATTTAAAATTCTAGGTTATGTAAAAATCAAAAATGTTTCTAGAAAAGGAAGATTAAAATTTGTATATTTAACAATTACTTTAAAATCATACTTAAAGCTTTTTAAGAGCACTATGAAAGTCTTTTATAAAATAGGCTAAGGTGCAGGTTAATGCATCTATATCCTCAAATTTATCAGGATCAATAACATCAGGGTTTTTGTTAATTAATTGGGATATTGAATTGAGATGTGATTTCTTAAATGCTTTTTCTTTGGTAGTTTGTAGGAATAAAGCTAAATTAATAAAAATACTTACGAAATTATTTTTCATTGTCTTGTAAAAACTTAGAGGCTTTATCCCAAAAATGCTAATCTTCAATTTCGTATGCATTGAAATCTTCGACTATAACTAGAAAAACAAAAATCACTTATTTAACAGATTCAGGTATTTCTTCTTGTTAAAGGAGATCGCTAACAAAGTTCATCTCTATAATTTCAAATGAATCAATTGTCATTGTTTTGAATTCTATTGGTAAGACAATCTCTTCTTCTTGCTCTTAAATTTCTTGATTATTTTCCAATTATTAAGTTTGAGACTCCTAATATTAAGAATAAGCATCACTTTCATCTAAATGCTAGAGTGATACTTAATGTTATTCTTTGATAGGGGATGCTTATATTGATTATTAATTTTCAGATTGATTATCTTCAGCATTATTGAGTGAGTTTTGCGGTGAGATTGCATCTTATTTTTATGATTGGAATTGGGATTTTTAGCAATTTTTAGGACTGGAAGCAGTTTTAACTTATTATTCATTAACCAAACTTAAAGATTGTGAAGGACTTTTTTTTAAACCTATAAGTTCCCTTGAAGAAGAGGAATGAGATTTGGGCTAGTTGTTTAATTTAATTGGTTAGGTATTGCTGAATTATTTTTAAGATTCCAGAACTTGAGTCTTTAACTTTTTCGGATCTGGTAATGCTTTAATGGCTTCTTAATGTTTTATTTGATTATTCCTTTGAATTGCAGATGAAGTAATATTTTGTTAACTATTCTATTATTAAAATTTTGGTTTGGATTGGGATAGTTATTTGTGATCTTAAGTTTTTTCTCTTTCTTATTCCAACTTCTTCAATTAGGTTTTGATTATTGTAGCATCTGGTTTCTATGCCTAAATTTAATTCTATTACGACGTATGGAAAATTGGATTAGTAGTATGATGTTTATTATCCTTTCTAACAGTCTTTTGTAATTCCGATCCAAAGAGTTTGGATTCTAATAATTGAATTCTTTCTTGCTGTTGTTCAACTAGCTTTTCTAGCCTTTCGATTTTCTCAGACTGCTCCTGAACTATTGATAAAATTGTTGCCTCTATAACCTCCTTGATTTTTAACTTGATGTCAGAATCAGACATTCTATTATGGCTATTAAAATAAAAATTATTAAAAATATGATTATCTTTATATATTTTCTTATATATTCAATATGATTCACTATGATACTCATAAATATATATATATATTGGATTTGGTTTCTAAGATAATACTTATATGTAATAATAAATATCAGGCAGATGTATAATTTCCAACTTAATGTTCAAGTTCTGCGACCTTTTGCGTTCCTGCAATTATCAACTACTAGATTTGACTCTTTTCTTTTTTCAATTCTGTGATTTAGCTTTACAATTTAGAATTCTCATCTTTTTATGTATTGATTGCCTAGATCAATTGATTAATACTTATCTCAAATCCCTTAGCATTGCATCTAGTGTTGGTTAAGTGGTGTTCTTGATTTCCTCATTGTTATTTGTTATCCTTTGCTTCATCAGATGTAACTCCTATTTTAATTGATCAATCTCATGCTTGTAGCTTTATAGTAATTCATTAGATAACTCTGTTACATTCTTTTACTTACACAAGATTAATTACATTAACTAGCAACAAATGATTTTTAGCATTAGTGGCTGATTCTTAATCCAATTTAGCACTATGTGGCATTTATTATTAAATCTCAGACATTTTATAAATTATATATTAAAAAATTCTTTGCAAACACAAAAGACACTTAATAGAGACATAAAAAGGTAATATTTTTTCCTTTTTTTCCTAAAAAAACATAATTATTATATAATTTTTGATTATTTAACTTTTTTTTTCAAATCAAAGAAGTATTTGGAATGTTTCTAGGGATTTTTTGCTTGATTATTCCTTTTTGTCCTTCTTTTCCTTTGCTTCCTTCTATTCACTTTAATCCTTTGATTGTTGATCTACCTAAGATTTGCTCTTAGATTTACTTTTAGTACCTCTATACTTGATACCATATCTGTGTTTCTTATACTGTTTTTCAGTTTAGTAAGTTTTGTTACAGTGATCACAAGTTAAGGAAACTTTCATCTTGATGGATTTCTCAATAGATTTTCCAATTTTCAATATACTTTTTTCTTGATTCTATTTTTCCTCTTCGATTTGAGCATTCTGTTATGGATCCTTCTCTGTTTATGATTGAGGATATTTCTTTTCTGGAGCTTTTGGAGTTGGTTCTTAGATGATTTGAGGTTGTTTTTCAATTTCCTCATTTTCCATTTATCCATCATTATTTTAAATTTAAGATTGGAGTGAATCGATTTGGGAAGAAAGATCAGCACACTTTTCATAAAGCATGGCAACTGTTTGAAAGTGTTATGTTAATGGAATATATTTCATTTAATTAATATTTTTTGGAAGCTTAAGGAAGATATTTTTATACCACTTTTTCCTGAAAATAATTTTACAAGGGAATTTTTTGGTTGATTTGGAAAAATGAACTTTTTTAAAGGGAAATCCAAATTTAAACAAGCTTTATTAGATTGGAATTTGAAAGATTAATAAAAATTAATAAATACAATTTGAAGTTAAAAATTTCAAAATTTTTAGTTAATGGAATCGTCATTTAATTATTTTTAATTTTTATTACACCTCTTTAATTTTAGTAAATTCTGCCTAAACTCTCTTTTTCCATAAGTCTTCATTCATTTCTAAAATCAATAATTTCTAATCGACTTCATCCTTTAACTTCTCCTCCTTCTCTACTTTTAGCTCTTTAAATGAGATGATCTTCTCCTTCATCTATAATTATTGCTCTTTTTCTTTCAATTGATTTTATTTTTCTTACTAAACATTAACTATTTTTTTCTCTTACTAAGTAATTCTATTTTTTAGAGATTGAATATTTTCAACTTCTATTTGTAACTATTCTTGAAGTATAAGTAATTAAGATTATCTTTCTTTGAGTAGTAATTTGTCTTTCTCCAGCTTCTGCCAATCATTTAACAGCTAATTTATTAAATGTAATTGCATACTTGTTTTTCCTTTAGCTTAACTTCATTCTCATATTGTCTAATATTTTACATGGCTTCCCTGGCTTCCTTTAAATCACATATCATTTAATTTTGAGATTTTTCCAATCTTTGAATTTCCTCATTCAACGAATCTATCTTTTTTAACTTAAAGGTCAATTCCTCCTGGTAATCTTCTTTTTCCCTTACAACCTTTTTTAATTGATATTTCAATTCTTCATTCTCCTCCTTCAATCTAATCATGTCTGATTTAATTCCTTAATTATCTTACAATAATTAATTCAGCTCTATAGATCGCTTGTCCAATAAACTTTTGGTAATTTTGAGCTCTTCCCTCAGTAATCTGAGATTGGTGTTTTCTTGTATACTAAAATAATCAGATGTAGATGTTTCATTTAAATGACTTTATTATTTATGAAATGAATCTCTACTTCGCCTGACAACCTCAGTCTAAGATGTTTCTAGATAAGATGAACTACGTTTGGGTTCAGTGATGAGTTTCTTTTAATGAGTGGATATCATATTCTTGATGAAACCAATTCGATCCATTATTTGATAAGTGTGTGCCATATTCTGTTTCATAATTATATTAAATAAGCGTATATGTGTGGTTATTTGAAATTAAATAAAATCTTTTTTTATTATTCATGGGTATTTCAAGAGATAGCAGACACAAAAGAAGACTCACAGGTGGTCGTATGCCAATCCATAAGAAGAAGAGAGCTTTCGAGAAAGGAAGACAAGCAGCTATGACTAAATTGGTATCTGGCGAAAAGAGAGTTAGAAGATTGAGAGTCCGAGGAGGAAACTTTAAATTCAGAGCTCTTCGTTTATCAGATGGAAACTTCTCTTGGGCTAGCGAAGGTGTTGCAAAAAAAGCAAAGATTGTCGAAGTTGTTTATCATCCATCAAATAATGAATTAGTCAGAACCAAAACACTCACCAGAGGTGTCATTGTGTAAGTCGATGCTACACCATTCAAATAATTTTATTTAAAGAAATACAACATCGATTTGGGAGCCAAAAAGACTCAAAAGAAGGTAATATTATTTAATTACTCTCTTAGGACTAACCAGCACCTTAAGAAGTCAAGAAATCAAACTCATTAAAAAAGAAACTAGAAGCCAGATTGAAGGACAGAGTTATTGATAATTTAGTTGCTGAATAATTCTAAAATCAAAGACTTCTAGTCAGAATCACATCAAGACCAGGACAATCTGGCAGAGCCGACGGTTACATTCTTGAAGGAAAAGAACTAGAATTTTATGTTAAGAAGGTCGAATAAAAGAAAAAATGAGTTTTTCTCTATTCATAGTACATTAGTAATAGATTTATCAAGTAGTATTTCTTCAGTTCTGATAGCATTATTATATGCTATTGCTGATTACGATTTAGATTACTTCTTATTTTATTATATTTTTGATCTCTACATTACATCTAATTCTATATAAAAACTCATATGAAAAGAAAGGCTATTGTATGATATATATTTATATAAATTCATAAATGTCAGAATATCGATAATAATTACTATGATCCTTCTTCAAAATGTAAGGTTTGAAAAAAATGAATGTAGGAAATATAAATTGTTACAAACCATACTTTAATAATAGTGCTTATTACTATAATATAAAATTAAAGACTTCAAATAATAAGAAATAAAAAATTAAATTCAATTTTATTGAATCCCGATGATATGGGTTATTAGATTATTTGGCTAAACAAAAATTGAGTTTATACATAAGATAAGTGGAATTATTGTTATTCAACATCGAAGCTGAATTATCAGATCTTATGAAAAGGGCTAAAATTGATAAAGCAGATTAATAATAGTAGTAATAGAATTGAATCAACATCTAGATTTTGATTAAAGTGAGTTCATAAATTTCATTTAATTCATAGAATTCCAAGGCATTTTAAGATTAAATGATAAATGGGTATTAGTTTAAATTAATGCAACTGAGGTAGAAATTCTAAAATAAGATTAAAAGATGAGAAAAAAGGTGTAGTAATTCATAGAATTCAGATATTTCAGGTTCTGATATTGAATTATCATAATAAATAATCATATAATCGAATTTAAATAAGATTTGAATGACTCTTAACTTTGTAGTAACTTCTTGATATTATCTTTAACTTATTAGGATTTTTGTTCTAAATTCAATTTTTATTCTAGACAGAAATTATTTTTCTTTAGAGCTTTGTACTCTTCCAACAAGATTGAGTATTGGGGGAATTGGTGTGAATTCTCAGAGATCAAACTCATGCATTTATTGATTAATTTAAATATTTATTCGCTAGCTCTTTATTAATGTTTTTTCTATTTAGTAATAAGTTACTTGAGTATTTTTGTGGTAATATATTTGTTATTCTACTGATGAGAAATTGTATTGAATTCTGTTGTTTATAGAGTGGAACAAGATATTGAATAGCTCTTTTAGATAGGATAGCATCCAGAGTCAGTATGAAATTTTTGTTTCTTTTTTTAAGTTGAGCAAATCTAACTTACTGACTTAGTTTTTGATTGTCTATGCATTTTTATATATTCAATGAGGTTCCGAATCTGTTGGTTTCGATGAATTCGAGCATCGATCTGGCTTGATTTAAGAGAAATTGAGTATTTTTTGAGAAATTCCAATTTAGAAGTAACGAATTCTCTACTTACAACTGACAATTCCTAAACCATATTTTCTATGATTGGAACCAAATTTGCAAATTCCTCATCAAGTGTAGCACATTAAGTTAAGATTGATTGCATTTTATTTAACGAACAAAATAATAATCAAAGTATGAAATTCACGATTGCGTCATTATTATAATAATGAAAATTTTAGGATTAGCCCTCCTTTTAACAATTGCCCTTTCTTAAAGCAGATTATCGGTTGACGTGTATACAGAGTCATTATGTCCTGATTGCATGGAGTTTCTCCTCAATTCCTTGACTGAGGCTGTGGATACTCCAGATATTGATCAAATGGTAAACATTAGAGTAATACCATATGGAAACGTAAAAAGAGTATTTAATAAAACTACTGGAAAATGGCAATTCACTTGTCAACACGGATCTGTCGAATGCTATGGAAATTATGTTTAATTGTGTGGCTAAAGCTTATTAGCATCCAAATACCCTACCGACAACGAAATCTTATAAGTTTAATGGGCCATCTGTATTGATAGAAGAATATTCAAACCATACACAAACACTCGTTTTGACGAAGCGGCAAATCTCTGTGCAGCCGATTTTGGTATCTCAGGATCTGCTGTCAAAGAATGTGCTAATGTATTAATTATTTAAACATACAGGGTGACTAAGGATACAAGTTACATCTAGCAGCAGCCGAAGAAACTGATGCTCTTTCACCAGCACATCAATATGTGCCTTGGATTACAACAAACAAGAAACATAGCGTGACCGATGAAAATCTTATTTTAGAAGATTTAGTTTAATGGGCTTGCGATAACTACAAAGGATAAAAAATTGATGCTTGTTCTACCAGAAGTGAATGATTATTATAAATAACAAATTAGTTTAATAGTCATTTTAATATGATTTCTGTTAGACCTTATTGATCAATAATAAAAATATATCATTTTCAGTAACCTTTTAACTTATGATTCATCTCGAGTAACAATTCATAAATTTGTTGATTGTATTCTTTTTAAATAAAATGGGTATTTACAAGGATAAGTCTTAGAAATTATAGTTAACGTAAACTCTACGTGATAACAATGTTTTCCTCTTTCATAATCAATAATTTTAAGTTTATGAATTTCAAAATACAATTGAATTAAATATTACCTTACTAAGAGATTTGTAAAATATGTAAGTATTCATTAGTTCATTAATCTTTTACCCTTCTTTTTAGATCACTTAGGTTTCAACTTTCCAGCATTTTTATCTGGCTAATTCATTTCGTGCCTTCTCTTCATTTTCATTAATCAAAATTATTTCCATTGCTATATTTACTATTTCTTCTTAACTTAATTGTCTATAACCTATATAAACCCTTATGATTTATCATGTTGAAAGCTAAATTAAAATTCTTGATCTGAGAATTAGCTAAATATATTTTTGTCTAATTTGTATTTATTCATATTTTTTCAATGGATACAGGCTCAACTGTATCATGAAATCTTATATTAAAGTGTTCTGCTTGCAATAATCCAAACTAGAAATGCTAAATTATTAAAGGTAATTTAATGGATCTCCACTATATGCTATTAACATTATTGTTCAATCACTTTTTGTATTCATTTATTACCAACCTCTGCTTATCTGTTTACGGTCTCATAAATTATTAAATGTTATGTACATTTTTAATATTCTTTTTTTATTGGAATGTTATAAATGTGAAACAATAGTTCAGTGTTCAAATTTCATTATTTCAAAATAATAAGTGTTTTAATTGGAAAATCAAATAATATGATATAATATAATTGTAAATCACCAGCCAAATTAATGAGTATATTCTACTTTATTTTAAAATTAATTCTTTTTAGTAGACATTTTTTCTCTATCTCTGCTATGACTTCTTTCTCTTCTAAGATTATTTAATTTAGGGCAGTTCTTTTTGAAATGACCATTTTGACCACAATTATGACAACTCACTATCATAGAATAAATAATATACTTCTAGAGTCTCCTGCTCCACATCTTCCTTTGTCTCTCATTTACCTACAGTCATTTGCATTATGACCTCGTTTATTACATCTGGAACATATCACATTGTCTATTAAATAGTAAGGAATATAATTACAGGATGATTCTTCATACTTAACTTTTTCTTCTTTAGTTTATTCCTTCTTAACTTCCCACTATGTAGTCAATTCATTTGATTTATCATTAGTTTCAAGAATAGGAGGTTTATTTTTTTTGACATAATCATTATACTCTTGGGTTCTAAAGTTTTACTTAAACCACAATGTTAATTCCTGGAGATTATTCTACATTACAGAGTGAAAACTAAGACCTTCAGGTTTAACTTTGATGTATTCCTTTTCCACCTTATTCTTCTGCATCATGTACAAGAGAACAATATGTTAAGGAGCTTTTTCAGTAACACAAAAACCATAGGGTATGATTTCTTCATCCTTTTCTTTGTCTTCTTTCAACTTCTATTCTACCTATTCCATCTTCATATTGTAGAATTTCTTATTGTTGATAGCAGCTTCCATGTGGAGATTGCAAGGAGTTATATAGTTTTCAAAGATTTCATTGAAAGATTCATAGGTTTTGCCATTCAAAACAAGCTGAGGCTTATAACTCTAAGCTGACTTTAATTCTTAAACATAGAGATGAACAATAACACCTTGATGAAATTTCCATGTGATATTTAAATGATCTTTGAGCTTTTGATTTGGTCTGATGATGTATTCACCAACAGGTTGACTTTCTAAATACTCCAGAGCCCCATTAAGAAGTACTTATTTGAATTTAGGATGGTTAATATTTCTGAGAATCAATTTCTACTATTGTCTCTATCTATTAGGCATCTGATCTTAGGGGATGGTTGGCTAATCAAACTCTTTGAATTTACTTTAATCAAAGGTTTGCAAAACTTTATTACAATAGTCATCATAGTATATATTAGTATAAGGCCATGGATCATATTTAGGGGGTTTCAAATAATCTTAATCCCATCTTTGCCAGTCAGGCTTCAATGACAATTCGATGAAAAGGATGTGGAAATTGTCAGTCTTATTATTGTTCTCTAGAGTTGAGATATTCAAACTCTCATTCTTATTATAGTTCTCTGTGGCTGGTATCCTCTTCACATAGGCTTTAACAATTTATCCGATCCCAAACTCTTACTCTAGCATATCCTCTTTGCGTAGAGTACCACATAACCCATTATTAGATAATTTTATCAGTAATCTATCACCATCCTTGTTCCTGTCTCTACTTTCTAGTTTTTTAGTAATCAAACCTTGAACAACACTGTTTTTCCGAAAAGTGTAAGGAGACTCTTGAGTGATTGCATAGAATATTTCAGAATTACTCATATCCTTATTTGAAGTATCAAATTTATAAAGGAAGGGATTTGCTAATTCCTCTTTCATGAATTGAGCTACTAAGGTGAACTTTTCACTTCCATCTCTGAGTTCTCTTTGTTTTGCCCAATCTTCCAGTTGGAGATCTTCCATCTTATGAGGTTGACTCATCAATTGTCTCACAACTGTATTTTATTTATCATCTCTACCTCCAACTTCTAATGCACATCTGGCTATATGTACTGCATCAGAATACATTTTAATTTGCATTCTGGTTATGTCTAATGGTTAAATACCTCTCTGGATTTTGATAAATCCTTGCACATTTTTGAATACGACTTTCTTCAAAATCTGTGTCTTAAGGATGTCTTACCTTTCAATTTGGATGTACTCCTTTTGATCCTACTCCAATTTGGAATAGATGAGTCTTTCATCTTCATAATTATTATTAAAGAGACTCTTACTCAATAACCCTTTGACCATTGTTATTAGATGTTTAGCTTGCCTTCTTCCTAAGCCATTGACGAATTGCATTTGATCTGCCAAGTGTTTATGCAGAGTACAATCAACCAAATCAACTCCAACCTAATTGACTATTTCAGTAGCAGTTTGTTTTAATGCATCAAGCAACACCTACTGACTGACCATAGATTGTAGAGGATGTAAATTGAGATGCAAACACCCATTCTTATCAATGGCATCACTCCATAGATTTAAGACTTCTGCCATTGGATTAAGTTTGTATCTAGCCAAAGAAATAGCCTCTTTCAGAATTTGAGGGGTGTCAGGAGATTATAAATTACTCTTTTCACTCATACTGTAGATCCTTGAGATTTATGAATCTGCCAAAGTGATCTAAACAGAGGATGTCTACTTATATTTCTTACGTAAATCAGCTCTTAATTTCAAGCAATCTGAGTGATTGGCTGAGATGACAACAAGATCTGGTTTATACTTCTCAAAGAAACTATCTAGGAGTACTTATTCCTTTCTGATTTATTCCAACATTTCAGTTCTCCGTTCATCTTAGGTTAGATAATTGAAGATTTGGAGACTCTGCTATTCACCCTTATAATCAATAATTGCCATTCCAATGCATTTCTTTTGGATAGAGCAATCTTGAGAGTAAGTTTTGAGCAGTTTGCCATCTGACTATTCTTATCCAATCACCAAAGACATGATTTTGACATCTGGATTGGTAATCAACTATTACCTTAATTGGTTGTTGGCAAGTTCACTAATATGAGGTTATTTATTAATGAGGGATTTAAATTTTTATTAGCACATCCTCACTATATGTTTGGTTGAGAGAGTTTACAATTTTTATTTAATTTATTTTTCTAAAATGGGATACCATAATTCTTGTAAGATGCCTCTGAGAATGAGATCTCTAAATCTCATGATACTTTCTTGTTCCTTCTATTGATCATCAATTTTGACAAATTTATCATACAATAACACCATAATATCATCTCTTGGAATTTTTTCTTTTTTGTGATCTTTATCTTTAGAAACCGTAAAACTAATGTTGATGTATCCTAATTGTTCTGCTCTGAGACACTGCATCCAGGTTTGATCTTCCATATATTTGTATTGTCTATGTCTGATTCTCTTGACTGGATAGAAGTAACTCACTGCTGTGATTTCTTTATTACCCAGTTAAGTGGGCTCAGTTGATATCAATAGATGATCCCTGTATATCTAACTCATAAAACTCCTGATGAAGGGATGGTGATAGAGTTCATTCATCAAATACTTTTATAATAACTTGACATATTCAGCACTGGAATCTTGTGATTTAAACTCTGTTGTATTTGCCTAATGACTCCATAATTCCTCCAGATCTTAAATGAACTTTCTATTCACTTAGACACTCTTCCCTTGCAACTTACTGAAAAGTTCATCTGAAGTATAACAAAACTTCAATGCTGCCTCATCCACTCTCTATTTAAAGAATTCCTACATGGCTTTCTCCTTTGTGTGAGGCTTCTTCTTTGCATTCAAACTCAGATTCTACAACTCCTTTACAATATTATCAGTGTTGAAACTAGCCTACTCCTATTCAAGAGTCTAGTCTTAATTCATTCTCTCACCTAGTAATTGCTTCTCTTAATTCACTCTTTCTAATTCCTATTCCAAATACACAATCCTCCTGCAATTGTTTTTCAATATTATATAATCAATGCAATCCTTCAGGTTCTACAGATCCTCCACTTCTTTGGCCTTCTGCAGATACATATTGGCTGTGTCCTTCTAGATTTGATATTTTCCAGGCAAGGAATCAATCAACTTTGATATCCTAGACTTGAAATTGTAAAAGTGTTCCCACTCATAATCTAGTTCTCTTATTTTCCAATAATGTTCCAATTGTAAAGCAGAAGTTATGAGATAGCGTTTGTAAGTATAGATATACATTATATCCAAGTTCTCTTTCCTATAGAACTCCAAAATTAGTTTGATCCCAACCAAAACATCAGATAAATTTTTAATATCGAACTAGGAACACATCTTCTCTCCAATCCATTTCAATTGCTCTACTGATGCTCCCTCCCTTGCACTTTGCATAATCTACCCATTAGTCATCATCATGTAGGTGTTTTGGATAGATTCAGGCACATCCTATTTAATTATGTCCTCATCATTCTGGTTCAGGAAGGCCACTTCTCTTTGACTTGGATCGAACAATTTATTAATTAACTCAATTTGTTCATTCTCGTCAATTGGTTCTTCTGATTATGGTTCTTAAAACAAATCCTCATGGACATCCTCCATTTCTGGTTCATTATCAATCTTTGCTATTTTTTTGAGTCTTCCCTATCTTTACATTCTCCTATTCTCCTCAATCAAGATCAAGTCGTCATCTGACAACTCATCATTGTATGACTCATCATTGCTTAAATTATCAAACTAGAATTTTACTTCTTTTATGCTTCTTTTCCAGAACCCTCATCAGAGTCCACAACAAAACCAGTCTTCTTATAATCTTTTGCTCCTTCCTCCATTGATGACTCTACCTTCTATTTGGCTTTTCCCATGTTTTATTAAATTTAATGGTTTTAGGAATTGCAGCTTCATTTTATATTACTAAACTTTTATAGTCATATTAATAAATTTTATTATGCAAAACGAAAGGTTGTAACAGCTTCTGAGATCCAAGGGCAGTTCCTACATCCCCCAAAATACTTAGGCAGTCTCTCCACTCAACAAACAAAGCCAAAATTCGATTAATCAATCCAACAAATATATAACTAACTACGCAGTCTAAAAGATATAAAATTAATCAACTCACATTGCAATGTATCTAATAGTTACACTCTAGAACATCTTCTAGTGATAGGAGAACCACTCCCACTCCAAGCAGATCATCTATGAATGTCATGCCTCAACATTCCTCCTCAGTCTCCCCTATTCGCCTGGTGTAATTGTCAACTGAAAGAGTCCAAAAACCCTAAGAAATACACGAAGTGCATCACTTTGAAAGACCCATTTAAGTAGTCAATGCTGAAGATATGGAATACAAATACAAATTCAAAATCCAACAATTGGAATATATGGTCTATTAATTGCAGGTCGAGAATCAAAGAATCAAAATTAATGGCTACATCGAGTAACCTGCACCTGTTGAAAGCCCTTCTAAAGTTAATGAATTAGAAAAAATCAACAAAAACCTCAGAATTCTAGAGGATAAATAAAGAACAGACATAAAATAACTCAAAGAGGAATTACAACAATGGAAAGACAGATACGGTGAGCTTCAGAAACAATAATCAAATCAAATTGGATTCAATGAAGAATTGCGATAATTGAAAAAGTCAATTTTGTAATTTGAGGATGAGAATAAGGATTTGCAAATGCATCTTAGAGACAAGGATCAGGAAATCTTGAAATTAAGGTCCATCTTAAATGAAAAGGATGACATAATTGATCAACTCAATGATCAAATCTAAGAGCTTTAGGTCTTTCAGGAGAATTATAGTCGAGTTGAAACCACGCTGGTATCTCTGTAAGGTGAGGTTGACGTTTGGAGGAAGAAGTTCAAAGAAAAGAATGAGGAAGCTTCGGAGTTGAGTGAAAAACTCATCATGGCTGAAACATCCTTAGAGGCCATGAAGAAGAGACAAACCACTTAAGTCAAAGAAGTTAATATTAGCAAATCTAATAATCACAATATTGGGATTACTATGACCCAATCCATCGACATGCCAGGCAGTTTCGACTAATCGAGGTACTCACAATTCTAACAAATAATAAAGTTGATCTTAATTATCCTTTTTTGTTTGATTTTTATTAATTCTTATGTAAATTATATATTTATGTATATAAATATATTAATATTTTATGATTCCCAATAATAATACTAAGTAATCTTTTTAAGATTTGACTAAGAAGATCATATTGACTACCAACATTCTTGTTAATAAGATCGAGATTAAGGCTCATGAATATTAGACCTTTTGGGAATTACTGAATGAAGGCTAGGATAATGCTTCCATTTACGTTCTTGAATTATTAAAAATTATCGATCAAACAGAATACAAAAGAAAAAAGGAACCATATAGTCTAGAAAGTCTATTAGCTACTTTGTTAACAATTAGTATGTTTAAAAATGTGGAGAATGTTAAAAAGTAAAGAGATTATAAAGAAGTCAAGTAGAACTGGGATCATCATATTGTCAATGCCCATAAGAAACAATAGTTGATGAACCCCTACTCCATTTCAATAGTTTGTAATTTGCACTTTATTTTCGAATCTCAGCAATTAGAAGATAACAACTTCACAGGATTCTTGATTGGTGCTATAGCCTTTATGCCAGATTTGTTTAAGGTCGCAAAGCCTGAAAATATCGAACTCATGTATGATTCCTTAAAGCAACACTACCAATTGGTTGAGCAGTACGGCAAGACTGTGAGAGTGAAAAATGACTCGTTCTATAATTTGTTATTGGATGAGAGATTCGACTTACAAGAAACTGGAGAGTTCATGTTTTGCTATGAATACTTAATCAAATAGATAAGGACCAAATACAAGAACTCATAGAGCAGAGTATTTTATGATTCTCTCTTAAAATACTTCAAGATGATTCCATTTATAGCATAGGACTTCCCAGAACAAGCAGAAAAGTCAGCATTGTCCTTGCTACACATGACGAAATAATTGATTACCTTTTATGGGTGTGAAATCGTTGATCTCTTGAAATCTCTCCTTAATCAAATCGAGATCTTCAGGAGATGGCCTTTCCCTGTGGGAGTGATGGCAAATGAACTAGTTTAGATATTGTATCAAGAATAGAAATCAAGGGGAAACGCATTTAGAATGAAAATTAGAGAAGAAATTCCACAAATCGATTTTTTTGACGATGATCAATCCCAAGATGTCTTATTTTAAAGTGTTTAAGAACAACAGATCCCAATATCTGGAATGGGATAGTAGAAATAAGAGTAATAGATTCTATCAGTCTATGTGTTTTATGAGAATAGATAAAACAATGCAAACAATGTACTGTAATATGCACAATTCGTCCTGAGAAATAAGAATCCCAATTATGCCCAATTATACACTCCCAATAGTTTGCGATGCTATATTTGTGCTTAAATTTTGCAATTGCAGCAAAAGAAAAATGTAATGTTTTTATTGATTAATTCAGCAAGGAAAGAGTCCACAATTGTCAGCATTCAAAGAGGTGGATATATTTAATCTGTATTGTAAATTATTGACCATTGTTGAGAAATGTGACAACTTGGATTCAATAGCAGACATAGAATTAATTTATGAGAACGCTTTTGATGAGATAACCAAAGAATTAATGAAACATACTCAAGAACCAAATAATGTTTAAAAAGAAGTATAAGCAGTGATGAGTAATCAAGTAATCATCAATCTCACATTATGTAGCTATCCATACCTGATTTTCCTTTGTTTTACTTTCATAACGTCATCCAAAAAAGTTTCACATTTACTGCACCCAAACAATCCTTTCTCAAATTTGAATAGGGACAATTCATGATTCCCAATCAATTAATCAAAGATTTTGTTCAAAGAGCCTATGATAATTATATGCCTCTACATACAGAACCCTTGAGATTGTTGGTTGTAGGATCAGATGCTGAAATATTTGAAGTCTGTATGCTACTTGGTGAAATCTATCAAAAGAACCCCTTATTGCTCAGGACTCTGGATATTAGAGTCTTTATTGTCCCAACTAAGGATTGCGCTCTGGCTTAGTTCCTTGCTGTAAAGGATCCTTGGTATTAGAGATACCTGTATTTACCCTTTATGGAGGATATTCTGATCCCAAAGTTAGAGTCTATCAAGGAGGATAACAACAAATACGTTTAGGAAGTCAATAAAGTGCAAGGGTAATTGCCATTAGAGTAGAAAGCGTGGTGTTTGAATACATATTTGAGAGAGGGGAATAGAGCATACAATGTGAGGGTTTATAAGTTAACTATTTATCAAAAGAAGTTGAGTTATGGAGGAATAGCAATGGCAGAGCAGAAGTCAGGATTAAATCCAAAAAGCAAATCTGATGAGGTCTTGAAGAGCACCTTATACTTTTGTTCGTATGTGATGTTTGGAGCAATAGCTGAATTTGAATTGCAGAAGGAGAGATCGAAGGATGAGAAGTTATAGAAGTTATCGTTTTATGACTTTAAAGAAAAAAACCTATGCAAATTCCAATACTTAAATATCTAAATGATCACGGAGTAAACTGATATGCTGGGCAACATTATCAACAGTCCAAACAAGGAGGAGAAGGTCGAAAAGATCTAGGTGCAGTTGCACAATTGCAAAATTAATAATGTTTACACAGACTTTTTTGAAGGGAATATGCCGATGCCCCATACCGATTGGTTGGAGTTGTCTTATATAACCTATGAGAATTCAAAGTTGTTTGATAGTGGGTTGAGACAAAAGAACATTTTTAAGAAGCATTCTTAAGGTATTCTATTATGTATATGATTTAGAATCCATTTAAAATGCATTTAAATCGTTGTTTACCAATATTTCGATCACGAAGATCAATGTTGAGGAATAAACCAAGAAACCGTTTTCAATTATTGTGGATGGCAATATCTATTCTGATATTGTTTCTTTCAAGATTTGCTCAACTCATATGAAGAGGAAAAAGAAGAACAATTAAATGCAAAAAAAGGAAGGGTCAAAAGATGAGGAGGATGATTTGAGTAAGTAAAAGCATTTGAGTTCCATAATTCATTTGAATCTGCCAGTCATGAGTTTTCTACCGTTTAAAGTTTGAATCAATTATCAATATAAATAATTATACAAATTAATATATTAATGAAATTACCAAGTATTAATAAACCCACCTCAGCATAATCAGCAAATCGACAATTACCTCCAAGGTAGAGTAATAATGCAATAAGCAATTTAGAAAAGAATCTATTCAATAAACTCAACGAATATGATGATTTAAACAAAATTGATACTAAAAAAGCTTAGGTCAATGAGGTGAAGTCTAATAAGAAAATCGATAATTCTCATGATGACATTGACTCTTTGGCGAAGAGAGCAAATACTTTGAAAAATTATAGTCAAACTGAGAAGATCAAAGATTTGAAATCATCTTAATTAAAACAACAAAAACAACAACAAGACACTGTGTTTCTGACTCATAATTAACAAGTCAAATCGGAAGAATCGAATAATGATCAAGATGAGGATGACAGTAATAGTGATAGCAGCATCGAGGATTTATTATAGAGGAGTAGGGCATTGGATAAATAGAAAAAAGTTATGCTAAATTTTGAAGATGACAGCGAGGTTGGTTAATTGAATAAGATGCTATTTTAAAGTAAGAATTGAAAAGTGTATAATTGATAGCTGATATCGATTTAGACGAGTAGTTTTAGAGCATGTGCATTTTGAAGAAAACTATATCGCAGATGCAAGACTCCATGAAATCTTTGGGATATGGGATTAATGAGAAGTTGATGGATGGATTGAATTAATAATATGAGGAAATGATTAAGCTGCAAAGGGAATCCTAAGTAGCTAAGTGAATTAATTAGGCAATCGAAGAGTATTAAATGAAAGAGAGCAACTCAAAAAATAAAATGCCTGCTTTACGTTCAAATAGCGTCAATTAATCAAAAAAATTGAAAAAATGACATAGATTTAAATATCTTTTGTATTTATGATAATGGATGATCTATCTAATATATTTAGATTAATAATTAAAATGTAAAATCAAAATCTTCCATAATTTCAGTTTGACATCACAATTCATAAGGATTTCTTGAAGCATAAGATTATACAATTATTTGAGACTCTGCCTGGAAATAAATAATTGATTTTGAGTTAGAGAGTGTTGCAATTACTTAAATTGAGCATCGAAAATAAAGTGCTATTGGAGAACGGAGTCAAGAAAACCTTGCAAATTGAGACTCTATATTAAATAGAGAGTGACATCACTTAGATCTTTATCATCATACCGCCTAAATAGGATCTCATTAAGAAGATATCAAAATTGATCAAAACTGCAAATGGTCCCAACAACATTTATTAATTGGTCTTTTGGCCTTAAAGAAATCTCATAGCCAAGGAATTGCTGGAACAAGAGGGGGTTTTGAGTAGCGTTGAAATTATGGATTTTTCATTTGATCTCATACCTCTTGATTAGGATGTATTGAGTTTGGAAATGCCAGATGCATTTAGAGATGTCGTGGTTGAATAAGACTTTTCAATTTATACCCATGTTGCGGATAGTATCAATCGCATTTAACTTTTGATGGGCAACATTCCAAATATATACTGCAAAGGCGATGGGGCCAAGATGGTTTATGATATTATTAAAGTGGAAAGCTCAGAGTTGGACTAGGATCAAGACTCTTAAGAGGTAGAGTCTCTGATTATATATGATAGAAGCATTGACTTGATTACTCCTATGTTGACCTAATTGGTTTATGAAGGATTAGTGGATGAATAATTTGGCATCAACGGGAACTTAGTCAGTCTGCAAAAAAAGATTTTTGGGAAGGAAGGATAAGAAGGGGAGCAATATCAAACCGTATAAATGAGCTTGGATAAAGACCCTTTGATTTATAATGTAAGAGGATTGTAAGTGGCCTCTTTGGCCAAATATTTATCTGAACAAGCCAGACAGTAGGAGGTAGAGAAGTAAGAGTTTTAAAGACAATTGTAAATTTAAATCAAAGCAAATTCGGGGCAAGAAGCAGCTAGGATTAAGGCAGAGTAGGATTCAAATTTGAGGCGTATTATAATAATTTGTAAATAGATCTTAACATAAGTGGAAAGATAGCAGATAATATTAGGACCATCTCATTCTACAAAATGTTGAGTTTAGAATAGGGAATAATCAATGGGGATAAATCAGATAAAGCTTTGGATTACATTGAAGCTATGATTCAATCGGAAATTGACTTAAATAAAGTTGTAAGGCTGTTAACCTTAAGAACCTTAGTTGATGGAGGATTGAAGCAGAAACCATACGATTATATGAGGAGAGAGATTATTCATGTCTATGGATTTAAGACTATTGCTTTCTTAAACAATTTATAGAAAGCAGGGATGGTCTACAAATCTGATCCCAAGCAACTTTTCTTTAAGTTGCAGGAATCGTTTAAGTTGCTGAATTTGAATGTCAGATCTGATGAGACAGATCCAAAAGATCCTGCTTACACTTATGGTGGTCACTACCCTCTGATGTACTTAGATTCTAATGATTTAGTGCTCGTTTGACTGAAAAGATATTTGAGAAGGAGTCGTGGAAACCGTTCAAAGCTCAGATGTAATTGATTAATGGTTTTCAATTAGAACCAGATAGACCTGCCAGATTGAATGTGCCTGGCAAAAAGCCTATTGTAATTGTTTATATGCTTGGTGGAGTCACTTATGGGGAGATTGCTGCTTTGAGACTGTTGGGGAAATAATTTAATAAAGAAATAATCATTTGTACAACCAGTTTAACCAATGGGACAAAGCTTATCTAATCATTAAGAGAGAGAATCTGATAATTTTATAAATACATATACAGACTGCTGTTGAATACAATTATTTTATATATTAATGTAAATTGAGTAATTATTTTTTGATTCTTCAAATTAGAATGATAAGAATTAATGGGTCAATTTGGACTCAATTAAACGTTCGATTTCCACAATTAGATTATTCGAGGGAACTTTATTTATTAAGTGCAAAAAGCAAGATGCTTTCAAACCTAAATTTTTTAAGCTGTTTTCTGATAGATTGAACATCTACAAAGTATGAATGTGACTCAAATTTATTCTTAGAATGGGAGGGAACAAAAAGAAACTGCTGCCCTATTTTTGACGAATGTTTATTTGGACCTAAAATTAGTGGTTGAATCTGAAAAAGATAAATATCCCATAATCTTAATAAACGGAAATCGCAAGTTGATTTTTATTGCTCGCTCCTCAGAAAGTCAAACCAAATGGATTGAGTAATTCAAGAAAACCTGTATCATGAACAATTACAAAGACATCTACACCAACATTAAAGTATTAGGCAAGGGTACGTTTGCAAAGGTAATATAATTCGCAAATAAGGTATTTTTAGCCCATAAAATGATAGATAAATCCAAGTTTGCAGTGAAGACCTTTCAAAAATCAGCATTGATGGACAAAAAGAACACTCAAAGGGTATTCAAAATTACGATAATCTTTTAGCAAGGCCTAATAAATGAGATCAACCTATTGAGATCATGTGATCATCCAAATATCATAAAACTGTATGAGATTTATGAAAGTGGAGATTACATATATTTAGTCATGGAATTGTTGGAGGGCGGAGAATTGTTCGATCTAATACTTGAGACTCCTTTCTTTGTGGAATCCAAGATAGCCTAAATCATGTTCAAAATATTTGATGCCTTGGAGTATCTTCATACTAAAGTATTAATACTTCTATCCACTCAAGAATATTATGCATCGAGATATCAAATTGGAGAATATAATACTCAAAGATAAATCTGAGAATTTCGATCTAAAAATAGCTGACTTTGGCTTAGCATCCTACACTGAAAGCGAATTACTAATCAAAAGATGTGGTACTCCTGGGTATGTTGCTCCTGAAATTCTATAAGATTAGAAGTATAATGAAAAAGTCGATGTTTTCAGTGCTGGGATCATACTGTATATATTGTAAAATGTTTAAAAATGATAGACTAACTGGATAAGCCCCATTTTATGGTAATAGTTTGGATGATGTGATAGAAAAGAATAGAGAGTGTCAAATCAATTTGCAAGGCTTAAAAGTATCCCAAGACGCTTTGGATTTATTATAAAAAACCTTGGAGCCCAATCCATAGAATAGAATTTCCTCTCTGGAAGCCCTATCTCATCCTTTCATTTCAAGATAATACAAAAGATAAGTTAATAGTATGGAGGATTTTCCATTGGATGAATTACCAAACGACAATTATAGTGCTTTTGAGAACATGAAGAAATTTTGTCAGAATGATATGCGATTCAAAATGTCGAAGCTAAAGAAAAATGAATTGGTTTAACAAACTCCTTTTATGGGTACCAGAGAATACGATATAGTAAATGCGACTTCTGATAGTTGGTTGAATGAGAAATCAGGAGAGATGGACTCAAAATAAATATTGAATTTTCCCTGCATTTAATAATAATCATCAGATTCGGATACTTCAATCTTAAATACTCCAGAAGTCAAGAAAGATACTCAAAAATTCGTTTAATTGAATGCCTTGCAACAAATTGGATATTATAAATTATCACCAAATTAATCTCTATATTCACCTCCTAACAATCAATAAAAGCAATAAATCTAAATGAATTTCAAAAAGGCCAGCTAAGTGAGAGATTAATTAAAAAAATTAGAATGATATATTGTGCTAATCTATTATTAAATATAATTATTGTCATGATTTACTTATAACATAAAACAATGTAAATCATATTTATCTAACCCATTTATGTTCCCCACCACCAGTCTAAATTAGTACTCATACTATACCTAAATGTTTGTTAGGATATCAAACAATTCATGTGAAAGTTCTCCTGCATTTAATTTTGGATCATATTAAACCTCATAGATCTTGTCATTGAATCCGATGGCCTCAATTGGTTGAATACTAACAGCTGTGCCAGATCCAAACATTTCAATCATCTAGACAAAATTAACATGGTTATATACTCTGCCAGCCTCAATAGCTTCCACAACTTCCTAGATATACAGTTTCTTCTCAGTAACCTTAAACTTTCCCATGCCTCTTGTGAGTTCCTATACATTATTAGTAATGATACCAGAATGGAATCTCTCAAAATTCCAGGTAGAATGGTTCCATCTAGTATTGGTGTAACTAATTCTCTCTCTCCTTCTTTATTTTTCCAAAAGAAGAACAAATTGCAAACTCCCATCTCTTATACCAGACCATCTGGCAACATCCATAAATTTTGGTGGAATCCAATCTTTTAGACTTCCTTCAGAGGTAAAACTGTTGGAGCATAGTTACCAGCTACTTTGAATCCTCCCACTCCTCCAGGAGCAGATCGAATCTAATGTTAGAGATGGATATTTTACTGTTGATGTGTTACAGAACACTCGAACAGGCTTTAAACCAGAAGGGAAATAAGGACCAACAGGACACAATGCAACAAACAATTTTGCTCTGCTTGATGCTCTGACTCCCAATGCCTCTTCTGTTGCCATCAATGTTGGTCTAATGTAACAACTAAATCCAGGTCTATCCGGAATCCAATCTCTATCCACTTTTAATAGTTATTCGATGCATCTTTACAATTCTGTGCCATCAAAATCTGGCAATGACAATCTCTTAGCAGATTGTTTCATTCTGTACATATTACAATTCAATCTGAATGTTCGAATTGAATTGTTGGCTCCTTTGTAGGCCTTTTAATATTTATTATTCCATTACTTTGGCACCTTCGAAACACTCGATTGCATAATGTAAACAAGCTGAAAATGGATGAATGCTGAAACTTTTGAATGGCACAATTTGGGGTCGGCTCCAACTAAATCAAAATTTATTTAATCATCTACCCCATCTTCTCAGACCAATCAATCTCCAATAAGTGATCAGTGTGAAATGCTCCAAATGTCATGATTTTAGGATCACATGGAGGTTTAGTAATATAATGCATTGTATGAGTAGTCGTAAGATCTCTAGCCTATGAGTTTGTTCCTATATTATTTTACTTGAAACGATGGATATGGACAACTTAGATCCAAGTTAGAGTAATATGAAAAAGAATAGACTGGGGATCTCCAAAGACTTCTCAACATCATTTCTATATTATTTTTTATTTCAAATTTTCATTTCATCATAATTTAATACGTAATATCTAAATAATATGACTCTAAAATTAGTTTTAATTAATTTTTATATCATTCGCTATCCATGATTCGTCATTTATTATCTTTATTCTATTGAAGATTTGAAATATTATATTAATCATAATCATTCACTTTGATTTCAATAATATCAAATAATAAACAGTATGTTATCTACTATTCTAAATTCATAGAACGTATTTATATTATGTTTCACTAAAAAAGAATATGACACACACATAGTTTTGAGATAATAAAAAGTTGATTATATAAGTATTTGAGTATATTTTATGCTTGTATATTTCAAAATAAACTCTCATTAATAATTAAAAATTTTTTAGGTAGATATTCTAATCTAGAATTAAAACAATAAACAAATTTTATTGATTTCAAAATATGTCAGTTTTTTATTTATTTGCTCTTCGATATTGATTATCCTATTTAGTATGGATTTTTGATCTATTGAGATAGATAGATTTCGATAAATGTGCATCCAAATACTTCAATTTATATTATTAACTAATACCCATTAATTATGCAGATGCATTAATTAAATATTATTAAAGGAAAATTGAACACAATTACTAATATATATAATTAAATAAATCAATAAAAATTGATTATTTTATATAAATTGAAAGGATAAAACAAATTTTGAACAGGCTGAAGATTCTATAAACCAAATAATTTTAATAAATATTAATAAAAGTATATGTTTCATTAAGTAATAACTTATTCTATAATCTTTGATTAATTTTTATAAATACTTAAGAGAGAATAACACCTATACTCCATCGATTACAAAAATATTTATTTTGTCTTTAATCAGAAATATCCTAATCAGTAAAGTAGACTGAATAAATGTTTTTCACATTAACAGCTCGTTCCTTTACATAAGAAATCATATCTTGCTCCTTTTAAGGTTCGAAATCTTTAGAATCCACATCAAATGCTAGGATGTAAATCGAAGTTTAGAGAAAGTAAACTACATAAAAGTAGAATTGCAATTTACCATTGATAATAGGAGCATAATCCGAAATCGATGTATCATGCATAAGAAACTTTATCATATGAACTCCATCCCTTTCTTGAATTCTTTTAATTGCTAAATCAAGGCATAATTTACTAAGCATTATATCGTTTTCATTACTTTTTCAATGGCGATATCAATTCTTCATTGAAATCTTCATTGCTATTTTTACGACTCTACATACAGAACATAGTCAGTGATTGTTTAAGGCATTCATTGATATCTCCTAATATCATAATGTGATGATTAATGACTTCATCACTAGATTTCAAGTGGATATCAGGTGGAAGTTCAGAAGTATCAATATAATCATTCTAAGAATGACCATGTTCGAATCCTTCTATTTGTTTTGGAGTGTATTTAGTGTCAGCTACTTATTTCAATCCATTAACCCATTTTAATTTTTTGTCATCGTAAAAGAGATTAGTTTAATTTTATCCAATAGTGGCAAGCTGATTTTACATGTTTAAATACCTATATATACTCTTCTAGATTATCAGAATCAAAAGCGCAACGCCTACGTCTTGACATAAAAAATTTATAAAATATATAATATCATTTATTATGAGTTAATTCATCAATAATTAGTAAATAAATTATATTTTAACTATTTTTCAATTTGTTTTCTAGAATTCATATCATAAAACTCATTTTGAAATTTTAAATAACAGATTACTGAAGGACTCATTTTAATTTAAATTGTCCTAAACTTCATTTTCAATTGAATAAATCAAAAATTTGAAAACATCAGTTAAAAATTAAACAATGTAATAATTTTAATACTCAAATAATAATAAGATAAATAAAATAATGTAATCATATAGTGAGACTATCATTAATATAAGTAATTAAACCAACTTTTAATATCAGGTAATGTATATACACGGTTAGTTAAAATGCTAGATATATGGAAATAATAGAACTGATATTTACTTATCTTTTAGATTTGTAGTTCAATCTTCAGATATCTATAAATATGAATTATCATTTGAAATATAATTAGGCTGTATAAATGTTCATTATTCTCTTTTTTAAAATATTTATTTGTTCCTATTTAGGATTATCAAGAAATTACTCTATATTTTAATATAAAATAAAATGAAGGTTTCATCAGTAAATCAAATAAACTAATTTTTAATATTAGTATTAAATATTTATTATGCTGTTAACTTATTATTATCGTAAATGATTTGAATTAAAACACTGAGCATATATTATTGATATATTTTCAAATTTTATTCAATAAGATTGACATTTATTTAATAAGATTTACCATTATTAAATAGTTTGTGATTTATAATTTTTTAACATATTTAGGATATATTTTTACATTATTACTAGTGGCTATAACAATTAAGACTTAAGTTCATTTCTATTATAATAGAGAAACAAAAACTCTCAATAATTATAATCAAAACAAATCAAGATAAATTCTTCCCAATATCAAAGCAGATTAGTGGCTAAACAGTTAAACCTAATCTTATGATTAGATTTAAATTTTCTTATCTAGCTAAGCTAATATCTTATCTTAGAAAACTGCATTTGAAGATGAGTTTTATTTTCAGATATTGGATATTTGAAACATACTTAGTTTATTATTAAGATTTCAATATAATATGTTATAAATTGTTTTTTATTGTCATCTTTATTTAGATTTATGTTTTTCATAAAATTTATGAGCTTTTTAGATATTGGCTTCGTCAATGAGACCATAATCTAGGCAATATTTAATAGCTAATATAGACTCTGGTCTTTCTCTATAGAGTGATTCATAATAAATTCTGCAAGGATCCTCTTCAGGTGGAGTCTCTTTTTTTTAATATAATTTGAAATTATCTTTGTCTTTCTCAACACTCTCAGAATTTTCATCATCATCCTAAAATATTACAATAATTTACATCTTCTTTTATTTATTTCCTTTTAGTATTATTTGTAGGTTTGTTTTATTTTTAAGATTAGGCCTTCTTATTTTTACTTTGTTTTTGATTTGATTCTTCACTAGATTATGAAGACTCACCGGAGTCATCTTCTTTTTATTTTTTCGCTGATCCTTATTGTTTTTTTTAGGGTTGTTTTTGAATTTTCTTAGTGGCCTTTGGTTCATAGACTTCTTCTGATTCATCATCATCAGAGTCGTGATTCTTTTTTCCTTTTCCCTTTTTTGGAGGCATACAATATAAATATTAATAATTAAAAATAAAAGTTCAAATAAATTTTGATTTTAATCTGGATTAGTATATACAAAAATTGAAATATAATGAGAATCATCAAAGAGTATAGAATAATAAAATTATATGTAATATTAATTATATTTTAATTATTATTACAAATCATTGGATTTTGAACTAAAGTGTGAGTAAAAATATCAAAAGGATTTTTAAACTTTAATTCTTCCTGTGTTATATTGAAGACAACCAATAATATTAATAATGAGTTAAGAAGTTTAGAAAGAGGAGGAAAAAGAGAATCAAACTACTGCTGCTTACAAAGTCTATGAAAATGTCATTATTTTTAAGGATCTTTAAATCAATATGGATGAAACTCTGAAGAAATATCAAGAGGAGTAGATCGGACCGGATATATTAAAGTATAATGTCATTTCATTACCGGATAATGAAAAAATCTAGGATGATTCAAAATTGAAAATATTTTGTGAAGAAAGAGATTTCAATGGATTTTTATAGAATAAAGATAAACAAGTTTAACTCAATAGATTCTCCATGAAATCTCCAAAGCCAGAATTAAGTTAGATTAAGAAACTTCTTTTATCAATGCATGTTGGAGAGGAATCATGGTTCAAGATTAGCAATTTTCAAACTTAGAATGAACTCTTGAATGAGAACGATAAATAAACAACTGTTATTAGATATTTTAGAATAAAAGTAGTAGAACAATAATTAATTGAAAAACCTTTAGATTTAACAACCTTAGAAAAGTAAATAGTTTAAATTTATTAAATAGTCGTTTTCTTTAATTTGAAAAATTCAGGAAGGATGGAAATAAGCTATTTAATAACAGTTTATTTGAAAATGCCATTAAAAAGTACCAAAAGGGAATCAACTTTATGGAAGCATGGCCTAGAATACACGAGTAGGATCAATAGGTCCAGTAAAAGAAGAAATATTATTACTAATTATTCTGTAGCAATATGGCTCAATCATATATACTATTAAAGGAATATGAAAAGGCCATTATGATTTTGGAGGATATTATTCCTTAATGCAGAGGAAATGTAATTACATTAATTTGAGTATTTAGGAGTTCGAAATTAAAAGTTATTACAGAATAATCGTATGTTACATGAAAACAAGGGATTTTGACAAGGCAGAACGATACTTACGAGAAGTTAAACATGTGTGTTAATTGGATGTTGGTTAATCGCAACTTTTTAATTGGTTGGAAAATGAATGCAAACCATTGAAAAAAGTGAAAATTTGAGATTTTTAAATTAGATTATATACTGTATAAATAATTAATAGTAAATGAAATAATCTAACGAAAAGCTTAAACAAGCTGAGCTATTAGCAAAGTAATAATAGTAGAATGAAACGTTGTTGGCCCAAGCCCTTAATTATTTCACCAATCCTTCAGTCTAAACTTCAGAATTAATTGAATCGTTAATGCATATATAATTTCTCAAAAATAATTGTCCTGAAGGAATGCAATTACATGATTTTGTAATGCAGGCTGCGAAATATGTAAAGTTTGAGACCTTTTCATTTGGTCAAATAATTTTTAATTACGGGGAGTTTGGGGATAAAATGTATATAATTTTAAAAGGACAGGCTGGAGTTTATGTTCCAAAATCAAAGGATGATATTGAAGATGAATTGAATCTATTAAACAGTAAGAAGAGTAAGAAATTGCTTTTTTAAGATGATGCGCTATTTGAAAATAGAAACAACTAAAATTACTATCAAAACGGAATTTATCTGTATCATAAAGTATGAAAATAATAATAAATAATAAGGTATTCCAATATTTCTCTGGTTAATGTTTTGGAGACGTTGCATTAACATCTGACAAGCCAAGATCTGCAAGTTTATTGGTAATTTCTGAAGTTTTGCATTGCATCTCTATAAATAGATAACAATACAAATAAATGTGTGAAAAGGCAATTCAAGAATAAAATAAAACTATGGAATTGTATCAAAGGATTCTACATGGTATTTCTCAATTCAGTATTTCAAAATTTATTTAAAATTTAAGACCAATATCATTTGTTTCTTAATCTATACTTTGGGAAAAAGGACAAGAACCATAATATTTATTAATAATCATGAGGGGAAGAGTAGAACTATATGTAAATTTGGATGATTCTCAAGTTATTTAAAATAAAACAGCCTCAAGAGCATTCACAATCAAACTAAAACGAGTCGTGGTATTAATCATATCTTAACTACAATTAGTTGAGTCAGATCACTAATGGACATTTTGTTGGGTAAGAGGAACTATTGGAAGACATCCCCCAAAGAAAGTACAATTGCTAATGTGTTGATAACACAGAGGCCTATATCATGGAAGCTGAAACCTTTAAAAAAATAAGAAAGAATTTTCCTGATATTATGAATCTTCTGAAAAATATTACAACTTAAAATAAGAACTACGTAGATCAAAGATTAGCTAGTGTTGTAAAGAGCATTTAAAGTTACTAAGATAAAATTAATAAAGAACCTATGAATAGAACAGAGAAACGGACATTTTATGAATGTTTGAGTCTCCAATAAATGAGTTAAGAATAAACTAAGGTGCTTAGATCTGGAAATAAAAAGTTATTGACACTTTCCTAAAGCATTAAAAGGAAGGTAGAGACTTTCTAATAAAAATACAAAGATAAATCTCCAAAGGATTTAATAATAACAAATCCTGAATTGTAATAAACCATACAAGAACGTTAAGATAGGTTATATTACATAAATAATAAGAAACAACAAAATAATAGACCCTGTCATTAGGAAGGTTTTAGTTTATCAAATGAAATTAAAAACTTCAAATTAAATTTTTCCAAATCTTCTTAGAGATTCTAATAATCAGATTAAAATTAAATTGATAGCAATTTTGTATAGCATAGTTCTCAATGTATTTCTGAAGCAGCACTATCACCTTTAAGCAAAACATCATTATAATTTTAAATAACACAATTTAGTGATATTTTAAAAAAAAAATAGCACCTTTTATTGAAAATGCAATAAACTATGAGGCAGAGTAATAAAAGTTATCTTTCTATTCGAAATATGAAGAGCCTACACTCTCAAAATAATATTGGTAAAATGATCAAAACAGACGTTAGTTTCATGAATGAACAATGCGTGTAATATTATTTGTTATTTCACATAGAAACAAATATGAGAGATCCTTATAATCTCTTCCCAAATTATTATTATAAGAAAATGAAGAAAATTGATTGTACTTTATAAATAGTCTTTATAATTGTTAACTCTTGTAATATTATCAATAGAAAATCCAATAACAAATAAAACTTAAACTTACAAATGCTATCCCTCCAATAATTAATCTTCTTTTTAATCTATTCAATCTATTCTTTCTGTGAACAGCAGTAGCCGTATCATAAAAGACTTTTGATGTATCCTCCAATTCCAAAGATTTAACTAAAATAAGATAGGATATACTTTCAATTTGACTCAATTGTTCTTTATTGTTGATTAGTTTTTCTATGTTTTGCTAGACTGATTATTTCGTATTATCCAATGTCTACATGATTTATTTGATTTGTTTTGGATCTTTGTTGTATTGCCTCTCGAAATAGATCAATAACTTAAGGATATTATCCCTCTGATTGTCATTGAGAATAGCATTTCCATTCAACTATAGAGATTATATTCAGATCAATACTATTTTCGATTAAATGGCACTAATAAGCATTTCAATATTGTATTGATTACAATCTGGAGTTGCTAACACAATTTAGATGATCTCCTTATTAAAAGGCATATAATACCATCTTCCTTTTTTAGATGGCAATGAGTCTCTTTCAATATTACATTAATATTACATCTTCTGAAATTAACTAATTGTTTTGGTCTTAAGAATCATGAGTGTATCAGATAAATCTGAATTGAGACCAACTTCCCCCTCCATTTCTATAAGTTCCAATTTCTCCCCAGTTGCCCATTTGGCCAGACCAAAAGCTTTAATGTGATTCATATTTATTAATGTTAAAACTTTAAGTCCGTATTAAAGAAGAAGCCTTTGATTTCGAGATATCTAAAAATGCAACGATCGCTGAACTGAAAGCCCTAATAGTCGAGCAACAAAAAGTAATTTTTCAATTCAATTAGATAACAGCTTCCTTTGATCTCTATATATTCGATCAACTTCTATTGGAGGAAGGAACTGTTAATAAGATCATCTATAATTGTAAAGCAGACAATCTTGAAGTGAGATTCAAAGAGAAACTGTAAGCACCTAAGTTCCAACACTTTTATAATTAAGCCAAATCTCTTGTGATGTTGAAGACTATTGTGTCAACAATTAGGTTTTTGGATAATTTGGTAGAACTCAAAAAGCAAAGGACACAAGATTCAGATAAAGTAAGTAAAGTGTTATCTTCATTTGAAAATCAACCAAAATTAATCAAACACAATTCTTCTAATTTACTTACTAATTTTCCTGATAGACTCAAAGAATAACCTATGTTGAGTCATATCAAAATGTAGGAAGATGACCAAGTAAGAAATCAAAATAATGACACTGTATTAAATATCTTAAACAATATGATTAATGAGGATAAAAGAGAAAATCTTCATAAAATGCAAATCAAATCTAATAAATAGAAATATCAAGCTCTTAAATTTAGTCCATAAAAAGAGGAATATTTGATTCGCAAAAAGAAAGCTCTCTCTTCATTATAGGATCCTAATTAGTGCTAAAAAGCAAAACTGCTAATATAGGAGCTGAAAAAATAAAAAGAACAATTATAATTAAAAAGATAGGAGCATTTAGATAATAGTGCAGAAAAGAGAGGATTAAGTTTGGAACATTAGAAAGAAGAAAGAGAACTATTGAAGTAGCAGATTAATTAAGAGAAAAGAAATAGAATTGTTGAAAGACTTAATGAAAATTAAAAGAATCATGAGTTATTAACTTAATTTAATAAATAATCTTAATAGTTGATTAATGAATTAAAAAATAGAATGAAAAAACATTAAGATTCTCTTAAAAGCAAAGATGAATAATTAAAATAAATCTATTTTGAAGATGCCAAAGTAACTGTAATATCTCTTAATCTAGCTAAAACTTCAAGAAAAAAGGAAACAAGCTTAACCAATAAGATTATTAGAATTAAATTAACATGAGGAGCATTATTTAGTAAATAGAGAAATGCTTAAATTGCAAAGAGACTAGAAAAAATTGGAATGGGAAATCAAAATCAAATCTGAAACTAAATTGTTGTATAAAGACTAGAAGGTCTTATAAGAAGTTATGAAAAGTGATCAATAGTTAAAGAACAAAGATATTATAGATTTAAAAAAAAAATAAGAATTTAAAGTAAGAAAATAAAAATACTCTGAAATCATTTAAGAATTTCATAGGCCCTCAAATTTTAGTAAAATTGAGGGTTAATAATCAATGAATGATAATTCAATCAATGAATCAAGAGATTTTTAATTGAGATAAGCGATAAGATATCGAAATAAATCCTAATTATTAGATTCATTAGTAAATACAAGAGTTTAAGCAAAAAGTATAAGATATACTAAGATTTTTAGTGAAGAAAATTTAATCGGCATTAAGTCAATAGCATATAACACCAAAAACTAAAATTACAGAGAGTCTATAATAAGGGAAAGTGCCTGAACCCAGCACTTACTTTCATTTGAGAGTACACACTCCTCCATAAAAAGTTATTATTCAAGAAGAAAGTTAAATCAAAAAGTAGTAACCAGACTACTTAAGTGAATTCAAAAGAGAAAGAAAATCTATGAGTCAATCAGCCCTCACATCTCATTCATCAATAAATAAGTAATAATGGCTATTTATATCAAAGAAAATTGAGTGTTCAATAAGAAATGCGACTACTCTAAAAGTTAGAAGAAGAGGCGAAAAAGAAGGAATAACTAGCTCAGATCAGTCAAAATGATGATTTATAAATTGAAGCTACAGATTTATACTTAAAGAGTGTGTAGGCAAAATTGTAATATTTGGATAAGAAATTATCAAATTTTTGAGTATTTAATATTATAATCATAAACAATAACAACTCATTATCATAATTAAAGTTTTTCTTGAAATCATTCTAATAGTGTAATATTGTTATTATTAAATCTAATACTCAAGGAGATTAATTGATTTGTAAAGTATCCAAAGTAGTTTACAAAATTAAGCTCAAGGTGTAAAATATTATAACTTATATGTAGTGTAATTGAATGCTAATCATATTGCTATAATGATATATCATCTATATTTATTATTACTAAAATTTGAAAATTATTATTTATAATATTGATATTAATTAAATATTATGTTATTTAATTTGATATTCTAAATTAACTATTACAATGAAAATGATGTGAATAATATAAATAATTGAAGTTATTAAGACTTAACTCATATTCAAGATGTTCTTCAATAACCATATATGAGATGTTCATTTCTTCTATCCTTTTCTTTTGTACAACATATTAGGATCACCATAATTAAATTCATACCGAACAATACTCCCAATCCTAATAATACATAACCCATGAACTTTCCTGTTGATTATACAAAGTCTTTAGTTTCTGTGAAACAACTAGTTCCTATAAATGAATTGATGTCATTGATATCACTAAATAAATAATATTTTGTTGGATTACACCAACCGCTGCAATGCAATAAACTTTCTGCCACTTACATCATTGAAACAGCTGCAGCGTATTAATCAGGTTGGTATGAGGGACATTTTTAGATTTATTTTATTTTTACTTCTAGATCCTCATTTGTTGTATAGTTTTTTCCTTTAAAGAGTTCCTTATTATCTTCATAAGTTGATTGGGTGATATAACATTAGCATATGCTAGAACATAAGAGTTTCTCTGCTTCATGGATTTGATAATCAATTTCCTTGAATTATGTAGTACCTTGACATTCTATATGTATGCATATTTAAATGATTACCTATTCCAAAGACGTCATCTGAATATAACAAAGTGAATGTTGCCAAGCCAGTACATAGAACAAAAAATGCCAATGCTCCAATTTAATAGAACATCAAACAAGTCTTTTAACATTTTGGGTTTTTCCTTGATCCATATAGTCCAGCGCAACCAATTAAAAATATCAGAACTCCTAAAATAATAAAAACATATTCTTGCAGTGTTTTTAACCAATCTGCATTTGTGTGATAGAGCTCTTATTTTGGAATGTATTATTACCTTGATATTCTATTCCGACTTTGTTGTATAGCACAAACAATCCGCAACATACAATAACTAAACCAACACTTGCTATGAGGTTGGCACTAAATTTCACTAAGGATTTTACAAACCTAATTAAAGTATTCATATTATATAATAAATTATTTAATGCCTAGGTGATTGATTAACATCATATAAAATTGAAACAATCTATGAAATCTGTCATTTATATTTCAATATTTTACTTTAATATATTTTATTTTATAATATGACAATAACCTCTTTATAATTCTGAGTTACGTGTATACAATAAAAAAAAAATTGAAAAAATAATCAATGCAACAACCTCAACCTCAAGCATAACAGTAGCAAATCCAACCACTCGATTTTTATTAGGAAGAATACAAGGATGCTGTAAGATTTTCTTGGAACACATTGCCGGCAACTAAATTGCAGAGTACTAGAGCCATCGTTCCAATGGGATGTCTATATTGTACAGAAAATGATTATAATAAGCGCCTATGAAGGACTTGGAATCACTCGTATTAGTATAGTATTCTCCCCTTTATTGTAAATGTGGTGCGATCTTGAATCCATACAATCAGATAGATTTTAGAAATAAACAATGGACATGTGTGTTTTGTTCTTCTAAAAATGCATTTCCTAAACATTATGCTGATCACATCACTGAAACTCAATTGCCAGCCGAATTAAAGAAGACTAGCACAACCATGGAATATATCTTATCTAACCAATAAGCTGCCCCAACCACTTTCCTTTACATCATCGACACTTGTATACCCTAAGAGGATTTGTAAGCCATCAGAGACTCTATTTAACAGAGTTTGTCAATCATTCCTCCAGACTCCTAAGTTGGACTCATCACATTTGGAAGGAATGTGTTCGTGCATGAACTTGGATTTTAAGAATGTCCTAAATGCTATAGTTTTAAGGGATCAAAAGATTATACAACCTAATAGATATTGGAGATGCTATAGGTGAGTACAAAGCCAGAGATTCTGAAGAGATTCTTGGTTCCCTTAAATGAATGTGAATTTTCATTCAACTCTATTTTGGATGATCTTTAATGTGACCCATGGCCATCACAACCAGGAGAGAGAGAAGTCAGGGCTAATGGATCGGCATTGAAAATTGGATCGACATTAGTCGAGAGTGCTACTCAATTCTCTAAAATTCTCTTTTTCGTTGGGGGACCTTGTACAATAGGTCCAGGTTAGGTAGTAGGATTGAAATTAGAAGAGACTATCCGATCTTATTTGGATATATAAAAGGATAATCCTAATACATAATACTTATAGAAGGCAAAGAAGTTTTTTAATGAAATTGCTTAGAGAGCCATAAAAGCTAACATGACAGTTGATATATTCGCATTTACATTAGATTAATTTGGTCTATTGGAGATGAAATAATTAGCAGAGAAAACAGGTGGAGTTGTTGTTATGCAAGAAAAGTTTGATTCTGACATGTTCAAGGAAACTTATAAAAAACTCTTTGATAAAGATGCTTCTGGTTTTCTTAAGATGGGATTTGGATCAAAAATAGATATGTTTATATCAAAAGACCTCAAGGTGCAAGGAGGAGTTGGACCATGCATTTCATTAAAAAAGGGAGGTCCTATGGTATCTGAAGTATCTTTAGGAGAAGGTGGAACTACAAGTTGGTATTCAGGTGGTCTGGATAGAAATTCAACGATATTATTTATGTTTGATTTATCACCCACAAAGGACACTTCCTTTTCACAATGTGCTTACATACAATTTGTTACTATGTATAGACACTCAAGCAGATTGTAAAGATTGAGAGTGACTACAATACAAAGAAGATTTGCAGATCACAATAATATTATGGACATGATCAGAGGATTTGATTAAGAAGCTGCTTGTGTTACTATGGCAAGAGTAGGTATTTTGAAAGCAGAATCTGAAGAATCAATTGAAGTCTTAAAATGGCTAGATAGATCTCTAATTCGAGTTGTTGCCAGATTTGGATCATATCGTAAAGATGATGTGAGTTCATTCAGATTCCCATAAGAAATGATGATGTATCCATAATTTATGTATCATCTCCGAAGATCTCATTTCATTACTACTTTTGGTGCTTCACCAGATGAAACCACGTTCTATAGAGTAAATATTTACAAATTAATCTTTAGGCTTCTTTATCTCGAGAGTGTGTTCAAAATGCTTTAGTTATGATCCAACCTGCTTTGTTGTAATATACAATTGATGATCCAGTTGCTAATGCTGTCAATTTGGATATTCAAAGTATGAAACCTGATGTGGTATTACTTTTGGATACCTACTTCAATGTTGTTGTGTGGTATGGGGAACATGTTCAAAAATGGATTGAGGAAGGCTATTATGATAATCCTGAATATGAATATATAAAAGAGTTGATTGATTCTCCCAATTCAGATGTCCAGGTAATCAATCATTAATATATCTATAGTATATTCTAGAAGATAGATTCCCAGTGCCTAAGTTGATCAAAACTTATTTTGGACATGGGCAAGAGAGATATTTGAAAAGTCGAGTGAATCCCTCAGTTAATACAGTCTAAAACGAAAATGTTGAAAGTGGTAATTACATAACAGATGATGCCAGTCTTAAAGTATTTACAGACCATCTTATTCGTTTAGCTGTATAAACTGTATAATGAATATATCACATATAAAATAATTGAAATTGTTCAATAATTATTATAAAGATGATCTAACCATAATTGATGAGGAATCGTTATGAGGATTTCTACGAAACAAAAAACTAATTACTAGGATAGGGTGCCTTTGCTTAAGTTTATTTGGGTGTTAAAAAATCGAATAAATAAAAGGTCGCTGTTAAAATTAGCAATAGAAATCTTGCTATTTCTTAACAAGAGAAAATGGTTCTGATATCCCTTTCGTAATATAGACACTAAAATGTAGTTCAACTATTAGATATATTCGATTAACCAGAAGCCTTATTTATAGTTCAAGAATACTGTTCAGGCGGTACGTTATATGAAATGATGTCAAATAAAACATTTACAGAGGAATAGATTGTTAACATTGCTCTGCAAGTAGCTCATGGCTTGGCCTTCCTACATAGTAAAAACATAGTTCATAGAGATATTAAACCAGAAAATATCCTTAGATAAATAGATGAGCAGGGTATGGAAATCTATAAAATCACTGACTTTGGTCTAAGCAGCGTTAAATTAGATAGAATGACTACTACTAAAGTTGGAACTGCCTATTACGTGGCTCCAGAAATACTTGATAAATAATAGTATGACAAATCTGTTGATGTTTGGGCACTTGGACTTATAATTGATGAGTTACTTCACAAAACACCTTTCTACAATGGCTTGTCTGAAGAAGAAGTATTCTTTAAAATTAAGACTACCAACTACATTATTCGAGATTAATAATATGCTTAAGCTACTATATTTGATCATAAAAAAAATGTCATCAAAAGTCTATTACTAAATTGCATCCAAAAGGATCCCAAATTAAGAAAAGATCTCAATTGGATTATTTAAACCATTTCTGAATACTATCTCTAAAGTCCAAGCAGTTTTGAAATACAATAAAACCCAAATAATGATAGATATGTCTTTGCAGATATTTAACTGGTTTAGTAATCACCTCTATGTGAATAAACATAGAATTTCTAGTTACCTACTTAATCAAACGATTCTTAAGTTGAAGAATGTCCTTTCCATCATCAACCTATTCGATATAGGATGCCAGGTATTAATGACAATGCAGTAACTAATGCATGCTAAAAATGCTTATAAATCTATGGAATTTTTGATCAATAAGAATTCCAATCCTATTTATCTTAAACTAACTTTGAATTAAATTCATTCTCAGTAGATACATATTTCTCATAAAATGAAATTATTATAGAAGCACTTAGCTATCTGAACTAATTTAAATTTTTTTAAGAAAAAGAGAAGCTAGTTTAAGAGTTGAGAAGCATTGTTATCAAACATCATCGAAATCTGAGACAAGAATATATTCAATATTAGGATGATGTAAAATCTATGAATACTAATGCAAAATGGATTAATGAAGCTTTAAAACTCAACCTAACCAATCCTCAAGATATGCCTAATAAAATTATACATTATCTAATTTCCAAATGTAATGAGAAAAAGGAGATTTCTGTACAGGAATGCAGGTAATTTATAAAAGAATAACTGAAGTTACTTTAATAATATATTGATTCTATATGATGAAATTGTATTATATATAATGATATCCAAACTAGTATCTATTTCTTAGGTCACAAATAATTTATTCTATCTAAATTTAAACATTATTGTAATATTATTATAATAAACTTTGTAATGAAATAAAAAAAATAGTAGTTAGGAGAAATCAGTCTGAATAAACAATGCAATGAATCATAACTAAAAGAAGTATTCTCTTATATAAGAGTAGGTAATTCAAAAGTTATTGGCGAACCATGAATTTTATAGAATAGAAATTGCGAAATTAAAAGAATAAAACAATGAAACTATATAAAAATATCATAAAGCCTTGAGATAAATAGGAGAGATGGAGCAAACATAGAAAAAAGTATGAATAAGTGAGTTAAGTTAGGATTAATTGTATATCATGCAAATTGATTGTTTTTTATAGGAGGCCAAAAAGAGATATGATCAAAACAAAAAATAACAAACGGATCATTATGTTGATGCATTATTAGAAATGACTAAATAAAGAGATGAATGTCTGAAAAGAAATATTCAACTTGAAATCATAGTATATGAATTAAACGAATAAATTGAAAAATTAAAACGTTAAACAACTATAATACCATCTGCCAGTTAATAATAATTTAGTAATCCTTTAACGGCAAATGAGGAGGTAGTGTAAATAGGGAGCGAAATAAATCACCGTAAAAAATCATCCATTTATTCAATGAATACCCAAGATTCAATAATAAATGATGAAGATAGAGATAAGGAAGATCAATTAATGGCATTTCTTTAATAACTAGACGAATAATAGGCGAACTAGTTGTATAGTCTATTCAGCTGTTTGAATGCCGATCTCAATTCTAAAGTGAACAAGACTCAGCAATAAGGTTCTTTCAATTTTTCCTAAAAATGGAATAACAAAGAAGATCCTTATTTTTGATTTTTCTACTTATGTTACATAATTATTAAAATGACTTCACCAAACTTCAGAGGAATTCTTATAGAAATAGATTAAATTTAAATTATGATATGTGAATTTATGTTCACAAAACAAATGATATTTCTGCGCATGCAAAGTTTGTTCCTTTAGCGTTTTAGAAATAGAATTGTGTGGTGATTTTTCCCTAAAATTACTATATATCTTACTGATGGAGTAAATGTTGGGAAGTTTTTGGTCTATGTATATACGACTTTGTCATCCTTGTCGTATATTTCATCTTCAGGAAAATCTTCTGTCATGACTTCAACCTCATTCCATTTGGCTTTCAATTGAACATTAGTTAATTCAGCATGAGCATTAGCTGTTCCATAAAGGGTAATAGTTTCATCAACTCCTTTTTATGGTTAAACACTAAATGTTGCTTCTGTAAAAACAATTGATGGATTGGCTATGCAATTTGTCACTTTAGTTGGAATTGCTGCTAACACAGAAGATACTAAAAGGATTGCTAAAAGGAGCTTCATTAATAAAAATAATGGATTGAGCAAGACAGCTTTATAGTTTCATATATTAAATTACGTAATGAACATTTATTTACACATACGTCACAACAAATTGTATAATTTGTTTACTTTATTTATTATTTTTTTAATATTGAATAATTAAATGTAATTTACATTATTATTGGCTCTCGCTCTTACAACACTTTCTTAATCGACTGATTTTGCTTTATTGATAAAAAGTTCAAATTCTTAGGCTTGGGAAAGAATTGGTGATATCAAAATACCCAGATCTAATTTTTAGAATGCTCAGATTGTCTTGAATTAAAATAAACAGCAAATTATAGATCGCAAGAAAATTAACGAAGTAAATATCCAGTCTCTAAATCTAGAATAATTATGCTCTATTGAAATTGTAGAATTAGCAAGATGAAAAGTCATATATCGCACATATTGATGGAAAATAATTATCTCTCTTTAATTAAAAATCCAATTACTAAGAAGTCATTACATTTGTTTTATCCAACAATGATCTATTGTCATTTGATTACGCATTAAAGCCCATAAGGAAAAATGCAGAAACCTACATTCAAGTCAACATCAAAGAATTGGAAGTAGCCCCATCAGGATTAGTACCACAATTTGAAGATAAGACTCCCGAAGAAGAAGAATAACAAAAGCCCCAGGGAATCTTTGGACTAATATTATAATATGTAAGAATCCCCTCTATCCTTAGAAATGGTATATTATTATCGGATTTATTGTCTTCTTCCTAACAGGTCAGGCTGATCCCCAAAAATTAAATGAAACTGTCTAATAAGCTTAAGAACAAGCCCAGGCATCAAAAAGAAGAAACAAATGAGTAAATTTATTCAAATGTTGTGTAAAATAATTTTAATTTTTATATAATAACAAATTAACTTCAAAGATTACAATATATGCATTAGTGATTAATAAATCTCAAAGAATTTTTAAATGGTCAATTTGATTTTATTATGAATTTTAGAATACTGGTGAGCATTTCACTATTATTATTTATAATTTCAATGAAATTCTCCATGAATTCGGAAATTTAAATAAGAAAACTTACAATATTCTACTATTGTTCCTCTTTATTAGATCAATTTTATTGTATTTACAAGTACAGTGGTGAATTTATGTTAATTAATATTAATGAAATTTAATTGCACAGAAAACGATTAATAAATTCTACTCTTATAAGTTTTTAGAAAACACTTTTTTAGCGATTAAACCTATTATTTAAAATTAACTAGGAATTAAATACTAATGAGTCAAGTAAATTATGATTTTTATTGATCAATAGGAGAGTCAATTTGTGAAAACAAAATATAACCTAGCTTTGAATTCAGAAACACAATTTGAATGGGTTGTTAGAAACCAATAATTAGTTGGATTCCTGTTCCCTTATTAGAACAAGATGAAAGAGTTTAATGGGGATTCTTAATATCTGAATCAATTAAAATAAGCACTTGGAAAATTAATAATTTTCAAATCCCTCACAGTACATTATAAATGGATGCAATATATAGATTCAGGGACCTTTGGTTAAGTATATTATTATTTAAATGATAGATTTCATTATAATAAAATTACATAACTGGCAAGTTGTTTGCTATTAAAACATTAAATAACACGAATAAATCTATGTCATATTTAATCGAAAATGAAATTAAGATACTAAGAACACTGAACCATCCTAATATCTTATCCTTTTAGGAAGTTTTTCTAACAAATCTTACATACTCGATTATTACTGAATTTGTCGAAGGAAAGAATCTTAAAACTTAAATCACAGAAATATCAGAATTCTCTGAATCATATATCCTAAAATTGCTAAAAGTATTAATAAATTATATGTTAGCAATTATTTGAAGGACTCACTTATATTCATCACATGGGCATTATGCATAGAGACATCAAACCTGCAAATATCATGATTACTAATAATGGTAACTTGAAAATAATTGACTTTGGATTATCTTGCTTTTTTAGTAATTAATTTTAAGAACATCCTAAATGTGGAACTTCAGGTTTTTGTGCTCCTGAAATTTTACAAAACTTTGATCATAAAATTTCCTACGATTACAAAGTTGATGTTTTTAGCGCAGGATGTGTTTTATACAAAATGTTAACATCTAAAGGTCTTTTCGATGCAGATACATCAGCTGAAGTTTTAAGAAAAAATAGAAATTGTTTATATTTCATTAAAGAATAAGGAAGACTCTTTGATTTAGCCAGAACTTTCCTTCAATAAAATCCTCTCGAAAGATTAAGCAGCGATTAAGCATTATAGTTAATTACATCCATGATCGATAATGACACTTTGGATGTAAATCTTTGGTACAGAAAATCATTTAATTCCAATCAATTAACTGTATCTAATCTAAGTCCGACTCCCAAATAAAGTGCTCATACTAAATCTTATCAAAAAACATAATCAAGTCCAAATTATTCAAGAAACTTTTTCCCTTCGAGCTTGAAAACTGACCGATGATCTATCTCATATTTAACAGCTTTTAATCTTATTATATAATAGAACTTCAGAATTCATGTCTTCGAAAATTATTTTTGTTTCAAATTTAGATTATTTTCTTGCTTTTATATATACCCACTATGAAACTTTCCTTAACATTCATTTAATAATTTAACCCATGCTTTCTATATATTTGAGCTTCTTATATATTTAAGATAATTCTTATGCTTTTGCTATATAATTCATTTAATTTTAATTTCTATTGAATAATATTCTTTTCTGATTTACTTTTAGATCTAAATTCAAGTAATATATTTTTTTTAAGTTTATAGGATAATTATATTAATTTTTTAAGAAATAATATTCATTCTTCCATGCCTTCAGTTTGCTCCATTAAATACTTCATGAATTATCCTTAATAATGAATTGAGGCTGCAAAACCATAACCACATTAAACTAAATTAAATATTGAATCATAATACTTAAGCATTCTGTCTCTTTTCCTTTAAATTAATCTACTTTTAATGTATCACACTTCTTTGAGCAAAATGTTGTGGCTTTTAGTATATGATTAATTATTTCTTCTTTATTTTCTTAACTCATTAAAATTAATTGTGTAAAAAATGGAAAACTTATAAAATCATAAATTGCTATACAATAATTCACAGAAATAATCAAATTCTCAAAATCATTAGCAAGAATCGATGGAATCAATTACTGAAGAATATCTGAGTATCATGAATAAATTTTCATAAGAAATTTTTTAAACTAACCACAATAATAAAGAAAAAAATGAAAAAAAATCTGAAAAACTTAAAAACATTCCTACTTTTACAAATTTATTATAAAGAACATAACTTGATAGATGAATTTTATTTACATATTTTGCATTTCGAATATAATCCATCAAATTCTAAAATTTCAAACATAATAAAGAAATTCATTTTTAAATATCCTATTCATCTATATTTATTATCTGGATTTGAATATAAACAACGAGATTTTTTTAAAATATATATAGGAAATCAAATTCAAAAAGATTGCCAATTCATTTCTATATAATAATTGAATCTATGTATTATATATTATAACTATCATAGCTGATCCAAAATACCTTAAGCGTATTTCTAATTCTCTGAAATTCATGTATTAATGAAACCATTTTTTTATAAACTTTGTATCATTATTATAATTAAATAACGCTACTAAAAAAGAATAATCTAAAAAAACTCCCAAATTATTCAAAATTAGTTCCTTAAAATTCTGACAAATATAAAAATGCTTTCCATAAATCCATTAAAGCAAATATAATAGTATTATTATAAACTAATAATACAGTATTTTATTCAATTGATTGAAAATAAATAATTAGGATGTTATTTCATGTGAAAATTATAATTAACTTTATATTTAATTGGAAAAAAAGTTTTACAATAAGTTCTCTCATATTTCGTAAAGTACAATTGTATATCAATAATGGTAGTTCATTATTTTAAAATTCAAATGAATGCAGATACCTATAAATGTGATTCATCCTCTACTTTGAATTTGATATATCCTATATAGAAGAACAAAATCCCACTTAAATTTGATTTTATGTAGAGATAGTTCTCAAAACTATATAGCCATTTGATATAATCAACATAATAAATTCATCTAATTCATATCAATTAAAGAGTCTTAATATATAACAAATAAGACTTATTATTAGTTTAATAGAAAGCTTCAAAATTGAACTATTATATAATACTATAATAAAGATATTAAATATAAAAAAATAAAATTTTATTTTTGAAGTCATCTGTAAATATTTATAGTATAGCAATGTAGGTTTGTTAATTATTAATGACCCTTTATCCTCTAGATTTTTGAACTATTATAAATTTTATATATATCATTCATCTCAACAAGATAAATAAACTGAAATATATATTTTCACAATAAACGCAATTCACTTTTAAGTTGAAATCACAAAATTTCTAATAAATAATAAAAACAATTCATAATTATCTATGAATTTCTACTCGATAGATTTTGAAGACTAATATTAATAAGGTACTCCTTTTTATAATTTCTAGAATTAGTTGAAGAACCATTAGCAGAATCATCACAATAATAAATGTACTTCGATTATGATCAAAGTATACAACACGAACCAGAGTAACTAATAACTTTTGATGGGTATTTATAAGAGGAGCCTGTCCTTTTATTTAATTTTGCTGAGGAAGCTCCAAAAAAAAAATCTAAACTAATTAACAGAAAATCAAAAAAAGTAAAAAAGGCTGATTCTGAAACAGATGTTTCATAAGGCAAAAGATCAAAACCTCGTATCACAAACAGTGACTTTTTGAAACTTTAACAATGTTAAAGACTAAAAACAATCATCACTTAGATGGAGTCTCTTCTTAAGCAAACAAGAACTTAAATTCTGAACCAATACATTAAAAATCACTCTTAATGAGTTCTTTCTTGATTATTTTATATCGAGTTATATATCTATTCAATTATTAACAAAATACTCTACATTTAATTTGATATAACTCCTAAATTGAAAAAATCCTAAAAATAATTAACACCTAAACTTCAATATATTAGTTGAAATTTGAAATTGAAGTAAAACTGCAATGCAAACTTCTAGAAAATATCATTTATTTTTGAATTTTGGTTTTTTTATAGTATTCAAAAAAAATATAAACTACTGTGTTAACAGTAGTGATAAGTTGTGTTTCTATTTTTTAATAATTGTGTATAAAAAAATTAAAGAATGTAAATATTCACAAAAATTAACAATATTGTGAAGTTAGGGTTGTTAAGTTTTATATTGAAATGTCTTATAAAAATAGAATTTTATGTACACTTTTGAACTCCCATCAATTTTTCGATCAAATTAGTTCACAACGTCAGGTTCATTTAGTTGTAATATCTAAAATTTTAATTTAAAAGAGATTCTGATATATAGAACAAATTTTTGATATGAATTATTATAATTTGAAAGCAAATAAAATATAAAAATTATTAAATTATGAGTGAAAAAATTGATACTAATATTTTAAAGAAATATGAAATAATGAATAAGATAGGAAAAGGTGCATACGGAATAGTTTGGAAGGCAAGAGATATAAAATCTCAGCGTATAGTTGCTTTAAAGAAAGTGTTTGATGCTTTTAGTAATCCAACTGATGCCTAACGAACGTATAGAGAAGTATAAATAAATATTTTATTCTAGGTTAGCTTTTTAAAGCAACTAAATCATCCTAATATAATTCAATTAATTGATACATTTCCTGCAGAAAATCAAAATGACATTTATTTGATTTTTGAATATATGGAAACTGATCTTCACGTTGCCATTCGAGCCAAAATCTTACAACCACTTCACAGAAGATATATCATATATTAGTTATTTAAAGCTCTGAAGTATATTCATTCTTCAGGGATGATACACAGGTATTAATTCTATTTTATAACTATATAGAGATTTAAAGCCTGCAAACATTTTATTAGACTCAGAATGCAAAATAAAATTAGCAGATTTTGGATTAGCCAGAATGGTTTGCACATTAGAATCAGATATATTAACAGATTATGTGGCGACGAGATGGTTCAGAGCCCCTGAAATTTTGTTAGGATCAAAATCATATTCATTTGGAGTTGATATGTGGTCTATTGGTTGTATGATTGGAGAAATGATACTTGGGAAGGCCTTGTTCTCAGGAATTTCTACAATAAATCAATTGGAAAAAATAATTGAAGTTTTAGGCATACCAACACCTGAAGAAATTTAGAGTTTAGGAGGTTAAAATTAATTATTTGATAAATATCCTAGAAATTATAAGTCTAATTTGAAAGTAATTTTGAATTGTGATGATGATGAGTTAGATCTCATAAAAAAACTGTTAGTCTATGATCCAAACAAGAGAATTTGTGTATAAGATGCTTTAAAGCATCCTTATCTTAAGGAATTTTATAATCCAAAAGAGGAAATCACATTTAAAGGATAATTAATGCTAAAACTACAAGATGATAAACAGTATCCAGTCTCTTAATATAGAGACTTATTATATAAATAAAATTTAGATTTGAACAAAATTTTAACTCTAGTTAATAAATAAAAATCTCTTATATAAAACCTTTAGAGCAATCGATCGGATGCCTTAAAAAAATAGTAAAGTTAATAGTAGTTCTTAAATCAATAATTTGCTAAAAGTGCCTTTATGAAGAGCAATTCAACGGTCAATATAGAAAAAAGCGTTAATAAAACAGCTACAGCAACATTACATAATAGTAATTCAAAGCAACCTCAAAATAGTAATACAAATTCTTCAACTTAAATTAAGAACAAATTGAAATAAATTTGTTTATAATCTGCTGATAAATGTGAAATTGTAGTCCAAAAAAAATCTCCAAATTCTAAAATATTGCCATAACCAAAACTTATCTAATCTAACTCGAAACAATAAATTTTGAATAATGTTACCAATACATCCATTAGTCCATCATAATCATAATAGCGACTATAGATTATCAGGCAACAACATCAATAAATATAAAAATGAAAATATTATTTATTCTTTATAAATCACTATTATAACAGTCTATAAATATTTCAAGAATATTATTCTTTCTCCATTCTCTCTATTACTTATTCTTCTAATGAATGGATCATTTATATAGCATTCTTATACTCTGATTTAACTTGGTGCAATTCAACAATTTTATCTTACAACTCTTTGTTCAATCTCTCTACAAGTCCAAAATCAGACTAGAATAAATTAAATTGCTTACTTAATATTATGAAGAGCTTTGAAGCTTTTAAAGCAACTCTTTATTCTTTATCTACTCATATTCAAGTTGCTTCTTTAATTAAGTTATTTAAGTTGAGTAGGTCAATCTTTCTGCCTCTATATCAACTCCAGAAGACTTTAACGTGGCTCTCTTTAATTAAGCTAGCTCTCGTTTCAAATCTTCAATCTATTGTTACCTAATTTTGCTATTAGCACTAGCTGAATATTGTTGTAATTTAGATTCAAATGAACTAATTAATTATTACTTTTCTTATTGTAGGTATGATATTTCACTCCTCAATTTCTAGTTTTCAATTTATACCTCTTTATATAAGTCATTTACTCTATTTACTTAATTATCTTAATCTGTAGTCTTTTATTGTTCATTATGTAGTCTAACATTGCTTATATTTAATCTTTCATTTTAAATTTATAATTCCTTTATTTCCTACATTAATCTAACTTAAGTTTTTGTTGATTCCTATAATTAAGTTTACAAAGATGAATTTTATGATTTAATCAAGCTAAGTTCGTATAAAATTTATCTATATTAGTCATCAAATTGATTGTTCTACTCATATTAAGTTTAAACTATTTAAGTTTATTATTATTATGGTTGTTGTTATTATTGCTATTGTTATTATTATTATTATTATTATTATTATTATTTTTGTTAGTATTATTATTATTATTGTTATTATTATTGTAATTCTTAAGCATGCTCTAAATCTTCAACTGCATATTTTAATTTTTATTCTAATTCTAATTCTTTAATTTTTGATTATTTCAGTTAATTTTAAAGTTAATATATTTAATTCTATTAAATATTGATTTCATTTTGTAAAATTTCAATCTATTATTAATATTCTTCAATATTTACTTCATTATCAACTTATCCAGATTACAAATTAATTTCTTGATCATTTATTGATTATTTTATCAAGTTATTTTTTTCTTATAATCTCTTAATCTCAATTCTCAAAGATTATATTTCTTATTAATAATCAAAGTTTTCGGTTTCTAATTGCTTTAAATACTCATTTTATTTATTATTAGATTTTTAATCTTGATTTTTCTTACTCTCAACGTATTATTTCAGCTTTTATCTTAATTACTCAATTTCATTCTCTTAATTTTTAATCTTTAAATTCAATTGTTCAATAACTCTTTCTGAATTCAAATTATTCTAATTTAAATCACTTTTTTAACTAAAAGTAATCTCTGTTTGAATTCGTTGATAATCAGTTTAAATTTAATATAACTAAGTACTAAGTAATTCATTATTTATTCTTAATTACTCAATTAATTTTTCATTCTAACCTTATTTGATATTTGAATTAGAAATTTATTCTTATAGCTCTTCATATTTAGATTTCCAATTCACAACATCAATTTAAACAGTAGTTTCCTCCACTTATTTATTTAAATTAGGACTATACATATATGCTTTTGAGTATTTGTCTTTTAGTAATTCTTCATATTTTGATTACCAAAGACTGACTTATTTCTTTAGTTCATCCTACGTATTTGTTTGACTAATTTCAGGAGTAGTCAATAAGTCAGCTTTTGATTTAACAGCTCTTAGAGGAGTGAAATAATTTTGTCCATTCTAATTTTTAGTATAAAGAGAACAGTTGTAATATTTGCCTCTTAAATCGTCAGTCGAATGAAAAGAAATATCTGATCTATTTAAACTTTTACTTGCTTATTTAGGCTTTGGAGAATTCACAGTTTGATGGGCTTGATTGATTTCTATTTTTTAAGGAATTTATTCTGATTATCTCTTTATTTCTTATTGATCTAAGAGTTATTATTTCATACTCTTATTTTAGTTTTATAGGGCAGAAATTTCTGATTGATATTATAATTATAGCTTTTATTTTTCATTTCCATAAGTCATCAGTTCCTATTGTAATTTTCTAATCAAATTTTAGTTATCAATAAGTTTATTATTCAATTTCTTATTTTCAGCATTTATTTATTCTAATTCGAACTATTTATTAATTAATTATTATTCAAGTTTTCCTTAATCCAAAGAAGATGATAATTAATAATTTTCTTTGAGTTGAATTTAAACTTGCTCTTAACCTTTTAATTTTTAGATTAATTCATCGTTTTATAAATTTAATTAAGTAATCTAATGTTTCAAGTTCTCTATGATTAATTTTAGATCTTGAATTTCTTTTTCCTAGTCTTCAATTATTTTCTTCAAATTATTGTTTTCTTCTCTATATTATTTAATTTATAAATTTAAAGTATCAACTGATTCTTAAAGATTAATCAATTATTCATTATGAATCCTTGATTGATTTTCTGGTTCACTTAATTAAGGTGCTTTATTTAATTAAGAATTTAAATTTTGATAATTAGTTTTTAAGTTTTAGAGCTCTTTTTCTTTTTCTTCATAAATTATTTAAATATTTTATAACTATTATTAGAATTAAGCAATTATTTTGTTTTGTTATTCAATTTATTGATCTAAATCTTCATTTCTTTTTTATAATGACTTTAGTTTATTTGCTTCTGTTGAATTTTAGTTATTTTATTATAATTAATCCTAAAATGAGGCTCTAGATATAGTAAGCTCATTTTGTAGATGTTTGATTTATTCTGCTAACATTTAGTTTTCCTTTAGGAGATTTTAATCATCATTGGTTTGAATTTCTTTGGATTCTTTCAATTGCTAGATGGTTAATTTATATTATTGTATTCTGAATTCATAATCATTTGTTATTTATTCAATTTACTTTTTGTATAGTTACTATTGTTTTTGCAATTCTTATTATAGAAATAGTTTTTCATCCTTTAGTTTTCTAATTTCAGCAGACTGATCATTTGAGACAGTATTTATCGTTGTCTCTTCAGTTATAGTAGTTTTTTGATAGTTTTCTTCATCATTTTGATTTATTTTATTATTTAAATCTTAAATCTACAATTATTACAATCTAAACTTCTAAATGTAATCAGCCTCTAAATTTTATAACTATTTCCTTAGAGAATTGTTATCATCTATTAGTTGATTAACTTATTTGATTAAAGCTGGGTCTTAAACCTATTCCTTAATTATTGTTGTTTCTTTAATCATAGTAGATTCAGGATTATTTTATTACTTAAGTTCAGATAAGATTTATTCATAATGAATAATTCTAAGATTTAATTCATTTTTCTAATTTTGTTCATCTACTAACTCATCTCTATACTAGAATGCCTGAGATTTAGCTTATATTAATTCTTCCTAAATCTATTTATACTATAACTAAGTAATCTCAAATTATGACTTTAATTTTTTCAATTCAAATTCCAACTCTTGGCTCATGTCATTTTGACGATTCATTTATAGTTATTACAATTATCTCTACAATGCTTCAATCTGTCGTTACTATTAGTTATTTTCATTTAATAATTTTTATTCAAGATCTTATAATTATTTAATTTATTTTTCTAATTAAACTTTTTCTAGCTCAGTTTACTACTCTAATAAGTTATAATCACTTGCCATTTAATTCATTCTTAATTGTAATTAATTAGCTTATTATTTATATTTCGTAATTTCTTCTTCATTTTTCTTTAACGGAGAGGCAGATTAATAAATGATTGTTTCCTTGATTGGTGTATTCTACAACTCTTATTCCAATAATTGTATTTAATTTTTCAAATTAAAATTCTCTTCAATTATTTATTTATTGAGATTGTTTTACAATTAATTTGATAGTTCTTAATTTTTAGTTGTTAATCTATTAATTTCATCCTAATATCTACTCCTCTCGGTTTCGAATTTCTTCTATAAATCCTAGATTTGCTACTACAATTATTTAGTCAGATCTTCTTTTTTCTTAATGTTATCTTACTACTATTAGTATTAAGTAATTGTTACTACTGTTTATTCAGATTAATTAGTAACATTATGATATTCTTTTGTGAGCTTTTATAGCTCTCCTTATTATTTGTAATATTCTTCTTACAAAGCCCTTATCATTTTTTCATATTGATCAATCTTCAACAAGAGCTCTTCATTTTCCTGAATTAGATGAGTATTTTATATTTATGGGAATATTTGAGCTTTTGGTGGTGTTGATGAATCAAACTTTTCCTTTTCATTAATTTTTCTGATAAGTTCTTCAATTTGAATTTCATATTGTTGTTTTATCTTTTAATTTTATAGATTTTCATCAGAAATCTTTTTTTAAAGAGACTAAACTAATTGATCATTATTGAAAGCAGCTCTCTAATATTTTTCTGTTTCTTTAATTTATTGTTCTAATTTTTAAGTTAAATCTTAAATTTAATCTTCAGAATCATAAGCTGCTGATCTTATTTCTATAACATTGATTTCACTTTATTATTGAATGGTTTGATTTTATGATGTTAATAAAGATAATTATTACTTTAAGTTTTAATTTTAACATTCTAAATCTCCCTACATCACATTCATTTGTTAGATTTATAAATTTAATCTATCAATTTCTTTATTTAACTTTTGAGTATTGATATTTAAGTGATCTATTTGGGTAGTATAGCTTGTGATTTATTATTAAAACAAATTATGCTCATCTTTACTATTTTACTAGTTGAATCCTAATTTATTTATTTCCATCTATAGTTATTAAATTTGGCTATTTAATTTTAGTATCTAATCATGGAGAGTCTATTTATCTTGATTGAGTTATTATATCACCTACTCTGAGTGAGATTAACTCTTCTAAAGAAATTCCCTCTCTCTTCTTTCAGATTATAATAAATTTTAAGCATTAAGTATCTCATCCTAGAGTTTTCTATTTAGCATGTTTTAATTCTCAAGATCTCTACTGAAACTGATTCTTAATTCTGCTATTTATTATTCATGATCCTAAATATTCTTTTCCATTCTTTATCTCATCAATATCATTTCATTATTTTGAGATTGTCTCTCTTATTGTAAAATTACAGTTTATTAAGTTAATGTAGTCATTTTAGAAATTTATTCCATTTAATTACCCTACTTAGATCTAAGATTCATTAATTCTAATTCATTTTGAGTATTTTAATTAGATAATTCACTGATTCTAACATTAAGTATCTTTATTTCTTCATCTCCTCTTTATTTACTTAGTAATAGTATATCTCTCTCTTTTGATAATTTCAAATTTTAATTTTCTAGTTGATTTAATTAAATTTTGTATTCTTCAGTTTAATCTGATTTAATTATATGTTAGAAATCAGCAACTTGCTTTTCTAATTACAGAATTCTCATTGAAGAGTTTTCCTTTTATTCTTTTTCAAAGAGTAGTTGCTTTTCTAAATTTATAACATTTTAAGATGTCATCGTATTCATAGTGGACATTTATATTTCATAATTAGATCTCACTTTTATAATTTAACTCGAGAGATCCTCATTCTATAACTTAAGTTATTCAATCTAAAATTTGAGATTGTTTACTATTTTTTCATTTTCTTATGTAGATTTCACCTAATTCACTTAGTAATTATTTTCTATTGTTATGAATTATTATTAGATTTAAATATTATTTTCTCTTTCCTTCTATAATTACTACTCTAATTGCTTTAGTTTTTATTATAAATCAATATTTTCCTGTTCTAATTAATGAGTTTATTGTTAATAATCATTTTAGATTAAAATTTTAGTACTCTAAATTTCTTTTGTTATTTTAATGTTATTTTATTTTTCTGCTTGCAATTATTATTCTAATGTAAATATCTTTTATTAAAGATTAGATATTTAATCGTTTAATTCATTAATTCTTAACTAGTCTTATTACAATTACTTTTTCAAATTATCGACTTGAATTTGGTTCAGTGACTAGACTTATTTGGAAGTAGAGGCATTTTATACCTATACATCTTTTACTTAATTTTCCAATTATTGTATAACTTAGATCTTAGTATTAAGAATTGTTTAAACTTCTTTTAATTATTGTTCTTTCTCAATCAACTATTATCTTAAAGTATTGGTTTGATTCTAAATTTCTCCATTTTATGTTTTTTGCATACAGAAGTCTCTTTAAAAGTTTTCTTACTATTTCTTAAGGATTTAGCATTATTCTTATTCTAGTAATAATTAAGATTAAAGTTAATTAACCTTTTCCTTTAATTATTTAGATGTTTCATTCATCTACTATTATAGTTAAGTGATTTTTTGCTAATATTGATTAATTTCTTTGGATTGAGCCGATTTCGATTATGTAGATTCTTTTTGTAACTAATCGTACTTTTATTTAAATTGAATGTACTCCTAATTTAATTCAGCATATTTTTAAGTTTATTGTTGTAATTGTTTTTCATAATTAGTTAAATTTTCGCTGGATTAGGAAAGTTTACTCATGTATTGCATTTGAGTATCTTTCTAGGTTTTTAATTTGGCTAATAATTCAGCATTTTGTTTCTACAGCTCATTTAATTATTTTTGGAGATCATCCTTTATTTCCTCGTTTTGGGGTGGTTTTTTATTTTTATCATCTTAATTCTACTACTTTAATTGATTTATTTCCTCTCTTTACTTATCGATTGTTACTTTTTAATCGTTAAACTTTTATTGTAATTGATTGAAATTAACTTTTTATTTCTCAATATTCTGATTATACTCCTTATTTTACAAAGATAACTTATTTTCAAAGAGTTGCAATTGCTATAATGCTGCTGTATATTTCTATTAGAATTACTTTTACCAATTCAAATCATTTTATTAATAAAGTTCTTTAAGTTTTTCATTATCTTATTAAGCTTATTCTAAAAGATTCTTTAATCTATCTAATTCTTGTTTTTATTTTCTCAACTCCTCAGCATCCTAAGCTAGAGCAATTTATTTTTTGTCTTAACTATTTCTGACACTTGTAGGTTGACTTCTTCTTAGACTTTCAGGTTATTATACCAATTGCTTTAGATTTTCCAAATTCTTAGGTTGTTTGTTTTGGAATTAAGGGTTCTAACTTACTTTATTAACAACACTAGGGTTTTGTGGAACGTTTTAAGGTTTTTATGGTTGCTTTTATAAATTTTCAGGATTTTGGGGGTTTTTCACTTGATCTTTAGGATTTTTTTATGGTTCTTCCTACTTAGGTTATTCCTACTTTGGCTTAGTTTATTCTGCAGGATTCTGAGGTTTTGAAATCTATTCTGGTGTTTATTGTTCTTTCTATTATTCATCAGGTTCTTATGGTGCACTACATAGTTCAAATGGTTCAACCTGAGAATTATCGATTGGTAATTATTATAAGATTTGAGCAGGAAGAGACTTGTTGCTCTGATGTTTAGGTTCCCTTTATTTTTATTTATTTAAAGGTTGTTATTCTTCTCTTTTGATAGGATTCTTCACTTATGAAAAGGGTTAAGAAGAATTGCTACTTGATATGACTGGCTTTCTGACACTACTAGGAGTCATGAATAAAGTATTTTGATTTTATGGTATTGGTTATTGTGGTTGCCTAGTCTTATTTAGATCTTCTGGAGCTTGTGGAGAATATTCATAAGGGTAAGCCAGAACATTGATAGGAGATTTATTTTAATCACTTGGGTTTTGTGAATTAACTCCAAATTAAGTAGGTAGGAATTATTAGGATTATTATTAAAATTAAATGTAATTTACTGGTTATTATTATTAGATGTAGTAATATTGTTATGGATCTTAATAGAGCTTAAGTGGGTGTTTAGATTAATGGAATTGATTCACATCTTGATATCTGACAGTTTGAGGTGCTTAAGGGGATAATCTAATTAATTTAGAAATTATAATACTGTTAATATTGTAAAAATTGCACAGGCTAAGGTGAAATACTTCGTTAGATCTGTCTTGGGATTGTATTTTATAAATGCTATTGTGTAACGATTCTTTGAATTGGGGAACATTTATATTATATTTGATGAGCTTATTGTGGCTAGTTGAAGAATTATGAGGTCAATGGCATTAATTGTTATTAGCATTGGAAGTTGTTTGGTGAAAGCTCTCTTTTAGTTTCAGCAGAAAAGGATCGGAATTTAACAATATTGTTGGGAATTTATAATTAATTTTGAGGCAGTAATCTAACTGATTAATTAGGTTGAATCCTTTATTATAAAATATTGATTGGCTATTTCATAATGATTTATTGAGGAGGTGAGTAGCCTGAACTTTAAGTTCTATCATTGCCTTGAGTTTTTAAGATGTTATAAATCTATTTTGGGGGAGTTAAATGGACTGGCAATTCTTAACTCTTAATTTGCAACAAAGTGTTCAACAATTAAATTTAGGTTTCTATATTCTAAACAGTAAGTTAGGGTTGATTTTAAATAAATTAGACTTATAACAATATGTCGTTAAATTAATTAGAGTGATTTTACACCGATTTCCTAGAGTATCTTGGAGAGAATTAAAATTAAGGATAAAGAATTTAAGGAACCTATAAATGTATTGAACTTCCTGATCCTACAGATTGAGGTCTTCTTAGAATTCTATAACTCAATAATGATGTGTTTGTGAAGTCAGTAGGAATGATCGATTATTAATATCTTCTAGGTGTTTTTGTGTTCTATAAGTCATGTAATATGGGAGCTGTGCATTATGAGTCTCCTTTAAGTGGTGCATACTATGGCTAGGTAGTCTGGTTGGATGGTTGAGATTAAATGTCTGCTAATCTCTTTTTTAAATGTTCATTGTCAAACAACAGCATATTCAATTTCTCATTTAAAAACTTAAGCTCTTAATTTAATCTTTAATTCTCATGGTATACATTCACTTATTATGAGCTGTATTACCATTGTAGTAACTCTCTCTCCTTCTATTCCAAAAGCTAATTAATTATGTTTAGTTGAGGGGCATGTTAAACAATATGTGGTTATTGTGTTTTCAATAATTAGATTTCTTGATTTTTCTCATGAATTAACTTAGCATACCATTACTCTAAATTATACAATTTTTATCTCAAAGATGGAGCATCTTCAAACTATTATTTTAAAATCTAATTTTCCTTTTATAATTCTTGGATGTAAATTTCAGCATTTTTGTATTGTTCATTGATTACAAACAATTGTTAACTTATTAAGAGGTTCATTTCCTATTGAGACCTAAGTATGATGTGTATTAATTACTTTTCTTGCAAGATTTAAGTAATAAGGGCATTCTTCTATAGAATTTGTTGATTTAATTCAGTAATAGTCTATGCTTATTTGGCGATTTACTCTTTGTCTTGGATTTCTAGTAAATATTAATTTGGAATACCTCTATCGATCAAATCTTGCATCTTTTTTTCATAGTAGTCCTTCTTTGACAATAATATTTTGTGTAGTCTCTCGATCTCTGTAGCCATTAAAATAATATTCATCTTTTATTCCAAACTTTATTGCGAGAGCTATTTGTGTTCATTTTCAAACAGAATGGGTTACGTCTCTACAGCACTATTCATTGTAGGGAGTATAAATAAAAATAATTAATAAATTTAAGTAAACTCATTTCAGTGGTTAAGAAGTAAAAAATACGAATTTCTCATTAATTTATCAAAAATTAGTAAATTTATTTATGTATATATATATGATATTTCACATAATTTAAACTAAAATGTTATTCTCCCAGTGTCCAACTATTATTTAGCCATTTATTAGCAAAATTCCATAGCCATTGACTTTGCCATCCTTAAAGCTCCTAAGAAATTTATCGATTCATAATTACCCTTATAACACAGCACCATTTTAAAACACCAAATGCCCTTTACCATGCATCATTTTATTTTTTCCTTCTCCTGTATATGACTTATAGATTTACATCAAATTCGATAAATCATTAGGGTCCATGATATTTTCATCCTGGACAATTGGATTTTGCAAGACTATTTTTTCAAAAATATCCTAACAAGACTTTTGTCTTTACTTTTATTTATTCTAAGGAATTTCCCTAAGAATCGACCCACTTGAATCAATCGAATTTTTCCTCGAATGCTTGCCTTTCAACAACATTAACAAACCCGAAGAGACATCCTCCTTCTCTTTTGGAGGAGTAGATTAACTACTTGATATTTTATTTTAACTAGGTCTTTTAGACTTTCTGCATTCATTCTCTTTAATCAATTGTCGAGATTTAATTAAACAACTCTCCAACATATTCAATAGTTTATTTTTATCACAGACTGTCTCATTCTCTTATACTATACTCTCCTCCTCACTTTCCTCTGGAATTGGTTGTATTTGTGGATGAATCTGCTATTACTACATATCCTGGATTCTTATGTTTTATTCAATAATGCTTTCCCAAGTCCTTTCTTAGGGATCTATAGTGAGCATGATTTAAACTAAAGTAATCAATTCTTAAGAATAATATTCCTTGGCTGCATCGAAATTATCTTAGAGTAATTGATAATCAATGTATAATTTATTGTTATCATCTATAAAATAAAAATCGTAGCCCGATTTTAAAGTCATAGCTTCTAGAAATACAATCCCCAAAGCCCAAATATCTGCCTCAATTGTTTCATATTTCTATTTCCATCCTTGAAATTCATTAATAATTTCAGGTGACCAATAGCCGTACTCCTCATTATCTGGAACATGAGAGTAGTTCCTCTTGAATTACTAGGTTACTGCAAAATGATCAGCTAATTTAACTTGGGAATCCTAACTAAACACTATTGAGTTTGGACCAATACAAGTGTGAGACAATCCAAACTAGTTTAATAATAATGTTTTACATCATGAAATGATTTCATAGCCGATAGACATGCTTGAAATGTATTATACAGTTCTTCTTCAGACCAATATTAATTAGTGTTTCTACGCTTTGACAATTCCTCTTCAAAATTTTTGAGGTATTATTCATATAATAGGCATAATCTGGATGTTATGACATAATCGGTAAGTTATAGCAAATTTGAAGAATCTAATTACCTTCTGTTTTCTAAAATCTCTATCAATTAAGAGTTTGGAAGTATTTGTTTTTTCCCAATAAATTTTGGTATTTCATATTCCTTATAAACATATAATTGGCTGTTTGATTTATGCTAGAGAATAATGTAATCCGAATTTTCGTCAACCTATATGTATTCATAAAAATTGTACTAGATTGTATTAAGAGAGATCCATATGGCGATTTAACAGTAAAAATATAATTATATAATTTTAACTATTTATATATTGATTCTCTATAACGATGAGTATTTTAGCAATCTTATTTTGAGAAACGCATCTATGATCAATATAATCTTATAGTTTATAAAATTAGATTTTTGAATGTCAAAATGAAAATTAAGGTAGAACTTATATAATTTCAAATCAAAATTGTTGATCTTAATAACTAATCAGTTCTTCAATCAAGCGTTGTTATTTATGTATTGAATAACGCGCTCTGGAGATATATATTTTGTAATATAATTTATCCTATTAAAGAGGGGATTGGACATATAATTGGAGAAAATTGAAATGAAAAATAAATGGCCACTGAAAAGAGTATGCTAAGAACTTTATGGATATAAATTTATATAATTCTTTAATTCTTAAATATCAATAGAATTCGGATTTTCTCATTTTTTTTCATTTTCTCCTTCGATTACTGGAGGATCTTCTTGATTTTAAACATAATTTTATTAAGGAGGTCGATTATGAAATTCTTACTATTCGTAATATTAAGGAGGAGGATTTTACTAAAGTTGATGGGGGTAATATTATTGATTTTGAAGTGGGTTATTATTATTACCATAGCCCATATATCGATCTGGATTGTTATTATGCCCTACAACATGATGGTTGCCATAACGCTAATCATAAGGATTTTAGTTCTAATAAGGATTTGGATTTTAGTTATAATAAGGATTTGGATTTTAGCTATGATATTGAAATTAATTCTGATTTTAGTTATTATAGGGGGGGTTTTAGTAATTATCGGGAGGATTTTAGTTATTATTTTAATTAGGATCTTCCTTCTTTCTATTATCATATGGGTTGTAACGATAGGGATCATAATTGTATGATTTTTACCTTGTGAAGAAACTTGGCATCTTCAAACGAAGTTTATAATTTTTAAAACACGTAAAGGTTGACATGAAAAAATTAATTACCATCATCAGACCTACGTTTACAAGGAGACAATAGGAAAGGGACAAAGAAGTATTGACCAAGCCATCATGCACTTAATTCATTCTGTCTTAGCCACTTTAAGGGAAACAATTCTTTTTAGTAAAATCATCTAAAGTAATGACCAAATCAATCATAAATGAATAGCCAACAATAACAGTTATGCCAAGTAAATAAACTATAAGTTCTTTGATAAGAAATTAAAATCCTGCGTAACATTTACCACAATCTTTATAAAAGCAACGATGTAATTCATTTGTCATAAAAATCAATATCACTACAAATGATACGCATGAAAACACTAATTAACAGATAATTAAAGTGCTCTGACTTTTAAACCTTGAGTCAAGATCAATTAGTTATTCAAAACTAAATATAAATTAAAGTTTACTTATTAGATCTGCAATCCTGTTTAAAATATATTTGATTCTAAGCAAGTAATTAGTATTGTATTTTGCTACTAATGTTATACAGAGGTCTTTCTGATTGAACCAGCGACAGAATATTGTTAAGTTGAAACAACTATTTTTCAGTTGTAGTTGATATCTAGAAATAACTATCATCTAAGACACAATCTTCTGGGGCTGGATCAAACAAGATGTAATCCTCTTCGAGTTTAGGATTCAGACTATATTTGCTGTTATCAAAACATACTCCCTTGCCTTTAACAATGGCAAAATTCATTAGTGGAGTGGTTTCTTTTGATAGACCTACATATGTATAAAATCCCTTGTCATAAATTAAACTATAATTGTTTTATTATATGTCGTATTCAGAGAGTTGGTATGAACTAATTATGATTTCTCTTAATGGACAGGCTTCATCTTAGAGAACGCAATAAAAGTTTGTTGTGGATTCAGTTTAACATACTTTGTACCCATTTGCTTTACAATCTTCTGCAGTTGTTATTTTATTTTTTAATAAGTCATAAAATGGTAATGCAGATCTCTTTCCACAAATCTCAACAGCATAAAACGAGTTATTAGCAGGTTATGCCCATTTAAATAAGTCTATTGGGTCTTTTATTTCTATATTATAACACCCCTGAAGTAGTTACCAATCTGTGCAATCGGTTGTTGAAAGCTCTCTATCGTCCATACAGATACATCCATCCTACGTTCCTGGTATGGAATAGGAGGAAAGTAATTCAAAATCTTCTGGGCAGAAGTCAAATATTTAAATATCAGTCAAAGCACCAAGCTACCAATTATCGAAAATGTTTGTTATTTGTTGATTAGATAAGGATGTTTAGCTTTAGATAATCGATGTTAAAACCACAGCAACAGCGGTAAATATCGAAATAAGAACGATGTTTATGAATCTATAGACTCTTGACTTATTCCCAGATATATTGTTTGAATAGCCTTCAGCGCAACAATAACAGCAACCAAAGCAAGCAATACCTCCACATTTAAAACCGTCGGCGTGATCTGGGAAACAACATTCACAACATAGACAAAGAAGCTCCATATTAAGTTGTTATTTCTTATTAAAATTTATTTATTAATAGTATCTTTTATGAAAGAGCAGTTTATATGCGAATATCCCAATATGATGGTTTTTTAAATCATTATTATATGACGAATTGTTTGTTTTAATTTTTGTATAAATTTTAAATTGCAAAATAATTTCTTGCTTATTCTCAAACAAATAAGAGTTTTGATTATGATAAACTAGACATTAAAGCTAATTGTGCTTTAAATGTTTGATTGCATGTCTTTATTTGAGATCAATCAATTATATTGATGAAAATCAATTAGAATATCTTTAAGAGATACATTTTAACTACATTTTTTAAAAGACAAGCTATATTTGCAAATTTCAAATAATCAATTCTAAAATAACAAAAAAAATACGTTTTAATCAAATTATTAATATGCAAACATGATGATTTTGATGATCTTAAAAACAAAAAAAAAGTAGCACAAAGACTATCATTAAACAATAAAACTATAAATATAATTAATTTATTTAATTTAATAGAAATTAATTTATATTATGCATTTTCATTAATGATGATTGTGATATTTATATATATATTTTAATTCAATCAATTTTAAATACTTTTGATTCATCTTCATGTTATAAATAAATATACTCACAGTCCTCATCCCATTCTAGCTTATAGTAGAGTGGCTATAGAAAGTTAAATTAATGAGTTAATTTAATGTACACATTCTCATATTCTTATATGAAACTACTGGTCGGCTTTAATTGAAAAATCTTTAAATTTGAATCCCTCTAAGAAAATGAAGCCATCTATTTGCCCTTTACATCAAAGGCTATACTTGTTATTTAAGCTAATTACTTAACTATATACTTACATTGATATCTATCTAATGTCTATAACTTTACACCATATCTTAGATCATAAATATGAACTAAGCCTTCTAACGCAAATGCTACTTTTAATATCTTTTTAGAGAAACTTACATATTCGAACCTCTTGTCCAAAAATTATACCAGCTTAACAAAAGACTTATAAGCGTACTTCCTTAACTATTGATTATTCTAATCTATGGTTCTAATATTATTTACAATTTAATACTTTATTGATAAATCTAAGATGAAGAGTGTTTCATTAGGTCCAATTTCCGATTTTGATAAACATAGCAATAAATCAAGAATTGAACACGCTATTATGGGATAATTTTCTGTTTAATTTATTATTTCTTAGATAGTTGCCTTAAATTCCTAGAAAAAGTATTAAGACAAAACCATAATTAGGATTCTTAATCTTTGTTTTATTCTCTATAAGTCTAGTTGACTCATTAGTTAGTACTACCTCAAATTCTCATATTTATCCTTCTCCTTTGATTTTTTATTCAAAGGCGAACTAATGATCTCTTTTAATGCTAAACCATGTTTATATGCAGTGTAGATGTGATAATAAATCGACAGTAAGGTCTGCAAACACACTTTCGGTTATTAGATGCATTTATGAAAATTTTACATTCCATCTTCTAATAATTTAATAAAGACAAACACAATGTTTGGTTTCTTCAAACATAATTAGTGAGTGAAGCCTGACATTATTCTATTAAATACATAGTGAATCATTTCACTATTACTCATCATCTATTACATTAAATAAGTTTGGATTATTAGGCACATTATCTCTAAGGAGAAATACACATTTGAATTACTCCTTTCAAATAATTACAAGAACTCTTTGGAAGTCTTTTATAATACCACAATCTCATTACACAGACTATCCATTTTCTTTATTTATTAAGAGATCAATTAACAAGATATCTCGATTATATCCTTTGAATTGTCGAGACTATATCTAGATAGACTTAATAAACTTGTTTAATTGTTAACTTCTGAAATATCAAATCTACTTTTTATTTGTTTTAAGCATAAGGCTGCTGCTATACTGTATTAAGTGGACATTAATCCACTTATTTAATGATTGTTAGATTCAATCAATCTCGAAAATCCTTCTGCCATTCCTTGCAAACCAAATTAACATTTAAAAATAGGTGTTTAATTCAAAGAATGATAAAAATGAACATAAGTAAAGGGTATCTTCATAGTTGCTGTATTTTCCATTGAATATTTTACTAACTCAATATTCTTTTTGCAATCAAACCATATTAAATAATAAGAAGAACTAGAATCTGGCTTATTAGGTTACTTTTATTATTTATACAACTTATTTACTCTATCAAATTGTAATGTGGATTTGAATTATTTTAAATAAATCTTATACAACAGAAACATATCTCCCATCTCTTACGGCTCGAATATAATTATTGATTTATCTCTATAACTTATTGCAGGATCTTCATATGAAAGAATATGCAAAATTTCATCAAATTCCAAAGTATTTTGTTAAATTTTATTCAGAGTCCCTAAAAAGTCATAAAAGTATTATGGTGATTATTATTTTAATTCTTAGGAATAATTATATTAATTCTAATAACTCCTATTAGAGTATTCTAATAGATCGAATTACGAAACCTAATCAGTTTTGAATGATTTAAAATCATATGAATTTATCATTTATGACAATTTCAATGGCAATAGAGTCTCAATATTCAAATACTCTTACAATTATTGAATATTTATCGTTCTTTCCAACTTACCACTCTCCATTGACCACACGGATACTTCAACTCCTTTGCAAAATAAAAATAGCAATAAATGTGGTACATAATATAACTTGACTTACCCCTAATTTAATTTAAATTAATTTTGAAAAGAGAATTTCTTAACATTCAATATTGTATGATAAATAACAATAGAGTCATCCTCCAGTAGCAAGGCCACAAAATGTTTTACTAACTTTCTTTTAACAACAAGAGCATCATTATTTGAGAAAGTGCTATTGTTTGATTCTTAAAAAAGTTATCTAATTTATATCACTTATTTAATATTTGATGGTAAGACTGTTTAATATGTTGAAACAAAGTCTACTGATTAATTATCAAATCTACCAAATATGCTGGATAGACTAAATACTTTTAATTTTAATGTTTGATCCACAGCAAAAATAGAATTTTTGATAAATTTCAAAAAAATTATACTCTTTTTAAAATCATTATTTATGTAAAGATTCCATCTTTTATTCTTCTCATAAAAGAATGGAATCAAAAATATTTTTCCTTATTCTGTTCCGAATATAGCAAAAAGATCAGTCTTGTTATATAAGCCAATTGTATATTTAGAGATGTTTTGAATTTAATTCAATTATCCTTAAATATTTTCTGGTAGGTTTTAATTCAAAGATTTTAGAATATCATTTTACTCAAAAATTTAGAGATCTACAAGTGTTTTTGGAATATCTGTAATTTCCAACTATTTGGATTCATTAATAAATCTTGATTGAGAATAAAGGTAGAGTGTAAAGCCTTCTGACTATAATGTTACATCAAACAACTTATCCTATTAAAGGTTGCAAATGCAATAATCATCATAATTAATTGAATCTGGCCTATATATTTCAATGATGCATCCATTTTATCTAAATAACAAATTATTTATTGCGAATATTGTCTATTAAAAAAAGTATTTTGAAACTTGAATTGGTGTCAATTATTAATTGAGTAATAGCAAGAGTTATCCTTAATAGGATTAGCTTTATTTTGAAAAACTAAAGCCATTAAAGTCTAAAGTTATACATTAATTATAACTCTTCGATATTAGACCTATTAAATTTTAAATATCTTTCTCGTAAATAAAACTAGTGCTACCATTCAGTTATTCAATAATTATTATAGCCTCATTGTGACCTTTAAATAAATGAATATTCCTAAATTTAATTATGCTTGTAGAAGACTTAATAGAGAACATTTCCCTTTATTAATCGGTTTCTTTAAAAGGACAATTCACTACATATATTGATTTTGAATAAACTATGTACATGATGTCAGATTTCGTGTTATAGATGGTATTGATTATTTTATTTGATGGTAATCCTTTTATAGAAATACTGGAGGACATTTTTATTAAGGACTTTTTTTATGCATGCTTCTTTTTATCTTATGCTTTCTTCTCAATATATTTTAAATAGTTTTATTTTTCGGGTTTTTTATATGCTGATGCATCAATTTTGTAGATTCTACATTTACTATCTTGAATATCATCAAATTATACCAATAACAGCAAAGTCAGTCCCAATAGATGTAAAAATTGTAAATCTTGGCTAATTAAGTTCATCTTGAATCAAAAATATTTTGCTGCAACACATTTTCCATAAATCATATATGTAAATAGCTATTCCTTCGCCAAAGCAACTTATATATCTACTTGTTCTATCACCAACTGGATATATTTATGTTATTTATTTTGAATATGGAAATTAATCATGATCTGAAATCAAAATCTATTTGCCATCTAACATACTCAATATTCTTATTCTTTTATCTTGATGAATTGCTACTGCACAATTCATATTGCTATCCTAAAATTCTGCAAATGGTCTTCTCATAATTTATAATGCTGTGACTGCTCCTACTCTATATATCAAATGTGGAGTGGACTTAATAAGTGGTCTTAAATTAAAGTTGTCGAATTCCCATATGATGATGTCTCCATTAATTGAACCTGTGGCAATTCTTTTTTTATCTATATCATCAGCCCACGCTGTAATAAAATGATTTTGAAAGTCGAACGAGCCAAAATAAACAGGAATGAACAACTCTGGCATATATATGGAAGATAATTATTATTAAATAAATATTTTATAATACATAATTAACATAATTAAGAATTATAATAATACTTCTTTAACAAACATACCTAGAGAAAGAGTTTTAGGTTAAAAATGAATTATTTTATTTGTATAAATATCAAATACATCATTCATAAATCAAATAAAATTATTTATTAACAATAATATATACTATCAAATTATCATCTCCTAATGTATACTTAAATTTAAAGATTATGATTATCTCTTCCTTTCCTTTACCTGCAAATAATTTCAATTTCTAAATAAAATATTAGTTTGTAATAAATTGGTCTATAGTTTTATTGATAATTGATCCTTCTACCTTCTCTTGAGTATTTCTAATGCTTTAAGAACTACTTAAAATCGGTTTTTCAATGATCACTGCATATATCATATATTTAAGAACATAATATAATAAATATTTTTTAAGTAAGGATATTTGTTATAGAATACCAATAATTGTTTGTAAACAAATTTATGTTTGAATTAAATTAATTAAATTATTATTATATGTCGAAGGATCTAGGAGAGGAACAAGGATTATCAGGCTAATCATCTAGATCATTCTCTCCTTAACAACCTAGGAGGAAAAAATAGTTTTAAATTGATTTTTTTATTGAGTGGAAATACATTGAATAAGATTAATTGAAACCATATTTTAGAGGATGTGAAAGTACCATAATTAGCATCATTTAGTCACAATATGATGTCAAGTCTATTTAGCTGAATCGAAATAATCAAATTCCTGGGTTAGAGGGCACAGCATTTTCAATTATTGAATCTGATGATAGCAAGTTAAATTTATAACTTGAAGCCGTCAATAAAATACTTTCATTAATCGAATAAAAGAAAAATCCTACTTTTGAAATGATGATGTTGATACCTGAGGGTATGGAAATTCTATAAACACTAGGAACTGTGTCATATTTAATTGGTACATCTGGAAAGTAAATTAAAAATATTCAACTTGAAACAAAAACTGATGTTGTCGTCAATAATGCCATAAACAAATTTTCCTTACGGTCAGTGAAGATAGCTGGTGAGAATATTATGATAATAATTTAGGTTAGTCAGATTGCATCTACAATGCTATTAAATTAATAACAAATAAATTGCATCAAAGAGGTATTACAGAAGACGACTACATCAAGAGAGCTGAACCATTAGATCCAGGAAAAGTTGTTACTAAGGTATGTCTCATTATTAAGGAGGTTTAACTTGTTTTTACAGAGATAATTATTGATTACATTCTTAAAAATAAGGATCTAGAGAAGAAATATTAGATAAAAATGAAAGCCAAAAGTATTAATGAAGTGCCAATCAAAGTAATGATGAAATCGATTATGATTTAGAATAAACTAAAGAAAGATGAAGAGATATTACAGTTAGTTGGTACTTTGAAAAACGTGCAAGAAGCAATTAAATCTATAATTCGGAAAATAAGTTCATAATTCAAGAGACTGGAATTTGACGTAAGAGTAGTGATGCCTTCTAATTTTGCATCCAAATTGATAGGAGCGAGTATATTATAATGATTTATGACTTTTTCAAAGAGGGTTGTCAAATAAAGGAACTTGCAAACAAAGCCAAAGGTGCGCAAATAAAAGTTATGTCTGATAAGGATGATTCTGATATCGGATAATGTAATATTGAATTTTAGATAATTAGATTGCTTGGTTTAAGTCATTGGATCAGTGGAACATAAATTAGAGGCTACAGTGTTAATCTTGGAATAGATAGAGTGTTTCAAAAATGGAGGACCTGTATTTAAATAATTAAAAAGATCCTTGAGAGCGGAAAGTACATTAATGAAAACTTTGCATAACAATACAAAAATTCAGTTTCGATCCAAGATATCAAACAAAAGAGGTTTCAACATTATTTTAATCTTTATCAGATAGAAATCCTCATCCTCCAGATCAAGTAGAAGATTGAGATCCAGATCAGATTCAAACAAAAGACATAAAAAATAAAAAAAATCTAGATCAACTAGGTACATCTAATCAATAGACAAGTTCAAACTAACGAAAAACCAAACAACATCCATTTTAGGCAAAGATAGTTGTTCCAATAAATTTAATTGAATAAATGAAGAAAAAATTAAATCGTATTGGAAAAGAATAGGGAGTTAATATATAAGCAGATAATAAAGTATCGATCACTCATAGGTTATTGTTAGGAATTCAGAGATGAATTTGTCCTAAAATTGAGAGGTGAAATGAAAAATTGCTTGAATGCAATCTAGCATATATTAAGTGAATAATGTAAATTATAAAGAAGATGAAAATCCATATAATTATCAATAAAACATCTCAATAATAATAATTATATAATTATTATTTATATTTCTATTTAAATGAAATAAACATTGAATTTTCAAAATACAAGATCTTTTGAAGAAAGGAAAAATGAATCTGATAATTGCAAATAACTCTATCCCAATGATGTTTTAGTAGTGGTGGAATAATCCAGCAAAAGTAAATTGCCAAAATAAAATTTTATAAAGTAATCTATAATTTTTAAATAGATTCAAAATGCCAAACACAATGACAATTATGAACGTTCTGTAATACATTAAAAGCAAAATTAAACTTTCTTAATACGATTCAATTAATTTGTATTGTGGCAAGACATTGTTGAGAATAGGTATGAAAATTAAATTAACTTAAAGATTAAACTTTAAAAGAATTATATCAATCGTTTAGAGATTAGGATGGCTTTCTTTATATCAATTACATAGAAATGAATTCATTTGGTACATAATTTTGAATTGATATTTTTCATTTATTTATTCATTTTCCATAAGTTAGTTCCTCGATGCTTTAAATTTCCTTCTCAACTTCATGATTCTTGGCTCTGTTTTGATTGGAAAGAAAAGTGTCCACAATTTACTTGGCAATCTCGATCCCAACAGTTCTGGCACCAAAAGAAATCACATTGCATCCTATTTCTAATGCCTTTAATGTTGAATCATAATCATTCACTTACCCGCATCTGATGCCCTTAACCTTGTTGGCCATAATTGAAATCCCCACTCCACTACCACATATTAATATTCCAATCGCATTAGATTTGATGACCTCTTTGCATACATTAAGAGCATAATCATTATAATCACAACTTTGGTTTGTGTGTGTTCCTAGATCTTCAATATCATATCCCTTTTTTTTACTATATTCTAATAAAGTATTTTTATAATCTAATGCAGCATGGTCATTTCCAATAAATATTTTAATTTAATTCATATTTATTTTTTTATTAAAAATACTACGTAATTATTTTATTTATACTAGTATATAAGTTCCTTTTTGATCAAATAAGTAATATGTTAAATAAGATTAATTAATAATGACGTATGTAATTTATGAATTACATAAATTGATCATCGTATAATTACTTTTTTTAAAATGTCAGATTTTATTCAATGGACATATGAAAATAGATATCAAATCTCTATTGATTTGGCAGCTGGGTCTATTAGTGGAATGTAATTTTCATTTTTTTAAAGATTAGAGCTAATTGCATTTCAAGTCATCCATTGGACACAGTTAAAGTCAGAATGCAAATGTCCGAAGATGGAGTTGTAACAACACTACGAAAAATTATAAACAATGAAGGAGTCAAAGGTTTCTATAAAGGAATGTCTTTTCCAATACTCTCTATACCAATAACAAATGCGGTTGTGTTTTCAGTTTATGAATTCTGGAGAAAATTTTTTATTGGAAATTCCAATAAATAACTTACATATTTCCAAACGTATTGATTTGATTTGAATCTTAGAGCATTCTGTGGAAGCATAGCTGGAAGTTCTGCTGCATTATTCTCGTGTCCAATTGAATTAACAAAATGCAAATTATAAATGCAAGAAACTGAAAAAATCTACAAAAATCCGATTGATTGTGTTTTCTAAGTATTTCATATACAAAAATATAATAGATTTACAAAAAAGAAGGGTTAAAATATATTTTTAGAGGAATGCATGCTACTCAATAAAGAGAAATTCTTGGGTATTCTGCTTAGTTCGCAGTTTATGAATTCATCAAGGACATACTTTGTGATTTATCTTAGAAGGCAGAACCTTCAACAGCAAACTTATTGATTTCAGGGGGTCTAGCAGGCGTTTCATGTTGGACAATAGGATATCCTTAAGATGTAAAATAAATCTATTAAAATGAAGACAATTAAGACCATCCTCTAATGTTAAACCGGCAAGACTTCAGGGATTTATAAGGTGAGATGTTATGATGGAGGGTTTTTGGATTGTTTGATGCAAAAAATATCTACTGAAGGTTTCAGTTCTGTTTGGAAAGGATACTCAGTTTGTGTCTTTCGGGCATTTTACGCTAATGCAATCGGGTTTTACGCGTACGAATTGGCCAAAGAATAACTAACCTCACTCTATTAATTTTGATGTAAATATATTGAATGTTTATATTTCTTTTAAATTTTGTACATATTATCTAATAATTTAGATTGTAATTAAACATTGTAACAGATATTTTATATTGAGTTTTGGAAAATATCAGTAAGATATTTAAATTAATATTGCTCCAATATCTTATGGGTAATAATCGTCGAATATGACCTACTAACTCAGTTATATTTGCAATTTACTTTTATCGCTCCCCGATGTCAATATAATAAACTATACAGTCAGATATTTAATTAAGGGAAAAAACGTATATAAATTATGAATTATGGAAGTAGGACTAATACACTTATAAGAAATCAATTTTAACTCATTGAGGCTCTTCTTCTTCTTAATATCGGGTTTTAAGAGATATTGTAATTGTCATATTAAGAATTTTCACAATCATATATTTTTTTCCCTATCTACTCTATTTCTTAGGTGTTGGTGAAAGTTTGAATAAATTTCTCATCACCTTTCTTTTTGAGGATGGAAACTGGAATCTTTTTTGATATCATAGATCTTTGCTTGGTTTAGGCACAACCCATCTTTTTTGAAATCCTTTAATAAATTTAAAAATAATAAATATAATCTAAAACCTAAAATAGGATGATTAATATAATATCATAATAAACATCAAAAGAGTTTTATCATCATATTCATTCAAGGGTAGGATCATGAAAGAGAACTGTGGGCATTTTTGGTCCTTAAGAACAGTTCTAATAATATTTAATTTAAAGTAAAAATTCTGTAAATGGATTAATTAAGTCCTTATATAATCTATAGCTGATGTGATCCATATCATCTGCCAGATGTAGAATACATTTATCAGTTTTACATGATTCTAATTATAAAACATATTTACTGTATAATTGTTAAGCTTATGAATAAGGAATGATGTTGTCAGCCAAACCATGCAAAATAAAAATAGGTACTTTCACTTTCTAAATTTGTTCCAAATTGTCAAATCTCTATCTAATGAGGAACTATGCCCACGAACCAATGTAATCTCGGACCGCTGCTTTAAGTGAAGTGAATGGAGACATTAAAGCCAAACATGCAGGTTTGTATCTATTCGCTATATAAGTGGCTGGTCCACTCCCAATACTTCTACCGAATACAATAATCCTGTTTTCAGCATATCCCAATCTCTTTGTCAGATAATTAAACACATATTCAGCATCATTCAGAATGGACTCAGCTGAAGGTTGTTCATTTTTGTATTTTCCGTATCCAGGATATTCAACAGCTATAGCAGATACCTATTTAAGACTTACTAAATTGCAGTACTTGTAAATTATCACGCAGATGTACTAAAAAATTATAGGATTATGTTATATCTTCACAATTGGCATGAAAATAGATCAAAATGTTGGGGGAATGTTTTTTTGAGTCCACATACATGCAAGGAATATAGCCATTGATTTGATGGGAATCCCTTGAATTTGATCTTGGAGGGGGCTATTCATCATCACATTCATTTTAATTTTTTTATTAATTGAGATCAATCAATTCTTAAGGTAATTTGATAAGTGGTTAACTGAAGCAGATACTCTGATTGACTCTTGTCCTTTTAATAGGGTAAAGATTTGAAGACATTCTACACAATTGAGGTTTTTTTGTGATAATCTAAACCGATTGCATATTAAGTTTCTGTAGTTTTTGTTGAACATCTGGACTACCCTCACTAGAATCAAATGTGGGTGAGTTTATGTCAGTAGTTTATCGCTTTCGTTATCTATTTGTAATTGGTTTCCATTCAAAATTTGGTATTGGCTGCAATTAAGATTCTCTATTCTCTAGAAATGTATATATTACGTGGGCTCATCTATTAAAAAATGATCTTCATCAAAATCTATTTCACTTTATTTGAAGAAAACACCCCTCTTCTTGTTTGTTCTTGGTACATAATTTTGAAAAGTAGGATAGAGTTTTGGATATTTTGGAATCCACAATATTTGGCCATGTTCATGATCATTAGATATTTCTTTTGGGGCTGGGAAAAAGATAAAGTCTAAATCCATAAAATTTATTATATTTAATTATTTCTTAAGTTTTTTATATAAAATAGAAAATAAAAAACCTCTAAATTATAATTAATAATTGTCTTCTTGATCTGAGATATATATCACTCAAGATATTTAAACGAATAAGATACAATATTTTGTAGTATTTACAAATACAACCGAGTAAATTAAAAGTATTTATCAATTTATTGATTTCCCTAAATTTTTAGCTTAATATAGCAAATCTATGATTTAACCATTTTTATGAATAATCTTTTTGTTTAATACAATTTATCTTAATATTCTTGCGCTTCCTAATATTTGATTTAATTTAATTTTTAAATCATTCAAGATTAAAATTGCAAGTAAACATTATTTAAAAGAAGATTTGTATTTTTAATTCTTTTATTATGTGAATACATTGAAGATATTCAACATCCCCATAGATTATTAAATTTATATTATGCTAGTCCATGGGGACTGTAATTGTATCCTGATAACTTCATAAGAAATTGACAAACAATAATGTGTATTATCAAGATTATCAATGAAAATAGGTGTACATTATTATAATACACAGATTAAATATATAACATAACATGGTTTAAAATTTATTTTTCATCAATATTTCCTAGAGTACTTTTTTGATTTATGAGTAGATCTTCTTTTATAGCTGTCACTGCTTTCAGATTTATTTCTCTACTTGGATCGAGATCGATCTTTACTTTAATAGCGAGAACGATCTTTGTTTTCAAAATTCTTGGAAGATTCTATAATTGAAAATAATATCTACTTTCATAATCATATTTGCTAGTTTTAGTATGCCTCCTTTGATATTGAAACCCACTATAATATTTATTATTTTTATATTTATCAGAATCTACAGATTCCTATCTTTTTCTTCTTTATTCTTGTGATTTATCAGACTCTTCGCTGCTTGACCCTAAGATGAATAAATATGAATACTTTTTTTATTATGGAATCTATTTCTGGAAAGATCATCCTCATAATATCGTTTATTTCCATCCCTGGACTTATCCTGTTTTTGAGATTAATATCTATGTCTTGATTTTGATTTATCATAGTAATCAGTTTTGTCATATTTGTGTCTAACATATTTTTCGGTTGGACTTTTTTGATTGTAATTATAATATTTGTGATGATGATGATGTTATTTATGTCTTTATCTAGTAGAGAAGTCTCTGCTTTTGTCTGATTCTGAGTTACTTTACTTTTTTTATGCTTTGCTGGAATCAGATGGACTTCTTTCACTAGTTTCCTTTTTAGTATCACTTTTCTTATTTATTTAAGGATATTAAGCTTGCAAGGATATCAATGAGAGATTGGGCACTTTCAGGTTGTCCTCCTCTTATTAATTATTAAATCTCTTTATAGTATCCTATTATTATTATTGTCCACTATCTAGGGTGGCTTGATCAGTGGGATACCTCTTAAAGCCTAGAATAGCATAGAGTATTCGTTTAGTTAATTGAATTAGATTCTTTTTCCTTAGAAATTATTCATGATCTGTTAAATTCTTTTGGATTTCCTTCCCTAAACAATACTAAATATATAATTGAGTTTCATAATCTCTCAAAAGGGAGGAGTAGCATCGTTTAACAAACCAATTCTCGAATTTTGATTCCCTATACTTCATGATATTGAATTGATAAAAATAAGGAGTGATGAGATCCCAATTCTTCATAAATGCCATGTCATTAGTCATCATCGTATTTTAAAGGTATTTGAATACATATCTGCACATTTGCATCGACATTTAATCTTAGAACTAATCTAATTTTAATTAGCATTGTTAATAAATCAAATCTGAAAAGTTTTGCTTTGTTTATATAATTTAATTTCTCAAACATAGTACCAATATTGTCATATTCTTTCTAGGATGAGAAGCCTCAAAAAGCAGAACCTTTGTAGAAGAGGAACTTCGTTCAATTATTTATTTGACCTACTTGCAAGATTCTTTATACTGAGGAGAGATCAAAACAGTAAAGTATGTCATTTCCTTTTCGTTATTTGCTTCTTATTCTAATAGTTTCTTAATGGCAGTGCTTGTCTCTTGTATTTGTTATAATGTTCCAATCAGACAAACCTCTTTCTCTCTGTATTAAATATAGAAGAAGGGGTGATTAATATCTCTTTGTGTTTGTTCTCCTCTCGCATTGTAAACGGAATCTCTTGAAATTCTAATTTCAGCATTTTATTTCAATTAAAACATATTTTGCTAAACAGACTTAGTTTCACTTCTACTGATGTACAATCTTTAAACACATAGAGTTTTTAATGTGTTCCTAATTTCAGTAGCTGTTTATTCTATATTTTGTTTAGATCCTTTAATTTTAATCGGAGTGGCTTTGTCCATTGGGAATATTTCCTCACTGTGTGCTAACGATTTATTGTAAATGATATTGACTTCTTATTTATTGTCTAAACTATTGCTAAAAGAATAATATTAATTTTAATTACAATTTGTTTATTAATCTCTTCAAATAAATGATAGGAACCTTAATCTATCCTTCTATAATCCCAAGTTCCTTCTTTAGTTCTTTAATTATTTGTTCCACCATATTCAGAATAGATCTAAAGATATTGATTTATTGGATAGACCCTATTACAGTAAGGTTGTTTTCCTTTTTGAAGAAATCAGCAACTTATTGATCAATCTGTTCAAAACTGATCTTGTTTCCAATCTTATAAATTAATTGGGCATTCTTCTTCACCACTTTCTATTCTAGTATATTAATTTTGAAACATTCCTTAATCATATCAATATTTAGGATATTCTATTATTGAATGGCTTCTATTTATTCATGTAATTCTAACTTCTCCTTGTACTACTCTTCGAATTTCTATTAAGCCACATCAACTATGGATTGCATTTATTACAACTTCCCAGAATCTTAAGGTTGAACTTCAATGGATGATTTATTAAATTAATCACTTTGATAGTATGATTTTCCAGTAAGGGGAACTGAAGGAACTTGTAGTTCTGAAGTGTTATTGTCTTCCTCCTTTTTTAATTCTTCATCTTGCCTAGTTGATAGATATTATTGTGGTTGTTTGAGTGACAAATACTCTCTTACAGTTTGCTTTTCTAAAGACTTCATAATTTTGTATCTATTATCGTATTCACTGTCAGAATCACTGCATGATGAGGATGAGAGTTCTTCTCTTTTCTTTTTCTGCTTTTTCTCATTATTATAAGATTTGACTTTCCTTTGTTGAATTCTCTCTAAATTAGTTTTCTCTTTTTCTTATTCCTCCAAAATGCGTTTTTCATCCTAACACTCTTGACAATACCAAGCATCTTTAGGGACTGATTCCAAGGGAGGGACCAAACACAATAAATGAAATCCACAATTGCATTTATCACACAATAACAATTACTCATCATCTTATGGTGTTTTGGTTTAACATATTTTACACACCATATTTTCCAAATGCTCCTCCCACTCCTCTTGAGTAACATCGGTTGGTTTCAATCCTAAATAACCCTTACACTTTGCGGCACCACATAAGCATTTCGTCAAGGGAGTATGAAAAACATCGAATTGATAATCAAATGTTAATTCTTCATCCTCATTTATATCACGACTTGCAAATATACCAATACAGACTTCTCCCAACACATTCCACTTCTCTGTTATACAATTCGGTTCGCAGGAATGATTGATGAACCTTGCCAAATTACCTTTGGTTGTTGGATCAATAACTTCCTAGTTATTCAGTTTCATTAAATATGTACATGTCGATTTCTAAATAAACACACAATTCAAACCGAATATTCTTGCACTCTCCTCCTCCCCAAAGCACTATTTATCTAGAAAATCTCTCCAATGTATTGCATTATAAATTGTCCTTTTTATATGCGGTCACCAGCATACAACCCCATTCCCTTTCCTCCACATTTAAGTGGATACACGCAAGCATCCTCATGCTTTTAAAATCTTCTATTCTTGCAAAGTTCTGCACATGGACAGAGTTCGACATCACATTCCGTACATGTGAATTTATTTAAACATCGATCACCGCAATTATACGAGTATTATGGTCCTTGGATACGACTAAATTTAATACAATCCTCTACCTTGATATTTGATCTTCAGGACAACAAATACACGAGCAAACCAGAGTTTCATCTCTGCTCACTCGAAATTGTTTTCTCTCTAAATACTGATTCTTTTTCAATAAAGTGAAGTATTTGAAACTTTCCTTCAGACCTTGCAATCTAGAAGGGGATTTCCCTGCAATTTATTTATTATCTGTTGAGAAATATATGAAATCAATACATTTCTATTCTTGGACGTCTCCTTTAAGATTGGCTAATCGTTCTTTTTAGTTTTGTTGCTCTCATCCATTTGCATTAATTTAAAATTATTATCATTAGAATAAATTACAAATAAATTATTTTACGCACATTTATCTGTCAAAGTCACAAAATTTTATTTAATAAAATTTTAATCATTTATTGAAAAGGTTGATCATTAATTATAATAAATATCCATAATACTGTTGTAGTAATAATCTATCTTAATTTCCTCATCAATTGGACATTTTTAAATTGCAAATCCAAGTAATTCTAAACATCTAAAATATCCTTTTTTCCATTTATATGGACATACATAAATTTCAAATCAAATTATTATACTCTTTAAGAGACTAAGATTGAAGCAAATAAAAATATTATACAGTTAATTTAAATGAATATGATAACAATGAAAGAAAGAATTTGAATAATATATTTATAAATTAAGAATTTATTCAATCTTTATAAGATTACATTCGGAAAAGATCTTGGTTTTTAATATTATGAGATATATTATTAGCAAGAGCCTTAAGATTTCAATTAAATGCAAACTATTTATATATAAAATCAATTAATATATGTTGGATAAGTTGTGTTATTAAAAAGGATAATCTACTGGTTTATAGGAAGTTGAAATCCAGTAAATGGGTATATTGAGAATATTGCAAACTGTTTATAGTGTGATATTGAGGGGTTTATTCACAAAATTCTAATTTTCAATATCTTTCTAATCTTATATTAAATGAACGTAGATTAATGTTCTTTTAATTAAAATTATTGGACAGTCTATATAATATATAAATTTTTATAATGAATAATACGAATAGTTTTCCCAAAATCCAAAAGGCATAATCAACAGTACAGTATTTTATATAAATATAGGCAAAACTTTTAATAAGGACAGAATGGGATTAGAGTATCAATTCAAGTATACCTATAACGATAAGAGCGGAAATGTCATAAAATCGAATGAAAACTGATATTACAAATAAACACTTTTAAACAAATTCTGATGTTTCTTATCTCAAAAATAAACATAAAAATTTCCAATCTATTGAAAGCAGCATTTACAAAGATCCAGAACTATCTTAAACAGTAAAAACAATATTTATTGGTTATAGAAATATGATAAATCTTTACAAAGTTTTTATAGTACAATGTACAGAAAATCATAAAACAGATTACAATTCAAAAATAAAATTGAAAAGACTACTATCAAGAGCGAATGGTTGGACTTTGAAGATTTGCTAAAAGATAAGAATTTGATGGAGAACGGGTTGTAAAAATACTTTTTTGATATTTTGAAACATGAAATCAAGCAATCACCAAATTTATCAGTTATTCCGCCGAATAGATAACAAGCTTTGGATTTGAAAGAGTGGTTGTTCTTCATGCTTCAAAGAACGAAGGATAAAAGCAAAAGTTTAACTGCTATTTAAATAGCTGAAGAAATTCAATTAATATACACATCTTGTTTTAAAGAAATTATAAAGTAACTATAAATTAAAAATGTAGATAAGTCAAAGCTGAATGTGTTGAGAGAGGAGAATTACTCTAAATTATATGGGACTTTTATATCCAATTGATTGATTAAGTAATTAAAAGTTCAAATTAATAAATGCAAATTGTTGAATAAGAAGTGAAAAATAAAATGATTGATCAGCAGAACTTTTATAATGAACAACTCCATTATCAAGAACTCATATATAATGAAAGCAAGAACTAAATCAAATAAATACAATTCGACTATGATCGAGCTTTGGATGTTGATTAGTAGCAAAAAGAAGAGATATTACAATTAACATCTGAATACAGGGAAGCACTTGAGGTAATAGAGTAACATAGAAAATAAATAGATGAATTGCAATTATAAATTGTCATGTTAAAAACAGAATAAATCAATGAGAACAATCCTGAAAATGAGAAAATTAATATCAAAGTGTAATAGGGATAGTCTATAGTTTCACATTTAATGAATTTTCAAGCTAAAATCGATAATAGTTAGAAGTATAGAATCAAATCTCCATTCAAATCATAAGGCAGTAAATCCCCTGGCAGATCACCTAAGAAAAATAGTGTCATCTTTGACAGATGGGAATAATTAAGGAATTAAGAAAATTAACTGAAATCTTAGATCATATCATTAAAATATTTAGATTTTGATAAAGATCAACAGCCATCATAAAATAAAATAATATAAATAAGTGGAACAACAGATCAATATGTACAAACTGATGAAGATTAAATTTGGAATTAACACACTAATCTTTAATTTTAAAGCGATTCAACTCTCGAGAAGGCCAAAAAAGTATCAAATGATCTGGAATAAAAAATATCAATGGCTTTGAAAATGTTAGCAGAACAAGAATTAGATGAGAATAAAAAGTTATTGTTATGCAGAACATTAAGTGAAAGTAAAGAAGTTTGTGAATAAAATAAATCATTATCAATGAGATTGATTACAATGAATAGATTAGATTCAATAAAAAAAATGGAAATATTGGAAAAGGAGGAACTATGCTAAGAATTGGAGATGAAACTACAATAAACGGTCTAAGATTTTATCTCCATAATCTCGAATAATAAAAAGAAAGTACATAGATTAGCGACCAAAAATACATAGTTGATAGGGACTTTGAAATAAATAGAAAGTAAATATGAAATCAAAATTAATGATGTCAATGCAATTGAAGAGGAGGAATTTTAAAATAATAATGATATGGATCAAGATGGAGATTATAATGAATTTAGCCCTGGTAAGGAATTTTAGAATTTAGATGATGATAGCCATCCATAAGAGGAAACAATCAGAATGGTAGATTCAATTAATCTAAAAAAAAAAGTTGTTTAAAAATCTTAAAAAAATTAGAATGCTGACTCAGAAACTTATAATAATGATTAACTGGAATAAATAGAGAATGGCTTTAATAATTAAACCTACCAAAAAGATATTAGATACCTATAAGATATGGATAACAGTCAAAAATAGTCTTCACATATGGAATTTAATGATGAAGAGATGTTAAAAGATTCTAGAGATTAAATACCATCTGATCTTTTAACAAGTTCTCATCAAAAGATTAAAAACAAAGAATTAGATGAAAATACTCCATTGAAAAATTTAGAATTGAAGTCACCTACAGCAAATAAAAATTCGATCAAGGGTAGTCTCACAAATTAAAAATCAATTTAGAGAATTTCATAATAGGGAGATTCCAAGACTATCAATCAATAATAATATCACCTAAGAAACAGTAAAAATTAATTAGACCAAAATTCTATGAAGCTTGGAAAACAAAATTCTAAACACAATATAAGCAATAGTCCCATAAGAGAGAAGGATGAAATTTCGTAAATGAGCCTAAGCTAGAGAAGTCAAGCAGAATCATAGGATGATGAAAACAATCGTGCTCAAAGAATTAAAGATGTCATATCGTAATATAAAGATAAGCAATTTTCAAAATGTAGCTCTTATTTCTTATTATTTAGATTCCTTTGTTCATAAAACACTTAATTATAATTTACTCTAAGAAACTAAACAATCTAAAAGATTTAGAAGGGTTTATAGTTAAAATACTGATGTAGCTAATAATTTACTTAAATAAGTAATGAACAGTAAAAATTTAACTAAAACTCTATCTTTTCTTCAATTCAACAAAATTATCAATTAAATATTAACTGAAGTTTCAAAGTAAAGCGAAGCTTATAAAATACCATTCCATGTTTGTATTTATGATTTCATAAAGAATAAATATGGATTTAAATAAGTTGCTGAAAAAAAAATAAAATAAGTATTCATTATTATTATCTAAAAGATCTATGAATTTATCATAATTGAGAAAGATAAGAATACAAAGGTTTAGTTAATTTCAAAATATTGTAACCTAAAAAACGAAATTGACGAAGTTGCTCAAAAACTTTTGATTGAAGCCTTTGTATTTTTCAATAATAAAATTGAATCCAATAAAACAGAATTTCTAGTTACCTATGAATCAGCGAGTGAATTTTTAAATGAAAAATCTTAACTTTGGTTACAAGCCAACTAAATACAATAATTATAAACTTAGTATAAAGTCTTAGTCTAATAATATGGATCCAATAAATATACTATTAATTTTGATTAATTCATAATGAAAATCTTAGATTTTTACGTCTTTAATAAAAAGGACTATTAAAATATTTTGGAAACGTTATTTAAGGCCGCAGATTTAGATGGAAATAAATTAATTGAATACTAAGAAGTAAAAAATATAAAATTAAGAATAGTTTAAAACTCTTTATAGAGCAATCCACACTTAATAGGTGTTAAATGAAAGTTTGTTATAGGTATTTTTAAAAAACGCTGACTTCGCTGATGACTAAGGGGATAAGTATCTCACCTTACCAAGGTTTACTGAAATGGCAATTGAATTAGCCATTTTCCCCAAAGAATCAGTTATTAGGTATGGAGAAGGATGTGAAAAGATTAAAGAGCATTGGGAAACTGAGAAAAATACCATAAAACTCAGATTTTTAGAAGCTAAATAATATTCGAAAGTTAAACACACATTTATTGAACTAGATAATTTGATAAACAACAATAAAAAAGAAATTCAAAGTATTATATTATTCTAATAATTAGATATATTATGGATGAGCTATAAACTTCTTAACGAACAATCTTTGAGAGTCTATCTTAAGTATTATTTATGCTTATTTCAAGATATTAAACTTAATAGTGTCTTTCTGAATTGCTGCCTTTGGAAATTTTAGAAATTCAATAGAGATATCAGTAATTAGATACAATTGAATGAAATGATTCATAATTATATATAAATTAAATTTTCTTTTTAATTCTATTGAATAGCTTAATTCTTTCTAAAGGACTCTATTCAATGTAGAATTAAGCGGGAGTATGAAAATATTATAATATTTAAAGTTATTTAATATTAAAAATGGGAAATACTTAATTAACGGATTAATAGATTCTTTTATACAAGAATGAAACGCAATGTAAGTCCTTTATTTTATATTAAAGTCACTCCTAATTAAATAAGAAGAATACACAAGAAATTCTAATAGTTGGACACTAACAATAAAGGTTTTGTGAGTGCAGCTGATTTTATTAAAATCATACAACAGCATAAATATAGCCCATTGTTAATTTAATAGTTGATTGGTCGAAAATAACAAGAAATTGATTTCATTTCATTAGTTAGATTATTAAATGACATTTAATTTGGGGATAAAAATGCTCTATTGACAAAAATAATGGATCAAGATAGAGATGGATTAATTGGTACGGAAGACATTTAGAAAACAATAACAGTGTTAAATCCTAGTTGTTTCAAGAATTCTTATGAATTATCTCAATAAATAGTTAATGATAATGAAAAACTAACATAAAATAGAATGATTAAATTATTAATAGATAATTGATTATTATGTTATTTTTTATTTACTTATGGTTAAATTTTGGCAATATATTTATCCCAAGTTACTTAGATATGTCACTGTTTTAATGGTGAAAAACAATTCATTTGAAAAAGGTAATTTTCGTTAAATTATTTTATTTATAATAGGTTAATTATTGTTGAGAATATAGTTTTTTAACTATTTATTAAAAAACTCTTTTTATATATATTTCTTGATTATTTTTATGGGCAATATTTGTTTGTCTCAAAATTAGACAGTAAGTTAAAAAGGAAAACTGCTTCGCATATGTGGTTATACTAATTTAAAGTAGCCTAATAAATAAATTTTACATCCATAGATATAGAACCTAGCATAAAATTTAGATACATTTGAAGAAGATTTTTTTAAAAATGAATTTCTATTTGATATTACAGACGAAAACATAACAAACAATTGTTCTAGCAAAATTAAGTTAGAAAGGGTAGACTTGGTTGATATTTAACCAAATATAATGCAAGAGCGCCCCTCCTTAAATTTCTTAGGCGAATAATAAATTCAATACAAAATCAATCTAAACAGAATTTAAGATGAACCCCTAAATTGTGCTTTTATAAAAGAGAAAAGTAAGAAAGATGAACGGTCATTTAAAAAAAGTTAGAAGTCACATAATAAACCAGTATAAAAAAAAAATCAACCAAGAAGCATTTTAAAACAAAAGAAACAAAACCACCCGTCTTGGAGCAACTTTTCAGACAAAAGTCGACAGCATTCTGTTTCATTCAACCTCTTACCAAGCAAAGTCAATGACATAAGACCTAGATCAATGACTCCTTTAATTCTTACTTGTAACAGTGGATAAGTATAAAATATTCCTACAAAATGCACTATTTTTATGTAATAATTTCCATACCTATGATTTTGATTAAATTTTTTTAAAACCCAAAACATAGCAGTTATAAGCAATTTATAATTGAATATTAAAGGAATTATTAATAAATTTTATCTTTTTATATGAACTTTTAGGAATATGCAAAAAATTATGTCCCATCACTTTGATTATTTTTAATTAAGTAATAAAGAAAGCATAAATTATTTTTTTTAATATAACAATAAAAATAATGCATACATATGATATTACTGCAGAAATTTTGACTCCAAGGTTCTTGGAAGCTTGTAGAAGAGAAGGCTTTCATGAAAACGAACTTATAAGGAAAACTAAAGCATAAGTCGTTTAAATGGTAAAATCAAAAGATCCATCTCTTACAGATGATTTTATTTGCGAGATTGAAAAGCATTTGGAAGAAAAACGAAAATAAAAGATAGATTTAGTGAGAGCATAAAGATAAAAAATACTTTAAGAAAATGGACCTAGAAGTAAGAGTACACATAATTAATCCTAATTAAATTTTAGTTCAATTAGCTACGCAGAAAAACAATCAAAAATATTAGAGACTATTAAAAGAAGGTAATAAATAGAAATTGATAAAATGATTGAGCAAGAACAACTTAAAGAATAATAAGAAAAGGATATGCAATAGAAATTACTTAAATAAGCAATTTAAAGAGCAACAATTTTAAGAGGAATTAAAAAGGAGACGGGAGTATAATGAAATGAAAAAACAATAATTAGAAAAAGAAAAGCTTAAAAAAGAGTAAAGAGAAAAAGAATTATAAGAACAAAAGTTAAAAGAGAACGAAATTAAAGAACAAAAAAGGAAATAACGAGAACTCGAAAGTATATAAAGGGCTAAGTTGGAAGCAGAATTTAAAGAGAAAGATAGAAAATAAAGGTAGGATTAGATTTTAAGAGAATAAGAATAGTTTTAATTAGAATAATAGAAATTATAGGAATAAAAAAAATAATTAATAGAAGAAAAAGAGAGAAAAAGATTGTAATTAATTGAATTCAAGAATGAGGAGAGAAAGAAATTTGCAGAATTAGAGAGGAAAGAATTTGAACTAAAATTAGAAAAAGTTAGAAAATATAATGAAGAAATGATGGAGAGGAAAAGACAAGATTATCTAAAAAGAGAGGCTTAAGTTGAAGCAAAAAGAAAAGATTTTGAACAATTCTTAGATTATGTGAAGTAGTAGAAGTAAAAATAAAATCTTGATAAGTAATAGCAAATTAATAAGATAATGGTAAAAAATAGTTTAATTTTAAGTAAATGAATATCACTAAGGAAGAAGAAAAGAGAAAAAAATATGATGCAAAGCAATTAGAATATTTGAAAAAGAAAGAGTTAATGGATGAATTCTAAAAATAGTAAATGGAAGAAAAAATTAAGAAATATGAAGAGAAAGAAAAAAAAATAAAACTTATATTATTTAATAATGAGTTTATGTAAGAACAGCAAAGGAATGATTTAGAATAAAAACTTAATAAAACTCAACAGAAGCTTAGTAGTTTGAATAATAAAAAGGAATTTGAAAACAAATACAGGTAAAATTATATAGAATACGACTAGAATCACTTAATAGATTATAAAAGAATTAGACACTGAGGATAACGTAAGGAGAATGGAATAATTAAGTGGATATCGAAGATTGAAGTTGGAATAGAAAATGACTAAGGATGAAGAGAAATGTTAATAGATGAGAAAGGATAGAGAATAAATTAGTAAATTGGCAGACTAAATAAGAAAAGAAGCAGAAGAAAAAAGGAAGATGTTTATGTTAGATTATGAGAAAAAAAAAAGAATGCAATCTGATGGATTTCGAAAAATGAATTCATCATTAGGATAATGATAAGATTTTTTATTCAAAAACACTTTTAAGCCTATTTATTATTTACTTAATCTTGAGGAAACATCTAAATCTTTAGGATTCATTATTATTTTGCATTCTCTTTTCTTCAATTTCAAATAGAAGTAAATGTCTCCTTTCAAAATCCCAATTATTAAAATAACTAGTATTATCGACTTAATCCTGAAAATAGAATACCGACTTTTTAAATGTTTTAATGAATGTATATCAAAACTACCCCATATACCTAAAGAATTCCTCCACTACTTCTTAAAAATATGATCAATTTCTTATTTATACTGAAATGGATATTATTCTCATTACTAGTTTAATGAATCTAATATATTCATCTAATTAATAACATTAAATTATAGCTTTCAATTGTGTGTTTATACACATTGATAAGTAAATTTATAGGTTTAAACTGGATTTGCCTAGAAAAATTTCAAATGAAATTATTTTGATTTAGATTAGTTAATTAAAGATATTGATTTATAAATTGAATGATTTATATCTCCAAAAGTTCCAAGACATCCTAAAGTGTTGTCTTAGGCTTAGAAACACATTCAGATGATGATTTTGGAGCAAAAGAAATAATAAGATATAGTACATAAAGTTAATATTTACATCTAATCGAAAAAATACACTTTTTAATCGATAAAAGACTAAAAGAAGTAATTAAAAGAAAGGACTTATTGATTGAAATCAAATCATAAATTAAATGATTCATAGTCTTTTTCATTAACAAATTCTAGTTGTAAATCATGTAAATCTGCTTCTTTTTTACATTATAATCTAACAATATTATTCTCTTTCTTTGTTTACTCTTTCTCAATTAATCCTTCAAAAATATTAGGCCTATTTTAATAAAATAATTATACTCAATTTTTATTTTATGATCCTCTCCTAATTTTTCTATAGTAAAAGTTATGTCTTTATTCTCATGCTCTTTATCTCCTATTTTTATTTTTTTTAATTTATTCTATATTATTTTCATATAATTTACATGCAAAATTTCACTTGTTTTATTAGTCTCTTAATTTGGAGATGCAATTGATTTATCACTCTTTCGAATTGATTTAAATTCAATTATTGGACTCACTAATCCGATATTGTTTTTTTATTGCTAAGGCAATTATAAACTATTTAATGGCTAAGTATTGAAAAACAATTTTTCCTGTTGAGAATTAAAGATGTTTGTTGGTTAAAACTTTTTAGGGGGTGTTGATAGTTTTTAATCAGATCCAGCTTATTCAAATGATGGAGGTGGGGCACTTATTACTATTTTTGTATTTTGATTATTCTCTTTTTGTTTTGGTCCTTTGATCTTCATAATTCTTTATATATATATAAATTTACTTTCTTTCCTGAATTTCACTAGGAGTATTAATAACACCAACGGAGGGCAATACTTCCTCGTCATCTTCATTCTTTCCAATGTCAAATTATGGTTTTCTTTTGGACATTAATTTAATTATTAGATATTCCCGCTATTCCTTAAAGTCTTAAAAATACAGAAAAATATTTTTAAGCTTAGTTGCAGATTTTTGTAAGGCATTTCAATCTTAAACATTTTTATAACAGTATAATGATTTTAATTATCAACTCATCATTTATTATACTCATTTTTATTATATATTTTGATTCGTATTTAAAAATTGCTCTATTTCAACCTTATAGATTTTTATAACAAGATAATATCAACACTAATAATAAAAATGAATTAGTTCAATGTATTTCTATTATTATATTTGATAAAAATTTATTTAAAATTAGAACAAATCGCTTTACTTTAAAGGAGGAAGATCTATCCTTATATTTCTAGGTGAAATTAATTTGGACGTTAATATTTTATAGATAAAGAAAGCAATTATTAATTTACCAAAACACAATCAACTTCATTTTAATCAAAAAAATCGAAATAGATTGTAAATTTCAATAAATTGCTTGAATGTTTAGAGATATTTAAATTTTATTTTATCTCATTACCAATTAATTTAAAGTTTAATATTAATCTATATCTAGATAAGAAACAAATTGCTCTCTATCTATCATGAGATGTTACTAATAATAAATTAAGAAGCTTTTTGCAAATAAAGGATGATTCTTGAATACAGGTATAAAGATGACGAAATTATTTATAATAAATGATATGATAAATGAATCATAATGGTTTTTTAGCTATCAAGGACAATGATTCAACTGTAAATGGAAGATTTTAAGTCAATCTATTTGATATTTCTTATTTATATAATGCATAGAATTAATCCACTTATTCTTTTGGAGCTTTATCTAGAATTTCTTTAAATTAGGGGAAAATGTAATTATCATTAATTTCAAAAAGATCAAACGGAATGGTTTGATTCCAACATACTATTTAAATCAATCATTATTTTATTACTTATATCTTAGAAACCATGTTTACTCATAAAATTTATTATATCTTCTCTTGTTTCAATATTAGTTGGTTTAAATGGTATTTCTTTAATTAAACCAGCTTCTATAAAGCATTTAGTCAATGTTTTCATCATTACATTTCCGGAAGCAACAGGAATTACAATTCCTATTTTGCCTCCAGGCTTGAGTACTCTGAAAGCCTCTTGTATTGCTTAATCTTTATTCTCTACCAAATGTATCACCATATTTGATATATATATATCAAATTAATTGTTATTCAATTATGGTAATGACTGGACATCTCCCTAAAAAATTTTATAGTTATTTTATTCTAACAATGGACAATCTAATGATGATATATCAAAGGTACTTAGATCAGCATTTTCAATTTCTTCAGGGCTGATTTCTGAAATTCCTCCATGGAGTGGATTATTTAAAAATTTTAGCATTCTTGCTGCGGCTAGTTTGACCATCTCAATAGAAAAATCACATGCAGCCAATTTACAATTGTTTTTCTTTTATTGTAGAATATATTAATGTAATTGTCCGCCTGCACATCCTGCATCTAAAATCCTAAAATTATTCATTAGTATTACTCTTCTGCTTCTTCAAATCTCAGCATATTCATTAAAGACAGTTAAAATGAAGCCGGATTTTTTTAAATGTTTAAATAACTTCTGCTGTAAGCATCCCAAGTGTGGTGATTCATGAATTAAAATTTTAAGATTTTTGAGTTTGAATTGTTGAATTTAAATTCTAAATTAGTGCGTACTATCTTTTGATGAAATCATTGTAAATATTCAATTTCGTCATTATTTTATTACCATATAATTAAAAAGAAATTTCTGAATTCTTAATTATTATTTGCGATTCCTTTCGAATATCAATAATAAATTAAAAAAGATTAGAGAAATATGCAATCTCTTTTAAATTCTTAATTAAATACAATCATAGATAAAAATAAGAACTTATCTTCTGAAATTTGATTAAGATTGTAAGATCATAAATGATTAGTATTGAATCCTGATATTACTAATATAATCTGATTGTATTTTAGATATAATGAGATAATCTCAATTAAACTTATATAACACATTTTTTATTTATAAATTTTTATAAAGCTCATAGCAATAATGTATTAGGATCCTCAATATAATATTTAAATCTTTGTAACCATTATGCACCAACAGCTCCATCAACTACTCTATGATCACAAGATAATGTAACATCCATTTAGTTTTCAACCCTTAAAATTATATAATAAATTACTTAGGTTAGCCATTTTCATCAGGAACAAATCTCTTACTTGTTTTTCCGACTGCTAAAATAGCTGCTTGAGGTGGATTAATAACAGCAATAAATTAGTCAATGCCAAACATTCCTAGATTTGAAATGGTAAAAGTGCCACCAATAAATTCTTAAGGTTTAAGTTTATTAGCTTTGGCCTTGTCAGCTAATTCCTTTACAGTTGATGCAATTGTACCAAGTCCTTTGCTGCCTGCGTTAAAAACAATTGGAGTAATTAGACCAGCATCAGTGGCAACAGCTATGGAGATATCAGCATTTGCAAATTTTCTAATATATGTTCCATGCCATTATGAATTAGCTTATGGGATATCTTTCAATGCCAAAGCACTCGCCTTGATTATGAAATCATTGACAGAAATTTTAACTTTTTATAGTTTATTTAATTCTTCTCGCACTCTTTTAATAATAAAATAGATGTTACTTTAAGACTTTATCCATGGTAACTGTCATAGTTAAGTAATAGTGAGGTATTGTTGTTTTTGATTCTAACAATCTAGCAGCAATTGTTAATCTCATATTAGTAAGCTCTGTGTCAATATATGGATTGCCTTCAATAGCAACTGGTTTTGAAGGAGTTGCTGGTTTAGTTTATTATTTAGCTTCAGCAGGAGGAGTTGTTTATTAAATTGGTTGTTCTGAAGAAATAGCCTATGTTTATTTTGATTATTTAAGGAGTTGAAACAGCTTATTATTATACTTCAGGTTTCGATCCAGATTAAAGAAATCTCTCAACATCTTTTTTCACAATGCTTCCTTCTATACCAGTACCTTTTACATACTCTAAAGCAACATTATTCTTTTTTGCGAACTCTTTAGCGAGTGGTGAAACAAATATTCTCTAACCAGATTAAGAAACTGTTTATATTGGTGTATCACTATTGGTAGATTATTATTATTCTTATGCTGGTTGGGCTTAAGTAGTTTTAGCAGGTGCAGCAGCACCATCAAGAGTATAATTAGCAAAGCTAGATACATTATCCTTCTTTGGAGTTGAGATTGCCAATATCTAAAATTAAATTATAATTTACAGTTCCTAATTTGATATCTTTACTTCCAGCTGGTACCATTAATTTTGCAATGTAACCTTCCTCTTGAACTTCAAATCCAACAGTAGCTTTGTCTGTTTCAATCTCGCAAATTACATCACCAGGACTTATCTAATCCCCTTCCTTAACAAGCCATTTCATTAAATTTCCCTTTTCCATAGTTGGGGATAAAGCTGGAAGTCCTAATTTGGAGTGTTTAGGAAGTGCACCTCCTGTGGGTCTAGATGCTGCTTGTTAAGGTGGCGGTGTTTATTATGGTGGAGAGGCTGGCTTTGAAGCAGCTTAACTTTACTCAGGTTATTTATTTGGCGAATCTTTGAAATTTGCAAATGCTGCCACATCTGATTACTTTGGAACAATTACTGCAACTAATTACCCAACTTTGACTCCCTTTGAGCCTAATTTAATTTATTTAATATTATTTACCTTCGGGGACAAGGATTTGAGCTAAGAATCCTTCATCTTGCATTTCAAATCCTACGGTTGCTTTATCAGTCTCAACCTCACAGAGTACATCGCCTGCTGTAATTGGGTCACCTATTTTCTTTAAGTACTTCTAAATATTGCCTGTCTCCATTGTTGGCGATCTACAATTATATTACTTCTAAAATACAGAGCAGGCATTTCTAATTTCTTATGCTTTGGCAAGGATGTAGAGAAATAACTAACAGGAATGTTAGTAAAAAGAGGTCCTCTTATTGACAATGTTTGAAGAGGTGTACAATGCAATAATTTTGGTCTAAAGACTTACATCACTCTTAAGGCATGCTTTAACATTTTAATTTAATTAATATAATGCACATTAGAATAGGTGGCTGTATTGTTATTGATATTACATATCAATGCATTTCTGTATTAAATTATTTGATGCACAATTCGATTTCATAATTTTTATTTCTCAATCAAGTTAAAAGACTATACGTTCACAAATTAATCAAAATAGCATCCTTATATAGAATCTATCCGATTCACGCAATTAAGGATTTAATAACTTCAAAATATAATAATCAGTAAGAAAAAATTTCATTAATTTTATTGTGACAAACTTAAATTATGAGAAAATATTGAATCAAACTTTAGAATTAAGTCTATGAAGCCGTATAATTTATTAATCTAATTAAAGTGTGCTACTTCTCTCATCCGATACAAGAATTTATATTATTTGAAGAGTCTTCTTTATTTTCTCTGTTATTTTTTCATCTTGCTATTAATCAACGACTGCTTTATTCAAATAATTCAGTGAATATCTTAGAAAATCTTATGAAAGAGTAAATTTGCTATGGAATATTTTTTAAAATTCCTCCTCTTTCAACAATATAGGATATTTATTCTTTATCTCCCTTTCTAATTCAAAATAATCATTTTGGCAACTAACAAATATTACTTTTTTCTACTATTTAGATTATTCCTCTAAATAAGCCAAATAGTAAATGTTCACAAGCTTTAGATAAATAAAAGCTAACTTAATCTCTTTCCCATTTAGAATTAATTAATATACTTTATAAAAATAATTAACCAAATCTAACAAAGAAATAGTTTTATTATTTGAACTAGTATTATTAGGATTAGGATTGTTGTTTGTATTATTCTTATTATTATTATTAGTATTAATATTATTATTATTGTTGTTGTTATTAATCAGATTAATTTATGATGGATATTAAGGAGTTTTTAACGGAAATTTCTTTACATCAGAGTTTTAAGTATTTTACTACTAATTTTATTATGATGGAATATAATTAACTTATGATGTTATATTCCTTTAATTAATATTATTTAGTTATTGCAATAGTTTTTTCCTCTTAGCACTTGAATTGCTATTTTTAGTACTTCTTCTATGTTCATCTTATGAATTGTTGTCTCTTGTATTTTTTTAGTTATCAGGAGTAGATTGAATATCCTAAATAGGAGTTTAATTTGATTATGAATTAGAATTAATATTGCTATCATTATTATTGGTCTATTATTATTATTATTATTATTATTATTATTATTATTATTAAGGTATTTAAACGATTGTTTCTTTTTCATCCTAGTTTAATAGTTCTTGTTTTATTTTAATTTGATTTTCATTTAATTTTATCTATTCATCAACATTTCTTGGTTCAAGTAAAGAAACAGTGTCACCGGCTGTAAATCTTTGATTTGGATCTATTCTAATTAAGTATTAGATTAAGGCTTAAATCTTCTTAGAAACCCCAGTGTTTGGAAAAGCTAATTTACCATGTTCTTTAAACTTTAATAATGTATTTTTCAATATATCATTGTTGTCAGAATAAAATGGAGATAATCCATAGACCATCTCATATAAAACACAACCTAAAGACCACATATCTGCTTAGCAATTTATCTCATTATCGAAGAGAACTTCTGGTGCCATATATAGAGGAGTGCCTATTATAAACGTTTATTAAGCCTAATCTATTTTCTATGCAAATCCAAAGTCTGCTAAAACACATCTATCTGATAGTAATATGTTTGCAGATTTTATATCTCCATGCACTAGTGATATTTGAATGCACACTTACTTATATTATGCTAATGAATATTTTGTAAAGCCTTTGCAATTTGTAGAGTATATTGTAGTGCCTCTTCTTCTGAAATTAGAGATCGTTATAATTTTTGTAAAAGATCACCTATCAATTTATAGAGATTTATTACCTTTGTTGCAAAATTCAGTCACTAAAAATGCAGTTTTATTGTTTTGATTATGATATAACAGTTTAAGTATGTGAGGAGAATCCAAAAGTTTAAGAGTGTTGATTTCGTTTTCAATCATGTAACTTTGAATTGGGTTGTTAGGTTGGATCGTTATCACTTTAACCGCCACTACTTTGTTTGGCTTATTCTACTCATATCCTTTATACACAACAGAATATTATCCTTTTCCAATAATTTAGGAGCAATCAAATACATAAGGACCAGTCTAATTAATATTAGTTCTTACAGACATTAAAAGAGACTACTTACGTGGAAGATGTAAGTTTACTTGAGTAGGAGGAGATTTCACTCTTTCTTATGGACTTAAAAATCTAGCACGTCTTATCATGAATTATTATTAAATTAATATAATTATCGAAAATTTGAATTCACTTCTCCTATGCAAAATTCAGTTATTTATGCTCGTGTTACAAATTAAATTTTAATAAATTTATTCAATTCCAGTTCATAATTTTGGATATATTCTATTATAAAAAAGTCGAGATTTACTCAGTACTTTTATGTTTTCCGATAAATCACATTTGTATTACAAAAATCTTAATTTGTTTTATTCTTGATTAATAAGTTCATATTTTATGAAAAATTAAATTAATAGTAAAATAATTTAAGCGGATTCATTATTTCTATATAAATATTTTGCTTTTTCTATTAAATATCTTTAACAATTTATGAATCAACCTCAAGTTTGGGATGCATATAGTAAAAGTTATCATAATATTGAAAAAAATCCAGCAGGATTTCAATTTTCTTTGCTCAACATGTTGAGATTGAATGAAGCAGATGAGTAAACCATATTATAATAAACAAGAATTCTCGATGCTGGTTGTGCTGGAGGACATTTGCATTAATATATTTTATAGTAAAGAAAACAAAAATGCAGATTAACAGCATTTGACTTTTCTCTTGAAATGACGAAAATTGCAGCAGCTAGAATGATAAAATATTTTAATAATCCTTTACATGGTTAAATTGAAGATATTAGTCCATAAGAAATTGAAAATGCAGATATAAGTATTTTTGAGACTCATCATATAGATTGCCCATTATTAGAAAAAAACAACTATAAAATCTTTTAAGGAGATGTGTAATCATTGCCATAATTGAATGAAAATTAATTTGATATTTATATTTCAAATTTAGTATTACAATTAGTGGGAAATAAAGATTAAGCTGTTTAGGAGGCCTTTAGAATTATAAAGCCCGGAGGTAAAATAGGAATTGTGATTCCTGTTGTATAAGGCAATGCTCCAATGTTATCCTTATAGTAATGCTTTATAAAAGCTGGTTTAATACCAAATAATGCATATAAACCTACTGAATTAGAAAATCGAGAAGGATTAATAAATTTTATGAATAAACATGGTTTTAAGGATATAAGTAATAATATAATAATTCATTTAAATAGTATGTTGGAATCAAACAATTCCGTTTGATCTTTTAGATATTGATAATAATTACATTTTCCCATAATTTAGAGAAATTCTAGAAAAAGCTCCAAAAGAACAAGTGGATTAATTCTATGCATTATTTAAATAAGAAATATAAAATAGATTGACTTAAAATCTTCCATTTACAGTTGAAGCATTGTCTTTGATAGCAAAAAAACCATTATGATTCATTCATCATATCATTTATTATAAATATTAATTATTTTTATAACTAAAGGACAAAATAATCAAATATCATCCTTTAATTTGTTGATAACTCCAGATTATAAGGTTTACAAAGTATGTTAATTGTTTGATATTACATATCAATGTTTTGGCTTTGGCAATTATTCCTAGGAGATTTTACTTTAGATTTCATTAATATTTTTACCTGAATATTACTATTAAATGTAATAAACCAAAAAATATTATAAACCCAGATAATAAAAAATATAAATATTTGGAAATGAAAAGTTATCCTCGGTATCCTGGTTAGATTAACCTATCATGATTGTGTTTTCTTTGAATCAAAAATAGCTCCATTTTATCTAGATTAATGCAATATACCAACTTAAAGAATTAGTTTCCTAAAATCGAGTATTGGCTATGTTGGAATACACCTAAAAGACATTTTTATTCATTGTCTAAATATTTAGGGTTTAGGGGAAGATTAAAAAATTGGGTAATCCATTGAATGAAATTTTAATTTTTGGAATCTTATCAACAAACTCTGGTTTTGAAAATAGACACATTAATCTCTTATTGTCAATTGAGCAGAACTTAGATGTAATAGAATAGTTTACCAAGCTTTAATGGTTTTTTATTTAAGATATTATCTATTTAATGACATCTTAAGTAAAATAATTGTATTTAGTTGTTAAATCAAATTTAATAAATTCATTATCCTCTTTCTTAAGAAATTAAATATCTTTAAATTACTATTGATATTATTTTTTTCATCGACCGTGAGCTTAATTTTAATAAGCTATCGATTTTTAGAGTTAATAGCTGACTAATAAAATATATTTTATTTTTTAAGAGATTCTTTTAGTTTTGTTAAACTCAATGATATTACTGATTAGAAATATCAAAGGATTGAAAAAATCTAAAATTTATCTAATGAATTTTGATATAACATCATATTCTTATTTTATATCATAAATAAGTATTCTTTTTTAGATATGATGCATTTATTTGAGTTTTACAATGCCATTGTTTGAAAATTCGAAAGCATCTGCCAACCATCTGTTTCTTTAAAATCGAATTATTAAATAGATGCTAGACAATTAATACATAAACATAAATTGTTATTTGTTAAATTTTTGGAATATATCCAAGAATAAGAATCATAATCAACTCACTTGACTTAAACAACCAGAAATATACCCTACCTTCGAATGAAAACAAAAATTATAGTAATATTTTATTGATATTGTAAATTATTATTTAATAGTCTGAACCAGAAATTTTTAAAGAACCTATGAAACTATATACATATTAATAATTAAAGAGTAAAGATTTATTTATTCTGCATTGATTAATGTGGCTGATAAGAATAAAAACATTGATAAAGTTAAGAATAATTGATTAAATTATAAAAGATTAAGTGGTTGTAAGCAGGAAAAGAAGATGAATACAATGTATTAAATAAAATTTAAAGAACATATTTTGGCCAATTTTGAAATAAATTTTGATGAGCAAATGATTTGTGATTAATTCAAAAAAGACATGGATAATTGTTAAAGTATATTGTAATATAGGTATAAATAATTTCGATAATTCTTGATAAATAAAAATAAATACATAAACCATTTACAGGTTCGAGCAATCATTGGATCTCGGTAATATCTTTGATTAGGCAAACTTCTTTTTTGAGACAGTTTGGTTCTACTCTCCCATCTTATATTTATAAATCAATTATTGACTTTTTTGACAAATCGAAGTTAGAACTAATAATTTTCTTTGGTTTCGAGTGTTGTTCTTCTCTTAATTGGAAGAAATCTTAAACGTTTCCTGATAACCTTTTTCCTCAAGCCTGGATACCTATGTCGTTTTATCTTACTTTAGCTTGTATAATTTTTCTCTTCCTTTTGATGTAATATATGGAAAGAGTCCAGCATTACTCTATCAATCATCTTCACTCTAATAATATTTATCTTAACAAATACACCCTCAAAGGCGTGATTGAAAAAACCCATTATTTATTGATATCCTTTAATTATTTCATGTTTTAGTTACAAATCATAAAGCGTTTCTTCCCTAAATCAATCAAACAGGCTAGAGAATCAAACGATTATAGCATTTATCAATTTAGGGTAAAGTTATACTTACTACCTTAATTTCAATCATCTTAAATATTAAGAGCGTGACCTTCTTTGAATATCAAAACATCAGATAGCATTTTTATTTAAAGAATAAATTTAAAATAAAGTGATAGAAATTCAATATTATTTTATAAAAAATGAATTTCACTCATAAGAATTAAAAAGATTTGTGTGAGGTTTTAGCATCATTAAAGGATTTTGATGAGTTAATTTTTAGCGTGATATTTGAAATATTAAAAAAGTGGAAAATAAAAGACTGTTTAGAATTTCTCTCATAAGTTGAAAATCAAAGTCACCTCTAATAATGTATTTTACAAGAAGAAAATTTATCGAATGATGGGAATGAATATCAGTTAAATATTGCAAACAATATAATTCAAAGAATTACTGATGTTATCAAAAAATAATAGATCATGATTTTAATAATTGTAATTACTCCTAAGAAGAATACAGAACAATGAGAAAAGACCTTATTTAATAAATATCCAAGGATAAGAAGATTATTGAATTCTTAAAATTTCTAGTTCACCTTACAAGTTTAGATGATAGATTAATATAATGTGGTTCAAATTCACTTAATTTGTTGGTGGAAATGAAGGTTGATTTAAGGGGCATATGTTTTGAAAATATTAAGATTAAGGATACATCTTTGATTAATGCTAATTTTGTAAATTGTAACTTGAGCGGATCTTAATTCGAAAATATAGATGCAAGCGGAATGAATTTAAATAGAACAAAATTATTTAATTGTAAATGGAAGAACATAAAAATGCCTGAGCTGAATTAGTTTGAAGGTCTTAGTAACTATGCTAATTCAGCCTGTATCTCTCCTGATAGTACTACAATAGTAACTGGTTACTAAAATGGGTCCATTCGTTTATGGGATATTAAGACAGGATAATAAAAAGCAAAATTAAACAGTCATGCTAGTGGTATAAGTTCATTCTGCTTCTCTCCTTATGGAACTCTATTGGCATCAAGTAGTCAGTATGAGTGTATCCGAGTATGGTGTATGAAGACAAGAAAGATCGTACTAAAATTATAAGGATATAATCCACTTGGAATTTCCATATGCTTTTGTGAAAATGGCACTTTATTAGGATCAGGTGGAGATACATCTATTCTTTTATGGAGCGCTAAGACAGGAAGATTAAGAGCCAAATTAAATGGCCATACAAGTAGGGTCAATTCAGTATGCTTCTCACCTGATAATATTACATTAGCATCTGGCAGCACAGATCATTCTATCCGTTTATGGGATGTTACGACAGGATAATAAAAAGCGAAATTAGATGGTCATAATGATAGTGTCTATTCAATATGTTTTTCACCTCATGGCTCTACATTTGCATCTGGTAGCGGAGATTGCTCAATTCGTTTATGGGATGTCAAGACAGTTTCATTAATAGCAACAATAAATGGTCATAGTAATTAGGTCCTTTCAGTGTGCTTCTCACCTGATGGTATTACATTAGCATCAGGCAGTGCAGATCATTTTATCTGCCTATGGAATATTAAAACAGGATAATAAAATGCCAAATTAGATGGTCATACTAGTGGGGTTTCTTCGGTCTGTTTCTCTCATGATGGTACTATATTAGCATCTGGTAGTTCAGACGAGTCTATCCGTTTATGGGATGTTAAGACATGCCAATAAGCAGCAAAATAGGATGGCCATAGTGATAGTGTAAATTCAATCTGCTTCTCACCAGACGGCTCTACCTTTGCATCCGGTAGTTCAGATTCTTCTATCTGTTTATGGGATATTGACACAGGGAAATAAAAAGCAAAATTAAGTGGTCATACTAATTGTGTTAATTCAGTTTGTTTCTCTCCTGATGGTAGTACATTAGCGTCTGGTAGTAATGATGATTTCATAAGTTTATGGGATATTAAAACAGGATAATAAAAGGCCAAATTAATTGGTCACACTAATTTTATCAAATCAGTATGTTTCTCTCCTGATGGTACTATAATAGCATCCGGTAGTGGAGATTGCTCTATTCGTTTATGGGATGTTAAGACAGGATGTTAAAAAGCCAAACTAGATGGCCACATAATGTGTGTCAATTCATTATACTTTTCTCCTTATGGCTTTAAATTAGTATCTGGTAGTGCAGATGGTTCTATCCGTTTATGGGATGTTAAGACAGAATGCTAAAAAGTCATTTTAGAAAATGTTGGGATTTGTGTCCATTCAGTATGTTACTCGCCTTAAGGTACTACATTTGCATCTGGTAGTGAAGATAGCTTTATTCGTTTATGGAATGCTAAGACAGGATAATTGAATGCCAAACTATACGGTCATAGGATGAGTGTCTATACAGTATATTTTTCTCTTGATGGCTTTGTATTAGTATCTGGTAGTGCAGATTATTCTATTCGTTTATGGAACGTTGGAACTCAAAGTCTAATCGCCAGACTAGATGGTCATAGTAATTGCGTCAATTCAGTATGTTTCTCTCCATATGTTAATATATTTGCAACTTGTAGTAAAGATAACTCTATCCGTTTATATTAATATAGGATTAAAAAATTAAAAAAAATATTGACTTAGAACGATGAGACTATCCGATCAGTGTGTCTTTCTCCTGATGGTATTACTTTAGCATTTGGTAGTCTTGATTGTTCGATTCGCTTATGTGATATTACTGGAAAATAAAAAGCACAATTCAATGGTCATACTTGGATTGTTGCTTCATTATGTTTTTCTCCTAATGGTACTACGTTAGCATCTGGTAGTTGGGATAAGACTATCCGTTTATGGGATTTGTTGTAAGGATTAGAAAAAGCGAAATTAGATGGCCATAGCGATTATGTATCTTCAGTCTGCTTCTCCCAAGATGGTAATACTTTAGCTTCTGGTAGTTACGATAAGTCGATCCGTTTATGGAATGTTAAGGCAAGGCAATAAAAAGCAATCCTATTTGGTCATTAAGATGCAGTTTAATCAGTATGTTTCCTTTCAGATGGAATTACATTAGTGTCTGGTAGCACTGATCACACTATTCGTTTATGGGATGTTAAGACAGGGCAATAAAATAAATAGTTAAATGGTCATGATGATTCTGTCCAATCAGTGTGTCTCTCTCCTGATGGTTCTATTTTAGCATCTGGCGGTGGAGATTATACTATCTGTTTATGGGATGTATAGAGAGGGCAATAAAAAGCTAAGTTAAATGGTCATAACAATTGTGTCAATTAAGTATGTTTCTCTCCTGATGCTAATACATTAGCATCATGTAGCTACGATGCAACTATCCGTTTATGGGATGTTAAGACAGGCCAATAAAAAGCAAAATTAAATTGTTATTTTCATTGTGTCTATTCAGTATGCTTCCTTTCTGATGGTTTTAAATTAGCATCTGGTGGTAATAAAGACAATATTTATATTTTGGATATTAAGACAGCTATATTGGATAGTAAATATAAAAATACCTTAAAATAGATTAAAAAATCACTTTTAAAGAATTAATAATTAAATAAACGTATTTATTTTCAATCTATATAGCTCTCTTTAAAAATGCATTACTTGTAATATCAAAAAATCCTTGTTTAGAAGCATAAGGTGCTTTAATCTTTAAAGGAGAATTTTTCAATCATTAAGGAGTAGATTTAAGATCATTGTTCAAATATAAAGGGAGTTTAAATTTTGATAATTGAATAGAGTTATAATAGAAAGAAAATTGATTATATCAAAGTATATTGTAATTTAAAATATCATTTTTAAATAATTTTTTTTGCTTTCGAAAATGAATTAATTAATAAAATATTTTATAATATCTTTTGTAATTTGCTTTCTATCTACTCAAAAATAAATCTAAAAGTAAATCATTAAATTTTCATCAATCGTAAGCATCTTATTATCTAAGTTTCATTATCAACAAAGTCGATCCATTAGAGAGGCTTTGATTTTCTTGAGCTATATATTATCACATTGTTTCCTGACAACTGAATATGCATAAGAGAATGTGATGTTATCAATAACTCAAATATAAATCTTGTATGCTTCATAGGAAAAGATATTTGATTATATAAATCTTTGAATGTTTTGAAGAAGTGCTGATTAGAATATCATCTTAAAAATTGAATAGTATTAATATTCAAAACAGATTTTACTTTTTTTATCGACGTTTCATATATTGTTGAAAAGTGTATTTATTATAGAAAAATAAGACGAAATTGACCAACCTTTGAAACAATATCAGATGATAAACACTGTAACAATTTAGAAGATTTACTTTTATTGTTGTTATTAACATCTTGAAGGGGGCTGGGTTTGTTATTTACGATGAAGAAGCAAATAAAGCAGCTGTATGGTGAAATTTAACTGATAGAACAAATAAATGTACATTTATTCAAGGTACAAAGGGTGTCACTTTGATGTTTCTTGTAAAATTGATGAAATCTTTATCATGGCTCAATTTTACATATGGAAATTTCCGCTTCAGGCGTATTTGAGGATTTATTTTAACTTAAATTAGAATAATTATTGTAAAGTTTGTTTCCTTCATGGAATTTAACTTTGTCAACAAAAATAAAGACAAAGTTAGTAAACTAAATGATCTTAAAAGTATAATTCATTCGAAAAATACATTTTTTACTCAGAGATACCTTTTATGAATTGGAAGAACATAGTTTTTTAGCATGTTTAATTTGATTTTATTATAAATTTTAAAATGCAAAAATATCTTACTTCAAATGAGAATGAAAAATAAGAATTTGGTTAATTTAAAATTTAAGCTTTACTATCTTTTTAATTTGTAAATGTTTTTGTATAGAATGCTTTTAAAGCATCTAAAGGAAAAGAAAATAATGATAAATTTCAATTTTATATGAAAAAAACAAAGTAAGAAATTTCATTTGAAAAAAGCAATTTTTATAAAATTTTAGCATTGAGGAATACTATAAAATACGTTATATATGCTATATATATGCAAATAAAGAATATTCAGAAGAAATTGATAAAAAGATAAATATAATTAATATAGATTAGGTTGTTCTTCATTTATTGACCACTGTCAACAACATGGATACAAATTCTTCATATTAGATGTTTCCATCATTATTTTTATCACATTAGGATATTATTTAACTCCATTCAGCGTTATCAATATCAATTCCACACATAATATCTTATATTTCTGCTTTTGTTATAACTCCATTTCCATCCTATCATTTTATAAGATTCAGAAAATACTTTGTCAAACATCTTAAAAGCTTAATCAATTTTAGTTTTAGAAAGAATAATATTTTGTTTAGCAGATGCCACTAGAAATTCTGTATAACTTATTTTACCAGATTTGTTTTGGTCTATTTAATCAAATATTTCATTAACCAAATGCTTAGCCTTCAACTCATCATTAAATACTTATGTATATGCTATTAGGCTTAGAACAGAATTACCTTAAATTAATTCTTCTTTTGATAACTGCCCATCCTTATTTTTATCCATACTTTAGAATGTTGAAGTGAGTTACTCTTTTTCGTCATTCGACATAACGGAGCCTGCAATTAATTACATAATGGCTGCTCTCATATAACTTTCATTCTAATATGTAAAACATCTATAGTACTCTAAATTTGCCCAATTCATTCATAACATCCTTACTAATCTTCTCTTCTCTTGCCTTCTCTTTTATCCAAGGATCATCCAAAATCTTTTGGGCTGAGGGTCTTTTGCTTGGGTCGAATTGCAACATTGATTTCATCAATTCCTGAGCCTCATACGATAATGAAGTAAATTCCTTTGATGTAAAATTATATTTCCCAGATTTGATGTTGTTGAAAAGCTGCTGCAAGCTTGAAACTTTGACATCAAATGGAAATTTTCCAGTTAAAATTTAGTATAAAATAACTCCACATGACCAGATGTCACATTTTTCGGTATAATTTTTATCAATGACTTCTGGTGCAATATATAACGGCTATTATGTATTAACAACATAATTACCGTTCCGATTACCTATGTCTATGTTTCACCAGTTACATACCTCTTAGCTGTTCCAAAATCTATAACTTTAATCTTAGATTGTGGATCTGAGGAAACAAGCATAATATTAGAAGGCTTCATATCACTAAATTGATTATATGCTAATTACCGATGAATGATGTTTTATGCGTGACAATAGGCTAGTGCTGATAGAACTTACTTCATATATTCTGCTGCCATTCTTTCGTTAAAAGTTTGTAATTTAGTCAATTTATCAAGTAGTTCTCCTCCATTAAGATATTCTGTGACAAGGTAATAATTTTGTTTGTCTTAGTATAACTCATATAATTTAACAATGGAAGGATAATCCATATTTTTAAGCAAATTCACCTCACTAAACATAGCCTCTTCTTAATCTTTGAGTATTTTCTTTTTTAAAATCTATTTCATGGCTCTTTATTGACCAGATTTCTTATGTTAGACTAATCTTACTTGACCATATGAACCTAAATCTAAAGATTTCGATACCTTCTCCTAAGATTTTATTAATGATATAATTATCTGATATATCACCTTGCTTTAAGTTAATAAAGATATCTGGACCTACCTAAAATTTATTAATGGCAAGAGCTACCATAATTATGAGCATTTTTTACATTTTTGTTCTTTACTCATTTCTTTTTGTTTATTTTCAGATTTGGCTCCACAGCATCCCATTATTTAATTAAATAAATAGTATCAAATCTAAAATATTATGTTTTTTATAAGATGTTAATTTTCATCAATTTCTCATTTTTATCCTCTATAAAAGTATTTACCTTAAACACACCAAATTCAATTCATCAACTAGTTTTGAAATGCAAACAATATATCTAATCATAAAACTTTTAATTAATTGATCAATATATCTAAATTATACTCAAATCAAGTGCAGATTCCAAAAGCTTTTGAGTCTTCTTAATTAACCAAAACTAGTACCTTTATTATATATTCAATATCTTAAATCCACCAATAAATATTTAGCATGCTTTGAATTATCACATATTTAATAGATTCTTAGCTATAATCTGCGTCAATTTTGTTTGATTTATTGTAAAAATATATAAAATACTTTATAACACTGTATATAGCATAGCATCTTAAGATTATTCTATTGCTAATCTAGAAAGAGATATTTCCTAGCAGTTTATAATATTTCATTGTAAATTTTTCAGATAATATAAATGCTATAGGTTTACACTCCTAATTTAAATTAGAAATACAAAAAACCATAAAAGGGATTTGGTTCCTCTGAATAAACAGTAAATCATTAATTCTTAGTAATGGCTTTTTATCATGATAGAATTTTAAAATAAAGAACTCAAAAAAATATATCTATGAATATTAGCGAAAATATTAAGTTAGAAAGTTGTCTTATCAAATGATATAAAGGATTTAAGGATTAAATGGTTATTGAATAGAGAAGTAAAAGTTAAATATTAATAATATTTAAAACTTGTATTTCTGAAGTTAACTTAATTTGGAAATTACAAGAGTCATTTTATGACTTTAAGATAAGGTAATATTTTAATGTAGAAAAAGTACCTTCTTTACAATTATAAGTGTTAACTGAATACTTAAAATTATATTGTTTTTCTTATTTGTTATTATCATTATTATAAAAACAAATCTAAATTCAAGCTGATATTTGTAAATTATCTTTAATTTTTCATTTTAGATAAACATTAAAATTAATTCTTTCTTTAAATTAGAAGTATTTTAAAAACAATAAATTTCATAAAAAAAAATCTACTATCGATATCTATTGTTAGGATTGCAAAAAATAAAATTTTAGATTACAAAATATAAGTATTAATCGATGAAAAATCACTTTTTTGGTTTAGGTAGTGTATTATTATCGTCTAAAGAGTGTCTGGTATTTTTTGTTAAATTAATTATTGCAGGCTCTTGACTCGATCTTTCTGAAGGATCATCGAAATTCTCTTCTTCTGTATCATCTGATTATTCATTTTCCACACTAATTCTTGAAAGGGTTGGTAATTCAAAATTTCTTTTAAAATTTTCACTTAATTCAAAGCCTTTGTCTTCTGATTCTTCTTCATCAGTGCTGTGATCCTATTAACCCATTCTTTATGCACTTTTGATACATTGTATATCATTAGGTATATAGGTATAATCTATGTAGAGGATTGTTTATTTTATGGCTTAAATGATGTCATATAACCTTATTTAATATGTAAAGATACCCATATACTGGTTTCCAGACATTTGGATCTAAAACTTTTACATAAAGTTAATGATTTTTTAAATCAATGTTAGGATGTGGAATATTAGACTCTACATGTATTAAAGGAGGATTATAAGGATAATTGATTCTGAAATCTAGTTAAAACTAAAATACTAAAGTTTAAAATACTTAGTAATTGTTATAAATAAACGAGCCGATTTTTGGAGTTATTTATAAATACAATTTGTCACAATTCTAATTTATCAAAATTTAACAAGTATTGTCATTTAGATCTTAGAGTTTTTCATCAAGAAGATCATTCGTTAACCTTTTGAAGGATTACTATGCAACTGAATTCTTTTCCTGTTGGTTTTTATTAATATAAAATTGCATGAAAATTAATTAATATTATTAATAATAATAACACATTTCTAAACAAATATATATATTATTTGAGAAATTAATTTGATTTAGGTTACTATTTGACCTTCAACATATAGGTATTTATACTCTATAAAAGGTGTGTTAAATTTTGGCTCTAAATAAATCTTAAAAATGTTTTAAAATATCGAACTTAGATCTTAATACGCTGATAATTTAATAAAATTGAGTCAATTAAATAAATGATTGGCTTATTCTCTATTAATTATTTGGATATAATTAATTTTTGCCAAGAATATATTGCTTTATTAATGTATTCATCAAATAGCACATTATCTTTACATCAATTGAAGAAAGCATTGTATAACTATAAAATTCAGATAGTCTTTTTTGATACCTTCATATAATTTAAAAAATTGTGAAAACTTTTCTTTAAATTTGATAAGATACCTAATATTAACTTTTTGGTAGTGAGTTTACTCTTTTGAATTTACTGAATAGCTATATCAATTATAGTAATCTCCAATCATCAAAATTCAATTTAAACTCTCTGTAAGTCAACAAGGTTTTGAAAATCTTATAGATTTCAAAGAATCTTTGTGAATTTGGTTGTTTTATATTATTTATCGATGGTCTTCTAGTTATTGAAATGTTGATCTTTACTCTGATAGTCTTTATTATTGTTCTATTACAATTTAAATAGAAAGCACTTTTTATACAATTTATTAATGTTATTCTTCATAAAGAAATTTGGATAAGCCAAAGAAGTATTTTGTCAGGTAATACCTTACCAGAAGTTTAAAAAATATCCATATTGAAATTTAGAAGTACTCCTAAATTATTGTGAATTGATTTTCAATTTTGTCAGTTTGTTAAATACTTTAGAATTTTGATATTAGATTTTAGTTGATTCTGTTTCGCGCCCTCTTATTATCAAATAGAGATGTGATGCATATTGTTCCTATTGATTTGCATCTATTTCATTTAAGAATTTAGAGATTATGCAATTAATTAAATATACAATTGTCAAAATGAACTTAGACTTCTATCAATTCTAAGACATGCATCATCCATTAATTGCATCAAATTGTTTGTCATGATCTGTCTTTCTTTCTTTTCATCCTACAACATTAATGATAAGTTCTGATGCACATCATTAATCATATCAAATATTTTGTTTTCCTTTTATCTCCTTAGACTAGATTCTTAAGAAATATATTATTTAAGTTAAAATAGATTTTGTTCTAATTCACTCTCTATTTATTCAAAGGATTGCAATCTAGTATTAAGAATATTGAGTTACCTTTGTTCCCTTTCACCTTCTAGAATGTCTTCAATCTAATTAACCGAATCAGCAATCATTTATAATTTGTTTTGAAGACCAAAATCATATTGAGATTCATTTCTTGACAACTAGTCCTAAAGATGATTCCAATCAAGTAGATGGGTTAGCCTCTTCTCCATATCTTATGATTACTGATTTTATTGCTGTAGACTCTTTTCTAAAGAATTTTTTGTATTTTCATAAGTTTTTTATGACTTGTGATTATATTCCTGGGTCAAATGATCCTAAACATTTTGGTTGAGAGTGTTTGTTGAATCTTATAATTATTTGATTTCATTATTGTTAACAGCTAAGGCTTGTTTCTCAATCTATTTCATTTTTTCTTATAGTTACTAGAGTCTGCTAGCTTTTTGATTATCAACTTCTGATGATATCCTTTTCCATTTTTCAGAAATCATCTTGATAGTATGAGATGAAGCTGTTTATTATTAAGGTTAAGCTACACTCTTTCTTGATTATTGCAACAGCATTATTGATAAAATTTATTTTTATGTTAAAATAACAGTGTTTTATTTAATTCAATAAAATAGATGTTTAATATCCATTTGATTGTTAGGATAAATAATATATACAATCGAATTGTATTCTTAATAATCTTATATTTATACATTATTTCTATAAGACATCTCAAAGAATCAATTATTAAATTTAATTCTTTTAATATTATGGATAATTCAGGAGAAAAATTAGATTTAGAGGATTAGCAAATCAAACCAATTTAAGATTCCTAAGATGATGATACCTTAAATACTAATAAGTCAGAGTTTGTAGATAATCATTAAGAAATCAATCATGACCAATAAAATCTCATTGCATCATTACAAGAAGATTATCAAAGTCAACTAGATTAAGCCAAAAAAGAAAATGAATCACTTGTCCAATAGATTTAATCTTTGAAAGACTAGTGTCATTAATAAGGTGAAATGATAGAGGTCAACAATATGGAATATCAAACAATAATTAAATCTCATGAAAATGTTAATATGGAATTAACTTAAAAATATGAGAAGGAGTGTCTAGAATTTTAATAAGAAATTTAAAGACTCCAAAATAGAGAATCAGATTTATAAATTGAGATCTAAAAATTAAAAGATTAAATCGAATAAATTACTCAAGATCATCTAAAAGCTTAAGATAAAATACAAGTGTAGAATGAATTAATAGATCAAACAAAATAAGAAAATCTTATTAATTAAAATGCTTTAGAAGAAAATTCTAATTTGAAAAAAGAGATTGAAACACTTAATTAAAAAGTTTAAGAATAATTACTTTAAATTGACAAGTTAAACAATAATCTAATAATTGAAAAACAATAAGAGAAGGAATTATTCTTATTGGAAAAATAACAACTCTAAACTTAACATGAAACATATCAATCTGAATTGTTAAATGAAATTGAAGCCTTAGCATAATTATTGAAAAAATCTGAATTAGAACACTAATAGATTGATGCGTAATAAGAATAAAGTAGGAAAGAAATGGAAATTGTAACAGAAAAAAACTTAGAATTAGAAAATTTAAACAATGAGTTGACTAAGTAATTAGAGGCATTGAATATAATGGTGCAAGAGTTGAATTAATAATTCTAAGATTAAGTAAGACAACACTCTATACTAAAAGAATAGTCAATCTAGGATAATGAAATGAAAAATAAAGAATTGGAAATTCTAAATTAATAGATTTAAAATGAATTACAATAAAAAGAATAGCTTGTATCAAATAATCTAAGTGTAACTGAAAAAGTTCAAGAATTAGAAAATTTAATTGTTCAACTTAGAAATTAGTCCAAGATTTCGGAAGAAAAATCTCAATTAGAGATTGAAGTTATGTAATTAAGTTTAGAGGATGCCTAAGAAAAAGAAAAATAGAGTATTGAACAAGAAAATCTTCTAAAAGTTAAATTTGAAGAACTAAGTATAAAATATGAAGCTTTAGAAAAATAATTTAGTGAAACTGAGACATTAAAACATTAAGAGATATCATAATTAAAAAAGGAATTAGAAATTTAATAGAATCTATCTGAAGAATTATAAAATAATTTAGCCTCACTAAATGAAAATCATAAAACTGAATTGGAATAATTAAAAATTGCGATGGATGAATAAAATAAATTTAATCATGAGTAGGAAAGATTAAATATCATGTAGCAATTACAACTGGAAAGTTAATAATAATCTGAGGTTTTATAATAGCAATAAGGATTATAGACTATTGAAGTAGAGGAATTAAAACAGTAAATTCAACAATTAGAAATCTAAAATTTAGAGTAGAAGAAATTATTATTGGAATAATTAGAAAAAAAAGAAAAAGAATATTAATAAGAAGTTGATTTATTGACTCGATAGAGAATGGAATAAGATGAAATTATTCAATCTCTTTAAAAGTCTTAGACACTTTTAAAAGAGAAGGACTCATAAATAGATTAATTGAATTTACAATTATGTGCGAATTAAGAAGATCAGTATAATATGGAATAAAAATATGAAAACAGATTATTATTACAAAAATAGAAACATGAATCTCAGATAGATGATTTACATAGGCTGATTTAAGAATTGAAATAGTAATTGGAAACTGTGGAAAGTGAGGGAAAGATGATGTAAAATAGTTTAAATGATATGGAAGTTTTAGATTTTAAATGTAAAGAATTGAAGACTGAAAATGATGATCTTAAATAAAAGATTCAAGAAAAATAAGCTTAGATTGATGAACTAAAATTAAAGGTTGAAGTGAACAATGATTAGGATGAATAAGAACAAGATAAAGATAAAGATACTTAAATAGAAGAATTAAATGCCTACATATTAAAATAAGAGGAAGATTACTCAGAATAATTTGAACAATTAGGAACTTAAATTGAAAAGTTGAAGAATTAAATCAAATAATTAGAATTAGAGAATTAAGAATAATAAAAAGTGATTGTATAATAGTAAACACAAATATAAACAATAACTTAATAGTAACAATCCCAATTACAATCTATATTGTAATAATAACAATTGTAATAGCAATAGTAATAGTAATAACAATAATAATAACAATATTAGTAATAATAATAACAATATTAATAATAATAATAAGTTAAATAAAATACAGATTAAGGTAATATAAACCCTTATTTATCAAATAATTAATAGGCACACGCATAAGAGAAAACCGTAACAATACCTGTAAAAGAGCTATAAAATTGGGATAAGAAATCAAAAGATTAATTAAATTAGATTAAATTATTACAAACAGAAATATCTTAATTAAAATAGCTCCAAGAGGAATAAGCAAAAGTATTAAATACTAAACAGCAAAAAACTAATCTTTCCATGGAAAGTCTAGTATAGAAATGTTAGGCTTTATAATAAATTATAGATGATAGTAGTGTTATAAATTCTAAGATGAGTGCTGAATTGGGATTGTATAAATAATAAAATTCATAGCTTAAAGAAGATTTAAAGTTATGTAATTCAGAATTACGAGATTTGAGAATTATATCTCAGAATAAATTTAAATTAGAAAGTGAACTTTAATAAGCATTAAATACCTTATCTGAATATCAAGACTAATAGAACGTAATTATATTTTGTCAATAATTTTATAGTTAATAAAATAACTGGAAAGGGAGAATGAGAGAAAAAAAGAAGAGTTGGATAATAATTTAAAGTAGCTTAAATAAAATGAAAAGTAAAGAATAAAGGTAAATTACTCTTTTAATTATAGTTATAAGAAAAGTATGATGAAGTGTGTGAAGAATTAGGCAAGACTTAAAGATAATTATAGAATACTCAATCAGAATTGGATCAAAAATCGATAAAATTAAAAGATTTGGAGAAGATCTTGTCTACTTAATTTTAAGAGTTTTCCATTTTAGAGTAAAAGTATAATGACTAAAATTTGGTTAATGATGATTTAAGAAATCAGTTGAAACTCTTACAAAAAAAATACGCTTAGGAAACTGAATAATTAACACAAGATTTAATGTTAAAATAAAAATAATTGATGTAATTAGAGGAATAGAATCATAATATGTCTAAAGATTTATAATTGATGAGAGATATGTAGTTTAGATAAAAGCCAGTGGTTGATGCCCCATTAACAAAAAAAGAAAAAATAGTTGTTGAATCTTTAGCGAATAGAGTTCAAGAATTGGAAATTCAAAACAAAACTATAAGAGATTAATACAATGGCAAAATTACTGCATTGACAAATTAATTAGATGAAAAGATAGCGTACATATAATCATTAGCATACAATCTCACCAAGGCATATCCTAACTTGTCAGAAGCAGATTTGTAATAATTTTCAATATTAGATTTAGAATTGATAAAGAAGACATTAAATTAATATAATCCTTAAGAAAGAAATAAAACGTGCAAGACATTTTAGAGGTATTAAGATATTCATATTTTAGAAAACCATGATTGAAAATTTGCAATTAAGAGATTAAATAAAATTACTAGGGGCTGAGTTGAATAAAAGAAGATGAAATTACTTGTTTATTTATTTTTGTTAATAAATTCACTTTATTTTATCATTAATTTTGTTATTATTATTCTGCTTTATGAGCTTTCCAAGCAGCTAGATTGATATTCTTAGGTTGTTCCCAAGTAAACTCTGGCTCATTTCTGCCAAAATGTCCTCCTGAAGCTGTTTTAGCATAGATTGGTCTTCGTAATTTTAATTCTCTAATGATAACTCCTGGTCTGAGATCGAAATGATTTTAAACAATTTCAGACAAGTCATCATCATCTAGTCCTTCAGCTTGTGTGCCATAGGAATTAACACAAATAGAGAGAGGCTCGCTGATACCAATTCCATAGGCAACTTGAATCATCACTCTCTTGCATAGTTTTGATGCAACAAGTGATTTAGCCACCCATCTTGCAGCATAAGCAGCACTTCTATCCACTTTGGTAGGATCTTTACCAGAGAAAGCTCCTCCACCATGTCCTCCCCATCCTCCATAAGTATCTACAATGATTTTACGGCCTGTTAATCCAGCATCTCCATAAGGTCCTCCAACAGTGAAGGCCTTAGAAGGATTTAAATGGTATTGAGTTTATTCATCAACATATTTTTATGGTAAGACATGTCTAAAACGAATAGAATATATGTAGATACTTTAATACATGCTTATGCAATTCTGCTTCGATTTCACTATGAGTTATTTTCTCATCATGCTATTAGGAAATGAGGACATTATGAATTCGAACAGGATAAAATGAAGAGTCTTCTCGTTTGTATTCAACAGTAACTTAGACCTTTGCATCTGGTCTCATCCAAGGACAGATTTCGCTTTCCCTGCATTCTTGGAGTCTTGATATGAGTCTATTGCAGAGATGATGTGTTAAGGGCATTAATTCTGGGGTTTCATCAGAAGCATATCCGATCATTAAACCTTAATCGCCTGCTCCAATTTCGTCTTCATGTTTAGAACCCACGACTGCTTAATTGATTTCTTAAGATTGTTAATCCAATGATACTATGACGGAAGCATTTCTATAATCCAATCCCTTACCTATATATATTAGTATATCATATATTTACTTATATTGTCATATCCAACCTATTTTATTGCTTCTCTGACTATGGTTTCATAAGGAACTTGGGCATGAGTGGTGATTTCTCCGAATACCATCACAAGAGAGTTTTTGCATGCTGATTCGCAAGCTACCTTCGAGTTAGGGTCCTATTCTAAACAGGCATCAAGCACACTGTCGCTGATGAAATCGCATAATTTGTCTGGATGACCAGAACTTACACTTTCTGATGTAAAAAGGAAATGACCTTTAGGCAAAACAAACTTTTTCTTGTGATGCGACTATTAATTGCTCTCTTCCTGTTGCATTTTGCTTAAACAGAATTAAAAAATTAATTTTATTGTGCTTTATTTAATTAAGCCCTTTAAATATGCACAACGTCATTCTTTGCAATGTTTAAAAGTTTGATTAATTTACTTTACGTATAATTATGTTTATCTATTTTTAGATAACTAAAGAATAATAATTAATGATCAATGAATAATAAATTTTATTTATATATAAATAACTAATTATATTTATGTAATTTTTTCATTTTAATTAATGCATTCTATAATCTATAGGAGTGAACACAGATGGAATATCTAATCTAATATATTTGATTTTTGTGTTCTCAAACTAAAAGACAATTACTTTTATCGATGTTTATGGTATTTTATAAATATCATAACAAAAATTTAATTTATTTATATATTAATAATACATTTAAGATATTCAATGAAGGCATTAAGATTCAAGCATCTTTATGGAGAAGAAATAAAATCCAAGTTTGAATAAGTATCACCAACCTCCATCACTTGTGACTCCACTATGGTTAAGGTATCAATATTAAGTTAAAGATTTCTAGGCAAATGCTTTATACACAGCCCTTCTTTGGTAAACCGGTGGTGGCGGACTTGTTTGTGTTGTTAAATCCGATAAACCAACTAAGCTTCCTTTTGACACCCCTATGATAAAAGGACATTAAGGTTTTATATTATGTGGATTATTTAGGTACAATATTGGATTTGGATTGGTATCCTTTTGATGATGAATACTTGGCTACATCATCTTAAGATCAAAACATTTGTGTTTGGAAAATTAATGATTTGACAAGTGATATCACAGAGCCTTTAACAACATTATCAGGACACGATAAAAAAGTATATTAATGAAATGATTATTAGGTCAACTTAATTTCATGGAATCCAACCTCTGCATGGGTCTTAGGATCAGCATCACATGATCAAACCGTTAAAGTTTGGGATGTGCAAGGAGGTGTGGCCAGAAACACAATCAATGCTAATGCTTTGCCATATTCTATTGATTGGAATCTTAATGGTTCACTAATTGGATCATCTTGGAACGATAAAAAATTGAAAATCATAGATCCAAGATAACAGACAATATCCTTGGAAGTCAACGCCCATTAGGGAACTAAGCCATAGAGATTTGCTTGGTTGGGATCCACTGGATATTTCGTAAGTGTCGGATTCAACAAAACTTAAGGGAGAGAATTCTCATTATGGAATACCAGCAACCCTTCAGAACCTGTGTCAACAACTTAAATTGATACTGGAAGTGGAGTGCTCTACCCATATTGGGATGAATAACTCAAAGTCCTTTATTTAACCGGTAAGGGAGATTCCAGCATTAAATATTTTGAATTCCTTGATGGTTAATTACATTTCCTAAATCAATACACCTCAAATAAACCTGGAAAGAGTTATGCATTTTTCCCCAAAAGAGCTGTGGATGTGAATGCCTGTGAAGTTAACAGAGTGGCTAAAATTGAAGAGAATGCCCTCTCCTATGTTCAACTCATTGCTCCAAGAAAGGCTAACACATTCTAGGAGGATCTATTCCCTCCTTGTCCAGGAACTTAACCAGCATAAGTATAGTCAATATATATATAACATTAGACTGCTGCTCAATTCTTCTAAGGTCAAAATTCAAATCCAGTATTAGTAAGTCTTAAACCAGATTAATAATAATAATAACAATAACAGTAGTAAAATGTCGTTTTTACATAATAACAACCAAAACCATAACCCTAATAGTAATTAACATAACCAGACAATTAAAAGATTGTAATTTAATTTATTATTTTAAGGCGTAATTAGAGTTGATCGTTTAAAATCAATAGGCATAAATTAGGGAATTATAAGCTGAAGTTGAAAAATTTAAACACGAGAATGATGTCCTAAAAGAACAATTAAATTAAAATGAATAACAGAAATATTGATTATTTATTCATAAAAATGCATTCAAACATTAATATTATACACATATTTAATCCAAAATTTATTTATAAGATTATACTTGTTAGACATTGATGAAAATCTAAGAATTAAGGACAAGAAATTATTATGAAGATTGAATTCAATAAATAGAAGAGATGGAAAATCTACATCTCGTTGATTTTGTAATGGCAGCCTTTGTTAGATTAAAATTATGAGTAACAGAGGCTGATTTAGATTTATACATTATTGGAATTCTGAATTAGATTTATAAATTAATGGACTCCATTATTTCAAAATTATATAATTTAAAGATAATACAAAATTTTTTACTAAGTATTGCTTATAAATCCTATTATTAATTATGAAAATTCGTTTCTTTATATTATTTACAGGTATTATACTGTAATAATAATTCAGTACCATGTTAATATTAGTTAATATAAGTATCTATTATTAATAGAAACGCCAAAAAATGAACTTAATTGTATCAATTATGAAGACCTGAGTATTTATGTTAAAGGTAAATTGAAGTCAAAAATGTAATATAGATATTAATTATAAAGTTAAAGGTAAACAAATAAAAAATAAAAAAGCTCCGCGTCCGGGAATTGAACCCGGGCCTCAAACGTGACAGGCTTGAATACTAACCACTATACTAACGCGGATTCTTAGTATCTCTTCATCAAATTGATAAATCAATGCAAGAACATTTATTTTCATAATATTTAAAATCCATTTTATGCAAAAGCGAATTACATAATTTCTAAATAATAAATAAATTTAGAATAAATCAATTTAAATCCTCATTGCTTCAATGTATAAGATTAATCAGTTGCTTAGTGCACTGGTTAGACCTTGGTCAACTAGAATTATTATTCTTAATTATAAGCCCGTACTAATACTATAGCTGTAATTATCAAGGTCAGTCCACCCAGACAAGCCAATATTATCCATCCTACTATCATAAAACCTGTTGCTAATATCAGAAAAGCTCCGATATACATCTAATTTAATATCAATAAATTACATAGAGTAACAATAACAATATACAAAATTCTATTGTATTAAACCATTTAACATAGCAAGGTTTAATTCTGAAATGGAAATAAATGAGGATTAACATAACAATACTGGAAAAAAGCATTTAATATTCATATGCTTAGTCTTAAAGATTTGAGAACACAGAGCTCATACCCAAAATTAATAACTTAGCTTAAATGTACAAAACCACATAATTGGATTTGTATTTTAAATCTAAGGAGTGATCCATATATTAAAATGTAGGCTGTAGATAGGATGAGAGGGGATAATAAATAATACACCCAAAAATGGCTAAAGTGACGTACATAAAATGCAAATCACTCATGCATTCAACACTTGGTTATCTTACTAATGTGTATGGATATGAACTATAGTCACAAATGAATGCGTCTATGTAACTTTTCATAACGAAAATGAATTATCCACTAACCAATTGAATAGTTTTACTCAGCCAGTATCTTCTACTTTTATAGGTTGCAATAATTCCATTCTCATCAAATCCAAATGTATTGTTAGCTATTTAATTTGCTGCCTCAAAGCCCAAAATTATATAGATTAAGCTCATAAATAGTGCTAAAAAGAAAAATAGATTATATTCACTCCAAATAGCTGAATAGTCCACAAATGTGATTGGACTAATTGTTTAAGATCGTCCAAACCATCCTACTTAAGAATCGAATGCCAATGTGGCCAATCCATATAAATCATATATTCTCAAGATAATGGCCAAAATGTTAGTTGATGTAAATTTTAAAATGAATTCTTGATCTCTCATTTTTTTATCAAATTTATTGCATTAATCAACTAAACAATCTCCTACTAATTCAGCCAGTTAATCCCATTTTACATTTTAAACAATTTTATTTAATTCTGGTTCAGGGGGTGTTATTTTTTAGAATAAAGAGTTAATCAATTAATTCATAATTTATTGAGAGTATAACCTAGGTTTAATCCATAAAAAATCATTGACTTTAGAACAAAACTACCAAAATTAAACTTTTAAATTCTTTGGGACTTTATCTTAAAATTCTCTTTCAATAAGTTACTTTTTCTATTAATATTGTAAATCGATTTATTCATTACCTTATACACTTTTTTTTTTTTCTAATCTTTGTCTTTTTTCTCCGATTTATTTAGGTAATTTAAAATTTTGTTGATGAAATGGTGTATTTGTATTATTTTAGAGTAATTTCAATATTTATCTTATATCGTTATGATTATAAACAAACAGATGGTACTTCTTAACAGCCATTTCCCAAATTAAATTATAATAATTTGTTTGGTCATCTCTCTAAAAATTGTCATACAGGAAAAGTGCAAAGTCATTCTATGACATTGTAAAATCCCCATCTTCACTCGCCTTAAAGCTTTTATATTACTTTAATATTTCATCGTTTCTCTCTAATTCTAAATACTCTAAAACCACATTCAAATTTTTTCTAAATTTGCTATATATGGCAGCCCAAAACCTTTCAGTTCTGTCTCTGTATTTAGTCCTTAATGCAGTATAAAAATCTATATCAGCAGCTGCCTTCATATCTGCTTCACTGGGTTAAATAATTCCCTAAATCTTTTTAGCCTCCCTCTCTTTCCAATTCTCCAATTCCAATAATTCTACATCTAATTGTTGTTTATTTATGTTGATCTACTCCATTTCTTCAAAACCACATCTACAAAACACACATTCAAATATTAGATCTATTATTTTGTGATTCATCCCTTCTGATTGATCATCCTCATTATTTTAAGTAGATTTCTTGAATAATTCTGTATCATCATCTTGGAGACTACGAATAACACCACCCTTCTTCTTTTTAGATATTTATTCTAATTTCTTTTTATTCTCATACTCTGTTTTAGTCACCAATTATTCATCAAAAATTCTACCTTTATCTACTCCAGGATAATCATAAACATTAACGGGATCTCCCAATTTCAAATCCGTTTTGAGTTTAACTGGGTTATTTTGTTGAATGAATCTTAAGAATATCAAAGCACAGATCTCTTCAGTCGATGACACTTTATGATTGGCCAATAGTTACATAACAACTTTTAACACTTCCTTCTTCTTCATTTCTAATTATTCTTTATTCAATAAAACTGAATAAACATTTGAAATACAAGTGTTTATTATGATTGTTATTAAAATAGTGTAAGCAACAGCTAATTAAGCAAATACAGCAAATTAATGCGATGAGTTCTCATAAATATCAGCTAACAGTGGGAATATTATCCCTATTGGTCCAATAACAAAGATCCACATAAGTATGATAAGTAGAGGTTGAAAGAAATCCTGATATTAACAGAGTTCTTTTTTTAAATAAATCAAGAAGTTGAAATATATAAATGTTACTGGTAGACCGACAGCATTAGCAATCAAAGCATTTTTAGTTGTCTCACTATCTTAGGTTAATCCAATTGGCAATAATATCACAAATGGGTAAAATATTCCTCCTCTTATGAGGTTGTCAATCCTTTCCAAATATTTTACATATTCCTCCTTCTAATCATTTTAATTGTCTTATATCTTCACTTACAATGCTTTCCTGGTTAAAATAAACAACACTGTTTAAATTACTAGAAGTCCTTACATCTAAAGAATTATATTAAATTATTTACAGCTCCTTTTTTTGTTCCTGTTGCAGTTGCTGGCTCATTCCAAACGAAATAGCAAGTAAAATAAAATCCAACTATGTAACATATTGAATTAAACCAGGTTGCCAAATTAGTCAAATTTATATATTGGAATGCAACGAAATTTAAATTTAAAGCCTGCTAAGGTAATTTTAACAGATAAATCATGACCACTACAAAATAATAACAAATTAGAGCAATTATTGGAAGACATCCAATAACAATCAATACTATAGAACCATTATAAATTCCAGAATCATTATAAGCATCTGATAATGTAATTAATATCCCAATTGGAAATGCAAAGAACAAACAAGAAATGATTAAAGCAAACATTTTTTAGTTCCTTCTCCAAGATCGAAAATAAGCTATTGTCAACCAGATCAAAGTAATTATTAAAGGACATATGCCAAACAATCTAGAGATAGATTAGAAGTATTAAATATCATATGTTAAGTTCCAGACTTTAATAGTTAGGATGCTAAACCCTGATCCCAATAACAGTGAACTATACAAGTATAAGTTTGATGGATTCACATTAGATGTAGCTAAACAAATTCCAAAGGACATAAATATAGGTATGGCTACAAATAAAAATCCATATGTAACTGTCAGTTCATAGTTCTGGTTAGATTTAAAATAAAGCCACCCAGAGTAACAATAGATTTCGAGAGTAAAATAACTAATAGTAATCAATATTGGGGCAACAGTTGTTAATTTCAATTTCTTAAGCAAATTAATTACTTTTTGATTCAATTTATAACTATAATATTCCTTTTGGATGTAGGGATCTGGTTAATCCTTAAGTGATAGCACTTTTAGATCAGATTCAATGTTTTCAGGACTTAAAGTAAAGAGTGCTTTTATTAAGAAAATGGAGTAAATTAACATCATTATAAATATCTGTGGTGCTATTAGATCTGATAGATTCTCTACTATATATTCAGTGCTATTGGTTTAAAGCAATAGAAAAAAAGCAATAATCTTAAAAAGTATGAAATATATCACAAGTATGCAGAAACTGCAATTAAATAGAGTGGCCATTAGTTATGATGAAAATGAAGTGATAATAGAATTGAATCCCTTGTTTAACAGCGAATTTAAAAATATTAAGAAACTTAAAATACAAAATCCTATGCCAATATAGTCATATGAAGGTCCATTGTAATTTTAAAAGGCATTTAGATGGTAGCCTAACAAAACGAATAATGGTATTATTATAAGAGAAATAAACATCAAAATCCATATATATATGTTCTTGATTTAATAACATCTATTGAATATCAATATTATTTAATACATTTACGAGAACAAAGTAAATAAAAATGCATACAAAGGCATATACTGTGAAATATTTGCTCTTATTTGGTCCTTTTGTACAATAGTATTATTTGTTAATTCCTACATATAAGTTGGTAAATACTATTGATTCTGAAAGTACACTAAAATATGCACTCCAATATACGATTGTTATTATAATTTAGTTGGTATCAAACTTAACCCATTAATTAAAGCAACTCCACTCTTTGTACAGTTTTTTTTCATAATCCAAGCATTTTTTAGAAAGAGATTCAATGCCATTTTTTGCTTGAGCATTTTCAGCATTTTCATAACTTTGCATCACTTATATCAATTCCTCGGTTTCATCATTTAACGGCCCTTAATATACATATTGCTTTTCTTTGATTGTGAAGGTATATCTTCTCCAATTTGCAACAGACGGCTATGATATTATTTGAACAATCGATTGATATTCCGAACCTTATGGATAGTTATTCTCTACTCTTTCTTGTAAAATGCTCATTATATTTAGTAATAAGAATTAAAATAAAATATAATGTATCATAGTTAATCGAATTTTATATTTTTTACGGTTTCTTATAGAGTTACCTTATCTCTTCTGTCTTTCCCTTTTTAATGTAAAACTTATAGAGGAAGACAATATAAGGTTGTCAAAGTTATTTCTATTTAAACTTTATTATAAAATTGTTAAACTAATGATAATTTTTGTAAAACTCTAAAATTATGCTTTATCAAATCAAACCGCATGTCTAACTTGTCACATTTTACTCTACCATCTTGTCTTTTATGCAATCAAAAGGTTTTTAATAAATGTAAATTATCATTTATGTAAAAATATCATAAATCATTCATTCATTCATTCATTCTCAGTTTAACCATCATATAAGTCATGTTATCTTCTATCTATTTATATTCAGCTTTATGACTTAATTTTATTTCTATAATTTAAGTTGTAATATTAAATACTTTAGCTTCCAAAGTTATCTAAGAATTATTAACTGAATTTCAATCCTTCTGCCTCTTAATCAGTTTCAATATATAACAATTAAGTATTTATAAATATTTCAATTATGTCATTGATGTCATTTATTTCAATTGCCAATTAAAATGCTTTCAAACTATTTTCTAATGCTTCTTGCTTTGACAAAGTCAGACTTAAACAAATATGATAAGTATAACGAATTTATAAATTACAAACCATTGAAAAATATTACTTATACTACTATAATAGTTCGCCTAATAATGAATTCTCCTACAACTACAGACTTCCGAATATAATTTACATAATTTTTATTAAATAATCATTGATCTGATATATTACTTCAGTATTATTTTATTGAATAACAGGTATCTAATGCAATTTCTTATTAATATCGTAGATATCCATAAGTTTTAAAGTTTATAAAATTTCAGATATATTTTACATATTAATTTGGACCTTTTTGTTTAAAGTGTAAATATACTCTGCCTAATTAAAATCAAGTTGTAATCTAATGATTCTAGTTTAAATATTTAAATTCTGAAGAATATCAGATTACTATTGCAACTAAAATAGAGTTGTTTAACACAAATCCTTCCTTAAGAGACTTGATTAGAGTCTAAAAAGATCATTTAAAGCAAACAACTTCTTCTCTTTTATATATTGGCTTATATGTGATCCTTCCTCATATTTATATTTTGATAGATAGTCGATGCAATCTTAGATAAACTAGATTCTTTGCTCCACTTTAGTAAATGAATCAACCATCACAATTTGATGTAGGTACACAATTCTTTACAAATGGGATTAAAATGTATTCAAAATCTAATAACATTCTTAAATCGATTCTTAAGAAGCTTTTAATATCAAATCGTGTATATTTTATTATTATTCATCAATGATTTTTAAACCATTATATTTTTCATTATTTACGATTAGATTTGAAACACATATCTTAAAAAGATTGATTGGAATTATTTTACATCTATTCAGAATAAAACCTAAAAATTCATTTTTTTATAGTTTTTCTTAATAGGTCTTAACTTAATCAAAATTATTAACAAAGACGATGTCTTCCAAATTATAGATATTTCCATTTAGATGAACCTAATATTAAATGAATTTTAAGTCATCATTTTCTTCTAAAATATTTACACTAATGTCTAATTAATTTATATTCATAAAAATAATCTGATTTATATTAACTTTAAATATTTCTTAAGAGCATACCTTTAAAACATTCTTAAAGCATGCAATTCTAAAAGAAATAAAATGAACTATTATTATTTCAAATCCCAATTAAAGAGGAGAAAGAATAATAGTAAAAAATAGAAGAATAAATAATATTAAACAAATAAAAAAATAAAAAAGCTCCGCGTCCGGGAATTGAACCCGGGCCTCAAACGTGACAGGCTTGAATACTAACCACTATACTAACGCGGATTCTTAGCATCTCTTCATCAAACTGATAAATATTTCTTAAAGAAATTGAGAAGTCAAAAATGATAATATAGATATTAATTATAAAGTGAAAAGTAAACAAATAAAAAAATAAAAAAAAGCTCCGCGTCCGGGAATTGAACCCGGGCCTCAAACGTGACAGGCTTGAATACTAACCACTATACTAACGCGGATTCTTAGTATCTCTCCATCAATCTAATAAATAAATCCCAGAAACTGTGAACTCTAATTAAAATAAACTTTACCTTATTTTTATAGGGTGTTTTTTTCATATTTTCACTTTATATATATTAGAAAGTTATTTTTTCATTGACACTCTTATTTTCTAACTATTCAACAATATACCTTATATACTGGATTGATTTTTTCTGTCTTTTGATTCAAAATGTAATTTTGTTTGCAAATTGAAAGAAACTTTAGAATAGGAACAATAAAATGATACTTAAAATTTATTTTAATCCTTAAAATGCTCACTTAAAATTATGAAATTGTAGATCCAGTCCTCAAAATTAAAAGATTTGTTAAACTTTAAAGTTGATACTTTTTTCATTTAAAAGAGGAAATAGAAATATTTAAGAGAAAACTTAGATACAAATGAGAAACAGAGTTCAATGAGTATAGCATTAGTTTGTTATGAAATGAATTATGTAGTTGTAGTCATAAAATATATTTATCAACAAACGAAAAACATATATTATAATAACATTTTGTTTTTATTTTATTGATATTCATTTTAGTTTATGTTTGTACCTATTTTTTTGTTATTCAAAAGTTTCATATATTTGTTATATAATTTTATTGTTTATAAGAATTTAGTGTAATAAACTCATTATATTGTGCAATCATAATTTTAAGGTATTCTAATATCACCACTTACTTTATTTTCTTAGACAATTGATTCCAATGATGGGTTTCTCCTTTCAACAACCAACTCAATTTCATTTGATTTAATCACATTGTTTTATATTTTTCCATGACTTTTATCTCTGATAAATAATCCAATTCCATCATTGTCATTGATATTATTTTCAATAATTTCAGGTCTGCTATCCTTTAGTATCATGATGCCATTACTTTTATTTTTCTATATATTATTAAGTTTTATAACAGGGACTGCCGTTATACAAACAATCCCATCATTCTATTTAATATGATAAATTAATACATTTTCAGCAATAGTGTTTCTAAATATCCAACATTTACCACATTCAATTAAGAAAATACCTTCGCATCTACCTCCAAGAATTTTATTCTCGACAATGAATGTATCCACCGAATTTGCTCCTCCTAAGGCTATATTGGCTTTAATATTGTCTGTAATTTCATTTTTTTCTATGACAGCAGATGAAGTTTCAACTAATAAAACTCCTTAGCCTAAGTTTTTTGAGATTTTATTTTTAAATATGGAAATGCGTGATTCTGTATCTGCTTTGATTCCTGCTTTTTTATTATATCCTATAAATGTATTGGACTCAATTCTTGTGTAGTTATTCTATCCAGTGCAATGTATTCCGTTTTCTTTATTTCCAGAAATAGTCTAATTTGATTTGATTTTACCATCACATCTTAATTATTCAAAAACTTTAGTCAAAATTCCGTCAGTAAAATTCTTATCAATTTTGTTATTAAAGATCTAGGGATCTGCAGACAATACTTCAATTCCAACAATATTAGTTTTAATTTCATTACCGAATATTTTAGCTTTATTACCAATACCTACTTTAATACCTGGACCTTCATTGTTTTCAATTCTGCATAATTCTATCTGTGGAATAGCATCTGCACCTACTACATGAATGCCAACTTTCTTGTTCTAAATGATTTTGCTATTCATTATTCGAACACTCTTATTCGTAATTGCTTATTGTATCAGAATACCCCCATATGTATGATTATGCACCTTACTATCCTTAATTATTAGATCTCCCAATCTGAGCAAAATACCAATTGTTTTAGCATCTTAGTTTTTGGATGAAGTTCCTTTTATCTCACACCTTATAAACAAGGCCTCAGCACCGTTATTAATTGCAATTCCTGGCAATATACCTTTAAACGATTTAACAATAAAACTAAAATAGAAAATTAATTACTTACTTTAGAGCAATTAAACAATCTTCCATAAATAATTTACCTCCATTGAGTAAAACAACGCAATTCATGCCAGTATCAATAGGCACTTTATTTACAAATTCTTCATCTGGATTTGATTCTATTCCAGCTGCACCGTCCTCATGGCCTCCAAATAAATGTTTCGCGATTTCCTGTCCTTCTATGAGTTTCTCTAATTCTTCAACTTCTTCACTTGTGCCACTATGAGACATTTTTAATCCAATCAAAGTGCAACGCTCATCTTTTTACAAATCCACTAAGATCGTAGGTTTCGAGGATACAACTATAATTATATCACCATTTTTATCTTTAGGCTCTAAACGCAGGCCAGGTTTGTTTATCAATATATTTGAAGAATAAAGGCCTGCTGCAATTTTAATGACTGTATTAGGTTCAGCCTTATCAATTGCTTCCTAAATAGTTTTGTATGGCCCACTTTCTGAATCCACAATCAATTATTATTTTAAAACTCCCTTTATAGCATTGTCTTAGTGATTCATTCAATATATATGAATATTTTAAGACTAAATAATTATATTTTGAAATTTGAATAATGTTTGTTCTCTATATACTAATGAGATTGCAACTTTAATCATTCAAATTCCAATTCAAAATAACTATTTTCAATAGATTAGCCATAAGTGGGACACACGGTTTGTCAAATTCTATGTTTTTTATATGGATTAATTATAACCCATTATTATTCAAATGGAGATCATATTGAAATTAGTTAACAATGTTAGTCATTTCAAATAGGATTATAAAGTGTTCTAATTATTCTATGAGAATTAATTCACGAAAATATTATTAATAAAATTTGTTAACGGAAACAAAACACAATGCTTGTTAATTAATCATCTAAAGTTAATAAAGAGAACCAAAACCCACTATTGATTGTTAATTAATAAGAATAACTCAAGTTGAATGGTGTATTGCCTAAAAATCAGTTTAACCAAGGAATCACAAATAGATTTTAAAGCACTGTTTCTTGTTATTAACAATCATTAACAAAGTGCACTAGTTCAAGATCGTTATAAGAATAAATCGAAAGAATTGCTAAGAAACTTAAATAAAAATAGGAAAAAGAGATTGTTCAACAACCTATAGATTTAAATAAATATTCAATAGATGAAATGGTTGACATTCTTAAAAACGATAAGCTATTGCATATTAGATCCTTGCAACTTTAACCCAGCTCGAGCAAGAACAAATAAAAAAGTCCCAAGAATATCTTTCCACCCTTATAGTTGAAATAGAATTTTCAGAGTTTTGAAACTACTAAAAGCTCTGAGAATGAGACCATTAACCACAAATTAGACATGAAATCTCATTACACTTAACTGTCGAAGCCAAAAACAATTTAAAAAACTGAAAGTCGAGACAGCATTAGACCTACTGAAGATTCAAGGAAAAAGAGAACTGTCTCCTAAGTTATTGAACCTCCTACATAAACATTAACTAAAAAAGAAAGAATATAAAAAGCTTTACAAAATTCATAAAGAATAGTATAATTGTGTAATTAGTTTAATAAAAATAATATATCAAATGAGGAATTGCATGAATTAATTAAAACTGAAGGATTTAAATTGCAATTCGAATGTTTAGTTTAATTTAGTGATAATAGCTTAGATTGCAGAACTCAATTATAAAACTTTATGAATTAATAAATTAAGAAATACACTGAATTAAGAAAATGCTGAATTAGAGCATTAAGGTAATTATATCATTTATTGACTATAGTTAAGAAAGAAAACTTTAATTAAGTGCTTGAAAATTGTGTAAATAAATTAAAATCTAAATTTTGATTAAATACTGAGATATATACCTATAATTCAATTTATCATTTATTAAAATATTATACCAAATTTACTGTGCATTTATCTATTCTAAATCTAATCACAAAGTTATAGGCTAAATTCATTAAAAAATATTTTATAATTTCTTATTCTAACTAATATATAAAATTAATGTTATTTTTTAAATTAAATAAAATTATTTAAAAAAGATCACTTTTAAATTAGGTTACTTTTTATTTATAAATGATAAACAAAGCATTAGTGCTAGATGTTTTAATATAGAATCAATCCAATAAAATTTGATATAGAGGATATTTACTTAACTTTTGAGAAGTAATAAATTGATATTAATTCTAAATCCTATTTTTCAATACATCGATAATATTTAATTTCATATAAGTTGTTTTTTCACTAAAAATTGATTGAATTATGGATCTCTTACTCATGTTTATTACGAATAGAAATTAGTAACCTATTCATCTGATGAAATAATCATCCATTAAATTGAGTGCTATTATTTTTTCAAACTATTTATATATGTTAAGCTGATTCACAATATAAATTTTTGTTTTGGAATCATCAAATATAAATTATTTCATTATTTTTCCTATAGTGAGTAAAATTTGATATAATCAGTCAATAAATTACTGAAAATTTCATTATGGACATTAACAATCTTGAACCTCTTGCAAATACATGAATTTAAGATTAGCATAAGGGATTGATTTAAACAAATTAAACATATAAAAAACATCAAATTTATTCAGTTATGGAAACACTTAATCTTTTGAGAATGAGTGGAGATCTAATAAATGAGAAGGAACATCTATTGCTCGTGGAGCAAGAAAGATTGTCTTGTGCCTCATTATCGGAGTCTAATGAGCGTAATGAAAAAATCTGTTTTTTCTTCAAGTCTTCGTATATAAATTATTTCAACTGTGGATCAGTTAATTATTCCAGCTTCAATTCATCACTGAGATATTTGAGAATACCTGATTCAACTTAATTAAAAGCTTATTCATAAGTTCCATTTTCCCTCGTATCATTCATTATAATTAATAAATTAATAATTATTTTTCTCGATTTCTTCTCATTATAAATGAAGCAGATGAACTAGAATCCAAATAAATCAAAGTTCTTTTAATAATCTTAGATCCTTTGTCAAATACGCATTAAATCAAAGTTAAATAATATAAAATGAGTTAAAATTTTAATAGCTAATATTAATTATAAATGTAAAAACGCTGATTAAATTTATATTAAATGCAGTTTATACATCATTTATTTATGAATAAATACTAATTTCGAATGACTAGCTTAACTTCTGAACAAAAATTAAATATTTACCATACTTCTCTGAATGAATTTAGCATTTAAAGTAAGAATATTTTAACTCGTCATATTTATCTATGAATTTACGTTATAGTTTTACTAAGTGTATTGATAAATTGTGTCAAAGTAGAGAATATATTCATAATACAACTTAATTAAATTTGATTCAGAATATAATTATCAAAAAGGCAAAGAGATGAATAAATTTGAAGTACAATATTGTATTAATTCATTTTGGATAGTATTCGTTAATATATATATTATTTTGTTAAGAGATTAAATGCCAAGAACAAAATACTAATATCAACATTATAAAGTCATAAGTCCAAGCAAAAATATCACTGATTTTTTATTTTATTATAAATGTTTATATAAAATGTGAAGTATTAAATTTAATCAAACAAAAAATTCATTAAATTCAACATGCTTAATAAATTGATAATTATGAATCTAACTATTTTCCTTAAATTACAAATATTCTGATTTATAAATCAAATATATACGATATACAGTATATATAATATAAAAATTGATAGGTATCAGGAGTATGTTATCACTTCAGGATGAGGAAGATAAATAGTAAAAATTGAAGAATAAATAATTAAACAAATAAAAAAATAAAAAAAGCTCCGCGTCCGGGAATTGAACCCGGGCCTCAAACGTGACAGGCTTGAATACTAACCACTATACTAACGCGGATTCTTAGCATCTTTCCATCAAATTGATAAATAAATCCCAGAACATATATTTTCATAAGATCCAATAATTCGATTATTATTAATCATATAAATTATATCTATGAATTTAAATATCAATATCAATAGTCCCTTAATTCAAGAATTCAAAAGCATATTACCTTAAAGAGATCCAATCTATGCTCATCTTGATTATGAATAAATTCAAATAATAACAAACGAAAAGTATTCGTTGATAATAGTTACAATTAATTCTCGCGAATCTTAAGATCAAAGAATAGAAATGGCTGAATAATTAGTCAATCATTAAAGGATGATTAATTAAAGGTTAAGAAACCTTGGTTTAAATGGGATATTGGTAGATATTATCAAGCACGAGATTATTAAATAAGATGATTAAGTGTATATAATCTGCAAAACAATGAGACTTTCAAAATAGAAAGGTCAAGTGAATTTAGGTCTAGCCAATTGCATTGAATTTTATACAGGGTTAGAGCTGAAGGGAGTTCGACCATAAATAGTTATGCACATTGAAGATTTGGGTCTGAATAAAATAATACCCTTCACTTTTATGGAGAGCATTTTAAATGAAGACAATTATGAATATCCAGCCTAATTGGAATAAAATGGTTAATTAGACTAGAATGCCAATGGTATTCACTCCTAAAATTAGTCTGCCATAATAATAATATACAATGATCAACTTGTTTAATTCAAAAAATTGAGTGAGATGAAAGATATTCATATATTAAAGTATTTGGAATTGACTTCTGGTGTAAAAATAAGTGATGTGCTAAAGAAAAGCAGCACAAGTATTGTGAATGATAAAATTCATTACCTAAACTAAGAAGGGGAAACGTTTGGAATTGGTGATGTTGGAGAGAGAGGAAATGTTGAATTGAATATTAAGATTAAATAATAATGCTATGTATTCAGGGCAGAATGGAATCACATGAAAGAGTTGATTGTAATTTATTTATGATTAATGAGAATTAAAGAATAGATGGATAGTCTTTTGAGTAACTTCCGAATAATTTGTTTACTCCTATAGACAATGCTATTTTGAGTCATTTCAACCATTATGAGTTTGATCAAAGAGGGTATTCATTAATAATAATTGTCTAAGTTCTTTAATATTTTTAAATTGCTCTCATAAAGGGGATGTGAAAAACAAAGTTATAATAATAAACAAATAGATTAAAAGATAAATTTGGTTCATTGCATTGAAAACTCTACTTACAATTCTATAAATCAATATATAGAATGCTATTTATTAAGATTAGAAATTGTATTTAAGGACCTTATGCAAATTAAATCAAAAGATTCCAATTCTACAAGTAGAAATACAAGCAGATCTGAAGGAAGAAGACTTTAATCTAATTTTGGATTAGTGCAATTTGAATCCTCATTTGGAATCATTCATACTTGATGGTTCCGCGTTTAAGGATGCCATTCTTTCTGGTCTAATTTAAGGAAACAATCTTAAAAGCATTAAAGAATTAAGTTTTAAGGGATGCCAAAATATTACTGATGAAGGCATTTCCCTTTTATAAAATTTCGGAGTCTAAAAATTGGACTTATCTTTCACTCAAATATACTTATCAGTACCACAGCATTTATAGATTTTAAATATATCATACAGCAGATTCAAAGAGGAAACTCTGTTGCAACTACTTAGAGATAAATCATTAGTGAATCTAATATCGATAAACATTAGTGGATTAGCATCGGATAAGCTTATTTAAGTAATTTTTAGTTGTCATTACAAAGAACTGAGAGTTTTAATTGCTAATGAATGTAAGTTATCTTTATCTGTATTTCATCACATTCATGATTCTAAACATGTGAAATAGTTGGATCTATTGAGTTTTCAAGGATCAATTACAGATGTTGAGGAGAGCATCTTTAAAAAAAATGGATATGCATTGTTGGGAGCAAGCAAAACCAAAATAAACAAGTTGGATCTAGCCAATTGCTATATAAATGATAAATTGATTTAATCCATGGTTGAGGCAGGGAAATTACTGAAAAACCTCAGAGTGATATCCTTATCTGGATGTAGATATATATCTGATAAATCAATTTATTTATTGTGTGATGCTCATTATACATCAACAAGTCAATTAAAAAGCTTAGACATCTCTAATTTACCATAAATAACTGAATCCTCCTTGGAGTACTTAACAAATAAACCTCTGAAGAATCTATCAGATTTGAATTTGGCATACTCTACTTAGATATAAGCTGAACATCTGAAAAAGGCTTTTGATACAGGAAAATTTAACCAATTAAAATACTTAGGAATTAGTGGAACAAGTGAAAGTGGAGGATAAGCAGATATATTCAAATTTAGTATACCAGAATTGTGTACCTATTATATCAGAAATCACTTATCTGAAATTTAATTAGTAGAAATTTATACATCAACAAAAAATATTTAAAATATCTCAACAGCTGTGTTAAATTTGTTGCAAACTTAAATTCTTACTAAAATAGTAACCACAGATTAAATCATTTTAGAACCAGAAACATATGATTTGTTTAAGAGTAGTTTGGGATGCGAAAGATTACTTCTCAATAACAAACCACTTTAATTAGACAATTAGGATAAATCTGGATAATTAGACTAACTAACAGCAAATCAATTTTATGAGAAATTACTCAAATAACATCAGAATGTAATTATTAATAATACAGAAATAAAATTTATAAGATTGATGTATAATTTTTAGACAATTAAAAAAATTTGTTTTAAAAAAACTGAAATACTTGATAAAGATATCTTTGGCATTTGTTAGAATCTGACTTTATAGGAAATAAATATCAAAAGTTGCAAAAAACTAACTTTTAAAAGTTTGATTTACTTATAGAAGCTTTCAGACACTTTGATAAATATAGATTTTAGAGGAACTATATTTGAAAATTTATATGGAACTTTAAAATAACTGCAATATTTTCCTTAGCTTCTATACTTAAATGGAGGAAAATTAAATATTGAAATGTATTGTTATTAATATTAAAATTAGTATAAATATCAACTAAACAAATCATGTCATACAAGAATTAAAACACTTGCCCTCATTGTGGATGCAATTAGAATAAATTAAATCTTTTAAATTAACAATACGAGCTCATTATATTTAAACTTTTAAATTTATCTTTAAGACTCTTTCTTTATTGCTAAATAAAAATTAAGATCTAATTACCTAAATGTCATTGCAACTATATCAATTTAAAGTCATTCAAGACAAATCACTTTAATTATTTCATAACAGTCTATTAAATTTACGATTTCTGAAGCATTTTCATCTTGGATTTTAAAGGTTTTATATTGATTGTATTTTCGTAGCATGAAAAATATCTCACTTTTAACATTAAAAAACATGATCATAAGTCTATCTAGTTTGGACTCATTGAAATCCCTTTCCATTAGTTTGGATGAGTAAGAAATCTGAATGATAATTTAGTTGCGAATTATAATTTGTAGATGAAGATCTGTTTTTGGCATCCACTATATTTGAAGGAATTAGAAATATGAAATTATAAAATTTCAGTTTCTCATCTAATGACACAGTCACATATGATCAATCAATCTTTTCCAGTCTATTTAAATACATGTCCGAGAATGACACCTTAAATTAAGTTTGCCTGAGTTTTCAAAGGTAAATAGATTTGTATAACATTCAGACATGCAATAAGCAGGGAAAATTTATCAGAATTATTCCAAACCTTGAAAGAATTGAATTTATAAAGTTTAAGCTTAAATTTTGAATAAAGTGAAGTTAAATATACAAGATAAATTTGGGCTGAATTATTAGAGGTTTTAAGAATGAATTATAGTTTATTGCACCTAGAACTCAATTTTAATCATACATTTGAGTTGACAGATATGGACATTCTAAATATTATAGATGAACTATATTGCATGAAATTGACTACATCATGTGTATCATTGATAGGGTATTTTGGAGTTTATATTTTAGTTGCTATCATAATGAGAAGAGTATCAAAGAATTCACAAATGAGGATGTTAAAAATTATTAATTTTTTATATGATCAACCAATAAACATTAAGTCTTATTTATTTATATTAAGAAATTATAAATTTCAATATTGTATTTAAGAGTTGCAAATAATCTGAAAATTGAAAAGGGATGAAAAAACAAAGAGACAGATATTGTCAGATTGGATTATTAATCATTTAGCTTATTTTATATGTTCTTCATTCCAATATTTCTAAGTCTTTGGGTCAGAATGATTCGTAACCAAAGTTGGCTATCCTGGTTTCCATTGTGCAGGACAAACTTCTCCATGTTCATCTGTAAATTTAAATGCTTACACTAATCTATTGTAAATTAGCTTATGACATACCTTAAGACTTCGTCTACATTTCTACCCACAGGTAAATCATTAATGGAATAATGTCTGAGGATTCCTTTTCCGTCGATTATGAATGTCCCTCTGAAAGCAACACCAAAATCTGGATCTTCAGAATCATCTATAATGACTCCATATTTTTTAGAGATTTCCTTGTATAGGGATTGACAATTACCTAACTTAAATCTGAAATCAGAGGAAATTGCATCTCACCCAATCCTCCATTATTACGTGTTTATTTACAATATTTCATATGAGAAAATTAGGAGTCTACAGAGACACCCAAAATATCACAACCATTTGCTTTGAATTCCTAGTATAACCATATCAATAAACCTCAACTCGATCAGAAAACTGGATTATTTCTGTTGGACATACAAATGTAAAATCCAATGGATAGAAGAATAGAACAACATATCTATTTTTATAATCACTTAGAGATATCTAAATTTATGGATTTGTATACTCTCTTAAACTATTTATTAAAGTAGGCTGATGCTGTAAATTGGGGTGCTTACTTACGCACTTTCATAAATTATATTATAAATAATAATTGATTCTTTTAGTTACTATTAACTTAATTGATTGAAAAAATAATGGTAATTGATATAAACTTCTCATTATATCTATTTATATTAAGATATGAATAAAAGAAATTACAACATCAATAAATTTTGATTTATCATATTATATCTCTCAGTTAATCCTAGTATTTCTAATTATAGGGGGGTTATTCGGCTTCCACATACATTAAGGAGAATATCAAAATGTTTTCCAAAAATAAAAAATAGTATTTAAATACTATTGAAGAACAATAAATCTAATCTCTTAAATTTTGATATGAAATCCGAACCAAAACTAACAGCCTTCCTTCTTAAAGTTATTTAGGATGAACAATTTCTTATTATTCAATATCTGAGTAGACTTCAATTCTATTAAGATATAATAAATATTGAAATAAAATTAACTTTTACCAGAAGGAAAATAAAAATTTAATAAAATATCTAATTAATCAAAAATAGTATTTATCTATCAACTACATTATATTATCTTTTAATATATCATACATGTTGATTATAATAGTCCTTATTATATAATATATCACCACTTGTTTTCAACTTAAATAATTAGGAATTAAAAAAGTTAATATTTTATATTAATAATGGAAGGAATTTTGTTTGAATACGCGAGTAAAATTATATGGCCAGAGTATAATTATATAAATGTGCTGCTTGAATTTTCAGTCTTATACATATTGTATTCCCTATACAAGGTGAGTATTAAGAAGTTTATAAAACATTAAGCCTATGCAAAAATTACTAGAGTTGAAAAAATTAGCAATGAAGAGAATGTTAAGAAACCCAAGTAAAGTACTTAAGAAAAATAGGAGAAATCATAGAAATAGGGAAAGAAAAAGAATTCTGAAAAAGAGTAGTAATAATAAAAAGATGCCTAAAAACAACAAAATAAACAGGAGAGCTAACAGTAAAAATAAGAGAATCATTCTAATATATCATATAAGGAATTGCTGAAATAGGAGAAGCATAATAAATCATTGTAAAATAAGGAAAAATAGAAATCAACTGGAAAAAGTAAATGATAATTATTATTTTAGTTACTCATCCACTATATTTATCTTCTGTAAAAGGATTCTCTGATTACATAACCGATTTTGCATACAATAATAGATATTTGATAGCAACAGGATTTGATAATAGTATCAAATTATTTGAGATGGAACAATTTTTCAAGAATCCAGATTAACCTAAATATTTATTCCATACTTTGAATGACACACATGCAACAGCAATCTGTATATCTAAAAAAGAGGAGATCGCTTATTTTTCAGCAAACAACCAATTATTCAATTTAGAATTCTACCCAAAAGCAGAAGATAAATAATATTTCAAGGTAATTCCTAAAACTAAAAATTGTCATAAAAGTGATATCAATAGTTTACATGTTGATGAAAATGATAAAATTCTCATTTCTACAAGTTCAGATACTCACATCAAGGTATGGAATATGAAGGGAGAACTGTTGAAGGAAATTAATACATCATATGGTGAACATTATAGTTCTTGTTTTATGAAGGGTTTTTTGGTAGTGAGTTCTTGGAGTGTAGACACAAGCATCTATGAGATCAAGTTCAATAAGGATCACACATTTAGGACTCTGGAAAAAGAGGAAGTCTTAAGAGGTGAGAAGACTAGTGTATTGGATGCAAGTCTAAATGAGCATGGAACTCTAGCTACTTTGTGTAATAAGTCATAGTGCAGAGTGTATAGATTGAACACTGAGAGAAAGCTTAAGGAAGATGCTAAGTTATTGACTAAAGTTGAACTTCAAAATATCAGTGCAGCTGCAGTAAATGAAAACATTCTGGTAGTAGCTGCTGATGGAAACGTACATGTTTATGACAGAAATGTATGAATATCATATAATCTTAGTTCTAATAAATTGATTAAATCGATAATGCTGCCAATGGTGCTTATATTAAGAGAGTGAGAATTCATGAGTTGCATTCTAGTCTAAAGAACAAGAATTTCTATGTTTGCTTTGTGTGGGGACAAGAGGAGGAAAGAATCAATGTCTATAATTTTACCAAGTATCATGAATGATCAATATATATTAATAAAAATATGAAAGCACAAACTTTTATTAGAGGAGTGAACAATAATGGATTCTAAAAAACCGAATTCATGAATTATTATTAATATACAAAATATGAAAGCATCTATTGTATGCATACTGATTCTGACTGTGGCTGCAGCTGATTTCGAATCATTCTAACAAGCCTTAGAGTTTGATCCTTAGACATTGTCAGGGGACAATTGCGGAAATGATGATCAATTCACATAATAATATGAGGCGTATCTCTTATTCATATGTTCAGGTTCTTGCCTTGGATTTAATTACTCGAAGAAGGTGAAATTGAAATGCAAGAAGATCACAGTGTACTTACTTAAGCCAGAGATAAAATTAAATTAGTCAGAGAATATATTTAAGATTTGGATGAAGGTAATGTAATCAACTGAATTTAGAACTCGAAAAGGACTAAACCAATAATAATAATAATGCTGTTGTTGAATAACCAACACAATAACCTACTTAACAACCTACTGGGTAATCTGAACCATAACCAGTCTAACCAGCTTAACCAGCATAAGAAGTTTAAGAGGATGATGAAGAAGAAGAAAATGATGATCCATTTGGTTGGGGAGCTGGTGAAATCCCATAACATTTATTGGTTGATAGCAAGAAAAAACATAATAAAAATCTTAAAGGACATGCTAAAGTCTTGTTGGAAGTTATGAATTAGAGCAAATCCCTCAAATATAAGAGCGTATTCATTATCATCTATCGTAGAAAATCAAGAGAATTATTGCTATGGCTACTTCATTGGATACTGATATGGGAACATAAGATTTATAAGAAAGAAAAAATCGTAAGTTAGAACTCTGCGATTTGATCTTGGATGAATTAATCAACATGATTGAATTCTTAGAAAAAGTTATGAATGACTATGTATTCAATATTCAACTATTTTTAGTAATATCAATAAGAAGCTTATGATATTTTCAAAAAGAAATAAGAAGAAATAGTAGAAGTTGCAAATGGATGTGGTGCAAGAGTGATCTCACTTCAGGATACTTATTCAACAAGCTTTGTTTAGACTCAACCATTAAAGAGAAACAAGAAGTAAAATAAAGAACAAAAGAGAAAAAGAAAGCATTGAATGATAAATAAATGATACATCTTCATTTGCCTTAAGTGATCCAATATTACTCATATTTCTGGTACTTGTCTGTGTTCCTTCTCAAAATATCTTCCAACGGCCCTAACATTCTTTTAAAACTATGTCGATCTAAATATATTAATTTCACTTCGGTCTATTAAATGGTATTTAAGTTACTTCAGCAATTACATTAGCTTATCTTGGTATGTCTTTAAGTAAAGCTAATTCTCCGAAATAATCGCCTTCCTTATATTAAAATACTTTGACTGAATCTTATCCTTGAACTAAAGTCTTGGTTGCAATCAAATTGCCCTCTTCAATCATATAAAAGATATCTCCTTATTCACCCTCCTTAATAACATATTCTCCCTTTTAAAAAGATGCACTCTTGATAGCATCAGCAACATGTGACCTTTCATATGGATCCATCATGGAGAGTAGCTCAATTTATTTCAAAACATTCACATATTTTTCTCTTTTTCTATGATTGAAATAGAAATTTGTATACCTCATGGCTGCATCCTTTACAATGTGATTGAAGGTCTGTCTATCCAAAGCAAATAAAACACTATTAGTTTTACTTTGAATAGATGCTGCCCTGGGAGCATTGTAAAGCAAAGCCAACTCTCCGAATGACTCTCCAGGATAATACACTTTCAAGAATTTGTTCTCACCATCCTTAGTGAATCTCTTATAGCAATTTAATTCTCCTTGATCAACTACGTATAAATTATCTCCATTATCTCCTTGTTTGATCACCCAATCATCTACACTAGATAATGAGATAACCAATCTTCATACTTATAACTTCGTTCTTCCATTGCATCTATTACAATATCTTTTTCTCTGCTATCTAAAGATGCAAACATGAATGATTGTGACAATCTTTTGCTTATGATCTCTTTCTATTATTGGGATTTGACAATCACCCGAGGTTGAAAGGACTGAAATATTATTTATATTTATACACCTCTTTTCTGTTGTACTATCCATATGCTTCAGCAGAAATTGAAGCTCTTTATTTACGAGCTGCAGCAGGTCTTTTGGGTAATTCAATTATTTCTTCATCTGAAGAGGAAGACTTGCCACTCGGTTTCTGTTTTGATTTGACTATTTCCCTACCTTTTTTATCTAACCATGCAATTGACCAATCAATCTCAATATTATCAATGATCTTACCACATTCTTTGGCTATTGAGCTAAAATGTCTTCCATAAGTCTCTATAATAAGAAAACCACATTCTCTTAAGCGTATTGCTTTGCCTTATCTGACTATTAATTCATTTATTGGATAATTATTTAATCACAATTTTTCCTTTACTTTCTTTTTATGGAATTGAATAAGAAATTTTATTTATAATAATGCAAAGCGAGGATTTTGATTGGTAGATAGTAGTTTAGAACTACAACAAAGTTTGATCAATAAATAAAGAATATCAAAATGAGATTGCAATCAGCTCTTACTCAACTCATCATATAATCAGGATAAATAAAATAAAGTTGCTAATCCAGATCCAATCATACAGAAATCAAATCCTCCTTTAATAATATCTCACAATAGCAGATCAATTGAGAAGAAGGACAAACCTGCCTTAAGGCAATGTGCATCTAAATCCCCTATTCGCACTCCTGATACTGCAGAATGTCCGTCTCCGATTTCCACCTTTTCAAATAATTCAACTCTCAGAATGCAATTAAAATAAGCAGAACTCCTCAGTCCCAAATATTAAAACATATCTGATAGATTTCAAATTGGAAAGTTCTTGGGCAAAGGAAAATTCAGTGATGTCTTTTAAGCATAGTATATCCTTAAACTAAGATAGAGAGAAGACTTCAAAAGTATTAATTGCTCTGAAAGTGATCCAGAAAACTGCTATTAGTAAGTATAAAATAGAAGATTAATTGGCTCATGAGATTAAAATACAAAGCTATTTGAGTCATCCTAACATCTTAAAACATTATGGAGTGTTCTAAGAATAAACTAAAGTAATTGTGCTTAAATTACACTTAGATTGTATTAATACTTGAATATGCACCAGATGGAGAACTATATAAATTATTAAAAAACAGCCAAATCGTAGATTTACTGAAAATAAAGCTGGAAATTACATTGCTTAAATTGTTGAAGGCATTTCATACATGCATAAAATGAAAGTTATTCATAGAGATATAAAACCTGAAAAGATCTTAATTAGTCTAGTATCGAATTCTTATCCAATTTTTAGTAATTCTTAAAAATTGCAGATTTTGGTTTAGCAACTTATTCTCCTGAATCAAAACCAAGGCAATCCTTCTGCGGAACTATAGATTATATGTGTCCAGAAATAGCCTCAGGATAGGATTATGATCATTCTGTTGATCTGTGGTCTATTGGAATATTGGCATATGAATTAACCATCGGAACTACTCCATTTTATTAATCATCCAAAGAAGATACTATGAGAAAAATTATAGAAGGCAGAGTTGACTTTCCGAAATATGTTTCAAATGAATTATAGGATTTTACTAAAAGCTGTTTGAGAAAGATCCTTAATAAAGAATTAGATTAGAGTAAATGGCTATACACAAATGGATATAAATGAATCATTAAGCAGGTGGTTAATATGATAGAATGTTAGTTCAATCCTTAGTGACAATTTTGAAATGATTAATAATTATTATCATATAATTCTTTTAAGTAACAATATTAATTAAAGTTTTAACATTAAACAATTAAATTAATTTATACAAATACATTGAAATATCTCAATTTAGATTTTGTTGTTGCAATCTCACTCTAACTGATTTCTTTTTATTGATTAATCGATTTGAGATGCTACTTAAAATATAATATTTAGTTTTGATCTATATTTCTTTAGGTTTTAAATTATTAGAACATATTAACTAAATCAATAAGAGTAAATTTTTATATTAATAATTAATCATCAAGTTTTAGATTGGATTAATCAATTATTTAAGTAAGGCATGACTATTGATTCTAATAAATCATATCAGTAATTGAAAGAAGGTTGATTTTTATAATGTCGGTATTTGTATTATTTCCTATCAGTAATTAGAATAATTTTTTATTAAAATTATTCAAATTAATATTGGCTAAGTTTAAGACTGAATCTAAGTAGTACCATAATTAAACAGAATATAATTCATTGTAGATTCTCTGTTTATTTAGAACATCTTAGTGGATACATATATAATTAGGAATGATAATTCATTCTGATGAAGTATAGGCTTATTATTATAAACTTTAATTCCTAAGCAATGAGGGCAATAAAATCATTGAATTCAAAGTGGTCTTTGTATTCTAAGAGATCTAATTATGAATTATCAATTGATATATTATTCTTTAATGCATTATCTATTGATATATAATTCTTTAATTACTTATGAGAATCACTTCATTCATAATATCATGAGGATGAGAACTAATTTATAAAATACATAATTAGTTTGGAGTGCAACAGATACTGTATTTATGTTTGTCTTATGATAATTATTTGCTGAGCACTTAAAACATGGTTTTAGTGACATAAAGCAGTATCAATTTACATAGTCTTAAGTTATTTGAAGATCATTGAGATTCATTAAGCCCATTGTCTCTCATTTTCTTTATTTCCTTGAATGAATCTTTATTATTATAATTTCAAAAATTAATTTATATTGATATTGCATTTCACTTATAGGAAATGCACTTTAATTATATGATTAGGTTATGATTATGAGTTAATCATATATATGTAATAATTTTCATATTTCTATTTCTTTAACTTTTGGTTTCTTGTAGAAGCGTAGTTGAGCATTCGATTCAGGAGGATAAAATGGAGCTTATTTACCATAATTCTTTGGCAATGGTGCTCCGATGTTATCATCTGGAATGTATTGTTGAACTCTTTGTTTAGCCATAGTCTTACACGAAAATGGTTCGAACATTTTCTCTTATTATTCCTTTTCTAATCTTTAGCGTCTAGCAATAAATAAACAATTAACCTATCTTCTAAGTATCTAATTTAAGACTTCTATTATCTTAAATACTCATCCTCATGTTCAGGCAAAGGAGGTAAGCTTTTTTCCAATCTCTGTTTTGCGTCTTCTACAACATTTTCTAATTCATCCTTTTCTTATTGTAATTTAATGGCTGTTGCTTAATACATTGATAATTCAGCTATTGTAGCCATCATTTTCCTAGTTAAGTCTTTTAATTTGGCCTAAAATTCATTCACTTTCTCTGATAATTCAAGTGTTGACAATCTTCCATCCAAAGCTTATTTTCTTAGTTTTTCTGATAAATTAGTAATTTCATCTAAAATTAATTCCTTTTCTAGTAGCTGTTCTTTTTTATTATTCAATCTTTCCTCTAAAACATGTATTTTGGCATCCAAGGCCTCTTAATCTGGATCTTCACCACCTAATTCCCTAAATCTTTATTAATTGTTTGGATTTTCGAGTTCTTCAGAAAGTTATGACTCTTTCTTTTTTTCTAATTCTAATTCATCTTTAAGTTAAATAACTTTGGATGATAATTAAGGTATTTATAGAATATCCTTTCTTGCTACATCTATTTTTCGCTTTTATTCTTAAATTTCAATCTTAATCATCCTTATATCATCCTCCAATCTTTTTATTTCTAGTTCTCCAGATTTTAAGATGTTATCTTATATGTTGCATTTTTCATACATAATGCATAACTCATCATTTCTATCAATCAATACTATACCTGTATGATTTCTTGACTCACATACTTACTCATACTACTTTCTTAAGTTTAACATATCCTTTTCTAATGAAGATATGATCATATTTAATTTCTATATTTCATTTATGTTTTAATCAATTATTTCTTTTTTAGCCTTTCTTTAATATTCCAATTTATTTAACTTTGCATGACTTCTATCTTTCTTATGAACTTCAACCTGTAAACAATGTCTATATTCTAATAATGTTCTTTCTTTTTCTTGAGATTCATTTTTTAAAATTTCTAATTCATTTTACAATATCTTAATTCTTTCTTTTAATTCTGCTAAATCTTGAGAACTATTCTGGATCATATTCACATATTTATTTCTTGCCTATTTGACTTCTTCATATAATGATTTATAATTATGTTCTTTTGCTTCTGTTTCTTATGCTTTTTTTTAAAGATCCATTATTAATAGTTCTTTAATTTTTAGTTCTTCTCTTGTTTCTCTTACTTCAGCTAATGCACTTGAGGCTTTTCTAGCCATACTCTCTCTAGTTGCTGTCAAGGCTTTTACTCTCTTTAACCCTTCAGCCTCAAAGTTTTGTAATTCAATCATTTATTTTTCAAATTTCTTAATTTCAGTATCGACTTTGGTTTATTCCTATATTTTTTCTTCTGCTTTGTCTTTTACTTTTCTTACTCTTCCTTCTAACATAGTGTATTCTTCTGCAATATTCTCTCCAATTTCATTTTGTTTTTCAATTTCATACTTTAAATTGACTATTTCTTTTTTAATATTTTCTAATATCATCTTTTATTCATGTAGAGTATCATTAATTTACTGCATTTATGTTTATTATTTCTTTAATTCCTTTTTATCTAGATCGATTGCCTTTTTTAAGGAACTGACTGTATCTCTATGTCTTCTAATTTCTAACTAACAATTTCTAATTTCAATATCATTAGCCACTTTTTAACTACTCAAATCACTAATTTCTTCTTTAAGTTTTGCTGAAAGATCATTTTAAATGGCTTGATCTCTCTAATTAGTTTCTGTAGCTTTTTTTTCTTCATCTATTTAGGCTTCATATTCTAATAATTTAGTTTGTAACTTTTTGAATTCCATATTTAAATCATCAATCTATTTATTTTTTTTACCTATATCATCCTTGTATCCTTATAGATCCTTCAACATTATTTTATTAGCACTTTTCAACATTTCAGCATTCTTACTAAAACGATTTGGATCATCCTTTATTTTAATATATTCATCATTCAATTTACTAATTTTGTTGAGTTTCTCATCGTTTTCAATCTTCAATTACTCGATCTTTTCTGTTTTCTCATCTATACTTTTTTATTCACTCTCAATTTTCTATTTATACTCTAATAATAAATCCCTCTCTCTTTCTATCTCAGCATCTTTTTAGAGCATCTCAGGCAATGCCTTACTCTTAGCCAATTTTTCTTATTCAGATATTCTAGTTAATATTATGGATTTCTCATGTTCTACTTCTTCGCATTAAAATTATTTGGCATCAATCAATTATTCCATCATTTCATATTCTGCCTCTGTCTTTTTTAAACTCGCATTTAAATTCTATGCCTTCTCCTGTGCATTAGCCTAAGAAATGTATTTTCAAACTTAATACTTGATCATTTACAGCAGTTTCGAGATTTTATTTCTCAGTTGCGAGTTGAGTTTTGAGTTTTTTTGATTTTTCCCACAAAAAGTGATGATTCTTAAAGGTTTAGACAACAGTGTCGTGGAGTTTATGAAACTTTTACTTATATGAATCACATTGCTCTTAATTGATTTTTCCTTGTCTATGATATATGGTGGGAATTAAACTTAAAAAGATCAGTAAGCATACTAAGGGCAACATTACTCTACAAATCCCTTATTTCATCAGGTACTTCTGCCATTATTAACTTAAAATAAATAATAAATTTATATATAATGAAAGCATCAAAATACTAAGTTGAGAATAGAGACTATAACATCATCACCTGTGTGGATTTCAATAGACAACCATAGTCATTACCTCCTTTGAGGAAATTGGGTTAATAGTAGGATCACCCTTTTCCAAGGAAAGCAAAATTCGAGATGGCTCAAGAATAAGTATAAATGCAACAGACAGTATCCTCCAAAGCTAACAATTCTCAATAAGACATCAAATAAGTACAACCAGGGTCAATGATGAACGTATCGTCGGTCAAATTTGATTTTATTGCCTTCACTCAAGGAAAACAATAGCCATTTCATGATCTAAAGTAAGAATTGAAGATCTTGCACAAGAAAAAAGTATTGATATGCATTGATAGCCAAGGGTGGAATGGGGGAAATCGCCGATTTAGGTGGTCTGTGCTACCCAAATTTCAATAGGGAATATTAAGATAAATTCAAGGAAAATTAAACGATATTTAGAAAACAAAAGGGAGATTATCCTGCCGTCACAGATCCTAAATTCTCGTATGGTCCTTTTATGAAACCTTTTAAAAAGTTCAAGTTTTGATATTTCCTTATATTATTTTTAATATTAATAATTAAATGGAAACCTAAATTTTGAGATAATTTTTAAGTTCAAATGAGACTTACTCAAAAACAGAAGAAATCAAACTCAAAATCTTGTATTCTGATATGTGACATTTTCATCTTAAATTATAGTTAATTTATAAAATAGGTTTAACTTTCTATAGTAACAATTATCAAAGATCCATTTGAAAGTCCGAACACAAAGCTGATGGCTCTCAAAGTATAACTCCCTCAAAAATTAGCTTAATAAAGAGCTTGTAGAAACTTTCAATAGCAGTTACATTTACACACTCCAAAAAACATTATTGCCTCTACTCGAAGAAATAGCTAAATATAAATACACTTCAGATGATCCAGATCGAGGAGTCACCTATTTTTTAAATGGGGAAAATCCTAACTCAGGTACCCATTCTAAACTAATTAATGTTAGATAATAGAGATTTACAAAATACTGGAGAATAATTTGTTCGAGTGGTACTGGAATGTATAAGAGTTTGGAGTAGATGGTTTCCTCTAGACTATCAATCGTACTACTTAAGTTCTTTTAAGATAACCTATGAAAAGTTAGTAAAGTTGGGGGTTAAATTTCCTAAGATCATTTATTTTGATAGCATAGAATAAAATATACCTCATCAATTAATACCTTTATCCATGATTATTTAACTAAGAGAACTACTCAAAAACTAACTTAATCTTTCAACTAAATAAATTAGAAACTATCTAGCCATGAATCCTGCTCACTTTTTTTATTAACACAAATATCATACTTTTGGAGATTTTTTTCATTAAATTAAAAACAAAAATCCCATCTAAAGGAAAAAGGTCCTTAGAAAGGCTACTTTCCTATTGGAAAAAGAATTTGAAAATCTAGAGACTTTGAAAAAGGATTCCTCATATAATCCTATCTCTTAAGAGACTCTGCAGATTGAAAATCTTTGTTTGCAGAATTTATATAATGCTTTTTCAATTAAAGTGCCAGATCTATAAGCTCAAGTGATTTAATTATAGAATAAAGTGGCTAGTTTAGAAAAATAACTCTTAGATAGAGAATAAAAAATAAATTAACTTTAAAATGAATTATAAAAATTGTAAAAACAGTTTTCCACCAACATTAATTAATTTCTAACTTCCAACAATTTAACAAACAGCGAATTATTTGAAACAGATGTAAATTAATTCTTATAATTAGGTAACAAAATTAAAATTACATTATGGAATTTATGATCAAAGTTATGAAATAGAGAAGTTAAAGACACACCTATATAAGTCTGAATTTAAAATAGAAGAATTAACTGAAGAATTAGATCAAACTATCAGAAAGAAGAATTAGCTATTTGATGAAAACAAAGCTCTAAGCTAAACAGTATTAGTTTTAGAAAGAAGACTTTTATAGAATAATAAGCAACCTTTAAAATCCTTATCAACTCAACAATGTCTAAGTGAATATCGGCAAAATACCATGACTAATATAAGCTAACCAAGTACAATTGTGTAAAAAAAATAAAAAAGCTCAGAATTTTAAAACTCCTTATTTTTATCTTTAAGACAACAAATTCTAGGATAATAATTGTATATTAAGACATTATAAAGCCAATTAATTAAGTTTGATAAATTTTTATTGCAATCTGGTCACACTAATTCTATACTCTCTTATCATACTGCATCTACCTAATACAAAGGTATATTCTAAATCTAAAATTTAAGTCCCTATGTTCTCTCCATTATCTGTTTCTTAACCTAAATCAAGAGGATCAAAGGAAATAGCTTCTCCCTTTGTAGATTATGATGGCAAGATATTTGCCATAATTCCTGATGCCTTTACTGTCAAATTTAGGTAATCATGTTTGCTTAAAAAAACAATTTTGCACTCTGATGAAAATCTTTAAATTGGATTGCAAACCAGTTTATAATCCAATAATTAGCTATTAATTAATTTAGTCTTTCACAACAGAACCTAAGAGTTGTTACACAATTTATGTGTTTCCTATTAGAAATCTTAGAATCTATCCTATTAGATTTATCCTCTTAATATTCAATAATCCATGAAAGGAAATGATTAAGTATCCTAAAAAATATTTATTTCGTTTGAATAACTTCCTTATTAATTGTTAGAATTTTCAATAAAGTATACGAAATAACAATAAGAGCATAACCTCAAGGCTTGTCTTCCATGTACAATCAATAAGTTTTTCACATTTTTAGATGTTCCATAAGAGACTCCAAAATCTTATTTTTATAATAGTAAAATCTTTCAAACAAGCTTTTAAAATCAAATTGGGTAATTGCTTCCTGAATTTTAAATTAATTAAGTTAACGAATAATTTGTTGAAGCTTTAGCAAGGATTCAAATCGAAAAATCTGTATTTTTAATTTCAATCTCCTCTAAGAATAATCAGATGTAAATTAAGTTGAATGGAAATTATTAAGATAAGTTAGTGGAATGCATAGTGTCAACCTATTAAGGGTTATTTATGAAACGATGAAATAAATTGAATATAATTATTAAAATTAGAGAATATAATTATTAAATGCAAGAGCTCTAGATAGGACTAGTCTTATTTGTTTCATGTTTATCTTTTTTCCTTCTAGGTTATTAATGGGCAATATCAAATTAGAAATCATATTATGATAGTGTATTATTTTCAATATCGTTTTTAGCTTGGATCTGAAGATGATGAATGTAAAGTATAAGTTATTTTCTTTAGAAAAACTTGAATAATAATTGAATGAATATAAGATAAAAGAAGAATAATACGTCAAATAAATATAAGATCTAAAAAAATAATTGGGGACGGCAACTAATAGTAAGAATACAGACATTTGATTTCTTAATAAATTAATTGTGAGACATGTGTAGAATAAATTTATAATAATAATATCATCATTTTGTATTCTAAAATAAATACGATTCTTTCTAACATATATATAAGATCCTTTTTCCTTTGCTAGGATATATTTGGTAATGAAATAAATTACATTAATAATTATAAATATATATATGGCACAAGAAACTAATTATGGTGACGTAAATATGATTTATAATCTTAGATTATACTTTTATGTGGAGATTTGCACGTAGGGACAAGAATGTAGAAGATTCACGAAAAAATTGTTGCTGCTTTAGGAGTAAATAAATTATAACATGTACTTTGCACAGGGAATGTGGGAAACAAAGAGACTTTTGATTGGTTGAAGTAAATTTCCCCCAATTTTCATTGTGTTAGAGGTTAATATGATGATGTATTTATCTTTCTCAATATAAGGAAAACAATGAAATCCATAATGATCAAAAGGTAATTCAAATAGGAATATGGAAAATTTTATTAATTCATGGACATTAATTTGTGCCTTGGAATGATGAAGAAACAATTAGTATCTTCTTAAAAGAAAATTCATGTGATATTGCAGTTTTTGGAAACTCTCATTAATCTTTAATAAGCAAATTTGAAAGAAAATATTTTATAAATCCTGGAACAATGAGTGGGGCTTATGGATCAATTAAATAGTTAAATTCTTATTTATCATTAGAGATGCAGTTATTTTACCTGAATTTGTTATTCTAGAGTGTTTAGGTGATGAAATGGGAGTTTACAAATATAAGTTAGTCAATGGAGAATTAATAATTGAAAAATGTACAATTACAAAATGAACGAATATTTATATTTTTAATTATCTATTTGAAGTTATTTTCCATTTGAAATAATTCATACTTATATATATACTATTGAAAATATGGATCTGTTTTTTGATTTCTGTATCAGGTTTTAAAATTATTTATCATTTTAACACTATGAAGAAATCTCTAAATAGTAAGAGAATGAGAAATATATAAACTACAAAGCTGATATTGGTTCTCCTCAAAAGAATTGCAATACATTAGTTTTATATTATTAATATATTTATGAAACAAAGCGAACAGGTTGTTCTTGCATCCTAATAGCCTGGATTGATAGATACGTCAACTAAAAGATTGATATCCAAATCCTCTTCTTAATTTTAATCACCTTCTTTTTAACAACCGGTTGTTACAAGACGCATACATAGGAAATTAGTACCAATGGATGGTGGTATAAGATACTTGATAATATTTAGAGGCTGAGGAAACTGTTGTTTAACCTATTCAACCTCCTCCTTAACCAATTGTCCATCCTGTTCAATAAATGATTTGGCCAGTTGCAGTTTAATTTAATGAAGATGATGCATTAGCAAAAATTAGAGAAGAAAAAATGTTGGCACTTCTTGAACGATAGTCTGAAATGCTTACAAATTTACTATAGAAGTATAAAAGATTGGAAGAGGAATAAACAAATAAAATATAAAGGAGAATAAAAGAACTGGAAAGAGAAAATGAAGAAATTTGGTAAAGGAGAAGATAGAATTATTTGATATACAATGTCTCTTAATCAGTAGATTAAAAATTAAAGGAATTTAATGAATTTCAAATGCGCCCATTTTTGGACTAAGGTTAGCCTGTTCTTTTAAAGCCAATTCATTAGGATGATCGACTATTTTTTGACAAGAAAAAGAAGAAACCAAAGCCTAAGAAAGTAGTTGAAGTTGATGATGGACTGGTTCAAGACCCAGATACAGGAGAATTATGGGATCCAAAAACTGGAGAAGTTGTACAACAATCCCTTCCTTAATTACCATATTGATTATAATTCATTGTTATTATTTTTAATACTATTTATAACTTCTTATAAGTGTTTAAATTAGATCAATTGAAATATTCCATACAATTACAATAATCTAACTGATACAATTCTATATAGACATTGATAACGATTAATTAGGTTCAGGAATTTATTAAAAATCTTATTTAAATAGAATATTAAGAACATAAAGTTTATGTATAAGTTAAGATATTAATTTATTAGAAATAGAGACCACTTTAGTTTATGGGTTAACATGTATCTCTGATAAATAATAAATGAGCTAATGATTATTGAATATCATGATAATCATATATTTAGATAGTAGGTAAATTACTAGTTATTTTAAGTATTTTTATATATATAAAATTATAAAAAAATTAATATTTAGCATTTAAATTAAAATAACAGAAATCCTAATCATACAATTTAATAAATAAATATTTATTAATTATATATATGCCTAATATAACCTCTATTTTTAATTATTTATCGATCTGTCTTTGTGACATTCTTTTTCAATGAACTTAGATCTACTGATTTGAAGAAAATAACAAGTATTGTTTTACTAGTTTTTTACTAACTATGCAAAATAAAGTTTGTTTGATATTATAAAATTTTGATATGAATAAAACTTAACTTATATAATGTTGAATTGATATATTTTGTTGAATTTTGTCGAATTATTTAGCTTTCTCAATATTGTCTTGTTGAGAAATAGATAAAATTATAATTATAAAGTAAATGTAAAGATAGTTATCAAATTTACTCAGGAAATAGAGTCACTATCTGAAGAGACTTCTGCTATTGTATCATCATATATGTATTTTTCTGTTTCATCAGTAATAACACGCATTTATTTGTTTTTCAAATATTTAGGTTTTCTTTGCCTAATAGATTTGATATATATTTTAATTTCAGCTACTATTTTCTCAAACTTTTCATTTTCTTCTGATTTATAAATAGTATCAAGTGTTTGCACAAACTTTGAATCATGATTGATTATTATATCTAAAAATAAATGATGATTTGAGACTTTTTAAATTTTCCTTTTCATTGGTTGTGATAATCTAATTGGCAGACATCTGTTGGACTATCTTAAACACGTCATAGTAAAATTATTATTACAACATTTTATAATAAAAACAATCATTTATATTAAATACTTAATGGTTCAAACTTTTCAACATTTAGCTCAATAGTATTCACATTACTTAAAGATTGAGCATCGCTAAGTAAATGATAAGTTATATTGTCTTATCATAACTTGATTCTCTTAAAAAGTGACATTGTAATATAATTCTGATCAAGCAATTCTCCTTAAACTCTTCTGATTGTTATAATCCTACCAATATATTTATCTTTAACCATTCATTAAGTTCTCAACTAAAGTTCCTACTTTAATACATGATTTAATAGAAACATTTAAGTTATTATTTCCTCTATAATATTAATTTAAGAAGATATCCTCTTGGTTCTTAGTGTTCTACCATATAATCATAGATAAGATATGACTCTAGCTTTTACAATAATATGGATTTTGAATAATTCATTAAATAGAATTAAGTCTTATAACTCTGAATAATTTGTTTTTTTATGTTGATTTTTCTAAGCATATATATTTCTTTTTCGTGTTTGACTTGGTTTTACAATCATTATTACTCTCATTTTTAGCATCCATATAGATATTGAATTATTATTACTTTTACTAATATGAATTATAAATTAAAAATAGTCTCTATATTTACTTGTTAGCTTTCCTTTAAAACCTATTTTCATATATAAGGCAGTTATTGCATAGAACTTTAATTTTTAGGCAAATTTGTTTTAATTATGAACAACAATCTCTTCTATATTAATAATATATTATTCAGAATAGAAGAAAATTTGTTTAAATAAAAACCTATATGATTGATTGTTCTTTAGGTAACCAAGATTCTAAAAAATTAAAATTTAAAATATATACTTTAAGATTATGAACATAACGATCCCTTTTAAAATTCATAGATAAAGTTAAAATTGATGAATTATCAATTAGGTTTGTTTCCTCGATATTCAAATTACTAATATAGACTTTTCTAAAGGTGTTGTAATAAGGATCTGAAAATTTCCATAATAGAATAATAGGTATAAGGATATCGGTAGGGATTTTATTCACTAAATTATAGCGAATTCATGCTATGTAATATATTGAAATAATATTCAATATATATAGATTAAATAAAATAAATGATTGGCAAATAAATCTTTCGTGCATTTTCATCAACCACAGCTCCATATGTGTGGGTCAATAAGCACACCAAAGTGATATGCTAAGGTATCACTGGTAATTAGGTATACAGTTTATTCTTAAACTAGGGCACATTCTAAACTGAATAAGCATTGAACTACTTTACAAAAATGGTTGGTGGAGTGTCACCTAAGAGTAATTATCTATCCTATAAACTTAGAGGCTGGAAGTACTCATCTTGGCTTACCTGTTTTCAAGGATTGCCAAGAAGCCAAATCAGCCACAGGATGTGATGCATCTGTGATCTATGTGCCTCCTCCTACAGCAGCATCAGCCATTATTGAAGCCATTGAGGCATAAATTGGCTTAGTGGTATCATACTTTATTAAAATGAAAAGGTTGTCATTACTGATGGAATTCCTTAACATGATATGATTAAAGTTAAGCATGCTCTAAGATCCTAATCAGTTACACGTGTTATCGGAGTATTAAATTCATAAAATCATCTAGCCTAATTGTCCAGGAATTATCAAGCCAAATGAATGTAAAATTGGTATCATGCCAGGATACATTCATTAAAATGGAAAGATTGGTATTGTCTCTAGATCTGGTACTCTTACATATGAGGCTGTCGATCAAACTACAAGAGCTGGTTTGGGACAATCAACAGTCGTTGGTATTGGTGGAGACCCTTTCAATGGAACTAACTTTATTGATGTTTTGGAGAGATTCATGGTTGATCCAGAAACAGAGGGTATCTAATCACAATATATTCATTAAGGTATTGTTATGATCGGAGAAATCGGTGGAGAGAATGAGGAAATGGCTGCTGATTGGATCAAGAAAAATAATCCTAAAAATAAACCAGTTGTTGGATTTATTGCTGGTATCACAGCACCACCTGAAAGAAGAATGGGACATGCAGGAGCTATTGTGTCAAGTAAATTTATCATTTATTGATTTAATAGAGGGCAAGGGAAGTGCACCTGAAAAGATTAGAGCACTTGAATAAGCAGGTATTAGAGTTGTGAAATCACCTGCTTAAATTGGTAAAACTATGTTGGAAGTCATGAAAGAAAAAGGATTAGCATGAGTTTATCATCTAATTTTTAAGTAATATTTTCATTTATGAATAATTAATTGATTCTCTAAAATTTAATTATTCTCACTTTCTGGTTGTTTAGTAAAGTGAAATAAATTAATTATGAATTAGAATATTTATCTAATAGGATTTACAAATAGATTCTTAATTTAAATAGGTCAAGTAAGTCTGGTATTTTGAATATTGAATGAGAATTAAAAATATTTAAACATAATTTCAATAACTTAATCAATTTTGGAATTTCTTTCATTAATTTCCATTAATAATATTTAACAAATATCTAATCTATTGTGTGAAAAGTTAAAGTTAATTGATTTACAATATGTATTATATTGAATATTAATTAATATCAAGAGACTTTATATTAAAAAAAGCTTTCAAATTTAACTCCAGAGATCTTCCACTGATTTTTGTTTTTATTTCAGTTTGGAACTAAATTTTAATGTAGATGGATTACCTTTGGACAGGAGATTAATTTTGTTTAGGTTATGGCTTCGTTTACATCAATTTCACTAATTGTCCTGTTGATTTAGCCATTGGATCATTTTATTTATTTATCAGTATTATTTTATTTGGGGAGTCACTTGTTGATTTACTAAAAGAGTATTGGCCTTTTATATGACTTCTTGTTGGTTGTAAGCCATCCTTTAGCATTTTTTATAATTAATTTAATTCTTTAGCAACATTTCCTAAGCTTTATTCGCTCTATTAAGAAGTTAATTATTCAAAAATTCTATCAACTGATTTTCTAGCATTCTCAATTAAAGTGCTTTATTCTGTATTTTATTTTTTCTTCATTTATTCTAATTCATTTTTGCTTTTATCTAATTCAGTTCTTGTTAATTTCAAATCGAATTAGATTTATTTATTGATTTCAATCTAATTTTTAAGTTCATAAGATATAAGTGCATCAGATTAGACTTATTAATTAGTGTGTAAAGTTTATACAGGTATTGATTCCAATTTCTAAATTTATAAATCATTTTAAATATCTACAACCTTTTCTTTGTTAAATTAATTTTGATTTTGCAACACTAGAGGAATTTCAACCTTATTATTCAATAGTAAGTCTTCAAATTATTCCAATCTAATTTACTTTGAATGAAGTTGATCCTCATTCTCTTTTTATAGTTTTTCATAAACATCCAATTCTTCCTATAATTGAAGAATGGTTTCATCCCTATCATTTAACCTATTAGTTAATGCTATCATAATATCTCTTTATTTTAACAATAATTGTTTATACTTATCTGTTTATGCTTTATCCTCTTCAATTGATTGCCTCTCTTTTTCTAATTCAGTTAATTTTTCTTAGTATTACTATCTTATCAGTCTTTATTATTTCTCTAAGGCACTTTGAAATTAAGGAGTTTCTTCTATCTTTTATCCACCTACTAGCATCTGAGAATTCAATGCTGAAATCTTCTCTTCTAATAACTTTCTCAATTCAGTTTCTTTGAACAAATCTTTCGATCTTTATTCATAAGCAGATTGAGCTTCTTGCTTATCTTCCAAAGCCTTCTGTTTTTCCTTTTCTAATTCATTAACTAGATTTTCAAGTGGTTATTTTGATCTCTCCTCTAATTCTGATTTCAATTTCTAAATTTCTAACTAATATTTTCTTAACAAAGCCCCTTGATCTCCATCTTAATTCACAATTGGAGTATTTTTAATTGTTTTAGCTCTATTTGCAAATTTTAAAGTTGATAAGGACTCTCCAAATGCATCAATTGCTGGTGATATCATGGCCATAAAGGTAGTTTTGCAATTCCCACCGAGAGAATCTTCTAACAATCTTGTTATTTTTGAATCTCTATAAGGAATATGAGGTTTAGAACCTTTATTTTCGGTTAAAGCAGCAATGACATTTCCTAAAGCAGACAAAGAATAATTAATTTTTTTAGATTCTTCTAATCTTTGACCTGTTGCTCCTGTTACTCTCACTCTCTCACTACCAGCCAAATCTACCAAATTCAATTTACCAACTTTTGCAGATTTTCCTTCTGCTTTCTCTTCTATCTATTCAACAGTAATAATGAAAACAGCATGACTTCTTGAACTTGTATCATTCATTCTTGTACTTGCTGTTACTCTTTTAGCATTGCCTTTACGCATTAATTAATAAATTTCAGCTGGACCTCTTACTGCCCATTCCGACAAGTTTTCAACAAAAACTCCTCTTTTTTTATCTTCTCTTATATTCAAAGATGCAGAATCTCTTAGTAAATCACTAATGATTTCATTATATATCTGTAAATATGATGCTCGGACCATAAAGGTTGTAGATGAATTACTTTTCATTTAAATGTGATTAAATATGTTATGCAAAGATCTTGGTATAATACCTAACTAATCTGAATTAGGATTGAAACTAAATCCATGCATTGTGTATGTTTTACCAGTTCCAGTTTGACCGTATGCAATTATAGTTGAATTGTATCCTTACAAAGTTGAATCTACTGATAACGCTGCTGTGGTATTATATACTTATTCTTAGGTGCTGTCTTAATCATAGACATAATCGAATGTAAATTAATGGAGAGTGTAATTTGATGGATTTGAAACATATTATTCTAAATCTTCATCAGGAACAAGTTCTATTGCATGATAATCAAATATGCAAAGTTATAAATTATCTGGAGCAACCTACACTGTTGAGATGAATTTGCCATCGCGAATTTCTCTAGCCATCGGTGGACGAACTCTTATAACTACTCTTAAGTTTTCATTGTTTGGAGTTTAAACGTTGTTTTATTTCATTGTATAAACTTGTAAATTTTATTTTATAAAATAAAGTGAAAAGGGACTATTTTTATTAATATTTTTATTTCCTATGTTTTCTGGATTTTATATTATAATTAATTTTGCGCGACGTTAATTATTTTAACGAATAAATAATGGAAATTAAGTACAACAGATCACTAAGCGGAAGTTCCTGAAAATCAATTGCAATAACCCTTAAGAAGAATTACCAAGACCTATATTGAAAACAGAGACCCTGTAAGAAAGAATTTGACCATGTTGTATAATGAAGGTAAATCCATCATGTATAAAACCAAGACACTCAACAAATCAACAAATCGATGCTTAGTAGCAACAATGACTTAAGAAGGAAAATGATGAATTAAGAGAGAGTGAAGCGATCACTCAATCAGGATGTATTGGAAGACAAAGAAAATGTGCCCCAACACAAAGGACTCCCCACTAAACTCTATACTTTGCCTCAGGAATTGTAGAACATCACATTGAAGCCAAAATTTGATCACACCATTCAAGAAAATAAAAATCTGTAAAAGTTTTACACAGAGGAAATATTTTTCTATTTAAAAGAATAAGAAGTATTTAACAATAAAAATTCATTTAGAAAAAATCAACACCATAAGAATTTTTGAAGAATCACTCAATTCCCAGTAATTTGAGAGCTAAAATGATTGATTGGATGGTTGAAGTACTGTGCTCTTATAAATGCACCGATTAAACATTCTTCGTTGCTGTGAGAACCTTGGATTTCTATTTTGCAAAAAGTGAAAAGCACATTAGAAGTGTCTGATTTACATCTCTGTGGTGTTACATCTATGTTCATTGCTGCCAAATATGAAGAAATTCACCCAATGAAATTATCTGTTGTTTATGAGAAAATAGCTCATAAAAAATTAACAACTGATCAAATTAAAAAGAAAGAGAGTGACATTCTCTAAACTATTGGATTTGATCTAGTTGGGGGAACACTATTTGACATGTACAATTTAATTCTTACTAATTGCTTTATTGAAAGCTAAGCTTGCTTGAGAAAAATTACAAATATTTAAAAAAACTATGTTTGTATCTTTCCAAAATGGTTTTGTTTGATTATGAGATTTGCGGCAAGTATAATTATACTTTATTGGCTGCTGCTTTAATTTTTGTTGCATTTAAAATAGTTGAACAATTAGATACTACTTTCAATGCTGATAGTTAAGTATATAATTTTATCTATTTCATAGATTAAGGATGTTGCTTAAATTATTTAAGTTGATCAAGATTAGTTAGTAGAAGTTGCAGCAAAAATCTTGAATTTGGCTAAAAACTTTGAGAAACACTTTCCCAATTTAGAAAATTTAAAAAAATTTAATGGATTTTAGTTAGAAGATGATGAATAATGACATATTAATATATATTACTTTTATAAATAAATATGTGGCAACCAAAAAAAAATATTTCTAATGTACTTCTATATTTTAATAAATCAATCAGCTTTCTTAGTGCTTTCAGTTGTGTGTTTTTCACCCTTTCCTTTTGTTGACACTTTGGCAGATGCCTTTCTTGCTAACAATTATTTTCTGTCTTCATTGAGGTATGGTTTTGTGATAATGCATTATGATGCTCTGATTGGGATTTAGTATGGCATTCCTACAATAACAATTATTAATTTACCATTGGCTTTTGTTCTTGTGAGTTTCTCGATTTAAATAGTCCACCTCTTTCTATAAACCGAAGAAACTTTACCCTTTGTTCCCTTATGTGTGCCTATGCTCAATTTTACAATCATACCCCTAACAACAGTGACTTCATCATCCTTTCTAACTGGCAATGCTCTAACATTGTATTTCTTTCTTAAATCTTTAGATAGATGAGCGCTCATTAATTTATATCTGAGGTTTGATGGTGCTCCTAATTGGGCTCTTCTGCCCTTTCTTCTTTAACTTGAAACTTCGACATGGGTTTTCATTTTGAAAAAGATTTAATTAAAAATTAATTTTTTGTTTTTTCTTCACGAATTTCATGAATTTCATACAATATATTTCCAAATAATACATTTTTATTTAAATACTATTCAAAAAACAATATAATTAAATTTCCTTTCATTCCTTTTATTATTACTTTCTTATAAAGGATTATTTAGTAAATATGCATTATTTATGAATAAGACTCTTTATTATATTATTAAAAAACATAAATTGATATTCAATAAAATATTAAATAATCTATTATTAAATGATTCTCAAAACTTGATTTTAATATTAAATATGTAACCTAAAAATTATTATGATATTTTATGAACATATTTAATATAGATTTATATAAATGTAAAATTTAATTCATTTGTTGTTTAATTATTCTGTTAAAATAATAAATATTGTTCAAAAATGAATGGTCTAATAAATATTTCATAAAAATATAAATAAAATCCAATTGCTTAAATTAATAATTGATTTTTAATCTATATTAAATTCAGGATTGATATTATAACACATAGTTTAAAGAGGCCAAAGTAAGCACCAATATTGTATGATTAGTTAAGGAAATAAGTAACGCTTAAAAATCCTAAATACAAAGTTTATAAATTATTCCGAAAAACAACTTGAAATCGATATTATTAATATTTGATCACTTATTCAATAGATGTTGATGAAGATTTAAGGGTATTGATAAAATTTTTATTCATTTTTTATATTAATAAATTTAGAATAAAATATTATATATATAAAGTATGGGTTAGCAAAAGGAAGATGATATGTGAATAGAATTAATTAATTCTGAATGAAAATAAAACTCATGCACCGAATCCATAGAGTGTTCTTCCTTATCTCTTTAAAGAGTAAACGACATCCATAACAGTGACGGTCTTTCTTCTAGCATGCTCAGTGTATGTGATAGCATCTCTGACAACATTCTCTAAGAAACTCTTTAAAACATTTCTTGAGTCATCATAGAGGAATGATGAAATTCTCTTGACTCCTCCTCTTCTAGCTAATCTTCTGATAGCAGGTTTTGTGATTCCTTCAATTGAGGCTTTGTTTGGTTTTCTTGCGTGTCTCTTTGCACTTACTTTACCGATTCCTTTTCCTGATTTTCCAGCCATTTTTGTATATTTTGAATTGAAATTAATATAATTTAAAAGTGGAGGTTGTATATGGGATAAAAATCCAAATGATGCAAAAATCAGCCAATCAAATTTAACCATAAAAATTGATTTTTATTCATTCTAATATTTATATTATGCCTGTTTATTGTTATTGTTTAATTGAATGAATATAAATTGACCAAAATTCGAGAGTATTTTGATTCAAAAGTAGACATTTCAAATTTTAATTATATTTTATTTACTTTAAAATTATAATTAAAATTAATTAATATAGTAACTAAAATTTTACAAATAAGGTTCATTTTTGTTGATTATCATCGTTATTATTAATTTTTGCTCTGCATATGGGACACGAATTATTGCCAAAAAACCATTTTTCAATACAATCAATGTGAAATAAATGTTAGCATGGTAGTAAAATACATTGACTTTAAAATGAACAGAGACAAATAGAACAAATATCCTTTGATGTATGTTAAGTATGAACATATTTCATTAAAACAGAACGATTTTCTTTTTTGATCTTAAAAATCATCAGTAAAAATCTTATAAGTCTTGGAAGGGAAGTGAACATATTGATAAATAATCGAACTATCATGTCAATTAGATTGATAAAGCAATTAATAAAAAGGAATAGTAGTAGTAGAGTCATTGTTATAATCGTGAGTGTAAGTGGTAATGTAATTAATGCAAATTCTGAGAAAATCAAATATTAATTAACCTTGGATTCTTAGATTATTAAATTAAAATATAACACATAGATCACTATAGTTATAATTAGGACAGTAATAAAAGATTTTCTATGAAAAATAGTAAATTCCTGAATAAACTTCTTGATTGTCAATTTTGTGGCTACATTAAAATCTACTAATCTTATTTCAACTCTATTCTCTGGATCGATAGTTTTATCAGATTTTAATATTTCTAAGAATATTTTCCTTGTGATTGTAGATTTCGATCCAATACACTTAATTTGTTTTTTTGCTTACAATATTAGATATATGCATGTCAATAATTTGAAAAATAATCCTATTGCAATAAAAACTAATTTGAATTCTAGACTAATGATTAAGACAGTCAAACAACCGAAAAAGGTAATAGCTTCGTAACAGCTGAATAAGATGATCGCAGTTTACAGTTTCTTCAAAAAACCTTAAGATCTCGATAAGCAATCTGACTCACTGATGGATTACGCTTTTAAGTAGTTCAAAAATAACTCCGAGATTTCCTGGGTTTTAGGAAGACCAACATCTCCCGTAGTATCAAGTTTTTCAGAATAATTATTAGAAAGTCTTCTATGGCTCATAAATTAAATTGATAATGAAATATATATTTAAAAGTGTTTCAAATACTTGTTTACTTTTTTATAAACATATTATCACAAAACTTAGGATTGAGCATTGATGGAATCTTATGAGTTTCCTAAAAGTTACTTAACATAGCTCATTTATTTTTAATATTTTTCATGTGCCTTTTTTTACATCATAGTGACTTAACCTATTTTTTGCATATCCTACTATTTTACGCTTTTCTTTTCGAAACTCTACAACATAATTTTAGCTATATATGAAGATCTTAACAGTTCTTTTGCAGAGGGTCGTTTCTAGGCATCTACATCCAAAAGAGATTAGATTAAATTTACCAATTCCGAACTATACGTTCTTATATCTGTAAGTGTTGGTTCAATCTAATCCTAAATCAGTATTTCCTATTACAATCTTCCCTACTGAATGTTTTCAAGTACTTTATCAAATTAATCACCCTCGAATGCCCTTTTCAATGTACACATCTCAAATAAAATGCATCCAAGGGACCACAAATCAGAGGAGAAAGTATAGTCTTACCCTTGACTGATTTCTGGAGATAAATAAAATGGACTACCAGCTATTGTCTTAGCCATTTTTTCTCCTCCAAGAATCTAGTCATCACTTATTAAATTACTTTGGCTACTCCAAAATCGGCTATCTTTAGTTGCCCATCTTCCTTTATTAAAATATTCGAACTCTTCAGATCTCTATGGATCACATTGTTATCATGTATATAGGCCAATCCCATTAGTAATTGGACAAGCCATTATTCGACCACCTTCTAAATATACCCTCTATTCTTTCCTTCGAGTATCCTGTATTAAATCATATTCCAAAGATCTCCCTCTATTTTCATTCTATTAATTGTTACTTTAACAATAATCCATAATAAGAATTATTTAATTTTCATCTCTGAAGCAATCATATACATTAATGATATTGGGATGCTTCAATCTAAATAAGATATCCAATTCTGTATTGGAACATTCTCCTTTTATTTTTTTCGCTGCGAATTCCTTCTAAGTTGACTTCTGCTATACTAAATAAACAATTCCTTAAAGAATGATAATTGCTTATTACCAAATTGACCCCTCCCAATTATTTTAATGTCTTTGTAGCATGACTCATATTCAGACAATGGCCTTATCATCGATTATTATAAATTTACAATTATATTAATCAAATATAAAGAGAACTTTTTATGAATTAAGTCTGATTGAAGTATAAAATTAGTCATGTTCCTATCTCCAATAAAATGACTGAGACTGTAAGAAACAAAGGCTGTTAATTTGATCGATTCTGCAAAATAATCAAATTCCAGTGTAATTTAAAAGCCAGAACTTTAATACATGATTTTTAAATCTTTAGTAAACAAATAATTTATCGTCCCTTGATATTTTCATTTTAAATACTTTAGAATTTTTAATAAAAACTTAGTTGTATATTAGTTGAACTAATATTAAGTATTATACAAAAATATTATTAGTTTATATGCTTTTCTTCTTAGATTTATAATTATTTACAGCTAGACATACAGATAAAAAGAATTGGAGAAGAAGTAGATAAAACTTCTGAAATTTTTGAAAATGTATTAAATAGAATTTAAAAATAAAATGAGAATATTAAATTGTCCAAATAGCAAAATATCCAATCACTTTACTATTTTTTTGTAAACTATTTTTGAAAATAGCAGTTGATAAATTTATACCTTGAATTTTTAGATTAAATTGAGATCTTAAATCATTTGCAGGAACTTCAAATGTATATTTTTGAATTATACAAAAAGATTATTTATAAAAAATAATTTTTAAAAAGAACAAAATGTTTCTCTATTTATTTTACTTCTTTGTAACTGGACTTGGAATAAAAGAAATATATATTAATTAGGATTACTTTTATCAAGGAAAATTTTACAATTTGGAGGATTCTGAATACAGCGTGGTGTAAGAGGTAGAACAAGGAACTCTGTTATTTCAAATTACAAAACCTGACTGTTAGAAATATCTTTAGATAGAGTAATAATAATAGTTAATAAAAGATTAATATTCACAACACCAACTGATGGTGATGTCAATTCGTAGTTTACAATTAATCAAAACAGTCCTCCTTCGGTTTTAGGCAACAAAAGTTTAAATGCTACATATACTGATATGAATGGTGATTATCTCCACAAAAGCTATCAAAACATAGTCATACCCCCACTTTCCTATAAATAAGGTGATAAATTTTACATCACAAATTTAATAAGGGAAGAAGGGAAAACTTATTCATATAAGATAAGAATATCACAAAGCAATGATGTTCCTTGTCCTAACAAATGCACATCAGATTCTTTAGGCTCTTGTTAATTTGGCTCATGTTCATGTAAATTAAATAGAGTCGATTTGGATTGTTCCAAGATGGCTACTCCCATCTTGGTAGACAATAAAATGGAAAATGTGACAATAAGTGGAACACAGTATTTCTATTTTCAACAAAAGACTTAGTTAGAAACTATTTAATTAGATTTAGAATTCAAAAATGTACTGTTTTCTTAACATTCTTCAATCTTTGTATATATAATGTTTGAAAATTTTGTCTATGGAGTTGCTACCTCCTAATTTAATAATTACACCTACTCCCTTTCTCAAGATTCTACAACCTTAACAATATCAGACATTATACCTGTTAAACAATTAAATCATAACTAAGATTTATAGAGGTAATTATTTAATGTAACTCTAGGTTTAATCGCCTTTTATTAACATTTGTTGTTCCTGGTACAAGTGATCTTAACATTAATATCAGCCTCCCATCTCCAGACGCTGGAGCGAATATAAATTAGATTCTTATTTACCTCTTGGTATCTCTAGCTGCCATCTTAGTGCTTACATGGATTATAATTACTCTGATCAGATGTAGAAGAAATAATAGAACTAGAATATTTCCATTTCCACAATAAGCACCTCTGGAGATATAAAAATAGTAAATCAATTTAGAATAATTTGATTATTATATGGTTAAAATTCCCTGGTCTTAGTTAGATCATCACCCATTTATTATAGAAAAGAAGATTGACTATAACTAATTTGAAGGTTGTAGTATTTGCTTAAGTGAATATGGTAAAGATTCAGTATGTAGAGTTACACCTTGTATACATGTATTTCATGCTGACTGTTTATTAGAATGGTTGAAAAATTAAAAAATAAATCCATCGTGTCCAATGTGTAGAGATGAATTTACAGAATAGAAATTAGAAGAATTTGCATAGTAAATGAATGACTACAAAAAAGCCTAATAATAAAAAAAAAAAAGTATTGTCAGATATTAAAATGAAAATTCTTTATTGATGATATAAGATGGAATTTAACCGTTGTCTTAATGATATAAAGTTGAGAATAAAATGAACATAAAATGAACTTATAATAATATATTCTATTATAAATTTTCCATCCAACTATGAGACAATGGTGCAGAACTAGATATGAGTCTTTAGGAATAACAAAATATATTACCTTTTAATTACCCATCTATTCCTGCTAGTATTTTTTAATTTGATGTAGTTGATACTATTTTAGTACTGTCTAAAAGAGTCGACAATTCTTTTGTCTCTAATATTATTTCTACAGTTCAATAATGATATTTATTTAACTTTCTTCCTTTATTAGAAAATCTTATATGAAGTAATCTTAATAATTCAATTCAATATGAATTACTATCCAATAGTAATCTTAAGTAAAAGCATAGATATTTTTATTCCCTTAATAGAAGAGCCAATCTTCAATCTTAATAGAATCTATAGATAAACTCTTTTGGAAAACATAATTTTATTAGCAATATTAGTTCAATTATTAATATAATTTAATATAAAGAGATGAGGCCAATTTCATCTGCTCTAAAATTAAAAACTAATGATAGTTAAGAAAAACGACTGAGGAGTGCAGTCTAATTCAAATTAGTAGACTCTTAAAAGTAAGAATTAGTGAATAAATTTGGATAGATTAAAGAATGTACTTATAAAGCAATCACAAAATTCCTAATAGTCGTTATCACAACAATCGAGATTACAGAGTGGAACAACCTACAACACAACTCAACGAACTGGATATTCTACACACAGAATGAATGAAGCAGAATATGATTCAGGTTCTAGCTCTGCTTTTAGAGGTCAAATTAAAATGAGATCAACTTTTCATTCAAGCAGAAACAATCTTATCAGAAGAGTGGACTCCCAATTTAGTTTAGACAACAAACACGACTCATCGCCACAAGAAACCAATAGAACTGCAATACCAGCACCAAAAAATAGACTCTTTCAATAGGGCAGCAGATCTCAATAGAAACAATTGATTGTTACCTAAGAAAACATTGACTCTAATGAAGTGAAAAGGAGAATGAAATTCGATCCTTAAGTCAAACAATAAGTCATCTATTTTAAAATATTGAATATATCTAATATCGGATTAAAAAATTATCTATTTTACCTTTACAAGTAACAAAAACATTTGATGGATTTGGTCAAATCCAAAGCTGAAACTTAAGTAATAATCGCATTTCAATTAGCTAATTGATTTCTCATAACAAATTTTAACATTCTCCATAGGAACCTTATCTCCAATTGCACTAATTGAAACCCTTACTTTCGCTGCCTCTATGCTGGAATTAACATCATAACTTGACTGGGCCATCTTTTATCATAATTAAAGCAGAATTATGGCTAATTATGCAAAATAAACAATGGATAAATACAAAATGAAATCTTTGATTGGACTAGGAAATTGTTCAATCAAAATGCAACAATATGAGATCGGAATCAAGTTCTTTAAGAAATGTCTACAATATTCGTGGTTAAACAATGACTTAGATTATGAAAATGAAGTTTACACAAAACTCGGTGTTTGTTATTATTATCTTGGAGACATCGAAAAAGTATAACTTTTATTTATCAAGTCTAAATATTATCATGAAAGAGCCATTACTTATGACTATGAAATTGAGACTTCTCCCTTGCGTTAAATGAGTTCAGATACACTCAAAGTCTTCTTAAATAAAAATTTCAACAGAAATTATGCTGAATCCATAAATACTCCTCTCCTGAATCGATTAAATCTACCTCTTCCTCAAGATATTTTGTCAATCTCGTAATAAGAAATATAGAATGAATCTCTCACGATGATCAATCCTAGAATCTTTAATGAATCCAAGGCCTCGTCGACAAGAAGAAGCTCCATCTTTGAAACTAATCCTCATATTAAATTGTTCTCCACAATGTAAGTCGATGGACTAAGAATTCAATAAGAGATTTTATCAACTCAAGAATTTGAAGTAGAAGTTTATACTCCTAAACATTCATGTAAAACTTTGTGATTTATATTTAATAGTTAAGTCGGAAAGCAAGTGCTTTGATTTTATAAGAAATAAAAAAATACATCCTTAGGATATTTTTCATGATATCAAATACAAAACTAATCCTTTCATTTTGTAAGATCTTGGAGTGATAAAAGGCTAAAATGATGAAAATCCTATTGAAAACCCTCAGATATATAAATTACCTTTGGATCAACAGATTGATATTAGACTGAAAAAGAAGATATATGTGGACATACAAACAAAGTTAAAGAAATTGATGGATTACAAATATCATACTAAAACATAAATGAGGAATAAAATTCTGGTAGTAATTTAAATTTAATGAAGATTACACACAAAAATGTTGAGAATGAAAAAAGACATCATGCAGCAGATTAAGTTAAAGTTCTTGAAAATGTATCAAAAAATTTTGTAAATCTTATTGAAAATTTGATTAATTTACAATGATTTTTGTATTTGTAAATTTCATACTTTTCATAAAAATTCTTTCAATATATTAACATATTTATAGAGATGTATCCGAGATAAATAAAAAAATAAGACAAGCCAAAGCAATCCTCCACTATCTCAGATTTCATTCTGAATAAATTAATAAGGGAATTCAGCACCAAACCAATAGATACCGAAGTATTTAATAAATGCTAATTAGCTAATTCAATGTTATGTCCATGATTACAGTACTAAATACACCTCCTTTAGTGAAAGTTGCGTAAGGGCTTTGAAAGCTGAGATAAAAGAAGCAGTCAAGAAATCACAACTAGAAAAAGAAGCGATAATAAAATCCTTAAAATAGCCATCTAATACTCAATAGTTACAAAATAAGGAAGATAACTAAAACAACGAAAATAACTCTAAATAGAATACAAAAGCCATTACTTAAGGAGAGGAGCAATAAAAATGTTAAAGCAAGAAAAACCCTGTAGAAATTCCAAGATTAGACTCATTAACATCTGAAAATAAATAGAAATCTGTTTATCAATTGGAGGATGATGAATTAGACGAATGGGCAGCTATCATTAAACATGATTCAGCCTTGTATTAGAAAGAACAAGAAGAGAAAAAAAGGAGAGAATAACAATTGAGACACAAATTAAAAGATGACTTAGATAGACAATTAAAAGAGAAGGAGTAGATAAAAAAAGAAGAAGCCTTGAAAGAAGCTTAATTTAATTATTAACATCAATAAAGGAAATAGGAATTTGAATAATATGAAAAATAGAAAAAAGAATAGATGAAGCTTAAACAAATAGAAGAAAGGAAATTAAGAGATGAGTAAGTGCAATAAGAGAAGCATAAAAGGTAACTCTTATAATCTATTGGATTAGGAGGGAAAGTTAGAAGCAATCAAAATTGTAAGATGATGAGATGCTCTAGTAGCTAAAAAATGAAATAAGTAGAGAATCTTAAGAATTAAATAAAAAGAGATAGGAATAAAAGGATAAATTTTAATAGATATTGAAGGAGAATGAATAGTTGCGTCATAAGGTAAAATTATTAGAATAAAAATAGGCATAAGAGGAACTGAAACTGTAAAAGGAAATAGATACTAAATTGTAATAATAATAATTATAGAAAATGATATAAGATGACGAAAGAAGAGAATAATAAAAGAGGGATAGGGACGATAAAATCAAATAATTCATGAGTAATTACAGTCATTAGGTGTTGAGTAAATAAAAGGAAAATGAAGAGAATGAAGGAAAGTATATGTTGGAGTAATTAAAAAAATAAGAAGAATAAGATAAACAACAATAGTAATATAAGAAATTAAAGGAAAAAGAGAAAATGGAATTAGTGAAACAATAATTGTAATTGCAAATTTAACAGAAATAACAGAAAAAATTATCAGAAGAGGAAGAATAAAAGTTGCTATTACTCAAACAACAATTAGATCTCATGAATCACTCTTAAAAAGAAAAAGAAAAATAACTTGTAACTTATTGTAGTTTATTTTAGTCTATCAAAAATAATTATAAATAAAACTAAGAGGATATTAAGAAATAAATTGAAGAAAGTAAAAATAAGAGTGCTCATGAAAAAATGTCTAATATGGAACTATTACATAATAAATCTTTATTGAAGAATATTGCATAAGAATAGGCTGTGAAGACCAAGTTTAGAAAGGTGAATGTGTCAATGAAATGATAGATTTATTAGAATTTGATTCAAAAATATGGTTTTGTTTTTTATTTTTATAGTAATAATATATAAGAATAAATAAATATTATTCCGCAATGAATTAGAAAAGCAATAAGGTTTCTCCATCTCAGAAGTCAATAGGATTTAGATTTAATTGTGCCATCAATTTAGAGCTGCTTAAAAAATCAACTAGAATGGCATTACTCAAAACGAAGTATCAGTTTCCTGAAGAATCAGATCGAATGAAAATGAAGAAAAGAACCATAATCATTGGCAAAAATTAATTAGACTCAGAAAAGAAGCTGTCTCCTTTTAAAATCAAATTTTTAGATATTATAAAAACAAGATGTAGTTCAATTACTGATGATAATAATTAAATGGCAAATAAGATGGTTTTCTAAAAATACTCGAAGCAATTAGATAATATTAACTACGGTAATCCTTAGATTTTTTAGTCGATTCCCTCATAAAAAGATTCATGTGATAATTTGATTTTCCCTTTTCAAAAGTCGATTTATCCATAAAGGAAACTAGTTAGAAAACACAGAGCAGAGACTTAATATACAATTAATAGTTCGATTAATTAACCAAGTCCAAATCTCGAAAAAATAAAGGTCAAGTCTCTAATAGCCATATAAGAGAGATTCGGAGCTACGGGTTGGGAAGTCGAACCATCAGATGACTTTTGAATATTGTAATTAAACTCTTTAAAATCTTAGAAATTACCATATTTTTGTAATTTTAATTATTTCAAATTTGAGTAATTTAAAAATAATAATATTGACATTCTTAATCGATCTCTGATAATATGAAATAAATAGGTTGAGTTTCTAGTGTTTTGAATCTCTTATTATTGAGAGACTTCTATTTATATAAATTAGCATTAAGAATTTATGAAATATTTTTATAAAGGTCAAATTAGTATTTCATTCATAAAATCTCAATTATGCAGGAATTTTCAGCATTGATTGTGTAAGGTTTAATGATATTAATAAATATATAAAAATTCATTCATCATTCAGAGTTTACTTTGTATGAATATAGCTTAATATTTGTCGCGTGAAACAACAATTAATTCAGAAGATAACACAATTACAGCTGACCAAAATGTTCATTTACAAAATTAAACCTATTATGATGGGCAAAATCTCTATACTTCAAATTAACAAACTGATGATTCTTTTGAAATGCAAATATTGAGTAATTAGCATCCTGAAAATGAATGGATAAAAAAAGAGCAAAATATTGTCAGCTATCTGAAATAATTGGGTCTCAAGATGAAAACTGATCCCTTAGAAAAATAGGAGCATTTTTATCAAAAACCTATGAGGCGTCCAAATAAATCCAGTACCACATAATTAACTAGTACTTCATAAGTTGATCAATCAAATTTAGAAGATGATAAAGGTAATGCTATACTGCAAAAAATCAGTATAGAAATGAATTCAATAAAATAAAGACGAACACCAAATACAACTCCTCAAAGTTCTCCATTAATTATAAATAATTTAGAATAACAGGAACCCATAAAAAAATAAAGAATGTCAATTTTTTAGAAAATGTAAAATCAGCCTTAAGATGTAACTCCAGATGAAGAAGAAATCGAAAATAATATCATAAGAAATTAGAAATGCATAGAAGATTAAAACAATGATCTTGACAAAAGCGATTCAAGCAGTAGTAAAAGTGACACAGAATAAAATTATTTCTAAAATTTGTGTGGATGATATGTGAGTAACTATATCATTTTATTCCTGCTTATTATAGTTTTTAAGTTAACTATTGTATTTTACTGTCTTTTAATTTCACTAATTATTCTAGTTTCTATATTTTAAGTTCAAGTATTTCTATTGTTTCTTTTTAATCTTAAATAACTAAATCCTTATCATTCTATTTATTGTTTACTCCTGGCTTTGGGTTGTTCACTTAATTTTAATTTTTTTAGACTTCATTTGGCTTATCATATTTTTACACTTAATTTTATTCTTAGTGTTCCAAAAACATATCTAATTTCACTTATATCACTTTTAAGATTCTTTCTATTGCTTCAGGGATTACCTAAATAACTGCATCGATATCTTTCTGAGTAATTTGGAAACCCATCTTTCTAAACACCTATAAATCATGATTCATATTACCTTGGCATTCAATGTATTCCAATTATATTATTTTTATTAAACAGAGTGAGCCATACTATAATTGTGTATATCTATTATTGAAGGAACATAGTGTTAAATTATTTCTGCAATTAAAACTCCATCGGCAAAATCTCTACCTATGTGTTTTTTGGGTCTCGACAATGGTACAGTATCAACCCAATTGTAAATTTCATTTAATTCATCCTCACTAAGTGGAGGAGCATCCATTTCCTTACTTTTCATAGTGATATAAATAATTTAAAATTTTTATTATTTAGTTAACTTACAATTCAATAAATACAGATAAATAAATTTGTTTTCAATCAATAAATCTATGTTAATTTATTTCCTCATTTATATAACTCACTCAAATTTCACTCATTTAATACAATCTAACTAAACAATATTCTTCATACTAACTTACTATTAAAGAATTGGTTATAATACACATCAAGATTTATCAAGATAAATTGTTAAAGTTCTGATATTTTATTATGTTATTTACTGTCTTTAATGAATTTTATCACGTAATTTTAATCCATTAATATTATTAATTTGACTTTTCGGATCTTGTGTTTCAGGTTTAAGTTATAAAAATAAAATATTTATG